GAGGTTGCCGAAGATGCGAATAAGATGATGTTAGAGCGGGAGATTGAGCTGGATCAGAAAAGACTGGAGAAGGCAAAAGAGAAGCAGAGCAAGTTGCAGGGGCGTTTGCGTGGCATGGAGCTCAGAATTAACAACTCGGGAACGCGAATATCGGAAAAACAGCGTCTGAAGGCAGATATTGATCGTTTGAAGCGGGAGGAGTTGCAGCCCTTGCAGGTTGATATACAGGAAATCGAAGCTCGGCTGCGTGAGAATCAAAACGCGACCAATAAATTGGAAGGAGAAAGCGGATCTGAAATGCTTCCAGGAGAAACACAACAGGAATATCTGGTGAGGACGGGAAAAGTGACGGCATTTGGAACGTCGAATGGATTCATCGAAGAGGAAGACACAGGCGTCAAAAATCACCAGGATCTAGTTATCCCAGGAATTGAACTTGCCGATGAGGATGATGACGACGAAGATGCATTGGTACGAAAGAGGAAGATGGATGAAAATTTGGATGATGGTGACGAACGCATGTATAGGGACAGACTGAGACGTTGGACTGAGCGGCGAGCGTCGCTCAGAGCAGAAATGCGGCCAGACTATACAGACGATCCGCAGGTACCAGAGTGGCAGAAACCACACCCCAACAACGCCGATGCCATCCTCAACGACGAATTTAGGGTACCTGGTGACATATATCCGTCTCTCTTTGATTACCAAAGGACTGGAGTCCAATGGCTCTGGGAGCTATATTCGCACAAAACGGGAGGAATAATAGGCGATGAAATGGGCTTGGGCAAAACCGTACAGGTCATTTCTTTTCTTGCTGGTCTTCACTACAGTGGCAAGCTCACGAGACCGGTTCTCGTCGTCTGTCCAGCCACTGTCCTAAGCCAATGGTGTAAGGAGTTCCACAGATGGTGGCCAGCTCTGAGGGTCGTCATTCTGCACTCTATTGGTACAGGAATGACGGGAAAGCGTGTCGAGGATTTTGACGACGAAGAAGACGCCGATCTCGCCAGTCTGCCTTCGGACGGACGTGTCAAGGAGCTGGTTGACTCCGTCATAAATCACGGCCATGTGATTATCACCACGTATGTTGGGGTGCGGATATACTCCAGATATTTATTGCCTGTTAGATGGAACTATGTTGTGCTGGACGAGGGACACAAGATCCGGAACCCAGACAGCCACGTCACTTTGGTCTGCAAGCAGCTCAAGACTCCCAACAGGATCATATTATCGGGCACGCCTATACAAAATAATCTGGTTGAGCTATGGAGTTTATTTGACTTTGTTTTCCCTGGGCGGCTGGGCACCCTGCCTGTTTTCCAGAAACAGTTCTGTGTTCCAATCAATATCGGTGGCTATGCCAACGCGACAAACGTTCAAGTTCAAACGGGCTACAAGTGTGCCGTTATATTGCGCGACCTGATTTCTCCTTATCTGCTACGACGTGTCAAGGCAGATGTCGCAAAGGACCTGCCCAAAAAATCGGAGATGGTTCTATTTTGCAAGCTGACGGACGTGCAGCGCAAACTCTACGAGGACTTTCTCAATTCGGAGGACATTAACAAGATTCTGAGAGGCAAGAGGAATGCCCTGTTTGGAATAGACGTGCTACGGAAAATTTGCAACCATCCGGATTTAGTGGACCTGAAGCTGCGCAAAAAACATCTACGGACGGCCGAGCAGCTGGAGGCGCGCGCAGGAAAGTTACAGGTTGTCCATGCTCTGCTGGATGTGTGGTTTTCGGAAGGCCGTAAAACCCTGATTTTCACCCAGACGCGTCAAATGCTTGACATTTTACAGGATTTCATGGAAGCTCTCAATCATGAGACGGAATCTAAATTTTCTTTCATGCGAATGGACGGAACGACGCCGATATCACAGAGACAATCGATGGTTGACCAGTTCAACACAAATCCCATGTACAATGTGTTTTTACTCACCACCAGAGTCGGCGGTCTTGGTGTCAATTTGACGGGAGCCAGCAGAGTTATCATTTATGATCCCGACTGGAACCCGTCTACGGACGTCCAGGCAAGGGAGCGTGCTTGGAGGTTAGGACAGAAGAAGGATGTGGTGATATATCGCTTGATGATGGCGGGGTCTATAGAGGAGAAGATTTACCACCGTCAAATTTTCAAGCAGCTGCTGACCAACAAGATTTTGAAAGATCCAAAGCAGAAACGGTTTTTCAAAATGAACGATTTGCATGAGCTATTTACGCTTGCGGAGGGCGAAACGAAGTTCAACTCGCGCAACACAAAAAAGAGCGAGGACGACTTTTTACAGGTTTCTAAACTAAAAGGTGTCTCTGGGTTGCAGAAGTACGAAGATGGTGAGGACGAAGAAGGACATATTGAGGACAAAGATATTATGGCTGGTCTGATGGGAAACAATGCTTTACGGTCTGCTTTAGAGCATGAGAGCGTTTTGAACCCTTCTTCGTCGTACAGCTTAATTGATAACGAGGCCTCGAGAATTGCCAATGAAGCCGTCAAAGCGTTGCGGGAATCAAGAAAACTGGCTCGTCAGACCCGAGTCAACGTTCCAACCTGGACAGGAAAGTTTGGAGAGGCAGGCAGAGAGGTCGGACGTCCGCGAAAGCCAGGTCTGAGCGGCGCTTCCACGCCAACTGGGAGGTCACAATCGCCCATGGTGTCTTCTAGCTCGATTTTGGACAATATCAAAAAACGCAAAGAGTCATCACCGAAACCAAAAATCGAAGACACTGATCTTATTGCTAGATTGAGCAACTACATGGCTGGCCTGAACGATTATTTCAGCACCTCTGCTGCGGTTCTTGACGAGCTGAAGATTGACGTCTCGAACGAAAAAACAGTCAAGGTTGTGAGATCGATGCTCAAATCAATTTGTAAATGGGATAAGGAACGGAAAGGCTGGGTACTAAACGAGGAATTTAGATAGTGTATCTTAACAAACAATCATACATAAGATGAACCACAATGACATAATGTTTTCATGAATTTCTTTATTTCTTGGTTCCCAGGGAGTAGTCACCAGCTATCCATCTATTGACCATGGCCAAAGAGCTTTCAGGCTGGTCGTAGGGAACCATGTGTCCTCCATCAAACATTCTAGCGAAGGTGAACTTGCCAGCGTTCTTGACCTCGCCGACCTTGGTGCCATCCTTCAACGTGAGGTTGTACAGCTCTGCCGCTTCGAAGTCGTCGTGTCCGGACCATGGGAGCTCATTCGACCAGGCTTGGTTTCCGAGCCAGTTGCAGATGAAATCTTTGTCCCCTGCGTAGATCAAAACAGGAAGACCTTGCTCCAGCAGGTTGATAACATTCTTGTGGTATGGTTTCATCCAGTCACCAGCGAACAAGAAGTTTCTGTTCACATCGAAATTGCACGACTCGTAAGTATCGACCTCGGCACCAACTTTCTCCTTGACAAAGTCCTGGTTCAAATATTGGTCAATGTACTCCATGTCTTTGTAGCATAAAGTTCCCTCGCACATCTTTCTAACATCGTAGACGTTTCTGCCGGTCTTTTGGAATGGACCAAGTTGGGCGTTGTTGCAGTAGATGGAGGCCGGGACGCAAGAGAACACAGACTGCGAACTGTAGCACGATTCGATCAATGACAAACATCTAGGCAAGGTCTCCAACATTCCTTCGCATTCAGACTCGTCCAGAGTTGGCTCATAGCCACCATCAGTCGAGCAGGCCATTCTCTCGTAGTATGGGTACTGGTTAAGCGGGTCGGTCAAACCGTTACCAATCAACACCGAGGTGAGGTTGAAAGATCTGTCAGCATGACTGAGAATCTCGGAAGCAAAGACCGGTATGTAATGGCCACCATAGGACTCACCGGCAATGTGGAAGTCATTTTTCAGCAGGTGCGGGAATTGCTGGTAGAACAACTCCAAAAAGGCATAGACATCTTTACCAGCTGCAACCGTGTTAGAGACAGACTTGGAAGAGTATGAATATCCAACATTGACGGGCTGGTCAAGGAAAATCACAGTGGCGTTCGAGTTCCACGAATATGGGTTATTGATTGGCTTGAGATCTGGACCAATGGAAGCAGAGCCAAGTTCAAAAAGCATTCCAGTCAAGGAAGAGCATCCTGGACCACCGTTCAGCCACAGAATCACAGGATCGTTGGCTGGGTCATTTCTGGACTCAAACATCCAGTAGAAGAAATGCTTATCCTCGTCCTCGATATCCAAGTAACCAGAGTACTGTCTTGTGTGGTCAAGTCCCAATGCTCCAGGGTCTGTCTTCTTGACTCTCAGCTTATAGTTGGAGAACTTCTCATTGAGAACATTGAAGTCCCAGAATTCGGCAGGTTTCTTCGTAATTTTGACCACAGGCTCTGACTTGAGCTTCATACTCCTGACGGTATCTGGGAACTTAGCCTCCATTTCATTCCAAATCTCCCTCAACTCTGGAGAAATGTTCTTGGATGACTCGCTCACAACCTCAGATACACGGTCGAGCAAAGACTTGCCCTTCTCCAAGAAAACGTCGCCAAAGCTGGAAGACATCTGGAGAGGGTGTTGCCCCGCCGTATCTTTTTTTATGGCAGCGGCTTGCGCCGACCCAATGCTTGTGGCCACTAGGGCCAGAACAGACATTGACAGCTTCATTTTCGGAATTGAAATATAGCAGAGTTCTTTTTTTTGGCACGATTGCTAGGATAAACTGATGAATATAAATGGGAAATATATTATCTGGGAGGCAAAAATTGATAACCAGCCTCGGATAAATAAGCTGCTGTCTCCACGACCGATAAGAGCTTCGGTAGGTGGTCCTCTAAAAATGACATTTACAATATTGGCCCCTCTTGAGCTCGCGACAGCCATTTACCATGCTCCTTCTTGTTTTCTGACTCTTTCTCCAAACTAGCCCTTATCGTCCTAGGTAGCTGCTACGAGTATGGCATGTTGCGGTATCTGCATCCGTACACCACGTCGTAGAAAAAGTAGTAAAAAAAATACACCAAATAAAAATTCAGACAAACTAATCATACTAGACATGCTGAGGCTGTGGAGCTGTCCTGTGCCCAGAACGCCGAAGCTGTGCAGGCAAATCACACCTTTGAGAAACCTGCACCTCACTGGTTCCATCCTGCAAAAGGATCAAGAACAGAAGAGCAAGTACATAGAGAAACTTCACCTAGACTCAGAACCCATCAATTCTCAGGAAACCGATTCCACCTACGAGTCGTACCAGAGATTCCAGGCGATGTTCATGGGGATTATGGTTATCATTGGATCGATAGGAGGGTACGAGTTGTATAGAAACTGGGATTTTGTGAAAAGAAAAGTGGTTGGAGATTCTTACGATATGTCCAAATTTGAAGAAGTCTACGCCCAGATTCAGGCAAAGCAGGAGAAAAAGAAGAACAAGATTGACACACTCAATGCCACTGTGAGCAATCCAAATTCAAGTGACGTTCCGGGACTGTATATATGCGGAGATAATTCTACCCAGATGGTTTCTACTGATCCTAAAGTCAAATTCCAGTCGGTGCTGAAGCGTCTCGACATTTTCGACAATATGCTCGTTCGGGATGTGGCTTTGGGAGAGGCCTCTGGTGCTTTGATTAACGAAAAGGGACATTTATACCAATGGGGTGCAGGATTCGGAGGAAACTCGTCCAAGCCAACGCTGAAGGGTAAAGATTTGGTGAAGGTGAAAATCAGCAATGGACTGGTTTACGCTCTCACGAAACGAGGGGAGGTTCTATTCTTACCCGAGAGCGCAAATGAACAGCAACAATACAGGGAAAAAGATAAGGGATGGCTTTTTTCTAGTACCAGAAACTACGGCAAGTTGGCTACCAGCAGACCGATCAAAGACATTGTCGCTGGAAAAGAGCATTTGGTTCTTCTAGATAATAGAGGATTTGTCTATACTGCGGCTACAGGTCTCGAGCGATTGAAGAGATCGTACGGTCAGTTTGGTCTTCCTGAATATTCTCAGTTTGATGAGCCGCCTGTCCCAAACGAGCTTCATGAGGTGACTCTGCTGAACCGCGTGAGAGAAAATGATATTTTAACCCAGCGCGAGATCAAGAAAATTGCCGCTGGAGATTACTTCACCGTGTGTCTGGACAGTCTAGGAAACATTTGGGCTTTTGGCAAAAACACTTACGGTTCTTTAGGCAAGGAGGTCAGTTACAAAACTGAAATTGTGCCATACCCATGCAAAGTGGAATTGGTCAGCAAGAGGTTCAAGAGAAGCGATCTTCCTCAGTGCATCGACATCGCCGCAGGTGGAGATACCGCTTTTGCGTCTTTCGTGTCTTCGGACATTTACGATCTGTTTGAACATAACTTGAAAAATTCCAAAACTTTCAATTTGAGCATGCTATCAGAGCAGCAGAAGGAGTCTTTGGTTCACTTTGCGTGGGGGCACGGGTTGAAGGGCGAGCTTGGAAACGGTCGTTTTGTGCATGGCCAGGCGGAGCCAACAAAAATTCAAAAATTGAACGATATTCGTGAATATGACGAGAGCAAGGGAAAGTTGGAGGTACTCGGCCTGCGCCAATGGAGTGTTGGAAGCAACCATGCCGTAGCTACACTGTCTAACGGAGACGTTTATGATTGGGGAGACAATGAATTTGGACAGCTTGGAAACGGTAAGCGAATCCGGTCTGGGGTGCCGACCCCAATTCCTGCGCTTTTAGAGCCCGGAAAGCCTTTTGTTAGGAGTGAGAATAGCCGTCTACAACTAAAGGCCACCAAGAAGTACGAGCAAGTGGCCGTGGCCGGCCCAAGCACCACTGCTATATATTACAAATGTAAATAGGAATATTTATTCAAAAATACGCAAAATTAAAAAAATTATTTTATCGATGATCGTTGTATGGTCCGAAGAGCCAGAGCAAATACGCCAGTTTATCTCGGGCGAAGAGTTTATCGAGACCGAGGATCACTTCTATGAGGTCCTGCGGTTCCTGAGCCGACATCATCTTGGGTTTGGCAGGTACAACAAGAACGATCCGCAGGCCTACCAGGTGGTGGTGAAGTTGTTATGGGAAGATGGTAAGCTCAATACTGCCCATAGAAAAGTGTTTCAGGATTATGAAGACAATTTACGACAATGCGGGCTGATATATGCTATTAAGATGCCATATAGATGGACTCTTGTGTGGGTGAAAATCCACAACAGCAAATATGTTGAAATACATCAAATCGACTCGAAGCCCCGCGAGATCGGACGGCTGAAAGAGACCCAGTTGGACGAGATCAAGCGCAATATCTGCCAGATGCTGTTTTTGGAGACAACCGATGATTTGGCGTCCAGCTTCCGGTACTGGATGCCAGTGATGGAGGACGAGAATCTGAGCAACGAGGCCTTGCTGATCATAAACTTGAAGCAGATTTTGGAAGGCTACCAATGGCATGGGTACGGGGTTAAGTGCGAGAACATCAAGTTCAATTACCACAAACTGCTCACAGGATTCAGCGACCTCAGAAGAGCTTTCCATACTCATTTGGTGGAAGGCAGTCCCGAGCCGCAAGAAGTGATGGAAGTGCACGCGAAAACGCCCGAACCGGGCAAGAGGCCACCGACCGAGGATCTGCCTTTGCGCAAGCGGACTCGGCGCGGGGGCGAAGAGGAACAAACTCCGAAACCGAAGGAAGTGAAGGAAAAGGCGGTGGATACCGTGATCCACGAAAATCAGCCGTGCTACGTGACCGTAGAAAATCTGGAGCAGATTAAGCAGGAGATCAAGTATGACCCTAAGAAATTGAAGCAGATGGTGAAGGATTTCCAGACGAAATACGAGGAAATCCAAGCGAAGTTCTATTCGAGATGGGCCAGACAATCCGGCTCGAACGACGTGGACGAGGAGGACGAATCGAGTTTCTCGATGTATGGTCCGACTCAGGCAGAGTACGAGATTCTGATCTCGCAGGAGGTTGTTGCCACCAAGACGCTGCTAAAGAAACTTTCTCACATGGACATATTCCCAAATCAGCAGCAGATGCGGGCCATCTCAAACGCCAGACGGTGGATCAATCAGCGGTTCAAATACGACCCTTCCACGAAGACAGTCCAGTACCTGCGTGACTCTAACGTGGTAATACCCGACTACCTTGATATTCCATACATCGTCATAGCCACTCACCTCCATTTTGACTGCTTGCCGCCGTTGTTAACGTACAATCATGTTCGACGAAACTGGTACATCTCTAAGAAGACCGTGGACTACATCATTGCTCAGTGCGAGTATTGCAATCACTAAGTCTTATCTAATGATGCGCGCGTGCGATTGGGGCGTTTGGTACTCTGTGGAAGGCTTGCGGAACTTGCGCTGTCTAGAATATAGATTTTGATGAATTGTACGATTAGGGATGATAGGCGTAGCGAACTCCTCTGCGTCGTGTTCTTCAACTCCCGCTATATCTGTCTCATGCATAACTTGCTCTTCTGTTCTCTCGCGAGGCGACTCGGAGGCTGTTTGTGACTCAGAGCTTCCAAACTGGGGCCTCGTAAGAATTGTCTGGTCGTGAACATGATTCTTATCAGACAGCAGCTCTGCAAGACCGAGGTCTTTCCAGTTTAGTTTCTTGTGTTTCTGGCGCATCCTATTTGCATAAGACGAGTTGAACATTGGGTTTGCGCCGTTGATTATGTTTAGATCGCTGTCTTGGTCTTCTGCCGACGCCAAAAACTCCTGGAGAATATTATCCTGTCCGTGGTAGGCCGTAGAGTTGATTTCGATGTCATCGAACGGCAGCCTGTCAACGTCCCACTTCTCCTGAAAGATGATATGATGCGGCTGTTTCATGTGAACATACGAATACTGGCTATCTTTGGACATGAATGAACAAAAGATTAGGTCCAAAAAAATATTTTTGATTTTAGATAGGACATTTGGCAGTAGGCTTTCGAAAAATTGTGCGATATAAAATAAAAGAGGATTGTTTGCACGACGATTGAGAAGACCAGAGCCCGAAGACCGCATTGTACTCATGCCGCTGGAGGCCAAATTGTCAGGAAACGTACGAAACGGACGAAATCCTCTTTTAATCCCATCGCTACGCATGGATCAGCATTGGCATTTGCTGATCCTGCACGCTGTCGAATGATTACCGATGTCAGCCATGAGAAGCTGCGAGCTGCATCTTGATGGCAGTACTCATACTGTCACCGGTGCTTGCTGTTAGACATTACCTCATCTCTATATTAAGCATTTCCCACTGGACTGTGTTTGGTAGCAAACATTTGCCATATTGTTTCTCGCAATACAGCAGAGCAGCTATCCACTTGGGGAAAAAGGTCTGGATCACGGGTTTCGTAGGAACCGTCAAAGTTATTTTGCGCACCCAACTGAACCAGCATCAGTCGACTTGGTGTGAGAATGTCCATAGCTAAGGGCGATACAGGCCGTCTTTTAAGAATTGTTATGGCGGTATGCAGAGATTATTTGACTCGGTCTTGGAATCATCATGCAAAAACAACGCTGGCCACCAACAGAAAGGTAACGAACGGTTGACTGAAAGAACGACTCGCTGGGGTACGTGCGCCTTATTTGGTAGCCCGTATGCACCCTTATTCGCTGCATGGATAAACCTAATCTGCATTTGAGTTCAGAATGTAAAAACTCACTTCGTCCAATTCAGTGCCCATTAACGACGATGACCAGATACTTATCGAGTTTCTTCGAGCCTTGGTTTTTATGGATACCCGGATTCCAAGTGCCAAAGCTAAAATTGGAATTGCATGCTACCATGCAGCTAGATTTTTTGTTTACGCGCTTTTGTGATACAGTTTGCTCCCAAGTCTTGGGTACGACGCAGATGTCCTCAATGATAGGCTCAGGGATGTCCAGCTGGCCAATCCTCCAGTTTCTTTCAAGGCCTTTAACCTGCTTCGATGGAACTATCAACAGCTAATTACTTTAGCCTCTCATGTTGAGACATGCGGTCGCACGAGTGAGCGAGACAATTTTCTATAGGCAAGAAGCACTACATACTGCTCTCATCCTACCAAGTTGCGGCAGCAAGATTCCAGAAATCTCGCTTAGTAGAGTTTTCCGCTAAATGAGTAAAGAACTTCTGGAAGAATCCCAAGCTACCCTTCCCAGACATAAGATAAGAAGACCCAGTCCTGGGATGACCAGCGGAAACAGCATATTCTTGAAGCTTTCAGGCTCGGAAAACACTAAATGCCTCGTAAGGCTGACAATGGCTCCGCTTGGATATTCAGCCAACCGAAAACGCAGTATCCAGTATCATTTCGCTCCAGATTATTTCAAGAGCGGTCTCAAAGACAATGCTGCTGTTTGAAAGACCACTTTGCTTTGCTTCCACTGGAAAGTAGCAGCTCTTTCAGCTTTTGGCCGTTACGTGACATAATAAGCTTTCGAATTTGTTCTATGCCGCTCTTCAGATATGAGTCACTCAGGAATCTAACTAGCAAATGTAGACGGACTAGGAATTTTGGCGGTTTGCCTGCTTTCTTAAGAATCTGATTATGCCATTGTAGCCATCTCCACAATATAATTGACAATCCAACCCTGACACCTGAAGGCATTATATAAAATTGGGCTTGTTTCAAATTAAAATTAGTTCTAATTTCGCTCATCTTGATATGAAGAACGGTCTACTAACTTTATACCTTTGCTTGGGTGCTGCCGCCGCCAGAAATGTGTTTCAGGGGCTTAAAATAAACGACATCGACTCTTTGGAGAAAGAACTGGAGCTCAACAAGCGGGATGGCAAAAACGTCGTCTCGTTGGAACTGAGCGAGGCCGACTTGGGATTGCTCAAAAAGGAGAAGAGAGACGGCAGAGCATATTCTGGCTTGCAGATCCCATTTGAGATGTCTCAGCCGGAGCTGGAGGATGCTCTGATGCCAGATGCCAAGACGGGTAATCTGGCTACTGCTTTGACGCAAATTCAGGATGTTTCCATCTTCTCGTCGTATATTCGCGATATGGTGGACCTGTACCAGAAGTGCGACGACACCACGCAGTTCAATATTAACTCGCAGAGCGACAACATGCTGTTGATTTTTGCGCCAACAAACGAGGCCATTACCGAGCTTTCTGAGAAGCCGTGGCAGTTCCCAAGACCGGTGACCAGGGAGTCGGACGCTAACGACGAGGCGTCGAGCTACAACCTCAGGCATTTTGTGGAGTCGCACGTGGTCCAGGGCTCGAACGTGGCAGACTTTGCCAAGGAGGAGGTTGTTTTGAAGTCGCTGAACGGCAACCGGATCCATCTGCGCAACACCGACACCGGTTTCGAGCTTTCGTTGGAAGACGTGGACGAGTGGCTGCCGATCCGCAAGATCGAGCTCACCGCGAACGGCGCGCTCCTGCTCATCGACAAAACCCTATCGTGGCCGCACAGAGGCTAGTTTTCGCAGTTTAGGTTATGGTTTTATGCAAATGATTATGCATATTGATATACAAGTAAAAATTACGCCGCCGCCGCGACGCGAGTGCACAGATCCTCGAACAGCGTTTCCTTTCTGCGGAGCTTGTCCGCAGAGACCTTGCTCTGTGCTGCGAGCTTGAACGCGCCCGTGCCGATGTTCATCGTCTGGCCCAGAATAATTCTTTCGGAAACACCTTCCACCAGATCTTTTTTCATGTAGAACGCCGCGTCGAACAGGTGGTCGGTGGTTTTCTCGAACGAGGCCAGCTGCAGCACCGAGTCGCGCATCTTGGCGAGCCCGAACCGCGTGATTCCCAGCACCTCGCCCTTGTACGTCATCACGTCGCCGAGCAGCTGGATGTGGCGCGGGTCGACGGCCATGCCGTGCGAGCCCATGGTGTAGTCGATCTCGGAGATGATGCTGGCGCGCGCGGCCTCGATGCCGAGCACGTCGAAGATCTCCAGCACGTGGTTCGTCTTGGTTCTGTGCGCCACCACGCCGTCCGTCGCCATCACCGCCTTGAGCCCGTAGCCTTCCACCAGCAGCTCCTTCTTGCCGTCGTCCTTGACGTTGATCACCGCGCGCGAGATGTCCGGCAGACCTTTCACGACGACCTTGGTGAGCACGCGCTTCAGCTGCTGCATGCGGAAAAACAGCGCCGTGCGCTCGAGCCGCTCGCGCTCGTCGGCGTCCTTGACCACCGACGACTCGCGCGACGACGCCGCGCGCGCGGCCTTGCCTGCGTCGGCGCCCGTCTCCGACACAAACACCTGGATCTTGTTTTTGCCGACAATGGCCACGTCGCCGCGCGAGATCTTGAGCTTTGGCGCGTCCACGATCGCCGTCGCGATCTGGTCGATCGTCAGCTCCAGCTGCAGCCGCTCGATCGTGCGCAGGTCGATCTTCACCTGAAGGAACGCCTGGTTCTCCTTGTACACGTCCTCAATGAAGAACGCCACGTCCTCGAGGATCGTCTTCTCGATGCGGCCCTTCACCACGCGCGCCGCACGCTCGTCCTCGTCGTTGACCAGCACCGCGTTGATGATCGGCGTCGAGATCACCTTCGACGCGTTGATGATCTCCTTGATCCGCGGCACTCCGAGCGTCACGTTCATCGACGCGACGCCCGCAAAGTGGAACGTCTTGAGCGTCATCTGCGTGCCCGGCTCGCCGATCGAGTGCGCGCCGATCGCCCCCACCGCCGTGCCGGGCTCCACCTTCGCTTTCAGGTACTTGTGCAGACACAGCCGCAGGAACTCGCGGATCATGCTCTCCGACACCTTCGCCAGCTGCGTCACCACGCGCTCCCGCTCCGGGTCCGTCGCGGGCTGGGCGTCGCGGCCCTCAGGGGCCTCCGGCGTTTCCAACAGCGGGTCCAGGCCGCGCTGTTCCCGCAGCCTGGCGATACTCCGGCACTTCGACTCGATGTACGCCCTGATGGAGCTGTAGAAGTCGCGCTCGGCATCGTGCCGGTCGACGTACTCGATCCGCTCGGCGTCGCGTCCTGCCACGGGCCGCCCCCGGTTGTCCACGCGCACGAGCCGGTCGCTGAGCGGCCGCAGCACCGAGTCCGCGATCCGCAGCGCCTCGTACGGATACAGCCCCCTCTCGCGGTGGTCCAAAGTCACGTTGAACGCGTGGTCCCACGTGCGGTTGAAGTTGACCGGGCGCGCGTCGCCCTCCATGTCGAACGGGTCGAGCCCGTCGCCGCCGTAGTTGAACTGCACAATGCCGTTGCTCGAGTTGCGCACGGTCTCGTCGTAGCCGGCACTCAGGTCCTCCATCGACTTCATCAGCCGCCGCGAGGTGTAGCCCGTCTCGGCCGTCTTGACGGCCGTGTCGACGAGCCCCTCTCTGCCAGAGATGGCGTGGAACAGGAACTCCGGCGGACTCAGCCCTGAGAAGAAGGAGTTGCGCACAAACCCTTTGGACTGCGGCGACTTCGAGTTCTTGAGGAAATGCGGCAGCGACCGGTCCTGGAACCCGTCCGGCACCCGGTGGCCAGAGATGATCTGCTGCCCAACAACGGCCACCATCTGCGACACGTTCAGCGTCGAGCCCTTGGACCCGCACGTCGCCATGATCAGCGGCGCGTTCGACTTGTCGAGCTCCTTGATACACACCTCGCCGACCTCCTCCCGCACCTTCGACAGCAGCCCGCCGATCTTGGCCTCCAGCGTCTGCTCCTCGTTGCAGCCCGGCTGCGTCTCGAGCTTGCCCGTCTTGAACAGCGTGATCAGCTCGTCGCACTTGCGGTACGCCATTTCCACCAGCTCCTCCTTCCTGTTCTTCAGGTTCTCGCCCGGCGTCACGTCGTTGATGCCGATCGAGAAGCCCCGGTTGCCCAGATACCGCGCGCACAGCTTGGCCATCCTGTTCATCGCGTTGGCCGCCTCGTCGGCCCCGTAGTCGCGCAAAATCGTGTAGAAGACTGAGTGTTTCTTCCCGTCCCCGAGCGTCGACTTGTCCATCACGCCCGACAAGATCTGCGAGTTGCGGATCACCACAAACCCGTCGTTTGGCGACATCTCGCTCGGCATGCCTGCCGGCGGTGGCACAAACGTCTTATTCTTCGCGTCCAGGTTGATCAAAACCTTGGACTGTCTGTTGGGCCGGATTAGCAGACTGAACAGCTGCTTGCCCGTCCACATGAACGCCGGCTTGAAGATCGCCGGGGGCGGGATGTCCACGTGCAGCGCGCCATCAGACATCATCGCCAGCATCTGCGTGAACGTGGCGCGGTCGTAGAACGAGTCCTTGTTCGAGATCAGGTACGAGCCCGTGATGAAGTCCTGTGTCGCCGCGATGATCGGCTCGCCCGACTTGGGCGTCAGCAGGTTGTTCTTCACGCCCATCAGGTTCATGGCCTCTGCGCGCGCCTCCTCCGTCTGCGGAACGTGTAGGTTCATCTCGTCTCCATCGAAATCCGCGTTGTAGGGTGTGCAGACGCACTCGTTCAGCCGGAACGTCCGCCACGGCCGGATCTTGGCGAAATGCGACATGATCGACAGTCTGTGCAGCGACGGCTGTCTGTTGAACAGCACAACGTCGCCGTCCTCGATGTGTCTCTCCACCACGTCGCCCACGGCCAGCTGTTTGGACAGCTTATTGCGGTCGCCGTACCGCAGGTTCCGCTTCACGTCCTCGTGCTTCTTCACCAGGTAGTTGGCTCCCGGGTGCACATCGGGGCCGTTGATGATCAACGCCTGCAACTTGGCCTTGTTGTAGCGCGTCACGCGCTCAGGGTACGTCAGGACTTTGGCCACGCGGTCCGGAACGGCCACCTCGTCGATGCGCAGGTTCGGGTCCGGACTGATCACGGTGCGGCCTGAAAAGTCCACTCTCTTTCCCGACAAATTGCCCCTGAACCGGCCCTGCTTGCCCTTGAGCCGCTGGCACAGGCCCCTGATGGGCTTGGCAGACTTGGTGCTCGTGCCACCAGAAAGAGCCGACGGAGACGCCGAGTCCGAGTTGATATACATGGCCACCGCCAGCTGCAGGTAGTCCCACTGTTCCATTAGCGAATTGATCGAAATGCCCTTCTCGATGCCTGCCCGGATCATCGACGACGTCCACACGATCTCGGTCAGCTTCACCGTCAGGTCGTCCTCGTTCGACGTGTTGGTGTCGGTCATCACCACAGACGGCCGGATGCACACGGGCGGCGCAGGCAGGTACCGCCACAGATACATTTCTGGCCGCCCGCCCTTGGACGGGTCGATTCCCAGCAGCTCACAGTCGCTCGTGTCCACCTGTTTAAACAAATTCAGCACCTTGAGCGGGTTGAGGTCGTCGAAGCACCGCTTGAAAAATTTCTCCAGATCAGGGTTCTCGTCAAAAAGATCCTCGAAATCCTCGTCCCATTGCAGCTTCTCGTCCGCGCCCTTCTTGCCAACCCATCGGAACGTGTCGTGGATGATCTTGAGCGCGGCAGGACCCGCTCCGGCAGCGGCTTTCTTGACCACGCCGTTCAGTGCGCCGCACCGCAGACACCTGCGCTGTTTCTTGGCCTGGTCGAGCAGTTTCTTGAGGATCTTCATACGCCGCAGGTTGTCAAGACCGGGCCGTCTGAGGTCGTTCAAAAACTGCCGTTTGCTGGCCTCGTCCAGCAGCACCGCAGAGCAGGTCTTGCAGATCGTCTGCAACACCTGGATGATCGACTTGAAGTAGCCCACGTGGAAAACGGGCAGCGCAAGCTTGATGTGGCCGAAATGGCCGTGGCATGTGTTCAGATTGCCGTGACAGGTGGCGCACTCGCCGCTCTTGGACGAAATACCCATCTTGGTGTCCAGGGCGCCGTTCGCCACAGGAGCACGGCCGTGGTCCAGATCAAACAGGTTGCGCGTGGCCACCTCCACCTCGCTCTGGGCAACTATCTCTGCTGCCGATAACGCGCCAAACTCGATCCCAGAAATGCATTTGGGCGTGAAATCAACAACAGTTTCTTTCATGCGTTTTATATGGATCTGGTAAAATTTTTTTAGTGCAGATTCTGGTGCTTTTAATATGGAAGCACAAACTCGTAGATTTTAGTTCAGCTATTTAGTAGGGCGGAAACCGCTCCTGCATCTCGAACACCGCCTTTTCAAAGCCCTTCTTGTCCAACAGCATCAAGCTCAGCTTCGGATCCACCCCGAAGTCGTTGAACACTCTTCTGGAGTCGGCCTCGATCGTCTTGTTGGTGTAGTCAAAGTAGCCGTGGTGCTGCGCGTGCTTCTCCAGCACCTCGTCCTCGTAGTGGAAGTAGTCAAGCGTCTCGGCGGGCACTTCGGCTTTCTTCGATTTTTTGGACGACGGAGCGTCCTCCATCTCCTGATCTACTGTCGACGTAACCAATTTGTACACTCTCGAAGGAACGAGATAGAAATCGAAATTGTATTCGGTAGCAGCATTTTCGGCCTTCTCAATTTCTTCTATCAGCATCTTGTACATTGGAGGCACGGTTTCCACAGGCATGTTGATGAGTCTCTCGCTCACGACAAGTCCCACGCGCGACTTCGAACTTCCCGACAACAGCTGCCGAAGAACAATGTTGAATTGTGGTTTCTTGTTGGTCTTTTCCAGCAGGTACTTCACCAGCGCTTTGATCGAAGCGGCTTCCAGATTATCGGTCAGGTTGATCACACTGAGCACTGAAAAAGGATCCGACTCCTTGCCGTCGGTCTTAATAGTCGAACCCGCATGGCCCTCGGTCAGCACCATGTCTGCTATTTCGGACAGCGAGAAAAAAGCCGAGTCTTCTCCAAACAATTGTCTCAGGAAGTTCTTTGTAGCATGGAAGTCGACCTTTGGATTTAGGTCGAAAAAGTCAAAGTCCACGTTGATCATCTCCTCTGCGCCTTCCTCTTCCTCTTCCACTTCTTCGTCTGTCGACGAGACGTCGATATCCGACAAGTCGTCGTTTTCCAACTCCTTTTGCGATCTTTTGGACATGCTTACGGGGACAAACTAATTTTTTCGATTTTTTTGATTATTTTTTTATAATTTTTTTTGAGCCGCATGTCTCTGCTAGGATACGCCAGTGACTCTGACGACGATGCCAACTTGCAATTGAGGCTTGCCTACGCACCTGCTATAGAGAGCCGAAAGGAACCAGAAACTCAGAAACCAAACGGAAAACGGACAGTCACAGGTTTTATTGAGACAGAAATGATGGACAGCTTACAGTTCCAGAGAAATAAAAGATTATACGAACAGGGCCCACAAGAGCCAGAAAACGGACAATTCAAGTCCCGCAAACAGCGTGCAAAGGAATTGAAAAACCGCCGTAAGAGTAAAGGTGATCCAGGCGAGTTGGACGGAGAAAATGCGTACAGAGGTCCGTGGGCCAGCTATAGCGAGAGCGAAGGCGATGCTGAACTAGAGCCCGAAGAAGCGGAGGCGGCATCGGAAGCCGCATCCGGGAGCGAGCCAGAGGAGGAACAGACTGTTGAAGAGACCACCACGTTCTACGGTGGCTCGCAATATGACTATCTCGGGAGAACGTATATGCACGTTCCCAACGACGTGGAAACTAACTTACACAAGGAGCCAGGAAGCCAGCGGTGCTACGTGCCGAAAACGAAAATACACACATTTGCCGGACACGCGCGAGGTGTCCAATGTCTGCAGTTCTTTCCTAATAGTGGCCACTTGCTGCTTACTTGTGGAAACGACTCGTCAATCAAATTATGGGATGTATATCATAAACGGAAACTGCTCAGAGGATTCTATGGACACATGAAGCCCGTGAAATGCGTCGCATTCAATTCCTCGGGGTCTCACTTTTTGAGTTGCTCGTATGATGAAACAGTCAAGCTATGGAACACAGAGACCGGTGAGTGCGAATTCAAGACAAAATTGGATGGCATTCCCAACGTTGTCAGATTCATCCCCGACAATGATAACGAGTTTTTGGTTGGCATGTCCAATAAAAGAATCGACCATTACGATATGACAACTGGCGACGTGATCCAGTCGTACGAGCACCACACAGACGCGGTCAACAGTATCGAATTCATCAACTATGGGGAAAATTTTGTGTCCTCGTCGAGCGACAAGTCGCTGCGAATCTGGGAGGTCAAAGTCAACATGCCTGTGAAACTCATAGCCGACCCCAAACAATTCTCCATGCCATATTTGAAAGTTCATCCTAAAGGGTTTGCGTTTGTCGCCCAATCTTCCGACAACACCATCCAAACATTCGCAGCCAGCGCCGAAGAAAAGTTCAAGCGAAACAGAGACAAGACGTTCACTGGTCACAACTCAGCCAATTACTCCATCGGATTACAGTTCACGCCAGACGGGAGAACGCTGATGAGCGGCGACTCGCACGGATTTGCATTCTTTTGGGACTGGAGGTCCACAGAGCTGATCTCCAAACTCAAGGTCAGCTCCAAGCCGATAACCTGCATCGATTCACATCCCCAAGAAAGCAGCATGGTGGCCCTCGCAGGAGCCGACGGGAAGGTGTATTTGTACAATTGATGTGTAATTTCCTCATGCATAGAACGAAACAGACTTGTTCTTTCTCGACTGCACTTCGCTGATACCTTCCACGAAGTCCTCGTGCTTAATGACAGATTGTCCGTTTCTCAATGCAATCATTCCTGCCTCCACAGTCACGGCCTTCAGCTGTGCACCGTTAAATTCGTCTGTAGATCTGGCCAGTTCTTGCCAGTTGACGTTTTCGTCACAGGTCATCTTTCTTGCGTGAATTTGAAGGATCTGGGCTCTGGCCTCCTCCGAAGGCAGCGGGAACTCGATCTTCCGGTCCAGTCTACCAGATCTCAACAAGGCAGGGTCCAAAGTATCCACTCTGTTCGTGGCAGCTAAGACCTTGACTCTGTCGTCGGAGTCGAAACCGTCCAGCTGATTGAGCAACTCCAACATGGTTCTCTGCACTTCTCTATCACCCGACTTGTCAGAGTCGAATCTCTTAGTTCCAATGGCGTCCAGCTCATCGATGAAAATGATAGTTGGAGATTTCTCTTTGGCCAGCTCGAACGCATCCCGCACCAGCTTGGCTCCGTCACCAATAAACATCTGAACCAGCTGGGGAGCAGCCAGTTTCAGAAATGTAGCATTCGACTGTGCGGCACATGCTCTGGCAAGCAATGTTTTGCCTGTTCCTGGAGGGCCATACATTAAGGCGCCCTTAGGAGGCTTTATTCCTAGGTTCTTGAACTTCTCAGCCTGCTGCATCGGCAGCACAACCGCCTCAACTAGCTCCTCAACCTGCTTATCCAGTCCTCCGATGTCCGCGTAAGTTTCAGTAGGTTTTTCGTCCACCTCCATGGCTTTCACTCTGGAGTCGTATTCTGCAGGCAATTGATCTAGGATCAGATACGAGTCCTTATTGACGCCGACCAGGTCACCAGGCTTCAATTTCTCTGGCTCAACCAGCCCGATCAGCGGCAGAAAAACAGTTTGTCTAGTGGATGTCTTGATAACGGCGGACTTACCGACTCTGGCAGCGTCCAGATCGACGTTGGCGCCTTCCTCGTTGGCTTCCGCTTCGGCCTCCATATCCAAAAGCTCGACCACGTTTCCCACCAAGTACGGGAGCTGCTTGTTATTCTTGATTTTCAGCTTGTTGTCCTCGATCTTTTGAAGCATGGCGATTTTCTCGTGCTGGAGACGAAGCAGCTCCGATCTGAACAAACGGATCTCGTTCTCCATCATTTTCGTTCTATTAATAATGTCGCCCGTCGACAAGTTCAAGATCTCTTGGTCGATCTCCAATTGCGGGTCATTCTCCAGCTCCTCCAGTGTCGACATGTTGGCAAATATTGTGAAAATATTATTTTCTTCGCCACCCATGTATGGTCTCGCGTCGATCGACGCATACTGATGTCAACGAGCCCTTACAACCCATACCGGTTGCAATGGGCCACCAACCTCTACTGACCACTACTACTGTATCTTGTGATAGCATGAATGCAAGTCTTCAGGGTCTTTCCTATATAGCTTTGGCCTGGTAAAACAAACCTTTATTTCTTCAACTCAGCACTGCTCGTTAGTAATCGTCTTTCAGCTCTGACTTACCTCAACTTCTTGGTGAAATCATCCTCATTGTCGTCATCGTCCCAGCTCTCGTCCCACAAATGGTCTTGCTGGGTTGCTCCAAGCGACTTTTCGTCCGTCCAGTCTGGTTGTTAGTCTAATACAAATCCGTGCCCCATACTTACCGTCTTCGGGAAAATCTTCAAATTCATCATCCTCTTCCAGAGTCTTGACAGACTTGGATGGCTCCTTGACGGTTTCTGCTTCAGACATGTGCGATCTATTAATTCTCGTCTGTTTGTCACCTAACAAATAAATTTAGATATCAAAAATCTTTCTATTATTTTTGCCCCTCCATTTATGACCTCTCCTTATGTCTGAGCCCAATATTCGTGCATCGTTTGCAGATAACCGCCGTCCACTCTCCAAAACAAAGGGACAACTGCTTAAAATGCCGCCGGTGATCACATCCGCGCTGTATACGGCATTCCCGTTTATCTACATACTGGATAAGGTACTTGCCTTTTTGACCTGGACAAACGATGATCCTTATACCAATTTTATTGTCATTGCAATATACATCACGGTGGTCAAGTACTGGACGGTAGTGGCGTGCACTGTATTGCCGACGATCATAGCTTTGGGCACATGTGCTATGCTGTGGTTCCTTAAGACCACCATCGAGGACTTGCGGTCGGAGGCGGCTCCTCCCACAATCGAGGAAATTATCGACACGCTTATCAACATGCAGGCACGGTTTAGCTACTTTGTAGAACCGTTCAGCTATTTCGGGTCCTTGTCCGGTTCGGACTATTTCAACATAGGATTTAGCCTTATTGCTATCACCCCTTGCTACATCTGGCTAATGACCCGAATTTTCACAGTCAGATCATTTTTGCTTGTCTTTGGCGTCATATGGCTGTCCTTCCACTCGTCTTGGTCAGTTGCAACCCGACATCTGCTGTGGAGAAGCATCGTGATTCGGAAAATCCTTACATTTGCGACTGGTCTTAAATTCTCGTTAGTCGATAAAAACATTGAACTGACTGTGCTGAATGACTTCCAAATTTCAAATGTAGGCACAGGAAAGATTGTTGAAATCCATATCCTCCAAAATCAGCGAAGGTGGCTCGGAGTCGGTTGGTCCAACACCCTGCTTCCCTTCGAACGCGGACCTTTCACCACTGAGAATTTAGAGAAGTCGTGGAACTCTCTTGAAAGCTTCCAACTCCGAGAGATCACACAGGCAGCCTGCCGGTGGAGATGGCTGGACGCGAATTGGAAAACAGATAACTCTTTTGCCCCAGGCGAGGGCTGGATCTATTACAACAACAGTTGGAAAGACCCCTCAACCAAAGACTCGCTCACCAGTTTCACACGCACCAAACGCTGGATAAGGCGCGCACTTGTCATCGTCGAGGACGACGAAACCGCCTAGACGAGTTGCCTCTGCTACGCGGTGTAGAGATGTTGGTGTAGAGATGTGCTGTGGTTGCGATCGTTCCGCACCCAATTTCTACAGAAAATTTTCGACAAAAAGTTGTCGTGTATAGAGGAGGCTGGGGAACCCATTCATTGAGCAGCAAAACAGGGAAAATTAGTTGAGAATCGGTACATATAGCGCGCCTAGTATACTGATCGCACCGACAACTAGTTGTGATAACCGAAAAACGACTTTTTCCCTTGGTTTTTCCGTGTTTTTGAAGTGCCTAGTTCCCCCCAGTGGCGCAAAGGACGACGACAAAATTGGGTGGCGCACACCTAAACATACAGAACAGAATGGCACCGGACATTGTGGAGACCAACGCCGCGGGCTCGAGTGCTTCTTTTTCCATGGACCGGATTCGGCTCGAGGCCATCGAAAGCCGACGTCAGGAATGCACGAAGGCAATCAACGAAAGGAAAAGGAAACTGGCCGAGCTCTACTGCGTCTCACGACTGCCGCTTCTGCCTATATCCAATGACCAAGTGTTACAGATCGAGGACAAGCTGATGTCTTTTCTAGAAAAGAACGATTTAGAAAACGGACACGAGTTCAACATTGCCATTCTATCCCATGAAAACCAGCAGAGACGACTCTCGCCGCCCCAGAATCAGATTCTTACAGAGACATCAGAGGTCAAGGAGCCTGCTGCAAAACGACAAAAAGTGGACGCTCAGGTAAGCCACCGGGAGGTGGCTCCTGTAGACGCACAAAAAAAGATGCAGGGAGTGCCCTTGGCTACTAGGCAACCACAGCCAGGCTCGTCTCTTCAGGAGGGCTCGCTACAATCTTTGATTCACTCCTATGAGCAGGTCCAGCCGCCTAGAAGGAGTGATGAGAAGTCCAAACGTGATCTGGATTATGAGGATCTCAGCTTAGATCAGCTGATGATCATGTTAATGCCCGAACTCAAGCCCCACAAAGTGCCAGAGGCACGCTCTTTGACAGAATTGTATTATCACCAGCAGACGCTGCAGCTACCCAAACTGTTACTCAGAGCTCACAAATCCCTTACCACCGACTCTTATGAAACTGCTCTGGTAGAGGGAAAGATCTCCGTATTGTATTCACGCATGGAGGAATTGAAACGCAAACACAGTTGGTCCCTGAGACAGCCGAAGAAGTTCTTGGATCCTTTTTTGGCTACCGGAAAGAAAACGCATTGGGATTATCTGCTGTCGGAGATGAAGTGGTTGGCTACTGACTTCAAGCAGGAGAGAAGGTTTAAAATGGTTCAATGCTATTATATTGCCCAAGCGGTCAAGGAATATTGGAAATATGGAAAGGTATGTTGTGTGCGAAGAAAACAAGCTCGACTTTTAAGCGATAAAGAGATTGAAGAACGCAACCTGTCGAAAGAACTGGCCCCTATAAACGGTTCTGAGACTACTGAAGTCTCAGAGAAAGTTGAAGAAGAGCCAGTGGAACTTGCCCAAAATACAGAGAACAAAGCGGATAATGCAGCAAACACACAAATCGAGTCGGTCACTGTGAAACCAGAGTCGGAAGAGAATGCAAAGACACAGGAATCGGAAATTAATGTGGAAATGACTAAGGAAGTTATTGTTCACGGCAGTATCGAGTCTGTTAGTAACACAGAAACTTTACTAGAGGAGCAGCCTACTGTTGACCCATCTCATCTGCTTTCTTTCAATGATACCGCATATCCCAGTAAGGAATATGAAGAGGTGAAACGTCACCAGGAAGAAATTCAGCCATTCAAGATGTACGCAGATTTGGACCAGTTCAATAAAACCGAGACAACTGTGATTGAAAGTCTGTCTTCTTACGTTCCATTTAGACAAACTGAGAAGGATCATCTTATCGAACGTTACGAATACGGTCACATCTCTTCGATGCTGCCTCCTGCTGATGAAGAGCCAGATTGGGAAAAGATAGTTTTGAAGAAGAAGAAGGAGACAGAGAAACACAGCGTCCCTTACCAAAAAGGATTATTTTCTCCAGCGTACAGGCGTTTCAACATCCTGAAACCTCCTGCTCCTCCTTCCATTAAAAATTTAGAGCTTCGCATCCCAACTATTTGGCTTCCACAGGACGACAAGTATCTTATCAGGTATGTGACGGACTTCTCATTCAATTGGAACATCATTTCAGCTCATCTGTCTGCTAAACCGACAAGAAGTTATACCTCGAACATCGAGCGGCGCACTCCATGGCAGTGTTTCGAAAGATACATCCAGTTGAATGATAAATTCCAGTTTTCTGATATGAGGGGTCTGTATCCCATGGCTGCCAAAGAGTGGCTGGAGGCAGCACACAAGGTTCAGATCTCCACAAAACGACGGATCTCGCCTCTTGGAGTTGGTATCGAATCTATTCAAAGAGGACATAGACGGCTGAGATGGGGTTCCATGTTTGATGCGATGCGGAAATTGATGAAGAAACGCGAGAATGTTCAAAAGCCTCCTCAGCAACCACGAAAGAACAACTCAGAGGAGAAAAGAACGGATACGCCAACTCCTGAACAACTGTCGAAGCTCAAGTTCGAACGTGATCGGGCAATCCAGGAAGCCTATGCTCAGGGAAGTGGTAATGGAAACTTCACTAGATTGCGTGTTCCGCCGAACGCTCATCAACTGGCAACAGGAGCCGGCAAGTCTCCATTTTCTGCTGACGGCCAAGCCAATGCTGGGTCATCGGCTGCTGCACAGGCGACAATGAATGGAAGACGGCAGTTTTCCAACAAAATGGCTCCTCAGGCCAGTGCTTCTCCCGAAGCCCAACAGGCTCAAATGCGTGCCAGCAGTCCCCAAGTGTACCAGCAACAGGTTAATCAGGGCGGTCTGCAGATGCCGACGGGTCCTGGTGGAGCGCCTCTGCCTGAGCAGGTTCAGCAGCTGATGATTCAGCGTCAACGGCAGATGATGCAGCAACAGCAGCAGCAGGCCAACAATTCCCGACAATCAAGTAGACCGCCCTCTTCGTCCATGAGCTCGCCCGTGTCGACACCAACACCCCAACAGGTTTTACAGACGGCAGGCAATGCGGGATCTCCTTCTCAAGCGTATTCGCAGGTGCAGTTGCAACCGGGTCAGTCTCCGGAGCAGATGCCACAGATGAACATAGCACCATCCCAGGGGTATCCTGTGCAGCATATGGGCAGCAATGCCCCATCTCCCCAGGACATGCATGCCAATGCGCAGCTTTCTCAGCAGCCGCGCCCAGTGTCGCGTGTGAACTTCACCACGTCGCAAGTGTCTGCCATCATAAACCAGATCCAAACTCAAAACCCAAACCTGCCCAAAGAACAGGTGACTCGTTTGGCGGTCGCTTACCTAGCTAACTACCAGCAAAATCAGAATAGAGTTGCGGATCAGACAGGACAGCAGCCTGGAAAACAGCCCCTGGCTCCTTCTAACGGAGGTGCAATTGCTGGACAATTGAACACTCCGACAAAACAAGGCCAGCCTTCTCAGGGGACGCCGCCAGCGCAAGCAGGCCAGCCCTTGACTCCACAGCAGCTCGCCATGTTTGCCAACAACCCTAATCTGACTCCGCAGCAACGCAAGCAGATCCAGGTCCTACGGCAGCATCAGTTGCAACATCATCAGAGAAGGCAGCAGCACGTGCAGCCGCCAGGAGATCCACAAAGTCCTGTGCCGGCAACTCCACAGCCCGTGCAGTCGGCCCCGTCGAATGCGAAGAAATTGAACTCGTCGGCGATTACAACACGGTTCTCGCCCCAGCCAGGTACCAATGTGGTACCGGTGGTGAACCAGCAGTCGCCGTCAGTGCCGTCATCGGCAAACAACAGCTTTGTGTCTTCACCGACAATGAAAAACATGAGATGAAGCGCTTTGTATAATAGTGAATATAGCATAATGCCACTACAATATTTGACGTCTAATTCTATTCTTACAGTCTGTGAAGAACAATTCTGGTTTAGAATGTAATTGTTGCAACGCCGCTTGTTTCCTTGACGGTGCCGTTCTCCTCGTAATCGCACTTGAACTTGATTTTGGTGGAGTTGAAAGGCTCACCATTTTTGTGCTTGATGGTGACCTTTTGGGTCACCGGGCCAGATCCGGGGCCAACAGCCGATCCGGAGGGAGGCAGCATGGTCAAGTCAAAGCTTTTCGTCACAGCAATGGAGAATTTTATTTTCGAGAGCGTTGATAGGGGAGATGTGTTGCTAAACTTGAAGGTCAAGGCCAGAGGTTGTTTCTGGTCAATGACATAATCGATTTTGAGGCTGCCGTCTGTCACCATGGTGGTTGCAGTGCTGGTTTGGCTGGCCATAGAGGCGAAATCAAATTGGAATGGGTCCAAGGCAGCTGGCTGAGCAGCTGGCTGCGAAGGTTGTAGAGATTGTCCCGTGTTCTGCACAGGAGAAGAAAAACCTGACAGGATGTCCACGGAGGGAGACTGCTCCCTGGTGTTGGTGTCGAGCAGATTAATGGCACCAAACCCACCCAAACTTCCAACGCTCTCATTGCCCGTGCTTGTACCCTTTTGAGGCTCAAAGGACAGTCCTCCAAGGTCTCCGAGAAGGTCTGCAATGGCGTCATTTGAAGTTGGAGCTGGAGCGGAGCTACTAGAAGGAGCAGGCGAAGGCTCGTCGTCAAAATCGATAAGGTTAAACCCTGCTCCCGAAACCTTGACTTTTGAAGCGTTGGCCACGTCTCCATCTTTCAAAAGGTCGGCTTTCTGGAGAATCGAGTTGATCTTGTCATTCAGAGAGAGCAAGCGTCCGACCTGCTCCTGATCATCAGACTCTTCCTGGACCAGAACTTGCAGCTTTGGCTGGGCCACTCTCAACGCACTGATCAGCTCAGCAATGGTCTCGTCGGATGGGTCGAACGTTCCTGCGTTTGTGGCATTGTTCAGCATCTCATCCAAAATTTCTGCCTTTCTGCTGACCTTCTCCACGTCCTCGTTCACTCGCTGTCTGGTCTCTTCGAGCGTCTCGTCGTGCTTGAAGCCAGACATGATCTTCATGAGCTCGTTTGCCTCCTTCAAATCTTGCGGTCTGCCTCGTCTGATAAGCTCCTGCAACTTGGCACTCTGTGCGATTCTCTCCTCTCTCTGGATCTCCTCTATCGACTTGAGATTGTCACTTGGGTTGAGGACCGCCGCGTCCTCCTTTTTGACAGCAGGAAACTCGTAGCCCTTACTTCTGAGAAGCCTGTGCATGTCTCTTATGTATCCCAGGTCTTCTTTGTAGCGAGAGGTCTTACAGATCGTCTGGACCCACTCGGCAATGGTACCCAGAATCAGCCTTTGGGTTCGGGTGTATACAGGTGGAGGTCTTTCGGGAAACCTCTTCACCAGTTCGTTCAGAAACTCCTTTCTCGAGATTTGCAGATGAACTGGGTATCCACAATTCTTCACCAAATAATCAAGCAGCTATATCACGTTAGCACTATTGGATGCATCAGAAACAACTTACCGAAAGAGCCAATTCGGAAACCTGCGGGTCTCTGCTGTTGATCAGTTTCACAATTGCCACTGTTGCTTCGCGGGGACTGCGGCGTTAGTCGAGATTGTCTTCGTACTTACAGATTTCCCTGTTTCTCGTTTATCAGGTCGCAAATTTCAAGGTTCAGCGCAGCATTCGGCTCATCCAGTGACGGGCGACACGCGCGATCTGTTATGTTAGCGGCCACTGGCTTTTTGGCACATACGAATTCTCCTGAGCAGCTTGCCGCTAGCTCCTTGTAGAGATGACAATGATGACATGTAGTAGGGACACCAAGAAAAAGAGAAAAGATAATGTGTGGCAAAAAAAACCGTCGCGTCGACTTTTCCGAACTGCTCGCTTCCTGCTCCCTGCGGTAAAATTATCTTGTTCCCGGAACTTTTTATTGTGCATTTGGCGCTATGGGACCCTGAGGGACAGGCTACCACTATGCTCCGTTTTCCTGAAGGCAGGAAATTGCGGAACTCGTGAGTGTAAATTACCTCCGTTGTCTCCGGATACTTGAAGTCTATAGACTGATATCCGAAACACAGTTGATAAGCTATGACACTTGCTACCGTCGTTAAAATACACCCTGCAGATTGCTTCTAAGAGTATTGATATATTTTTCACTGTCTCCTTTATTTGCCCAATTCTCCTTTTTTCGACAATGTCCCAATTGATTAGCCAGCTGCTCCAAAAAAAACAATTCATCAGCAATCGTAGCTACGAGCTGGCGATCCAGCCTTTGGACTACAAGGTGTTCCTCAAACCCGACACAATGGTGCCCATCCGAGGATGTCTTGTTTTGAGGATCAAGAAAAAGCAAATCAATGTCCCCTCGCTCACAGTCCAGTTGATTGGGAAAACACAGCTTGACAAGTCAACAGAGACACAGATCAACCCCAAACGGCAGTGGCACTGCAATTGGATGGAGCAAGGCACGTACTACTTCCCCTTTGAGTTTTTACTGGACGGTAACGTTCCCCAATCTTTCTCACACCACATGGGTAACGTTAGCTATTTCTTGCAGAGCGAGATAATCAACCCTGAATCCACCTTTAAGGTGCAGAAATGCAGGCTATTGCTTACCGTAGTGAGATGTCACATGTGTCCGGAAGTTGAAGACTCAATTGCATTTGGTAACTGGAGAAATCTGCTGATCTATAGAATGTCCGTGAATAACAAGACGATTTATTTGGGAGACTTCATTCGCATCAACTTGAAGCTCGTTCCCCTGCAAGACGACCGCTACAAGATCCATCGAGTCAAGATCAGTCTTGTTCAGCACACACGAAGGGGACTAAAGGTGCACAAGGAAACGGTTCCCTTGTACAACACGGAGCCGCCTGGCAACGACCTCGAATTGCAGCTTCCGGTAGAAGCTAGCTACATTAGATTCAAAAAAAGCAACATCCTGGTGTACCCTTCGACAACGCTCTCTAACACTAAAGGGGTGCTCGAGATATCGCACAAGGTGGAAATAAGCCTGCTGGTGGAGGAGCTTAGCTGCTTGCAAAACTCTCCACTATCTGCCAGCCGCTCTGGATCCTCTAAATCTAGCCAGAACATCGACTACGATTGGGCCATGTCGAATGCTTCGATGATTGACGAAACTGGTACATCGGGGAACAAAAGAATACAGCTTACTATGTCAACGAAATTGCAAGTTCTAAGGCATGAAAGCCATTTGGCAGTCGAGCCTCCCCCAAGTTACAATCATACCCTCAAGTTCCCACCAGATTACTCAATCGGATGCTAATGATATTACTGTTTTATGTGCTCATCCATGAATCCAAGTACAATGTGTCGTCTTTGTTTTCCTCCGTATCTCCCAGAGGGTTCATGACTCTATAAGTGTCACTGATCGAGAAAATCTGGTTGTGCTGAGGAGCAAACACATTGACACCTCTGTAACGCCCACCTCCAGCTTCCAAAACACTTTGCCATGTTGCTTTGTACAGATTGTCCACTTGCACCAGTTTTTCCTCGTATTCCAGCACAGAGCACAACGACCTTATATCCGAAAGACTGAGTTCCACCGATGTGACCCCACTAGCTCCAATAAAACGGCTTATTTCTTCGAGCGAGGGTAGATTATGGTTGTTCGAAACAGGATATGAATACTGTTCGACATCCATTCCCCCTTTCTTGAAACATTTCGGGTATGACTTTGATGCCACGAATCGCCAAATGACAATCAGCAGTGAGTCAATAAAATCTGAGTCGAGCTCGCTATCAGTAAACCAGGGGCCTCCTGTCACTTCAATGGAGGGGGTCAAATGGTATAGCATATATATCTTACGCTGTGGGTATTTGACCGATTTCACAGATTTGATATATGACTGGCTTTCCAAGGACTTGAGACACCTTTGAACCACATGCTGATGGAGATTAGTTTTCGCCTTGATTGTTTTCGTCCATATGCCTTCCCGTCCAGCAGCCTCGATGTAAGAATATACCATTGCTTCGTCGGAGGACATGTTGTTGATTTTCACAGCTTCTGCTTCCGTTATTGGTTGAAACAGCACTTTTCGGTCTTTACTTTCTAGCAATCGCACTATTCCTCTATTGAGCAGTTCCTGAACGCATTTCATCAGTTGCTGATTCGAGTCCATTTTGCTGATCTCGAGCAGTTCCTCCTGGGTGTAGGACGACTGGCCCCTTGCGAGCATACCACGGTGAAGTTTTGTGCATGTCTCAGCAAAGCTTCCATTCGCGTCTGGAACAGAGGACTCTTCTGATTTGACGCTCATTTAGTGATAGTCAAGAATGCTCAAGTTTTTTTAATTTTTTTTATCATATGTATGCAATATGAGACGAATATCATTTCCGAGCGATAACGAGAATGAAGCACCGTCAAAGCCACTACGGCCAATTTTCAAAAGCAGGAAACGCAAGGTTGGCGAGGTACGGCAGAAATCTGCTATGGAGCGCGAGTCGTCGCCACAGCCGGAGGAAGAAGCTGATCTGGACATCAAAGTGATGCGCAAAAGCAGGGTAAAAATGGGAGTTACCAACAACTCTCATGCCCTTAGCACGGAGCGCAAAAGTGCACTGGAAATGCTGCGCCGCTATAACGATTACTCGGTGGAAACGGCCGAAACCGCGGCGGTGGAGGCCCCGACACAAATCCCTGACGAAATGCAAATAAAAGAGCTCAAGGAGCGGCGATACAGAGCCCAACTTGGCCAATTGGAGAGCGCGAAACAGCAGGAGCTGGACGAGGATTACGACTCAGAGCATGAGTTCAAAACGAGACGGGACGTGGACGACGACATGGATTTCGACATTGATCTGGACGATCGACTCGGCGACGGCCGGTTTGCTGTGGGAGCCGGCGAGCAGCGTGTGCAGAGGCTTTTGCGGCAGGAGGAAATCGAGGAAGCACTTTATCAAGCGCAGCTTTCAGAGGATGAGCAAGAGCTAGATTATGAGGCCGAAGTGAGCAGGTTAAAAGAGCATATTAGCAACTTGCAAGCGGCAGAGAACAATGCCGCGGAAAAACAAGCCGCTCTCCAACAAAGGATCGCTGATTTGAGCTTGCAGCGGCGCGAGATCGAAGAACAATTGAACGGTTTATGCTAGTGCCATGACAATAAAAGGTCGATCGACGCGCTTTCCGCATCTGGTAATTCGTCCCAGGTGCGCTTAAAGTGGTCGGTGATCCAAGAAAAAATCTGAAAATTTTGCGTCGTGACTCAAGCTATAAATACTCCACAATCGTCTGCAGTCCGGGATGTCTATGACAAGAGTAATTAAGAGATCATTATCGGGCATGTCTAAAAGTATCAAGCATCTGGTGTCGATCTCCGACCTCAGCACTCCCGAGTTCACCTCTCTGGTCAGCCGGGCCGCGTACCACAAGAAAATATTCAAATCTGGCCAACCGGTGAGCTCCGAGATTAGCGATGCCCTGAAGGGCAAGCTCGTTGCGATGCTCTTCTCCAAGAGATCCACCAGAACCAGAATCTCGACCGAAGGTGCTGCAGTGTACTTCGGCGGACACCCAATGTTTCTGGGCAAGGACGACATCCAGCTTGGTGTGAACGAGTCTTTTTATGACACCACCCGTATTGTGTCGTCAATGACCTCCTGCATCTTTGCCAGAGTGAATTCTCACTCTGAGATCCAGCAATTGTGTGAGCATTCCAGCGTGCCGATCATCAACTCGCTATGCGACACATACCATCCGCTGCAGGCCATTTGTGATATTTTGACAATCAAGGAAGCCTTTGGCGAGACAAAAGGCCTGAAGCTCGCATGGGTCGGCGACGCCAACAACGTCATCAACGACCTGGCTATTGCTGCGCTGAGATCTGGTATCAACGTGTCGGTTGCTGTTCCATGCGGAATTGAAATGAACTCGACCGTCGTCAACGTCGCCCAGACGGTCTCTAAGGAGGCGGGAGCCTCGTTCGAGGTGACAAATGACCCCAAGCACGCCTGCACCGACGCCAACATCATCGTGACAGACACCTTTGTGTCCATGGGCGAGGAGGCACAAAAACAGAAAAAACTACAGCAGTTTTCCGGATTCCAGGTGAACTCGGAGCTGACGAGCCTGGCTGCCCCTAACTGGAAGTTCATGCACTGTCTTCCCCGTCACCAGGAGGAGGTCACGGACGAGGTCTTTTACAGCGACAATTCGATTGTTTTCGAGGAGGGAGAGAACAGATTATATGCTGCGATGGCTGCAATCGAGGCATTTGTCATCAAGAAGGAGCTGGCGTAATGAAAAAATAAATCAAATAAAGTCTGTAATTAATTTATTTTCTTGTTTACATGGCATGGCACCCGACGTTTTGGTACTTTCCAAAGTAAACGACCTTTTACGCGAGGAGGACGACCTCGAGCGCATCGAGCTGTTGCGTAATGACCTGAAGAAAGAGAGAGCGTTAGTCGGGTCGCAATTGAAGATCGAGTGCGACAAAAGAATCGCCATCATTACTGCCGTCCTGGAGAACCTCCAGGCGTCCAGCAAAGACCTGAAAAACTTGAAGGACAATCTCAGCAAGGTCGAGAGCCTCAGACAGCAGTCTATCTCAAATATCAACAAATACGAGCTCTTCGACAAGTCGTCGGTGGTGTACTCGAATTTTGAGAAAGTTGTGGCCACATACAACAACTTCGTCCAATTGGAACAGCGTCTTGCATACGTCGACCAGTTGCTCGACAAGGAGCTTCCGGAAAACGACTATTTTCCGGAAGACTCTCCGGCTGAAAGTCTTCTGCCCATCCACTACGAGCTGAACAGACTACGAGACTTCAAGGACGAGCTCATGCACCTGTCGGAAACAAGTCGCGCGGGCCTGCGTTCGATTGTGGTGCAGTCATTTTTGCGCCTCGATGGCGTTGTTGCTCGTTTTGAGCATCTGCTGCGGCTCATAGTCGACAACTTTGTGAGCATCATTGGGTGTTCCAACTTTGGCCTCATAGTGAAACTGGTGAAAATCCTCGAGTTCGAGGAAAGGGAGGACCTCAGACTCGCTCTGATGAACCATCTCATCAGCCAGTCGAAAAGCAAGGACGAGATGGCTTTCAGCAGGCTGGCCACCTACGTCAAGCGCACTGCTCCGCGCAACTACAAGAACCTAGTGTACGGGTTTTTCCGCGAGTCCATCGAGACGAGTTTCGAGGCCATTGTGCAGGGCTCAGACCCGAACGAGGTGCTTTCGATCATCGAGGAGAACTACTATGAGATTCTTGTGGCGTACAAGGTGGGGTCGGAGCGCGGGTTTCCTGCGAGCTGGAAGTTTTTCAACAAGATTTTGGAATGGTACCAGAACAGTCTACGTGCTGTTGTGAAGCGCATAGTGGCGGACCCGACGCTGCCCTCGTCGTATATCGTTCGTGTACTCACTTTTGATTACGACAATGCGCAGGCTATCAGAGAAAAGTTTGGGTTTACCAAGAAACAGGTCGAGCCGTACATGTTGCTCAGTACGGACGAGCGCAAGCGGCTGCTTAACGAGTGTCTGGAATTCAATGTCAAGAAAACCCGCGAATGGGCTGAGAACGCTTTTGGTCCAGCGCTGAAGCTTTTCAGCACCATGGAGAAGGAGCCGTCCGACTCGTCTTCTGAAAAGCTGGGGATCGAGATGGCGCAGATTTTGATCGAGATCCTGCGGTCCAACATGAACACCTTGCTCGACGCGGGAGACAGCCCGATCCTGATAGAGTACTTGCAATTTTTCTGTGCGCACTTTCTGCGACAGTTCTACGATAGATGGATCGAGGCGCTGGAGAACGGCGCGCAGCAGTGGAACGCTGCTGCCGAAGCCCCGGACAACGAAAACATCGGCTGGCTTCCTCGGTACGTCACAATCCTGGCAAACGACTGTGTTCGACTGGTCAATGGGCTTGAAAATCAATTCAAAGAGGTCGAGCAGATGGTGCACTCGAAGTTCCACCCCCAGCTAAAGAGCATTCTTTCGCGGGGCACGCAGCATGTTCTGAATCTCGGAACCGAGTGTTTGGTCAAACTCAACGGGTTCATTGTGGTCGAGTACGACCCGTACTTGAGCGAGGTGTTCACCAAAAGATGGTACAAGAGCGACGAGATGGTGACGACGTCGCTGCAGATCGTCCACTCCTATATGGTTCCGCTCAAGGAATACCTGGACGCAGAGTTGTTTGAGTCGCTATTCGAGCTCGTGTACGACACGTACTTGTTGCACTATCTACAGGCACTCAACGCCAAAAACAAGATCGACACCAAGAAGTTCGAGTCGGTCATGGAGCGCGACGGACACCTAATCAACACGCAGTTTTCCAACTACGTCGAGAATACTCAGATCATCGAGGACCACGTCTACATTTTCGACATCCTCATTTACCTCGCCACGTTTGAGAACGAGCAGCAGTACATAGACGCATGGCCAGGGTATTTGGAGGTATTCAACGACTTGCCGGTCGACTTTTTGAGAGTCGTCCTGGAATGCAAACGGCTCAAAGACAGCAGGATCAAATTTATTGTCGGGGAATGCATGCACATCTCGAAGCTCTACAAACCCGAGAACTTCACGCCAACGTTCATGTCCAACTTTAAAGCAAAATAGCCATGACTCTTATTTATTCTCGCCGTAGAAAAACTATGGTCACCACCAGCCATCCGTTGTCCAGCTCTTTTTTCAGCGTAGCCGTGCCGTCCGTGGAACTGTTCCACGCGGCACCGAAAAAGGACTGCACGCCGCAATCGGCCTCCTTGGAATCGAACAGGTGCGCGTTCACAACATACTTGTACTTGGAAGATGTTTGCGTCAGCTTGGCCAGCACATTCTCAACGTATTCGGGAACATCGCCCTTAAAAAGCGTGTCCAGCTGCTCCGCTAGCTCTGCTTTGGTCACCGGCTGAAGTTAGCGCAAAACGCCTCGCAAACTTACCAGTTTGTCGCCGTTGAGTAGATCCACCTCCAACGCAGACATGCCATCTCTGCACCGTAAAAATTGTCAAATACCTGCCATGTGTGATTACGTCAGCACGTCAGCTGGCATATCTACGCACGTGCGATAACAATAAATTTACTGCTGCTCGGACAGAATTCTTCTTCATGTCTTCGGCACCGCTTCTACAAGCTAGTAAGTATGGGCGATCGCAGTTTGCCGCATCGTGACCGCTCTAACACACAGCTCCCGGCAAGCGAATTGCTCTGCCTACCAGGGTCGAACCTAAGGTGTTTTTCGCCAACGAGAGAACATTCCTCTCGTGGCTGAACCTCACCGTGGTTCTTGGATCGCTGGCCATCGGTCTTCTCAACTTTGGGGATAAAGTGGGAAGAATCTCGGCCTCGCTATTTACGCTGATTGCCATGGGCACCATGGTTTATGCGCTGGTCACGTACCATTGGAGAGCAGCTGCCATCAGAAGACGCGGGTCTGGGCCTTACGACGATCGGTTCGGCCCTACGATGCTTTGTTTCTTCCTGCTAATTGCTGTGATTGTGAACTTTGCGCTGAGAATAAGGGCATAGGGTAGCAGCAGTGAGCGGCTACAGCTGTGGACCGCAACAGTAACGAAATAGATTAATAGCAAAAGTACGTGTAACGCAGCAAACTGGTCTTTAAGGAACACGGTTCGATGTGAGTCGCTGCCGGGCACAGAGGTGCCTAATCTATAGCCTGTCAGCTTAATTCTAAGGCCCCTGCTGATGGAAATGGCGAGACGTGTGACTGTCTGTCACACCTCGAGCCGACACCTCGCGCCATTTGATTTTTGTAAAGTTTTTCAGACGAAAAAAATTAGTATCTTGAACAAAATGGTAAGTAGACAGAATGGGCTCGAAACTAACATCGCAGTCTGACGCTATCACCATCAGAACCAGAAAGGTCATCACCAACCCACTGTTGAACAGAAGACAATTTGTCATCGATGTCATCCACCCAAACAGAGCCAACGTTTCCAAGGACGAGCTGAGAGACCAACTGGCTGCTCTTTACAAAGTTGAGAAGGACTCTGTCTCTGTGTTTGGCTTCAGAACCGCTTTCGGTGGTGGAAAGTCGACCGGTTTCGGTCTCGTCTACAACTCTGTTGCCGATGCTAAGAAATTCGAACCAGCTTACAGACTTGTCAGATACGGTCTTGCCCAGAAGGTTGAGAAGGCTTCCAGACAACAAAGAAAACAGAAGAAGAACAGAGGTAAGAAGATCTTCGGTACTGAGAGAAAGGCCCAGAAGAAGGCCGCTAAGAGAAATGCTGATTAGAGAGATGTAATTTAAAGATTGAGGTTAGCAGAGCGTACTTTGCGTAAATAAGTAGTGTTTAAACCTTTTGCTAAGATTCTCTACATCCGTCCTTTCTTTTCCTTCAAGGTCTTGACTTGCTCCTCGAGCGTCTTCAGCTCGTTCTGCAGAGTAGCCAGATCGTGGTTCAGTCTGTTTTTCTCTGTGTGAATATTCTTTTTCCACTGCTTGAACCGTTGGTCTTCGTTTCTTAGCTGCTCGGCAAAATAGCGCTTGATGCGCTTCTCCTCCTCCAAGAACTTCGGATTGCTCGAGAACCGGTCCAGCTTCTTGTCCAGGGCCGCCCTGCTGTCAGAGTCGCTCTGAGTGCCGTCCTGCATCTTGATGGTGCGGAAAGTCTCGTAGTGCAGCTCGTTGGTGGACAAAATCAGGTCCAGCATGTTAGTTCTCAGAAGCAGGCTTCTCAGCTTTCTGAAGTCGCAGTGCTGGTCGTTTTCGACGTCCACGAAACCCCACGGATACTTTCTGCCCTTCACGTAAGTACCATCCACCTCAAACTCCTCCTCGGAGCCGATCACCGCAAACGGCATGGACTCGATCAGCTGCTTGGCGTGTTCCGACGCAGCTTGGTCATCGAGCTCAATTGGCGGCGAGTAGATGCGGATGTCCTGGACCTCGATGATCTCTCTTATCCTCTTCTTGAACTCGAGCATCTCGTTAGGAGTCAGCGTGTCTGCCTTGGCAATCACGGGAATCAGGTTCGCACGCGTGCCCAACCTCTTCATCACCTCGATGTCCAGGGGTTTGAGCGTGTGGCCGGTGGGGCGAATAAAGTAGAGTACGGCATGGACACGTAGGTCTTTTCTGTTGGCACGCACAGGCTGGGTTTCCTGCTTCAAGTAGGAGTGGTGTTGGTCGTCGATGAAGTCAATGATCGGCTGCCACGCGTTCTTGTTGTTGACGTTGTCTCCAAACCCTGGCGTGTCGACAACGTTGAGGTTCAGCTTAAAGTTCTTCTCTTCCAGCTCTGCCCGGACAATGTCGATCTCCACGGTCTTTCTGATCGGGCTGTTCAGTCTATTGCGCAGTTCAGGGTGTGTCTTGAGAGTCGTCTGGAATAATGTGTTGATGAACGTTGTCTTTCCAAGTCCAGATTCGCCAGCAAGCATAATGGTGAACGTGGCCCCTTTCTTCGACACAATCTTGTACCTATTGGGTTAGTCCTGGGAGGCGTTCGCACTTACCGTTGATTAGGCAAATTCGTGATGCCGATCGGCTCAATAGCGGCTTGAGACATGGTTTTCGTTTTGTTGTGTAAATTTGTCGAACGCGTTTTCTACTTTTCCAAATTAATCTACAAACATACGTCCTGCAAGCGGTGTAGGGGTGCACCTGGTGGATTTCCAACCGCAGATAAAATCATCACTCCAATGTCCAAGGTGTTGACGCCCTACATCCGCAAACTGGTGGACAACGCCGCGTCGTTCTCCGTGGACGATTTTGCGGCCGCCCTTCGACTCGTTTTCCAGGGCCAGACCAACGACATCGAGCTCGCATCCTTTCTGACCGCTCTCCGGATCCGCGGTCTGGATTTCGACTCAGAGTACATAGCGACCGCCGTTGAGACCATTTTGCAGTTTTCAGACGTCATTCCGGGTCACACCGTCGACCCAGAAGGCTACATCGACGTCGTCGGCACCGGCGGCGACGGCCAGAACACTTTCAACGTTTCGACGTCGGCTGCCATCGTCGGCGCCGGAATGGGGCTCAAGGTGAGCAAGCACGGCGGCAAGGCGTCGACGTCGACCTCTGGAGCTGGCGACCTCATGACCAATCTCGGCGTCGAGCTGCACAAGGTCGACTCCAAGAGCGTGCCTGGAATCGTCGCGTCGTCGCGACTGTGTTTCCTCTTCGCTCCTGCTTTCCACCACGGAATGGCCAAGGTGGCCCCCGTGCGCGCCAGTCTCGGCATTCCGACCATTTTCAACATTCTGGGGCCGCTGCTCAACCCAATTCCTATCAAGGCCCGTATCCTCGGCGTCTACACCGAGGCGCTCGGCAGAACCTACTGCGAGGCAGCCGTCAAACTGGACAGAAAGAGCGGCAGAGAGCCGGCAGAAACCATGGTAGTTTTTGGCGAGGTCGTCCTTGACGAAATCGCGCCGATCGGTGCCACCAAAGTCTGGAGATACAATAAAGAGACCGGTAACATCGACGAGTTCAAGCTGCATCCCGCCGATTTCGGTCTGCCCGAACACCCACTGGACCACGTGAGGTCCGGAACACCAAAGGAAAATGCTGAGCTGCTCACAAAGATCCTCAACAACGAACTTGACCTGGCATCGGGAGCACATCCAGTTGTCGATTATATATTGATGAACGCGGGAGCTTTGGCCGTTGTGGGTGGCCTGGCGTCTTCCTGGAAAGCGGGTGTTGAGCTTGCGCGGAAAAGCGTGAGCTCTGGCGCCGCGAAGCAGGCACTGGATGGCTTCGTCAAGGCAGTCAACGATATATAAGACTGTGTGATTATGTAATACACGTATAGAAATTGACGACGCGCAAAAAAATTGAAACATCTGTAAACAAACAAGAGTTTGTTATCATTGGGGTCTGCACTTGCGCGTTGTCGACATGTTTTCGTCCCACAGGCCTCTTGTTAATACCCCCCGAGAAGCTCGACGGGCCCAGAGAGGCACTGGGCTTGAGTTTACGCCGATAGGGGCCAGCAGGAAACCCGTCATGTCTACTAGCGGGTATTTTCCCATGCTGCAACGCAACATGGCGCAGAAAACGAGCGCCGAGAACGGCTCGCCGGTCAAGCGAAGCAGCATAACCAATTCGTCTTTTGATGAGACTTTTGACGTTCTAAATGACGACAATAGAGACACCCGTGTATTTAGGGGAGCAGACATTTTGCCTGATTTCTCAGATAATGAAGAAGAGCCAATAGCGCGCGATGCCAAAGACCACGCGTTTGTGGAGAACGGCAGTAACTTGTTGCGGAAACAGCACGACCAGGTGCAGAGTTTGCAGGAAGAGAACCTGAATCTGCGAATCGAGCTGCTGACTCTGAGAAAGTACTTGGAAGGCCAGCCCAAAGACAAAGTCGACATCATCAATCAGAACGTTGAGCTCAGCCAGGAGAACGTGAGTTTGAGAGATAGAGTGGAAGCTTTGCAACAGCAGTTGCGAGGCGAAGACAAGGAGAATCTGCTGTCACGCAATGAGAAACAACTTCGGCACTACGAGCAGGAAATCGAGAAATATGAGATGCAACTTCGCGACTTTGAGCGTGTGAAACGCGAGCTGGAGGCTGAACGTCAGCGCGCGGACAAGAACGAGGACCGTGCACTTGATCTACAGCAAGAGGTTCACGCATTGATGGACGAGAAAGACCAATTACAAGCTTCGCACGAAAAGCTAGAAGCAGAGCTCCGATCATTGCGCTCGCGGTTGGAGGATTTGCAGGACAATATCGACGACCAGTCGCGCTCAAAAAGCAAGATAGACGACCTAGTGGACAATTTGAACGACGCCAACAAGTTTATCGACGAGATTGGGAACAAGCTTGACGACAAAACGAGCGAAAACGCAGAACTCAAGCGCAAGATTGAGAGTCTGGAATCCAAAAACGAGGATCTTAAGTCAAAGAACCACCGTTTGTCCGAAATCCTGGACCAGCTCAAAGATGAGATTCGTCATCTGGAAGACCGCAGATCAAACAACACTATACGCGAACTTGAAGACGAAAACAGGGACCTACGACAAGAGGTAGAAGAACTGTTCAGCCGCCATCAACAAGATACCAAGACCATCACTAGTCTACAGTTACAGGTCCGCAGGCTGGAGTCAGAGACCGCAGACCACATGGGCAACGAATCGTATATCGATGCCGTTGAGGAAGAGAAAAACACGCTGTACGACAACATCATCAAGCTGAATGAGAAATTGAAGGATGCTGAACACAAATGCAAGCATTTGCAACGCGAGCTGGAGGTCAAAAGTAAAGACCTTGAAACCCGCGAATTGGAGCTGCAACGGCTGAGGAAGCTTGATCGCGATGGCAGCAGAAATGATAATATGATGGATACGGTTGAAGAATTACAGAACAAGCTTGTTGAAGAACGCAATAAGTTTGTCAACGAGATCGACAAGATGGACTCCAAGTTTATCAACGAAAAGAACGAGCTGTATGCCGCGATTGAAAAGCTGCAACGCGAAAAACTCGAGATTGTCGAGGATTTTGAGAAAATTCAACGTGAGTACAACAAACTACTGGACCAGATGCATGATTCGCGCGCAAGCTCTGAGTTACAGGATCTCGAGCGCGACTTCAAAAAATTATCGTTTTCGTATGCCACTAAATGTCAGGAGCTGGAAGATGTTAAGTATGAGTCCGACTCGTTGGTGCGTGATCTAAAGGAAGAGCTCTCTTACAAAGAGACCGAAACGAAAAGATTGCAATCGCGCATCGAGCAAATGACTGCTGAGCTTAATGAGCAAACTGGCTTGCGCAAGTCTGAGAATAAGATTCAGCTCCGCGAGTTGATGGAGGATAAAAGGCTGTTGGAGGAGAAGTATAATGATCTTTTGCGTGAAAACAATCAGCTGAGACGACAGCTGGAGTCGCTAAAGGCCAGGGAAATTTTGGACAAGCCAGATAGCTTTGAGATGAAGGAGCTACGCAGGGAGCGCGATGGGTTGAAAACGGAGCTTTCCATGAAGACGAAAGAGCTGGCCGAGCTGAAATGGAAGCTGGACGATGCTCTGGAGGAGCGGAAACAGCTTGTGGAGTCGATTTCGTCGCTTGATAGTGATCAACAACGTGTCAGCGAGCAAAATTCGAAACTCACCACTGAGCTCGAGGATTTGAAATATAAATTGAGCTCGCGGAGCTCGCAAAAAGAGCTGGAACTCAAGGATATGGAGATCAAGAAGCTTGTGGACGACTACAATGAAATGAAGAACGACCTATTGAACAGGTACGATGCGCTTCATAAAGAGAAGACTGCTCTTGCCCAAAAGTTAGACGAGATGCGTGCTAGTCTCGAGCGCTCCCGGGCTGCGCAAGAAGTGCTCCTGAGCAAGCAGATGAAGAAGACGGAATACCCGCTTTCTCCCGTGAGTCCCCAACGCTCGCCAAAGTCGCAAGACCACTCGTCAGACCCGAGAGTCAACTTGCTGGAGAGCCAGAAACAGCTATTCAAGATCAAGTTGCAACAGTACAAGGACTGCAACTCTGATCTCAGGTTTGTGACGAACTTTCTCACGCGCGAGCTGGAGAGTAAAGAGCGCGTCGTGGCCAGTCTTCAGAAACTGAGCGGAATTAGCAAGGAAAAACCCCAGCTTACCTTCCGCGCTGTGGCCCTGGCTGTGCTTGCCAGCGTGAGGTTCAAGAGTCGACTGGAGCAATTGAAGCAGAAAATGACGGAGGAGCAACACGTGAAGAAGGCAATTGGCCGCTATAAGGAAGAGACAGTAGATGCCTGATGGGCGAAATAGTGTAAATTAGAAGTGTCGAACGCATTATTTAAACTTTTGGGCGTGGGCGTTCATTCGGTTCTGCACCGCTATGAGACGCTGGGTGAAGTCTTTGGTGATCATGTTCAATTGCTCGAGCTTATCGATTTCCAGGTTAATTTGGTCGCAATGGCCCACTAACTGCTTGATCTGCACTAACTTGTCCTGTATCGTCTGGATGTCATGTTCGTGTTCAGTCTTGGAGCGGAGAACGTGCGCTTCGACCCGTTCGCTGAGCTGGCTGGCCTGGTCCTGTATTTTGAACATCAGATAGTCAAAAGCTAGCGATAGTTCTTTGACCTTTAGCGGGTCGTCTTCGTCGTCGTCCTCCCCCTCCTCCAATTCTGTCCCTCGCGGCACAGTGACAGAAATCGAGCCGCCAGAAGGGGCGCCGTGCAAGGAGGCTGCGCGAATGGTCGAGGTGCTCGTTCTTACTGTTATTTGTGAACTCTGGTCATCCATAAAAATATTTGGTGTGAGGAGTCCGTCTTAAATAGAGCTAGCACAAAGAGAGGAGCAGCCCACTTGGCGACACGCAACTTACAAATTATGTACAAGAAATGTTACTTCCCGGTGTGTGCGTGCTCAATTGCTACCAAATAGCAATTAAGCAATGTGGGATCTATGTAGGAGAAGCTTGAAGCACCAGAATAAACTATCGAAAAGAGGCTCATCTGAAACTCGGTGCAAAATTAGAAGCCAGGTCGAGCCCAACATATCTCAGTACATTCCTGCTGCCTTTCGGCACCATGTGCAACACGAATCCCAACGCGTTAGGGACACTCCGGTCCTTCCAATCAGAGGCGGCTCTGTGTTGTTGTTTACGAATCAGCTATTGCACACCTTCCCAATTCGTTCTCAAACATATCCAAAGAGCGTTTTCTGTGGTTGTGCCGCTATTGTGCACGCACATGCTGTTGGGAGAGTCCTCGGCGGGCGGGGGTGCTCTACGGCGAAAATTTCCTCTTTGGGAAACCTGTTTTCGCCGATGGCCAATCACGGTGCGCGCTTCTCGGCGAACACGCCGAGGTGTGCTGGCCAGCTCCTGGGGCAGCTCCAGCTCATATCTGGCGCCTCGCACTATAAATACGCATGCTTGCGCCTGTTTGGAATCATCCAATCCATCATGACTGTCCAATTCGTCCCTCAAGTTAAAGTCCAGACAGACAAAACCAAGTTCTCCGAAAGCGAGCTCGTCACCAACTATGTGTACAAGAACGCCATAGTTGAAAAGGAGGCCAGCGGCTCCTTCGCCGTCAAGCCTTTTGAAGAGCCTTACCAATTCAAGGTTGACCTCAAAGTGCCTAAAGTGGGTGTCATGCTAGTTGGCTTAGGAGGAAACAACGGAACCACGTTTGTCGCTTCCGTCCTTGCCAACAAGAACAAGCTGCAATTCCACACCAAGGAAGGACTGAAGACTGCCAATTACTACGGCTCTGTCACCCAGTCGTCCACCATCAAGCTCGGCATCGACTCCAAGGGCCAGGATGTGTATGCTCCATTCAATTCGCTCCTGCCTATGGTCAACCCTAACGACTTTGTCGTCGGCGGTTGGGACATCAACGGCGACAACCTCGCTGCCGCCATGCAGAAGGCACAGGTCTTGGAGTACGACCTGCAGGAAAAGCTCAAGGACCAGATGAAGGAGATCGTTCCGCTGAAGTCGATCTACTACCCAGACTTCATTGCTGCCAACCAGGATGAAAGAGCGAATAACTGCTTCAACAGAATTAACGGCGAAATTCAGACCACCGGCAAGTGGAGCCATGTCGAGACCATCCGAAAGGATATTCGCAACTTCAAGGCCGCCAACAAGCTCGACAAGGTCATCGTGTTGTGGACGGCCAACACCGAGAGATACGCCGATGTGGTGTCAGGTGTGAACGACACGGCAGAGAATCTGCTCGAGTCGATCAAGAAGGACCACGAGGAGATCGCCCCTAGCACGGTGTTTGCCGTGGCCAGCATTCTGGAGCACGTTCCGTACGTCAACGGAAGTCCGCAGAACACTTTTGTTCCCGGAGTCATTGAGCTTGCCGAGCAGAACCGCACCTACATCGGCGGAGACGACTTTAAGAGCGGCCAGACCAAGCTCAAGTCCGTGCTGGCGCAGTTTTTGGTCGACGCGGGTATCCGGCCAGTTTCCATTGCGTCGTACAACCATCTGGGCAACAACGATGGATACAATCTCTCGTCTCCCAGACAATTCCGGTCCAAGGAGATCTCCAAGGCGTCTGTGGTGGACGACGTGATTGCGTCGAACGAGATTCTGTACAACGACAAGCTGGGCAAGAAGATCGACCACTGCATTGTGATCAAGTACCTGAACGCTGTTGGCGACTCCAAGGTTGCAATGGACGAGTACTATTCCGAGCTGATGCTGGGAGGCCACAACAGAATCAGCATCCACAACGTCTGCGAGGACTCGTTGCTGGCCACACCTCTGATCATCGATTTGCTGGTCATGACCGAGTTTTTGTCCAGAGTTACCTACAAAAAGGACTCTGACGACAAGTATGCTGACATGTACTCTGTGCTGAGCTTCCTGAGCTACTGGCTCAAGGCGCCGCTTACACGGCCTGGCTACCAGGCCATCAACGGGCTCAACAAGCAGAGACAGGGCCTGGACAACTTTTTGCGTATTCTTATTGGTCTCGAGCCCCTGGACGAGCTTAGGTTTGAGGAGAGACTGGTGTAATTTAGCAAGACCTAATTTCAAACTCTTCCAAACACTCAATCACCGTCTTGAGGTTCTCGATGGTATTGTTTGCCGCGACCCTGATCACTCTCTCGGAAACTCCGTCGAAAGTGATGGTGAGGACGTTGTCGTCGACGGTGTACGCAGCCTGCAGCTCGCTGGGCTTGAGCGTCGGGTCAGGCTGCAGCGAGCCCTGTGCGATGCGGGCCTGTTTTGCCGTGCAAAACGGGATCCGGTACGATCTAGACGGTCAGACAACAAACATGTGGTCTACTTACAGCCTGTGAGTAAACACCATGAAGAAAAAAAATTGCACAGCCCGTTTTGAAATAAAACCCGTAGCCTAAATCAATGCCTCCTCGCACCGCAACGATTCTGCAATGATTGCGACTTCCTAATCCAGCCAGCCTTACAAATTCCAGCAACCCAATTGGCCCCACACGCAGCAAGACGAGTCTGTGGTTTTGGCTGTCCCCCGAGCGGGTGAGCAATGCGTGGTGTCGTTCCCCAGACACAATTGGTCATGAGCCAGGCGAGATCTCGTGATTGGAGAGCAACCGTAGCTTGCCTCTTAGTAATACACCCAAGTCCAGAAACTCTCCTCAGGTATGTCAGCAATTTTGCAACTGGTAAAATAATAGTCTATGCATGCAGGCGGGGGCAACGATAATGTTCAAAGCCTAACCAAAAATATATAAAGGTTCCCGGCCGCACCCCAATTCGGCTAACCATTTGTTGCACAAAATGTCAAATCCCCCTGTTTTCACTACTTCGCAAGGCTGTCCTGTGTCGGATCCCTTCACCAGCCAGCGGATCCCTCTGGATACCACCGGTTACCGGTATGCTCCTCCAATGGGCCCATTGCTGTTGCAAGATTTCAAGCTCATTGACACACTCGCCCACTTTGACAGGGAGAGAATTCCAGAGAGAGTGGTGCACGCCAAGGGTGCTGGAGCTTACGGTGTGTTTGAGGTGACCGACGACATTACCGATGTTTGCTGTGCCAAGTTCCTCGACACTGTTGGTAAGAAGACCAGAATTTTCACAAGATTTTCCACAGTGGGTGGAGAAAAGGGTTCTGCAGACACAGCCAGAGACCCTAGAGGATTTGCAACCAAGTTCTACACGGAGGAGGGAAACTTGGACCTGGTGTACAACAACACGCCTATCTTCTTCATCAGAGACCCAATCAAGTTTCCCCACTTCATTCACACTCAGAAGAGAAACCCTGCCACAAACCTCAAGGACGCAAACATGTTCTGGGACTATCTGACGGCCAATGACGAGTCTTTGCACCAAGTCATGTATTTATTCTCCAACAGAGGTACTCCGGCCTCGTACAGAACCATGAACGGCTACTCTGGCCACACCTACAAATGGTATAACTCCAAGGGCGAGTGGGTGTATGTCCAGGTTCACTTCATTGCCAACCAGGGCGTGCACAACCTGCTGGACGAGGAGGCTGGCAGGTTGGCAGGAGAAGATCCAGACTACACCACCAGAGACCTGTGGGAGGCCATTGAGAAAGGAGACTACCCATCGTGGGAGTGCTACATCCAGACAATGACTCTTGAGGAGAGCAAGAGACTGCCATTCTCGGTGTTTGACTTGACCAAGGTGTGGCCACACAAGGACTTCCCATTGAGACACTTTGGCAGATTCACTCTGAACGAGAACCCGAAGAATTACTATGCTGAAACCGAGCAGATTGCCTTTTCTCCTTCGCACACTGTTCCTGGCATGGAGCCTTCGAACGACCCTGTGTTGCAATCGAGATTGTTCTCGTACCCAGACACGCATAGGCACAGACTTGGACCTAACTACCACCAGATCCCAGTCAACTGTCCACTGAAGTCGGGCTCATTCGCTCCTATCAACAGAGACGGTCCTATGTGTGTTGATGGCAACCTGGGCGGCACGCCTAACTACGCAAATGCTTACAACTGTCCTATCCAGTACGCTGTGAGCCCTAAGGCTTCTGGCGATAAGCCAGACGAAAAGTATTCCGGCGAAGTGGTTCCGTACCACTGGGAGCACAGCGATTACGACTACTACCAGCCAAAGATGTTCTGGAAGGTTCTTGGCAGGACACCGGGCGAACAGGAGTCGCTTGTTAAGAATGTTGCAAACCATGTTTCTGCTGCTGACGAGTTCATCCAGGACCGCGTTTACGAGTACTTCTCGAAGGCTGAACCTATTATTGGAGAACTGATCAGAAAGAAGGTTCAGGAGCTCAAAAGGAAGTCTTCTCCATCCAAAATGTAATCACGAATAAGTAAGTATTCATCTATTAAACGACTGTCAAGTATATTTTTTCATTATCTGCCTGGTTTTTTTTTATGATTATAGCTTCCTTATCTGGCAGTCCTGTCCGCCGTATCATCCTTCCTAAAAAAGCACCAGATATCGGCGCATTATAAGAAGCGCTTTTTTTCCAACCAATCTTTGTTTTTCATCATGGCTTGTGGATGTTCAGGTAACAAGAGCTCGCAGACCGCAGTCCAGCCTCCGCGGACTTCCATGTCTGAAAAGTCGTCAAAACCAACAGCCTGCTGTGGCGGCAAGGAGGAGACCAGATGCAAGTGCGGATCCGCTTGCAAGTGTCCAAGTTGTAACACCACAAAGTAAGTATTGGCTGACTCACCATGCTAACCTCAGACTATGAACACTTTGTCCAGATGTGCTGAAATCATATAGAAGAAGAGCTTTTAACGATGGCGACTTCTACCACCCTCCTACGCGAATTCATTTTTATAAGCTTATGAATAATTTCTCTTCCATACGCTAAAAATCGTAGCTATTTTTCCCTTCCGTTTTTTTACCCCACCGCAGTTGCTATGTTAAAATTTAGCTATAGACATACGAGCGGTTTGACCAGGCGGGTGGCAATGGCGGCCAGGTCGTTTGCCACGGTCGAAGATACACCCAACCGAGTTCACGGGGGTCTCGCGGACCAGGATAGGATCTTCCAGAACTTGTATCTGGGGAACTCCAAGAAACACGGAACCCCCAGCTACGATCTGAAGACTGCCATGAAAATAGGCGATTGGTACAAGACGAAAGAGATCCTGCTCAAGGGAGACACGTGGATTATCGACGAGATCAAGGCATCCGGGCTGCGGGGACGTGGTGGAGCAGGATTCCCCAGTGGCCTCAAGTGGTCATTTATGAATCCTCCCGGATGGAACAAAAACGTTGGGCCTCGGTATCTGGTTGTCAATGCTGACGAAGGTGAGCCCGGGACCTGCAAAGACAGAGAAATCATGCGCAAGGAGCCGCATAAGCTTGTTGAGGGGTGTCTTGTTGCAGGCAGAGCTATGAATGCAACCGCAGCGTATATTTATATCAGGGGAGAGTTTTACAACGAGGCAGTGACCTTGCAACATGCTATCAACGAGGCGTATGAGGCCGGCTTCCTGGGGCCTGATGCCTGTGGTTCTGGCTTCGCTTTTGACGTGTACATCCACAGAGGAATGGGGGCGTATGTGTGCGGGGAGGAAACCGCGCTCATTGAGTCACTTGAGGGAAAAGCAGGCAAGCCGAGACTGAAGCCACCTTTCCCGGCAGGCGTGGGACTTTATGGACGTCCTAGCACGGTTACCAACGTCGAGACGGTGGCAGTGGCGCCTACCATCTGTCGCCGTGGTGGAAAATGGTTCAGCAGCTTTGGACGCGAGCGGAACTCGGGCACCAAGCTGTACTGCATTTCTGGAAACGTGAACGAGCCCTGCACGGTTGAGGAAGAGATGTCGATCTCCATGAAGGAGTTGCTAGAGAGGCACTGTGGTGGAGTCAAGGGCGGCTGGGACAACCTGCTTGCAGTGATTCCAGGCGGGTCTTCTACTCCTATTTTGAACAAGGATACTTGCGACGACGTCCTGATGGACTACGATGCTCTCAGAGATGCCGGATCGGGATTGGGTACGGCAGCAGTCATCGTGTTCAATAAGCAGGCCGACGTCATTCGCGGCATTCAGCGGCTCTTAGCCTTCTATAAGCACGAAAGTTGCGGTCAATGCACTCCATGCAGAGAGGGCTCTACCTACCTGTCGAAAATGATGGACAGGTTCTATGTTGGTCAGGCCCAGGAAAAGGAGATTGATAAGGCATTGGAGCTCACGAAGAAGGTGGAAGGACACTCTATCTGTGCCATGGGTGAAGCCTTCAGCTGGCCGTATCAAGGACTCGTGAAGAACTTCAAGCCTCTGATGATCGAGCGGATTAGAGAATACAAACGGCTCCATGGACTCGAAGACGGTGGCATGCAATACGGTGGATGGCATGAGTCTGGTGGAGTTAAGGATGGTGAGGTTGTCAACAACCCAATGCCTAAGGAGGCGTTTCATGGCCATTGAGCTGCAGGCCTCATACTCAAGTAGGTGTTTATTTATTTTTAGACCTTTTATTGGATCCGATTTTTTGGGGTCCCAATTTCCAAGTATATATGAACGGTTGGTTAATCAATTACAAAGGCTTAGATTTTTTTTCATTTTTACTAGCATGAAGGCACACAATATTTTGGCTCTGGCAGCCATTTTAGCTTCTGTGAACGCTGTGTATCCGCCGGTTTCGGGGGACAAGTCGATCAGCGATGCGGATCTGGTGACGATCCAGGTCACGCAAGCGAAGGACGACAAGAAGCTGGATCAACACTTGGAAAGCCTCAAGGCCGATGCAACAAAGGGCGCGAATGCATTGAACGCTGAAGCAGAACTTCCACGCCACTCAGAGGTGTTTTTCATGTCGACGTCGATGATCGTGGTCAGCGAGATCGGTGATAAAACATTTCTGGTGGCCGCCTTGATGGCCATGAAACACCCAAGAATGGTGGTGTTTTCCTCCGCTTTGGCTGCCCTGGCCTTCATGACGATTCTCTCGGGTGTTGTGGGACACGTGCTGCCTAGCCTCATTCCTCATCGGCTGACGCAATTCTTGGCAGGTGTGCTCTTTGTTATCTTCGGAGTCAGCCTGCTCAAGGAGGGCATGGCCATGTCAAAGAACGCGGGAATAGACGAGGAACTCGCGGAAGTTGAGGAGGAGATCGAGGTTTCAACGCTGAACCAGCGTTCGGGAAGTTTGGAGGAGGCCGCCGTGCCGGGCGCAGTTGCGAGAAAACCGATTTGGAAGGAGGGCCTGTCCCACGTCTCCAACCTTGCATCTTATATCTTGTCGCCGGTCTGGGTGCAAACTTTTGCAATGACCTTTTTGGGTGAATGGGGAGACCGCTCGCAAATTGCAACCATAGCAATGGCTGCCGGCTCTGACTACTGGATGGTTATTTTGGGAGGCGTCGTTGGGCACGCACTCTGCACGGGCATGGCGGTGATCGGAGGACAATTGCTCGCCACCAAGATCAGTATGCGCAGCGTCACTTTAGGAGGGGCCATTGCATTTTTCATCTTCTCCGTGCTGTACTTCTACAATGCCTACTACGACATAGAATCGTAGAAGCGGCATATTAATTCTGATAACCTTTATTATTCTGTCACTCTTTCCTGCTCTTTCTGAGCTGCTTAATGGCATTTTGGGTTTTTCGATGCAGCGCCTCAAGCTCGCTTTTCAAATCGTCCTCGTACTCCTGTATCATTTCGTCGTCATCTGTGGGTCGTGCTTCGGGTGTTTGCGCTCGTCCATAGGCCACAGCAGCATGTCTATCGTGTTTTGGCCTCTTTGTTTCCGGCACGTCTTCGGAAGGGTTTTCTTCACGGAGGTCCTCAAATCCCTCTCGAGCCATGTAGATCGGCAGAGATTATATTTTATTTTATTTTATTTTATTTTACGTCCTTATTATTTAATGTTTGGTGCCTCTGCTCGCAGGTTTTCGACTTTCTCGCCAAAACTTAACACGCCGCATTTTGACACACACACTTTTGTCCAGCAGCTCAGAAATTCTGGCTTCGACGCCAAAAAGGCAGACGCAGCGGTGGAGATTTTGAGCAAAGCCATCAACGATGGTATTGACAAGTATGCAGCCAATCTGATAACCAAGGAAACGCTGAACAAGATGTCGTACCAGCAGAAAGTGGATTTTGCAAAGCTGAAGGGTGAGCTCCAGATGATCGATAAGTCGGAATTCAACAGTCTGCGGAACGAACACGAACGACTACGCAGCGACCTGGAAAAAATGCGCACGAAATTCAAAGAAGAAATGAACAAGAGCTTGTCGGGAGTGAGGCTCGACCTAAATCTCGAAAAAGGACGCGTGCGCGAGGAAAACTCGATCTACGACCTGAAGATAAAGGAAACAGACACGAGAATCGACGAGGAAATCGCAAATATGAAGGTCCAGATCGAGTCTGTGAAAACACAGGTGATGCAGTGGCTGTTTGGTGTTTGTACCGGTACGTTTGCTCTGGTGCTGGCATACGTCCGGCTGATGAGTTAACGGGTCGATTACATATCTCTATTATAGCTTGAAGAGCTCCTTCAAGATAGCCTGGGTGTCCTCTGGGTTCTTGACCGCATGTCCGATAGTTCTCTCGTCCGTGTAGATTTCGTAGTCGTTACCACCCTTGTAGGCCTTGTCGCCAAAGAAGTGGATCTGTTCGAATCCCTCGCTTTCGATGTGACGCAGACAATAGGTCTTGTCCCAGCCGGTAGGGAACACGTCGAACGAAATCTGGCCACCGATCGAGTAGGTCAGAGCCAAATCTGGGAAATTGTCCTTGAGAGCCTGGACCATCTTCTCTCTGACCTTGTGCTCCAAGTCGTACTTTTCGTAGTCGTTTCTCTCCTGGGTGGAGGCATTTCTTCCGATCGGAGAAACGTTGATCATGCCCTTTCTAAATTCGATAAACGTTCCTCTTCTGACTGGCAGGTCCAAATCGGCAAGGTATCTCAGGATAAACTTGGACAGCTCGTTGTACTTGTCCTCGCCAATCCAGCCAATAAAGGACGCGGACGGAAGGGCTTTTCCCAGCTTATATGCGGTCAGACCGTTCTCACTGAAACAGAAATCGAACTGGTCCAAGACGTCGGAGCCCAGCTGCTCGACCTGCTTGGAAAAGTCGCTTCCACCAACAAATCCAATAACGCACTTCTTTCTCAGGGCCTGCAAGGTGGCCTTCATCTCCGGCGAGATGGTGAGTCTCGCTGGAGTCAGGGTTCCATCGACGTCGAAAAGACAGATGGTCTTTGGCTGTTCTCTATCGGCAAAGGACATGGTATTAAATTTTACGTGTCGAAATTTTTTCCCTACATGCTTCCAGTTTATTTTTCTGCGTTAGTGCATCTCTTGATGATCATCCACCACATCAACGACGCGACCGAGCGCGTTTTACCAGGCCAACGGTAATAAAGAGCATTCCCAGCAGCAAGTACGCGTTTGCGGCGACGTTCTGCAATAAGCTCCCGCCCAGCGACCCCAGACTGGAAAGGTTCTCGCGTCGCTTGTTTGTCAACAGAAACAGGTAATTCACGAGTCCAGCTGCGTTAAGCAGAGAGAGTGCTTTCTGCAGATATTCGACCGACACACCTCTGCACCAGTAAAAGAGCCACCCCAGAGCCATAACCAGAGACTGGCCCCATCGCGGCTTGTTCGCGAAGCTGAGCATCAAAAACACCACCAGCGCAGCTTGTGCAGCCTGAATGGCGTACTCGACAACTTTGAATCCGTTCTGGCACCGTACCCCGTAGATAATCTGCACTATGTTCGTGACCAACGTGATTATGTAGCTCAAGATCGCTGTGGAGCTGGCTGGCTTTCTGTGCCTTGCAAGGTTCAGGAGCTGCGGGAGCAAGATTCCCGAGCGCAACAGCAGCTCTACAGTTTTCTGAGTGAACAGTTGCAGGTACAACTGGTTGCGGCGATCGAACGGCCGCAAATTGTAGATTATGGAGTAGTAGATCTCGGGCCCGTATATCTGAATAAGGGCGTTTTCTAGCCATACCGGCATCAGGGAGGTGTAAGGCCGCAGAAGTTCGAGGTACGGCTCGAGCACCGATTGTAAGTCCGCCATGAATAATTAAATTAATATTTTAATTTTAGTTCGATGCTTGATTCTGCACAGCAAAAGACGCTGGCGGCGTTCAAAAAAGAGGTCCAGGTGATTGTTGACGACGTTGAGTACGACGAGCTGTTTGGGTACCAACTGAGCAGAGGCGAGTTTTTCGATGAAGAGGCTTATGAAAAGCTGCTCATTAAGCTTCTGACAGCATACGACTGTGACCTCCAGGCCGCAGAAGACAGTCTGGAGAAGATCCTAGAATGGCGCAAGGAGTTTGACCCCCTGAGCGCAGCCTTTGTCGAGGACCACGGGTCGAAATTTGACGACATCGGATTCATCACATACGATCCAGATGGTAAGCCGTTGGAGAAGGTGGTGACATGGAATTTATACGGCAAGGTGAAGAACGCCAAGGAGATCTTTGGCACTGACGAATCTGATACTTCCGGCCGAGACGCGTTCCTCCGATGGAGAGTTGGCTTGATGGAGCAAAGCGTGCAGCTTCTAGACTTCAAAAGCCCTGGAAACGACTACATGGTGCAAGTGCACGATTACAAGGGTGTTTCGCTCTTCCAGAGAGATGCGCAGGTGAAGAAGACCACTAAGAAGGTCATTGAGGTGTTCAGAGACTTCTATCCTGAGCTGTTATCCAAGAAGTTCTTTGTGAACGTTCCAACGCTAATGATGTGGGTTTTCAACGTGATCAAGCCTTTTGTGGCCGAGAAGACGCGCAACAAGTTCGTTGTGCTAAGCAATGGCTCGGATCTTGCGAAACATCTGGACCCAAAAATGCTGGGAGCAGAGTACGGCGGCCAGGTCAGCAAGGGCACCCAGAGCCTCAAATTCCTGTTCAAGGAGAGTAAGGCGAAGTACACTGCCTACACGGCGCATCTCGTTGGTCAGCGTATTGCCTCAGAAATTGACTAAGATGCCGCACATCAAATATCTGTATACGAATAAATATCTAAAATAAATTGCAATCATCTTTTTGTCTCTTGTTAATGAGAATCATTTAGTTCAATCTATGGAATCATACTCTCGCGACGCGTCGTCGCCTCGTCACACGCCGTCTCCACGCGGACGGCTTGATTCCATGTTCTACACGGGCGCGAGGTCGCACATTCCGTCGAGGTCCGTGTCGCCTCTGGATGTGGATAGTCCTTCCATAGATAAAGAAATACACCAGCATGCGGAACAGGAGCACCTCTTGCAGCTGACGTCGCGCAATCCCGCGGCCGTGATGGAGCTTGACCTGGACTGCACGGTCAAGTTCCTCAGCAAGACCTGGGAGTCCACAGTGGGAACGAAAATTAGCAAGATCATAGGGCGGCCTCTGAGCAATATCATCCTGGGCGAAACCGAGGACAAGCAGGTCTTCAACAAGGCCACCAGCATCATGATGACTGATGACGATACGTACCGCGTGAGATTTGTTGTTGCGACAAACCTGCAAAACGCCTCGAGAGAGTCAGAAAACACGGATCAGGAAACCTATTCTTCGGTTTCTGACGATGACTCCGTTAGCGTGCACTCGGAAAACTCCAGCATATCGACGGACGGCAATTGCATAGAGCTGGAAGCTCAGGGCGTTCTGATACACGACAAAGACCGCCAGCCCTCGCATTCGATGTGGATTGTCAAGCCCTGGGTGGCGTTTTCTAGCCTAACGCTGGCTCTTCCGGAAGAGCTGATTTTGAGGCTGGGCTTTGGAATCAACTTGTTTGAGGCATACTTGTTCCAACTGACCGACATGGGCATAGTTGACGAGGAAAACCTGCCGCCTCCGCCCCAGGAGCTGTGTCGTATATGCGAGCAAAGAGTGCCTAACTGGTGGCTGGAATGTCATACAGAGCTTTGTTTGGTGGAACACCGCGCAGAGGATACCGTTCAACAGAAACAGGAAGAGCTCAGCGAGCATAGGAACCTGCTGCAAAATGTCCTTGACACTCTTACAAAACGACAGTTGCAAAATTCGAAAACTCCACCTTTGGTCCCTATGGGCTCTAGCTCCTCGGTATCCAGCAGCAGCAGCAGCTCCTCCAACAGCTCCTCGGGAAGTTTTGTCTCGATAACGGAGTACAAAGGTCATTCCATTCCTCTTTCGGCGTCAAACGAGAGCGGAAGTCTGATGCGCCGGAAAAGTGTGGGCAGCTTGCTCCCCGCTAGACGATTCCCTTTCAAGAATCTGGATATCCTTATCCAGTACTGCGATGAAGCTTTGAAGGTGAATCCTGGAGAAATCCGCACCAACGACAAAAAGTCTGATGAATACACAATCTCGTTCTCTCCCGATAGTGAGCGTGCGCTCGCCATTTTGAACACAATCGAAGTTCCCGAGTCCAGCGACCAAGCTATAAAGCTGCTTACCGAAGACACTGATTTCGCTGTCAAGCAGAAAATTGAGTCCATTGAAAGGTACGCACACATACTGCAATATGTGGACAAAATAACAAAGGAGACTGACGAGATGGTCCTAAATGTGGTCAAGGAAACGATTCGAAAAATACAGGAAGACGCTGCGGAAGAACCGCTGCCTATCCAGTCTCCAAGGCCCGCCTCCAAGCTACATTCTGGAAATATTTTGGAAACAGAGAGCGATCTGCGGCTGAATTCGGTCTCTTCGAGTACTGGCACTTATTCCCCAGCGTCTGAGGGCAATTTGACACCCGCAATCAGTGTTTCTAGGGAGGACTCTGCCAAGACAATTCAACGCAATAGCTCTCCCGGGTACAATTCACCTCGCAGACCTCTTTCTCCTAGTGTTATGCTTCCTATGAGCTCGATTCAACGCAACACAAAAGCACACATGAAACGCCCTAGTGTGAACTCTGGATCGGGGTCGAACACGCCAATATCCTCGCCGCTTTTCTTATCGACGGACATCCCGTCATCGTCTTCTTCTGCAATCGACCGTCCACAGCTGTCGCCGTTGCTCGTGCCTCAGAGTTCTAAACAGAGCGCTCCTTCAATCAAAGACTACGAAGTGATCAAGCCCATCAGCAAAGGTGCATTTGGTTCTGTGTTCCTTGCCAAGAGGAGATTGACAGGAGAATATTTTGCCATCAAGGTGCTGAAGAAGGCAGATATGGTGGCCAAGAATCAGGTTACAAACGTGAAAGCCGAGAGAGCCATTTTGATGGCGCAGGCTAACTCGCCATATGTGGCTCAACTTGTGGCAACCTTCCAAAGTACCAATTATTTGTACTTGGTGATGGAATATCTCAATGGGGGTGATTTGGCTACCCTGTTGAAAAACATGGGTTACCTGCCTGAAATTTGGGCACGGAGGTACATTGCAGAGGTGATTGTCGGTGTCGACGACTTGCATTCCCGTGGTATCGTCCACCGTGACCTAAAGCCAGATAATTTACTCATTGATCGCAACGGGCACATCAAGCTCACGGATTTTGGTCTAAGTCGAATGGGTCTTGTCAAAAGACAGAAGGACCCTCATTCGGACGTCATTGAAGATCCGTTTGTCAATCCGCAAGCGGCTTCCTTAGTGACTAAGAAAGCCGCCAGCATCACACCGTTCTCGCTGTCGCCATCTTCGCCGCTTATCACTCCGACAACAAGCACACTGCCTGCATTTGAGGAGCTCGAGCCTGTGAATCTTGGAAGTGGCAACTTGTCTCCTCTGCTACGACCTCTAACCAGAAGATCAACGTTGCAGCCGTCCTTCGCGCTTAACAAAGAGGATACGCAAACGGAGATTACCAATTATGCTCTCTTTGATCCTCAGAAATCAGCTGAGACTCGAAAGTTTGTCGGAACTCCTGATTATCTGGCACCCGAGACGGTTGCGGGTCTGGGCCAAGATGAAGCTAGCGATTGGTGGTCTATCGGGTGCATCTTGTTCGAGTTTTTGTTCGGGGTACCCCCATTTGCGGGAAACAGCCCAAAGGAGGTATTTGAAAATATTCTACACGGTGAGATACAATGGCCGAATCTATCTCCCGATGAGTTTCAGGAGTATTGCTCCTCTACTGCAAAAAACCTGATTACCCAACTGCTTGTGAAAGATCCGACGCAGAGACTCGGAAGCGGCGGGTCTCATGAGATAATGCAGCATCCTTATTTCAAAGGCATCAACTGGGATACGCTCTTTATTGAGGACGCCTCTTTTGTTCCATGCAGCGTCGACCCAGAATCCACTGAGTACTTCGACGACCGAGGAGCACAGCTCAGCGCTTTTCCTCAGGATGAGCTCAACGAGGATGACAATGCCGAAGAAACGCTGGACGCCAACACAGTGCCTGTCACCTCCAGCTCCTCATCTACCACCCTCGATTCGCCAAAAAACAGCTTCTCCAAGGGCTGTGTGACGGGAAAGAGAGAAAGAAGAGGCTCTAGACTGAACGATAGTGGCGGATCTTCGGAGTTTGGCCCTTTCCACTTCAGGAATCTTGCAATGCTGGAGAAACAGAATAAGGACGTCATCAACAGATTGAAGAATGAGCACATCGAATATTTTGCGCCGTCCCCAAGCTCTATGGAAAGTTCGCCCTCGGCACCTACTACTCCTGGCGCCACAGCGGTTCCTCTGGCAACTCGGCCGCGTGGTCTGTCTTCTGCCAGCGGCCAGCTCTTGACTCCTTTCAAACGCCCCTCGTCTCCTAGTATTGTGAAAGAGAAGATTTCACCTCTGCTGCGCCATGCCTCGTTGGCCAGTGATATTTCTGATGAAATCAAACAGGGGTCTCCGGTTTCCCGTGCAGTGCACCGGAAGGGGTACAGCATCGACTCGAGTTCCCCTGCTGCACGTTTGCTGTCCAAATCTTTCTCCAGGACAGTGAGCGACTTCTCGCCTTCGTCGTCCGACAACGAGGACCGCTCGGGCCACTTATACCAAAGAAAGAAACGGTCTTCGAAACGAGCACTTCGCACTTCCTCGTCTGCTACAGATGAAGCCTCGCATGCGCTACAAAACATGATGATTCACTTCGACGTTCTTTTGTGCGAGCCTATCCCTATTCACCGTTACTCTATCGAGAATAACCTCAACCGTCTGGGCTGTGACGTTGTGGCTGTCTCATCTGGGTCTGAGCTTATCAAGCGCGCCACCGCAGATATCAAATTCGATCTGATCCTGACCTCGACAGAACTCCACAAGCTCGATTGTCCGGACCTCGTCAAGCTGATCAAACATACATCCACTGCCAACTCAGAAACAATGTTTGTCGCGCTAACGTCTTTCTACCGCGATGCAGTCAACACAGGCGTCTTTGACTACATCATAGAGTATCCGATCACCATGGAGAAGCTCAAGACTCTCCTGGATTGGTTCCGTTCGCTGAAGCGACGCGAGGAGGAGGTTATTGTGACCGATACGGAGTGACGGCTCTTCTATAGTTTGAATAGATCAGACGCTTTTCAGGAGCTTGGCTGCAGCTCCCACACTTAATGTTAGCAACGCAAACAATGCCAATTCACCGCTATGTTTCGTTGGCTTGCACTCCTCGATAGCCTTGTTCAGACTGAGAGCCATGGCCTTGGACGAAAAGAGCTTCTCAACACGGTCTTGGGCCCGTTTGGAAAGCTGTGTAAGATCTGATTCCGTCAACGTCTGGACGTGTTCCATGTACTCTACCCAGCGGTCTTCTACCAGCCCAACAAGGTATCCTGTAAAGTCTTTATGGTCATACGGCACGATGGTTTCAGTAGGGCCGCCGGTAGCTTCCGCAAGGACGGGTTTTCCCAGTCTCATCGCCTCAACAGGAACTATCCCAAAATGCTCAAAGGAGGGCGTGTATATCAGCAGCTGAGATCTGGCAATTAGAGCATTTTTGGTGGCACTGCTGACCGAGGGCAGGAAAAAGACCTGTGTATCTCTGGGAGCTACAATGAGCTTTCCTCTGATGGTGATCGAAGACAGGCCAAGTTTCTCGCAAAGTGACTCCAGCTCTATCAGATAGTGCACATTTTCAAACACACGGGAGTCATAGCCGCCAGCGATGACGAGTTTGTGATTCGATTCGGTTTTAGTGATGAACTGGTGATACTTTTGAATGGCCAGGGAGATATTCTTTTTTCTCTCGAACCGGTTGATGGAGAGGAAGAACGGAGTGTTTTTGAGAATGTTGTCGACCTCCTTGAGAGACGTGTCTTGTATGGAGATGTCTCCCACGCAGGGATACACCACATTGAGCGATTCGGTCCGCAGACTTTTGAATTCTTTTTCAACCGTCTTTTTGGTGAACTCTGAGTTGACAAGTACCCTATCTGCGAACCTCATTGAAAACTCCTCTATCGTATCGAAGACCAGTCTATAGATTTTTCTAATCAGCCCCGAGTGAGATGCAAGCAGCTTATCTGGGAAATGGCAATAGAAGATGACTTTTGTTTGTGGACCTTTGAAAAGGTAGACCAATGGAAGACAGTAAGACAGCTGGTCGACAAAAACGACATCGGCCTTTTTGAGGGTCCCAGTGAGCACCAGCACAGATACCAGGTACAATTGACGCAGAAATGCAAACAGAATTGCAAACTTCCCCAAAATCTGCGTTGGCAAGAAATCCCCGTGCACTTTTGTCTTGAGCCGGTCTGAGGCGACCTCCTCGAAACAGTGCGACTTATCACAGTGAGACGTATACACGGTGACCTGGTTTCCTGGTTGCAGGGCCATTGCAGCGTCGACAACGAGCCTTTCTGCACCGCCGATCCCGAGATCAGGGTGAATGAATATAATATTCATAAGGAAAATAGTAATAATAATTAAATAAATTATTCAATGCTTGTGCCTCCAGACAACTTTGCGTTTGTCGAGGACGGTCTTTATCGTTGTTCTGCGCTCGACGCCATCAATGCCCCCTTTTTGGAAACGCTTGGGTTGTCTAGTATTGTTTGGCTCGATGAGGAAAAACCGCCTCGCGCAATCAATCAGTATATCGAGGACAACCATGTGCGTCTGTGCCACCTAAAGGAGTCCAGCCTCATTCCCGAGGACACAGACAGCATGCGGTTCCAGGATTGGATGGTCTTGAGACCAACACTGGTGGCAGAGACGTTCCACATCCTGCTGGACTACCAGACGTACCACGACTGTCTGTTGGTGGATAGAAGCGAGGTAGTGATCGGGCTGCTTAGACGTATCCAGCGATGGAGCTATTCGAGTATATCCAATGAGTACAGGCTATTTGCCAACAACAAGGCCAACTATGCGGTGGAAAACTACCTGGAGCTCGTCAACATCGAACTGGTGCCGTACGAGAGAATGGCCGATCAGGACGACGAGGACGAGGAAAACACGGTGGTTGAGGAGCCAAAGAGCCTGGAAAAAGACCTGAGCATCAGCCCGCATCTCTCTGTGTCGTCATCGCCGCAGATCCCGAAGACGCTGCTCAAGATGGTGGAAATGCGTCGCCAGAAACGGAAGCACAGACAGGAGAGACAGGAAAGCATTAGCTACTCCGGAGTGAGTTTCTACAAGCCGGCAGGAACGGCGTCTGTGCGCGTGCGGCTGCCGAGGGAAGAGAACTTGCCGGCCTGGTTTATTGAGCTGAGAACAAGGTGGGAACAGGAGGCTTAACCAGAAAACATGATCGATAGAAATAAAAAGCGTAATAAAATGCCATGACCGATTGAGAGCTAAATTGTATGCGCGTTGGCGCACTGATTGATTTAGTAAGAACCGCCTGCACACCTTCCACCTCGCATAAATTTCCGCTTTTCAATTTTTCATATCTTCCTTCAACCATGACTCAGAAAGTGCTCCTTCTCGGCTCTGGTTTCGTCGCCAAGCCAACTGTCGACATCCTCGCTAAGCAGAAAGACATCGAAGTTACTGTCGCATGCAGAACTCTCTCGAAAGCCAAAGAATTGGCAGGCTCTGTTGCCAACGCATTGTCGTTGGACGTTACCGACCAAGATGCTTTGGACGCTGAGGTCAACAAGTACGATGTTGTGATCTCGTTGATCCCATACATCTACCACGCTGCCGTCGTCAAAGCTGCAATCAAGTCGAAGCACACGAACGTCGTCACCACCTCCTACATTTCTCCTGCTCTGAGAGAGCTGGAGCCAGCCATCAAGGAGGCCGGCATTGTCGTGATGAACGAGATCGGCCTGGACCCAGGTATCGACCACTTGTACGCCGTCAAGACCATCGACGAGGTGCACAAGGCCGGTGGTAAGATCACGTCTTTCCTGTCGTACTGTGGTGGTCTGCCAGCACCAGAGAATTCCGACAATCCTCTGGGATACAAGTTCTCGTGGTCCTCCAGAGGTGTTTTGCTTGCTCTGAGAAATCAGGCCACATACTGGAAAGACGGTAAGATCGAGAAGATCGCTTCCGAGGACCTGATGGCCTCTGCCAAGCCATACTTCATCTATCCGGGATACGCGCTGGTCTGCTACCCTAACAGAGACTCCACTGTTTACAAGGAACTGTACAACATCCCTGAGGCCCAGACCGTTATCAGGGGAACCTTGAGATTCCAGGGATTCCCTGAGTTCGTCAAAGTCCTCGTCGACATGGGATTCCTGAAGGAGGATCCAAACGAGATTTTCTCTAAGCCTATTCCATGGAATGAGGCTGTTTCCAAGTACATTGGAGCTGCCTCTTCTTCTGAGAAGGACATAGTTGCCAAGATTGACTCTCTGACCAAGTTCAAGGACGAGGCCGACAGAGAGAGAATTCTGGCTGGTCTCAAGTGGCTGGGCCTGTTCTCTGATAAGAAAATCAAGCCTGCCGGCAACCCACTGGACACTCTGTGCGCCACTCTTGAGGAGCTGATGCAGTACGAAGAGGGCGAGAGAGACATGGTCATTTTGCAACACAAATTCGGCATCGAGTGGGCCGATGGCAAGACCGAGACCAGAACCTCTACCCTGGTCGACTATGGTGTTCCTGGCGGCTACTCCTCCATGGCCAAGCTGGTTGGTGTTCCTTGTGCCGTTGCTGTCTTGCAGGTCTTGAAGGGTGCCTTCCCAGGCCCTGGTCTCTATGCTCCAATGACGCCAGAAATCAACGACCCTATCATGAAGATCTTGAAGGATGAGTACGGCATCTATCTGACTGAGAAGACTTTGTAAGTAAGTTTAAAATTTGATAGATCTCTTGTATGAAAAGGGGAGATAATTAATTTTCTATCATTTTTATTTTCCATGTTCCGCAGATTTAAAGAGATCTCGTCTGATCTTAAGACGTCGATCCGACGTGAAGAGAAAGACGGCAAGCATGAGAACGAGACCGTAGTGCACGTGGCCATGGTGAAGTACTTCCGAGAACGGGGCCTACAGCCTCCTGAATGGCTGGAACCGGATCACCACAGTAGAGTCGTTCAGCACCGAATGCCGCTTGACAAGATCCAATCCGGGATCCGAGAAACCAATCATGCGATAAAGGGCCAAGTGGAGCATATACCAAAGATCAAGGCGTCGCGATTCAGCCCACAGAAGCCCTTGGAGCCGCCTTCCAACGGCATTCCTCAGGCTCCGTTGCCTAGACGTACTACGACAAACAACAGTGCGCCCAAAACAGCTCACAGCATCACATCGCGTTTTTCGTCAGCTCGAGGGAGCCATTCTCCAGGCCACAGCCACTCCCGGCCAGCAAATAGCAGGTTCAACATCAAGAAGACTTAGTGGCCGGGTAACCAGGGTCTGACGTCACAGGAGTTGTGTTTTTTTACAACACGAAAATTTGTTGTCTCGACATGACGGAGCAGTTTGTCGACAAGAAAGAGACGGAGTCCGCAAGCACGCAGAATCTGCTGGCCCATCTTTCAAATGATGTGGAGCTTTATCACAAACGTGTCCAGCAGAAAAGGCAGCTGAAAGAGCAACTGGATAACGGCGAAAAGAAGCAGAAGGTGAACGCGTCGGAGCCGGAGAGCGCCAACAAGGAGGAGAGTGTGCCGCAGACGGAAAATGCCGATTTACGCAAGGAACAAGAAGGCCACGAGACGTCGAAGATCGATTTGAGCGCCTCGGCTTTCGTTTCGCCGGCTTTGCCTGTGGTAAACGATTCGCAGACGCGATCACGTGCCTGGACCAAGGCCGAAGACGACGCTATCGTTTACTACAAGGAGGAGATGAAGTATTCGTGGAAAGAAATTGAAAAGATGTTGAATGGTAGACATTCGTGGCAAGCGATCCAGATGCGGTACCTACGCAATCACAAGTCGCGTAACGACTCCTGGTCGCGGTTCATGGAGCTGCGCCTTGTGAATGCGATACGGAAGGACTGGGAAAACAGATGGAAGCGGATCAGCAAGGACCTTGGGAACGATCTAACGGTAGAGCGTTGCATAATGAAAAATATAGAGCTGTGCAAGAAGATGGACGACCCCATTTTTGGCAAAATGTTCTCGAACAAAGAGATCACGCAAGGGTACGGCAACCCTAACAACGATATTAAAGACGAGGAGAGCCACAGAAAGCTGATGCTGGTGTACATGGGGCTTGACTCCATTAGCTACGAGTCAGATGAGGGAGAGCAGGCAGAGGGAGCGACTGATGAGGGTGCAGAATGAGTTCCTATGGCTATTGTACACAGTGATTACACAGGAAGGTTGTGATGCGGCTTTCCGAGCCATGCGACCAGAATTTGGATGCTAGGTAGGTTGGATCGACTATACAGACGAAAATGAGCTAGACATGTTTCTAGTGAGGAAAGGATGATGCGAGCCATGTTTAAGCTCTGCCTCGAGGGTGACCAGGCAGTACCAGGCTCTTCTCTTCTCTTCCGTCAATATCAGGTACTCCGAGGGGTCCTCGACATTGATTTTAAGCTTTAAAGCGAGACTGATGGCCTGGTCGAGTACGTGAATGGCCTCATGAATGCCGCCAACCATCGTGTATGCTCTGACAAGATTTATGTATGAGATAATGTCATCGTGGTCTAATTTGGTGGAGCTTTGTAGGAAGCTGTTTGTCTTGTAAAATAACATGTCCAGGAGTCCCAGCGAGGACTCCTTGGATATAGATGGTGATGGAGAGAGTTGCAAAAGTGCCGCTCCACAGAGCAGCATAGATAGGATGAATCCCTCGTTGATTTTCCGCACGCTCTGTGGGTCCGAGGTGAGAATCTGGTTTGGATTGAGGATCATGACTGGAAACGGAGTTTGAAAGTACAAATCAACCAGGTCATTTGCAAGAAAATGCGAAATCTGGAGCTGAGAGATGACGTGTGCCACTTGGTTGAGAATTGGGTACCGGAACGGCTGCGAGAGGGCGGGTGGCGATTGGTGCGATGACGTGCCGTGCAGCATGACCTGCTCTTGGTTCGTTTCCGGGCTTTTATTTTTGGTTGGTTTCCGTCGGATGATTATTTTTGGATAGTTCGAGCTGGCTCTGCCTCTTTTTTTCTCTTCCCGAAGATACGTGCAAACGCTGTTGGTTCTGATACATTGGGAGCAACGGGGCATTTCACCCGAGCATTTGGTTCGTTTCTGGTTGCAGAGATCACATGCTCTGCGAGTTCTTCTGTACTTTGTCTTCGAGTTGTCCGACATGGATTTGGAAGAGTCTTCATGAGGGGACGGAGGGTGATGAACGGGGGTGGATGGAAGGGGCTGGTGCGAAGCCTCCGGCTCGGCTATGTAGGCAGGATGGGATGTGTAAGTTACAGGCGGCAACGGCGTCGTTCTAGTGTTATGCAGGAGCATGGAGATGGAAGGTAAATGCGACTGAGGGAGTGGAGGAGGCAGAGTAGGGGAAGGGAGAACCGTACTGGACTGTAGTTGCCCTTGGATCTCTTGAAACGAAGGTAAACGGGGGCGTTCTGGTGCCTCGGAATCTCTGCCAGGAGAACTGGAAGAATTGGATTGCGATTGCATGACGAAGTGCTAAAGTGTCGGATTTACCGACACATGCAAAAATGAGAGTATGAATATAAAGCAAAGGGTTTTGAACTTTTGTTCACGACAGGAACGCTGGACGGTCGGAGAGATTTTTTAGTGGAAAACGACAAAAAGCATCACTAGGATATATAAAACAGGAGATTTGAATATTCAATTGGGACGCGCTCTACTGCAGCACAATGCGGTGAAGAACATCTCAGCTAGTTTATATGTAATATGTTAAGGCATTTGTGAGTAACCTATTGTCTCGGCAAGATTTCAACAATGCGGGTGTGAGGAGGTGCTAAAATCGGTATAAACCCATCGAAAAGGAAGATCAAACGGAAAAAATTTTGCTGTACCTTGTACATGGTGCGCAGCTAAGCTTTGTCGATCTCATTTTAGAAGCAGCTTCGTATTATTGTTTTCGCTGCTCCATTGATTGCTTATAGTCAAGTGGTATATTGATACCCTCAAGGTGCTGCTGCCAGGTACCCATTTCTCGAGCTAGTGTTTCCGCCACATGTTTGAAAAGCGAACGAAGTGCTGGTGCGTTCGCAAAATCAGTCGCACTCCAAGGAGGCTCAGTTCCCCCCCGAATGTGCTCGCGCATCCGTACCTTGTTTTGAACACCCGCGCATCCGTACCTTGTTTTGAACACCGTTCAAGTAGGAACAGTTATGATAGCCCAGAACCAAGGCGGGTGCTAATAACAAAAAACCCCGGACATCTCGGGAAATTCACCTGCTCGTGTGTAGTCCTTACAACCGTATGCATCTCCCCTTAAAGTCCTGGTCACGGCTGCTTGCTTTTACTCGTAACAACTTTTTATGCCCCTGCAAGTTTCTAATTTTAGTCGTAATCACCGAGCCGCAGACTTCCCGCTATTATTCTAAGAATCACAGGGAAATTTTTAGCTGTTATTCTTTGTGACATAATCATTCTGATGGCCAAACAGTCAAGCAGTTTATCGGAGCCCCAGGTGGCCGACTCAGAGCGTGTAGCGCAGTCCGACTCGGAGTTCCAGGATGATCTGTCGTACCGCCATGTGAATCTGGAGAGCGAAGACGAGGAGGATTTCGATGCCTTTGTGCAGAAGTACGGCGCAGTGAAAGTGCAGTACATAAAGAAGCCAAAAGTCCGCTCATGGTTCATTAATAAGCCTTATGCACTTAATTTCTTCTACAACGGAACGCTCTACCGCACGAGATCCGAGCGTGGCGAAAGTGGCAAGGTGGAGTTGTTCCTGGACCTGCTCTACGTGGGAATTGTGGCAAAACTGGCCGCGTCCGCTACACATGAGCCCACCGGCACGTCCTTGCTCAAGTACGTCTTGTTTTTTGCGCCGATTTGGCAGGTTTGGTCCGATATTAAGGATTTCATGAACTACTATTTCAATGAGGACCTGCTCCAGAAAATCTACATCCTGTGGATTCTCGCGCTCCTGCTGGTGTACACCAACGGCACAAACTATATGCTGGAGTCCAACAAGGCAAATGCAACTGTTGTGGTTCCCTACATTTTGTGCCGTCTCTCGTTGGGCATCAGCTTGTTAGTATATTCTGTCTACGTCCCCCAGCACCGGCACCAAAATATTTTGTACGGCTCGCTGATAATCGTCACGTGCTGCTTGTGGATCCCCGTCATCTTCGTTTCTGTGCGTGCCAAGGTCGGCCTCAGCTTCATGAACCTGTTCCTGGAAAATGCCTCCTGGTGCGTTTCGTACCACCCTTACACCAAGAAGCTGCTCAAGCTGAAATACAGCACGGCCATCAACATCGAGCACGAGGTCGAGCGGTTCGGCGCGTTCTACGTTATCGCCATTGGCGAGTTCCTGTACAATATCGTCGCCACCACAGCCGAGCGCAATTTCGGTGTCGGCGTCACTGAGAAGATAGGACGCGCCATTATCCTGCTTCTGATCGCGTACTGCTTGCTGTGGCTTTATTTCAACGGTGACGGCTCCAAGCGCGCCGTGCACGCGTGCCGCCGGTCAGGAAACACAGCCTTCCTATGGTTCTTCCTGCACATGCCGCTCATCTCCTCGCTGATACTGTGTGCTGACGCTGCTGCCGATCTCTGCTACGAGGACGAGATCGAGAACATCGGGCTCTCGTACTACTTCACGGGGGCACTGTGTGTGTCGCTGTTCTGTCTGTACGGCCTGGCGATTCTGGACAAGTCCATCGACGACGAGACCGGCGGCGAGGGCCGCAACTGCTCTAGACACTATCTACCAAAGTTCTGGAGACTGCTGCCAAGACTGCCGGTCGGAGTCATCATAGTGTGTCTGAGCGTTGCAAAGCTTGAGATCACCAAGCTTTTTGGCACAACAATGGCGCTGCTGGTGGCGCTGCTGGCCTACGAGATCGCCATGAGCATGGACTCCAGCTGGTGACACAAAGAAGCACAGCCCTACTTTAATTAAATATCTGGTTAATGAATATTCCTGGGTACTATTATGATCCAGTGAAAAAACGGTATTTCAAGCGGCAGGGCCAGCCGCAGGCATCGCCTGCCATTGAACTGGGGCGACCAGCCCCGAAGAAAGAGGCCCCAGAGACCCGCACTGAGAAAATAACGCAGCTCGCTGACGTGCAGATCTTCCGGCCAGAGATCATGTACGAACTGCTCGTAAGCCCCAAGTGTGTCTCAACCGGCCAGTTCCTGCAGCTCCAGGAGTTTCTTCACAACGAAAAGCTTGCGTCAAGTGATTTTGACCGCGAAACTGCGCTCTCGCTCTACACCAAGACCCAAATGCAGTGCTTGCTGTTCCGGCAAATAGCGCGCCCTCCTCTCGACCTGGGGCAGTTTGTGTGGGCTTCCGAATGTCGCGGGACGCTTTTTGTTGCTACGAGACTTTATCTGGTGGCTGTAAGCGTGAAGTCTCTTGAACTGGCGGAAAACTCGTTCTGGGTTCCAAAACACAACGTTCCGAAGCCGCAGGAAGCGGTGTTGCAGATCCAGAGCATCGGTCACTATAGCACGATTGCGCTTGGCTGGAATATCAACGTGGTTGACGGAGACCCGATCAAAATCCGGGTTTCCAACCACCGCGGGATAGAGGAAGTCGAGTTCGAGGACACCTTTAAGAACTTTCGGCACCTCCAGGACACGAGAAACGTGACTTGCATGAAGTGGATGGATTCAGAGACGGGAATCGTAGGATTTGAGCGCAAATTAAGGGGCCACGGCCGTTTGAGCTGGTTGCACAAAAATATCAGCTCGTTGCCCGTGAGCATCGCATTTACGTTGTACGAGAACCACCTAATGGTAGCCATTGGGTACATGAACGGGGCTCTTGAGATTTATCGGGAGAAAGACGAGTGTATCCACCATGCGTACGGAGCGAGTATTCGCAAGGTGCAGTTTCTGCACGTTGACAGCCGGCTCTATCTGCTGGTGAGCGGTCTGGCGAACAAGCTGGTCTTGTTTGCGGTCGACAACGATCCACAACAGCTATTTCCGCTCCTTGAGTACAAGGAGTACGAGCACAGCTTTTCAACGCAGGAGAACTTCTACGTGCACCGCAGCCAGCAGTTTTTCGTGGTCTACACAGACAAAAACAAGAAGATCAAGGTGTACTCCATCTTCAACGCACGGCCACTGCGAGAGTTTGACCATTTGCCGCTGGCGGGCGGCGGCGATCGGTTTCTTTTCGTCGGCGACTCGCTCGTCTCTCTGCAGAACGGTAGCCTGGATTTTTTCAGCTAATGGAAAAAAAAGTGTGAAAATAATTATTACTCACTCTCGGACATCCAACACCATGGGACTAAGAAAAGCAGGAGTTTTGGGCGCCACCGGGTCTGTTGGCCAGCGGTTCATTCAGCTTTTGAGCAACCATCCGCAGTTCGAGCTTGCCGTTCTGGGGGCCTCGTCGCGGTCCGCAGGCAAAAAGTACAAGGACGCTGTCGACTGGAAACAAACCAGTCTGATGCCGGCCGCTGCTGGCGAGATCGTCGTCTCGGAGTGCACAGTCGAGGCCTTCAAGGACTGCGACGTTGTGTTCTCCGGGCTGGACGCGGACTACGCCGGTCCGATCGAAAAGGCGTTCAGGGAGGCCGGCCTGGCTGTCATTTCGAATGCCAAAAATCACCGTAGGGAGAAAGACGTGCCGCTTGTTGTGCCGACCGTCAACAGCGAGCACTTGGCGATCATTGAAAAGAGAGTCAAGGAGGCAGCTGCCGCCGGCCAGAAGAGACCCGGTTTCATTGTATGCATCTCCAACTGCTCCACCGCCGGTCTGGTGGCTCCGCTGAGACCGCTGGTCGACAAGTTTGGTCCGATCGAGCTGCTCACCACGGCCACCATGCAGGCCATCTCGGGGGCCGGCTTCTCGCCAGGGTTGCCGGGCATCGACATTCTGGACAACCTGGTTCCGTACATTTCTGGCGAGGAGGAGAAAATCGAGTGGGAGACCAAGAAGATCCTTGGAGAGATCGCTGATGACGGCAACAGCGTGAGGAACCTTTCTGACGACGAAATCCGCGTTTCTGCGCAGTGCAACAGAGTCGCTGTGTCCGACGGCCACACAGAGTGCGTTTCTGTCAAGTTCAAGAACGGCGCGCCGTCCGTCGACGCCATCAAGCGGTGTCTGAGAGACTACCAGTGCGAGGCCACTATCTTGAAGTGTCCATCTGCGCCAAAACAGGCCATTCACGTGCTGGAGGAGGAGAACCGTCCGCAGCCACGGCTCGACAGAGACAGAGACAACGGATACGGCGTGAGTGTCGGCCGCATCAGAAAGGACTCTGTTCTGGATATCAAGATGGTCATCCTGTCGCATAACACCATCATCGGGGCTGCCGGAAGCGGTGTCCTGATCGCGGAAATCCTTGCTGCAAAGAACGTTATATAGAGCAGTATCTACTGATATAGGCTGAACACTAGCTTGGGAAGAGACGGAAAAACATGTGTCTGCCACAAAAACAAGGCGGGGGACGCCGTCTTCGTGCCGCTGGTCTAGCAGCCCGTAGATGCAGAGCGGGCACCCGCTGTGTCTGCATTATCTGTGCTTGTTTTTATCTGCAGCTATGCAGCCGACGATCGACGCCAGCCGACCCATATTCCGCCAAATTTTATGCTAATTATTCTTCATGCCTTACACGCCTCCCATTCGCCATCCCAGAGCCGACTCCAGCCACCAGGCGTTCCGCAACCTTCTTGCCGCCTCGACAGGGCTAGAGGCCGACCAAGTGGACACTCCAAACTTGCCGTCCGACTTTGTCACGTTCACGACCGAATCCCCCCTCTCGTACTCATACACACTTCTGGCCCCAAACTCTCTGGCCCTGAAATTGAGTGTGCTCAAGCGGTCGCTCGAGATCCTTCTGGACCGGCCAGAGCTTCTCTCCAACATATCCATGGAGAACAGCGACTACTTTTCGCGGAAGGGCCCGACCACCGTGCCGCTGCGCAGAACGTCCACGATGACGCTCATGGACAACGTCTTCCGCATGGAGAGACGGGTGTCGCAGTCGTCGATCAAGTCGCTGCCTGGCTCGTCGTCCGAGCTAGACAAGCAGGACTCAGTGCCAACCTCGACCCCTACAAACATAGACGAAGAGCTGCGGAGGAATCTAAAGGAGATCATCAGTATTTTGGAGATGAAGGAGGACCCGTCGCAGATCAAGCTCGAGAAGGTAGTGGGCCTGCACACGCTGTCGCTCAACCCCAAAGGCATCTCCAAAAGCGAATCGTTGCGCAAAAACCTGCTGTACGCCCTGGCAACGCCGTTCACAGATAATTCCAACACGCCGGCCCACTCGTACCTGCTGGGCGGCCTGCCGGTGCCGCAGACCAGCCCGTCCACCCTGGGACTCGTGTCGCTGGGCAACAAGCTCGGCTCCAGCAACCGGCAGTTCCATCTCGCCTCTGGCGGGAAGGCCGCGTCGCCCAAGGCCTACTTCACGTGCGAGGCAGAGTCGCCGTGGAAGCTCAAGAACGCGAACGACTTCGCGTGTCTCATGTTCGGCATCTCCAAAGCGTCGCTCGCGTCGCTCAGCGTGATGGATCTCATCGCGCCCCGCGCACGTGACCTCGTGCTCGATAGGCTGTGCAACGGCAAAGAGCTGGTTTTCTCGGGCGAAATCATCGCCATCAAGCGCAACAACATGCCGATAGCATGGACCTCGCTGTGGGCAAAGCGCAAGCACGACCTAATCATCCTGATTTTCGAGCAGGTGCCGTGCGACCACCTAGACTTCATTGTTGAATGCAGAGACGACGGCTACTACATAAAGTCGTCCGCAGATACACACGCTTCGCTCTTCCGCAGCGACAAGGAGTTTGTGGGCGCTCCGCTGTCGCGCATCCTGCCCACCATGAGCCAGGAGCTTGCCAGCGCCACAGACGACACTCCTATGCACCATTCTGCCACCATCAACAGGTCTCGCTACTATACCCTCAGGCTTCCGGAAAACGAGCCTGTGCCGTGTGCGGTAACCTCCGAGCCTCTGGAAAACGGGGTTTTGCGGGTGAACTTGCACTCTCTGCCCTACATTTCGGGAGCGTTTGTCATCTCGTCCAGAACGCTCAGGGTGATATCGTTCAACCATGCCATAGCCAGCAACCTCTTTGGGACGTCCGACATCAAGAGCAAGTCTATAGACGTGATACTTCCGTCGTTTTCGGGGCTCTTCGAGCTCGCCGTCAAGGAAAACCCAAATATATTGTACCAACAGGGCCTTGTGCTGCCGGAGCACTATTTCCGCAAACAGGACGCCATCTTGCGGGCTTCGTCGGAGGAGGAGCAGGACCTGCTGTTCCTCAACTCTATAGGCATTGACGGGCTGCACAGAGATGGCAGCACCGTCAAAGTGGACGTCCAGCTGCGCGTGATGGAGTACGAGAACTGCATGCTGTGGATTACCTACTCGCGTGCAACCACCAAGAGGCGGTCTGTTTCGCGGCCGAACAGCGTGTGTCTGAACGAAGAGGAGAGCGAGGACGACGAGGCCAACGGAGACGAGTCGATGCCGTCTCAGCTGAGTCTGTTCCAGCAGATGGAGAACGACTTGCACTCGTGCGGCAGCTCGTCAGACGGACTGAGTCGGTCCAGCAGCATGAACACGATCGCCAACAAGCCGATGGAGCGGATGAACAGCCTGAAGAAGACGAACGCGCGGTCGGACTCGTCGCTGTCGGCCATCAGCAAGTCTGCGTCGACCGGTTCGCAGAAAACCACCGAGACAGACATGGACGACCACGAGGTCCACGACATCACGGACAGTCTCGGAGAGTTCCGGCTGGAGAACATCCGCACGGGTCGCGCGCTGCTGGAGCGCGAAAACGCGCAGATCGCTCGCATACGGAAACAGAGCAAGTTCTTCCCGCAGAAGATAGGGCTTCTCCGTCGCGAGAAAAAAATCACAGATTTCACGGTGATCAAGAACCTCGGACAGGGTGCGTACGGCAAGGTGGTGCTTGCACAGCACAAGGAAGACCCGACGTACCGGCTGGTGATCAAGGCGATTTTCAAAGAACGGATCTTGGTCGACACGTGGGTCAGAGACAGGAACCTGGGCACGATTCCATCAGAGATACAGATCATGAACTATATAAACAGCGACCCGCACCCCAACGTGATGCGGATCGTCGACTTCTTCGAGGACGACCGGTGCTACTACCTCGAGACGCCGCAGCACGGCGACCCGGCTGCGGTCGACCTGTTCGACCTGATCGAGGTCAAGTCGGACATGACCGAGCTGGAGTGCCAGTACATTTTTTTCCAGTGCTGTTCCGCCCTGGCGCATCTGCACGCGCACGGCGTCGTTCACCGCGACATCAAGGACGAGAACATCATCGTCGACAAGGACTATGTGGTCAAGCTGATCGACTACGGCTCGGCAGCGTACACCAAGAACGGGCCGTTCGGGGTGTTTGTGGGGACGATCGACTACGCTGCTCCGGAGGTTCTCAACGGACAGCCGTACGAGGGCAAGCCGCAGGACGTGTGGGCGATGGGCGTGCTCCTGTACACCCTTGTGTTCAAAGAAAACCCGTTCTGCAACGTCGACGAGATCATGGACGGCGGGTTCAAGTTCCCGGCGTTCCACGAGGTGAGCGAATCGTGTGTGGACCTGATCCGCATGATCATGGTCAAGGACGTGGCGCAAAGGCCGTCGATGAACGACATCTTGCAGCATCCCTGGTTGTCTGGCTTTAAGTAACCAATAAGTGGTCCACGTTGATGCCTATTTTGCGCAGGCTCTTCGACTGGAGCTGACTAATCTTTACGCAACTCTGGTAGAGCTCCGACTGCTCGCTGTAGTCGATCAGCTGCCGCCTGAACAGCTTGTTGTAGGCAGCGATTTTCTCGTTCAACCACCCAACGAAAATCACCTTCTGTCCCGTCTCGCGGAAACACTGCTCGTACAGCAGATACGTGTTCTTGATGAAGGTGAAGTAGATGGGCGACATCTGCAGTATGTATTTTTTCACGTCGCCTTCGAACTTGAGCTGGCTCACAAGCTTGTCCAGCTGCCTGCTCTTCGCCTCCAGCACCAGATCTCGCGCTTTTTCCTCCATGTGTATCATCTGGAACAGGTCCACCGTCTCCACGATCTCTCTGCTCGAGCTCAGCGGGTTGCTGATCTCCCAGGACAGCAGCTTCACGAGCTTCTCCCTGAGGTTCTCCCATTTGAGCTTCTTCAGCTTGAGCAGCAGCGAAAACTGCTCGTCGGGACTCTGGCTCTGCAGCCGGTCGATCTGGCCGCTCACGCGGGTCAGGAAGCCGACGGCCTCCACGTACTTGTGGTGCCCAATGTACAGCTCTATGTTCATCAGCCCCTCGTCTACGGTGTTCAGGTTCTGCGTCGAGTTTTTGTCGTTCAGGTCCAACGACCGCGACCGGCGGTGGTTCAGCTTCGTGGTCAGGTCGTGCAGGTAGTCGGAGTTCTTGCTGAGTCTTTCGTGCGTCACAGAGAGCCTGCTCACGCTGTCTGTCAAATCCCTCTGTTTGGCCTTTTCCAGCTCCATCGTGCTGGCAAGCTCGTCCTTCGCAGCGCGCAGATGCGACACAATTTTATTGTACTCGTTCAGACTGTCCGTCTGGAAAAGGAACACCATGCCGTTGATCTTCAGCGACAGAGTGTGCTCTCCCGCATTGGCGGCTTTGGAGATCGCGAGGTCTCTTAGCGGCCAGCACTGCGCGGCCACCGTCTTTTTCCTGTCGCCGGTCCGCTTGCGCGTGGCCACGAGCAGGTGGTCGTTCAAAATGATCAGATGTGCCGGCCGGATCGGCTTGCAGGTGATGGCGTTGAGCTCGCCCCAGCGTCTCGACTCCGCCACGACGTGGCGGCCTGGGATCGCAGACACGAGCTTCTGCGCCCCTTCCACCTCCTTGAACAGCGAGTTGAGGTTCGAGGCCCACTTCTTCTCCAGCAGTAGCACGCTACGTCTATTGTCCCTGTTGCTGCCGTTGTCCATTTTCTCCTGCGCCTCCTCAGCCTGCGAGCTCAGAATCTCGTTCAGCTTCATCACAGGACCCTTCAGCTCCTCCAGCACGCCCTCTGCTTCGACCATGGTGCGAGAAACCGCGAGCACCTGGTTATACGACTGTGTGATGGTGCGCTTGACATCGCTGTCGTTGGACGACGCAAGGTCGCCCAGGTCGCGCGCAAACTGGTCGATCTTGGCCGCGGTCGCGTCTTTGAGATACCCCTGCACGTACGGCACCGCGTCGAACGACTCAGCGGACAGATCAGACAGTAGCGCACTCGAGTCTATCGCTGTTTGCTGGCGAGTCTCGCTCACGGCGGCCTCGGCGCCTTCGGGCAGCGGAGGAAACTGCGCCAGCGCGGCCTTCTGGGCCGACTGGGCCTCCTGCGGGTTCAGCTTCACCGAGAACCGTCTGTTGACACCGCTATTGTCGATCTTGTGCGGCCGCTTCTGCTTCGGCGACGGTTTCTGTGCCGGCGCAGCGGGCGCAGCAGGGGCCTTTTCTATAATCGGGGCAGAGACCTGCGCCGGTGTGAACGTCTTTTTCGCGTTCTTGGTGGACCAATTGGCCCTGCTCAGTCGTCTGTCCATGGTAAAAATATAAACTTGTGGAAACTACACAGCCAGAATAAGCAGAGTAAGTATTTTACGAGATTTGCGCGCACTCGATTATCTTAGTATACCTACTTGTTCTTCAGCTCGTTCATCTGCAGCAGCAGGCTCTCGCCGCTCAGCTCCGGCAGCGAGTCGTCAATGGCGTCCGCCGTCTTCTTGTCGATCTTGCTGTCCAGCAACAGTTTGTTGATGCTCTTGCTTATTTTCTCTCCCTTCACCTCGACAGGCTCGGCCAGCAGCCGCAAGTCCTGGGCCCTCAGCGATTGGATTTTGCCGCGGATCTTGTGCAGGTTTTCCGCCACGCCGTCGTCTTCGTTGTTCCAGGACTTGAGCTCCATGAGCACGTCGCTGATCTTGATTAGCTCGTAGTAATTGTTGTAGATGATCGACTTGATCTCGGCCTGGTTCGAGTTCAGCTCCTCGGTGATATCATTTTCTGTCTCGAGCAGCTTCTTGAAGTCGCTGTTTCTGATGAACTCGTCCACGTTCTCCAGCGTGAGCTCTGGCTTTTCGGCCGTCTCCTCATGGCCCAGCTGCGCGCTCTCCAGCTGCTGCTGTCCTTGCTCCTGCAATCTGTAGAACTCCTTGAGGGCCTTTCTTCGTGACGACACAGACATAGGGCAAAAATATTTTTTAGCTTTAATTTTCTGCCATGGCCACCTTCGACCCTTCTATTCTGCAGTCGATTCTCAACAAAACCAAAACAGACTCGTCCGAGAACGTCACCGTTGTAGACGTGCCGCCGTTCCAGGAATGGCGGTTCGAAGTTGCCGCCAAAGACAAGCTCAAGCTGAAACTAGTCGACGGCACAGCAGAGATCTTTGGAACCGAGCTGTCGCCCAGCATAGAGTACGCGTTCCAGGGCTCGGTGAAGCTGTGCGTTTTCTCGTTTTCTGGCTGTAAACTGCAGTTCTGGAACTGCCAGCCGTTGTCCGAGTACGTCAGCGAGGAGAGCTGCGTTGGACAGTATCTGACGCTGCATCTGGGGCTGGAAAAACAGAGAGTCGTCGAAGGCCCCCGCGTGCTCGTGATTGGAGGGAAGGACTCGGGCAAAACGGCTCTCTGTCGCACATTGGCATCGTACGCGGAAAAACAGGACCACCAGCCGATGCTGGTCAACCTGAATCCCAGGGACTTCCAGTTTGTGGTTCCCGGTAACCTGAGCGCGACCGCCATTTCGGATCTCCTGAACGTGGAGAACGTCGCGCTGGGCGAGAGCGTCGCCACGGGCCCCTCGTTTTACCACCAGAAACAGCCATTGGCCAAGACTTTCGGCCTGGAGAAGTTCTCGGATAACGTTAAACTATACAGGTATCTAATCCAGCAATTGGGGGAGTCGGTGCGCAGACGCCTCGACAACGACGTCAAGGTGAAGAAATCGGGCGTGATCGTCGACACGCCCGCGTTCGCAATCAAAGATTACGACATCATCGAGGAAATTGTCTCATCGTTTAATATTAATGTGCTTTTAATAGTTGGAAGCGAGAGACTGCTGGTGGACTTGAAGAAAAAAATGCAAAACCCAGCAGTCACGCTGCTGAAACTCAACAAGTCCAGCGGGTGCGTGGACAAGGACGACAAGTATGAGCGGGAACTGCAGCAACGGTCAATCAAAGAGTATTTCTACGGCATCGACAGGCTCCAGCTGAGCCCGTACAGCGTCACGGTGAACCTGAAAGACTTCATCTTTGTGCGCCCTAAGGAATCCGAAAACGTGAACCTCTCGTTCCTGAGCGGGGACCTTGCCGATGACGACGAGGCGCCTCGAGAAACCGTCAATTACAAGCAACTGGCCGAGCGAGTCAAGAACCCTGGCTCCGATACCTTGAGTAACGCCATCCTGTCGTTGGTGGACGACTCCCACATCGACACTCCGACATACTTGAACTCCGACGACGACGACGAGAACTTGATCAGGCCCTTCCTGGAGAGCAGCTCGTTGGGCTTCTGCTACGTCCAAAATTGCAACGACGAAAAAGGAAAGCTAACATTATTAGTGCCGTCTCCTGTCCAACAATTGCCAACGAGAACGCTCCTGCTGACACAGTTCAGATACCACGAATAGACGTCTATTTCCTTTCGGCCGCCGTAGTTGCCGCGGGGCTCGTCGAAGCGCTCTCATGCATTTGGCCGAGCTCTGTGTCGGCTATTCCCTCGAAAAACGTTTCTCGTAGCTCTTTCCAGCGAGTCGTCCAGGTGCCCAGCGTGATCATGATCGCACAGCTACAGATCTGCAGCAGCCACCAGTAGATGCTGGCCGGGAACCCCGAGTTCAGCCAGACTAACGCGAGATTCACCACATGGACCGTAAGAGCGTAATCCCACGCCAATTTCGATCGTCCGATAATTATCGTGATAAAGATCACGCTCAGCAAGGAGTCAAATAGCCACAAAGCTGCCAACGTGAGCCCCAACGTGTTCTCCAGCGACACCCATTGCCAGGAGAAACACCACTTGAAAGAAAACGGCAAACCCAGAAGCTGCGCCGTGGCAAAGAACAGAATGATTGCCGTTAGATAATAAAACACTTGCAGAATCACAATCTGCAGGAAAATCCTGCTCGGCGTTGAAGAGTTGCCCTGGATCTGCTGGAACGAGGGCAGCCGGGAGTAATGGAGCTTGAAGGAGTCAAACATGATCAGTTATACATACATAAAACAATAATTTGAATCGGACACCCAAGCCCAATATTACGTAACGGGGGTGGCCTACGGTGTCAGGGTTGCCCACTTTAGTTATGTGGAGGAAGAGCCCGCGCCATTGAGTTCGCACGAGATCACGATAGCACATAACTCATAGCCACGCGCGTTTCCGAAATACACAGTTTTGCCTTGGAGACCTTCCCTGAAATATTTGGAGCTGCATGATACTGCATCCTGCAGTTGTGCGATTGACTGAATTTTCAGGAAGAGCTTCTTTGGCTACACATGCTGTCAACCGTAAGAGGCAGTTGGTGTCTTTGCGCAAACCTGTCATACGTTAGAAATGCTGCTCTTCACGCTGTCTTGATCAGACCTGATTTCTCTTTCGCTTACCGCTGAAACTAGCCACGGGTCTGCTGGTTTTCGTCTAGAAGTCTGAAAAATCTACTGTACGAGATTTCTCACCTTATTTCTCACATTTTTTGTGCACCAACTTCGTGTCATGACGCAGAACTTAGCGGCGGTGGCAGGGCTCTAACGTCACTACGGATATACCTACGTCTAGTCAATTGAAGCTGGCCCAGTCGGTTGGGGACAGCTAACTGATTCGGGAGCATCATAAATCAAGTCTGTCTCACGGCCTTTGACAGAGCCCAAGTCTGGTAACGAGCGCAGATCCAGTGGGGAATGGTTCAATATAGAGACACTGCTGTTCTGCAGGCCACTGGGACGACACAAACAAACGCCGGCAGGGTCTAAAGACTACCATTGAAATGAGGCTCGGAAATGGTTCCATGTGCATCTTGACAATTTGACTTCCACTGGCATGAGTACATCATGGTATGCAGGCTCTGGAATATAACTGCGTTCTCATAGACTTTGCGACATGTAGACCTTCTTCCAAGCCGACTGCAATGGATCGTTGGACTGAAATATTGCACTAGTTTGATATTTAGGTAATTGAGAAGCTGAATAGAATACTATTTACCCCAGTTTCCACGCTTGACAGACGAGGGAATATTATTTTCCTTTTCATCAAGAACCAAACTGCGCTTGATCGGGGTGGACTTGTTATGGTTGACGAAACTTGATTTTTTTAGAGAGTCGGGAGTGTTTCTAGCGTCGTATTTGGATCCGTTTTGTAGCGACGGATCGCGCTTCACCTTGTCTGCTGCTTTGGCACTCACAAACACCACCTTGTCAGGAATTCCTACTGGCGTGGCAGATGGGACGCTCAGATCCAGCTTGCGCGCGACAGGAGTGCTGCTCTTGCTGGAGTCTGCTTCGCGTTGCAGTTCCTGCGACTTGCCCGTCTTGAGCTCGCGTCCGCGAGGAGCTGGCGGCTGCAACGAACGGGGCTCGAAATCGTCGTCGTCGTCGAACTCGGGCTCCGAGTCGGGCAGTGCGTCCCGCTTTGTCTTGACCAGCTCGTCTGGCCAGTCGTCGCTCATAAAATCGTTGAAGGAGTTCTCGTGGTCCTCTGCTGGATCGCTTGTTTTCAGCGCTGGCATCGAGTGCGACTGCGGCTTGACTGCCACCATAGGCTTTCGTTCCGGCTCTTTCAGAGACAAAGCCTTTGGCTTTTCTTCGTGGCGCATTAACGTGTCCTCGTCAAAAGTCAATGGGATTGGCTTGACCTTGCAGATTCGCTTCAGGTAGTCTTTATCGTACAGACAGTTGCCGAGCGAGTTACCGAACTGTCTCAGCGCTCTCTTCATCCCATCCGTCGCAGCCTCTTTCTTGCATTTGTCAAATGCCGCGCTCTTGCTGTTGCAGTTGTCTATCGAGCCGTATCCGATGTCCTCGTGGTACGTCCCGTCTCTCAGAATAACACGAACTATGGACGATAGTCCCAGACTAACACGTCCATTACGTTCGTCGATGTAGTCCACTTGGAAGGAACGGAGCTCAGACCTCCATCCTGTAGGGCCAAAGATCTCGTTGGCCAGATTGATGGCCTTCCATCCTTCCAGATAGTTTACTTTGCTCTGTCCGGGCCCGCTTCTGATGCTGATAAATTCTGGCCCCAGCTTGCGATCTAGCGCGGTTTTGAGACGCTCCAGCTCTTCAGGAGTGTACGGAATAATGGCAGGCCCGTTCACATTCTCTTGCTTCTTGGGCAAGTCACGCGATATTTGGCCAGACATTCAAAGAGACAAGAGAAAAAACGAAAAAAGGAGATCAAGTTGATATTTGCATTTATTTTGTCCACAAAACGCGTCCTGCCAGACGATCGACCTCGCTCGTCAAGGACGAAAAAATTAAAGGTGCTTTTTTTCTTGTTTATTCATGTCTACAATTTATACTCGAGATCGACTCGCCGGTCGATTGGGTTCTCTCCCTAGTAGACGACTGCCGTCGCAGGCACAGAAAACCAGTCAAGATGCATTGAAAAAACAAAACAATTACTCCAAAATCCTGGCCAAGGTGTTCCATATGAGAATGAAGTTCTACTCACGGCTGGCACTGTTGCTCGCTTTCGTATACACAATCGTGGTCAGTCTGCCCTTCAGAACGAGCCCGTTGTTTTTTCCTGTGAAATTGTCTCTGTTCTGGTGCTCATTCATGCTGCTGAAGTTTGCCAGAGACCTTACTTTGAAGGTCGAGACTACCACCTACTCGACTCTTTTTCAACAGATTTTTGGATCCCTGCTCTCAGCAGAGTTTGCTACCCTTATGTCTTCATTCCTGATCTCCAATGTGCTGACATACGGGATCATCTGGTCGCAGACAGCCAGCCTGTCATACTATATCGAGAGTCCAACAAAAACTATCAAGCCCTTTGTCAACGATAAATTCCTTTATTACTGGTTCTTTGCCTTTGCCAGTACGCTAGTTTACACTGTTTTCTTCCTCACAAAAGGAAAGAACCAATTGAAATTCAAGATTGGTGTTTACCGAGTTGAGCCTCTAGAATATCTCAGGAATCTGCCGCTGTCTGAGATTTTGAAAGAGACCAGCATTTTCAGCATTTCAGTGACCCTCGCCACGCCCGTAATATTTCTCATGGTCAGAAAATTCATGTTCAGCACCGTCCTATTTCCATTCATTTGGCTGCTGAACCTCAACACCCATCTTCCTAGAGTTTCCATTTCTCTGTCACTATACTTCGGCTTGTTCTTGCTCACCTTCACCACAGTCCTGCTGTACGAGGTTCTGAACGAAATCTACAACGCTTATGCCATGGTGGGGTGTCTGAATGTGAAGAAACCTCTCAGCACGCACGCAGAAGATCAGCTGGAAACACTACTGTCCGGCCTCAAAGACATCAAGCACCCGTTCGTGCGACTCACAACATTCCAAGAGCTTGTGTACATGGCACAGACAGCAGAGGAGAGGAAATTCTTCTACAAGAACACAGCTAATTGGACCTCTATTCTTGAGCAGTGCTCGATCGTGATCCGCAGTGTGTCTATGGCTGTGACGGCCGATCTGAGTCTTCCGCCGGTGATTCAAACTCCAGTCCAAAAAAATAGCATTTTCGGGAACTCTGGGTCTTCCAGGTCGCCCATAGACGAGGACAAGTCAGACAGGAAAGCGGACTCGCTTTTCTTGCCAGCCGAGAAACCAAAACCAAAGCCGAAACCGTTCTGGGAAACCGTTCTGGACCGAATTACCAGTCTTGGAAAAAAGGTTAGAAAGCCAGAATTGCTCGTGAGACTGGAAAAGGAGTCTCGCAGCAGGAACACTCGCGAGGCACTCGAGTACGTCCTGTCTAGCCTCGGATTTCTAGAAGACTTATTTCTGCCCAACATTGAGCGTGAGGCTGCAAAACGGGTGCCTAATAAAGTGATGGTGGGCGATGCAGTGCTGGTGATATCAGAGGTATTACTACACGCCAAACACGAGGACCGCAAGAGCGTTGTCGTCCCCACGTTGACCGAGGTGTTGACGCTTCTGACTCGCCTATACAAGGCCACAGCAGAGTTTCTTTCCGACCCGCCCGCCAGAGACACAGGTAGCTGTTGTATACGCGAGCTGAACGAGTTGACGCTGGACTACTTCTTCAAGCTGGTGGTGCAGTACAACTCTGTGCTGAACGACCTGATTCTGGCTCCGGACGTGTTCAAGTTTGCCAAATGGTGCACTGACACCGCGCTCGACGAGAAAATGGAATGGTGAATTATTTCGTGAATATATATCCGTCTAATTAGAAGCTGGAGAAATTATTTCTTGTCGTTTTGCTTTGCCGGCAGATTATCCAGCAGCACCGGCTTCAGCACGTTTTCATCGAAGTTGGTGAACCATTTGGCGTGCTCGTCTACGCTCAAAATGTTGCTAAGGAGGCCAGATTGGGACCTGCTTGGCTGGTCCTGCAGGGGCGGAGAGGCGTTTCCAGAAGTCGATCCTGGGCCGGGGAAGCTGGCCAACGTGTTTGAGGGAAGCTGCGCGTGGTCCTCATAGTCGGTGTCTCTCATCAGGTCGTCCTGGGAGGGATTTCTGGACCGTGGAGGTACGTTGTCTGTGTAATGCGAGGCGCTCGACGAAGCGAAATTCTTGTTGCTGATCATGCCATTCGGGTTAGTTCCGTAGAATGTGGAGGCTGGCGGAGTTGCTCTTGGCGCCTCGATGTCGAACTCGTCGTCGCTAATGTTCTCTTCAACGCAGCCCGTTTTGATATTGAGCATCTCTAGCATACCGGCCGTGGTTCCTCCAAAGAGAATCACCGTCAGAACCACCACGACCAACACGGTAGCCAGGAGAGCTGACTTGGACTCGCCCTGTAGTCCCATGGCCAGAGCCACTCCCACGGCTCCACGGAGACCGGCCCAAAACTGCATCATTTGGTAGTTGTATGGGATTTCGTCCTGCACAGTTGCCGGCGCCAGCCCGCGTCTCGCTCCCTTTGTGCGCGCAAACCAGTTGATAGCACGGCCCAGCGGGAAAACTGCCGCCCATCTGGACACGCAGATCGAGATGAATGTGACAATGATGAGCACGGGCTTGAACACAAGTTGCACCTCAGTGAACAGCGACAGTCCAAGATAGATGAAGATGAAGTTCTCAGAAAGCTGGGCCAGCAGCTGGAAGATGTACTTCGTTGCAATCTGCGTTCGTCTCGACATGTTGTAGTAGGCGTAGTGTTTCATCGTGATGCCGCAGAAGAGCAACGAGACAATTCCCGACATGTGGCATCCATTCGAAAAGAAGTAGGACTCGTACGCAAACAGCAGTACCAGACACGTTTCTATCTGCGGATACCGTCTGATGTGGGAGTGTTTGAGCACGAGAGCCACGAGGATCCCCACAACCAGGCCAATGATGGTGCTGATGGTGAATGTCATGAGGAACATTCCGATACCTTCGAAAAAGCTGGAAAACTCAGCGCTGGTGCCATGAAACTTCTCGCATGTCTCAAACATGACGATACAGATAGCATCATTCAGAAGCGACTCTCCAAAAATGATCGTGTATAACTTTGGATCCACTTTGTAGGAGTTGAAAATAGACAGAATGGTGACGGGGTCCGTGGCAGAAAGCGTGGCACCGACGGCTAGGGCGTCCACAAATGACATGCTGATGCTTTCAATCCCCAACTTCGTGTAGATGTACAGAATAATTCCCAAAACTATCGCACTGAGAAACGTTCCAGGGATTGCAAACGTGAGGATGGATCCTATATTTCGGAAGAAGTTGGCCTGGTGCAATTCGTAGCCGGAGTTGAGAATAATGGGCGGCAGGAGGATGTTGAAAAAGTAGCTCGACTTGAATTTCACCGCGTCCTGGATGTAATGGCCCGGACTGATTCTGATGATAAGACCAACCACCATGCCATAAAAGATGGAGAGAACGGTTTCATGGATGGCCTTGATCCGCTTTTGCTGGAGATAGTACGACGACCATAGTGCAGAGCACAGCAGAAACAGCACAATGAACAGAGCCCAGGAGGAGAAGATCTCCTCTGCCATTGGATTTGTCTCGTCTAGGTTGTCATCATCAGGGAGCCCTATATCGGGGCTGTCACTTATGGGCTCTTCGTCTATTGGGTCTGCCGGATCTACCTGCTTGGCCAAAGATTCTGCTGCTGGACCGAAAACGCCTCTTTTGGCCAAAAAAAGGCCACCCTTGATAACTGCAGAGGCCATATTTCAAAGAACAGCGAAGAAGAAAAAAAGCTGAATAAATGCGCGAAAGGATTCTACCTGTAAAAGCATAAACAAAAAACACAAAAAATAATTTATTACCTGTTATTATAATTAGTCCAATAATTTCATAAACATCATGGTTGGGCGGCCTATTGTCATCAGTGGTCCCTCTGGAACAGGAAAATCCACTCTGCTGAAAAAGCTGTTTGCGGAGTTTCCAGATAAGTTTGGATTTTCCGTGTCGCACACCACCAGAAAACCCAGGCCCGGTGAAAAAGATGGTGTCGATTACCACTTCACCACGGTAGAGGGTTTCAGGAAGATGATCGAAGAAAACAAGTTCATCGAGTGGGCCCAGTTTTCCGGCAACTACTACGGCACCTCTGTGAAAGCTGTGCAAGACGTGGCCGACGTGATGAAAAGGACGTGTATTCTGGACATTGATATGCAGGGTGTCAAAAGTGTCAAGAAGACCAACCTGGGCGCCAGATTCCTCTTTATCTCTCCTCCATCCATCGAGGAGCTCAAGAAGAGGCTCGAGAGCCGTGGAACAGAGACTCCTGAGTCTCTTGCTAAGCGTCTCGCTGCTGCATCTGCGGAGATGGAGTACGCCAGGGCAGGTGGACACGACAAGATCATCGTCAACGACGACCTGGAAACGGCGTACTCCGAGCTGAAGGAGTTCATTTTCGCTGAGCCCATCTAAGCATTCATAAATTCTTAATATCTAGAGCTCTCATTCGGGACAGTATTTCTTCGAGCCTTGCGTCGATTTTGTCCTCCTCGTGTTCCTGAACAGTCATGGCGTCCAGCTGCTGGTGCTTCTCCTCCAGCCTAGCGAAAATGTCGCTATACAGCTTGAGTTGGATCTTGATGAAACTCTCAAACGTAGGGTCCACCAATGACAGCCGGAGCGCTATGAACTGCTCGATCTCGTTCTTGAGCCGCGTGTTGATGTCCATGTAGATAGTTTCTGCCTCGTCGTACTCCACTTTGAACTTCTGCAGCTTATCCATGCTCTTCTGCAGCTGGTCTGTCTTCTCGGCGTGGTTTTGCTCGGCCGCCTGTCGCTCAGCCGCTTCGTACTCGCTCTGCAATTTCGAGAACTTGAACCGCGAAACGTCGTAGTCCACCTTCTTGCGTGCGCGCTTCTTGATGAGCTTGTTGATCTCGTCGTTGTACTTCTTCAGCTCCTTGATCGGCTCCACGACCGTGATGCTCATTGGCTCAAGGATTTCCGGCAGAATGTTGTTTTTAATGTCCTCCACCATCTGCAAATAGTCCAGCGAAATCCCGTCTCGGAGGTTTACCTTGTGTTCGTCTGCCGGGTCCGCGGCTTCCGCTCGCTTGTCGGCCTTGAGATCAAAACTGTAGTCGCCGTAGAACGAGTCCAGCGTTTTGGCCATGTTGATCTGTGTCTCCAGCAGGTTCTCGAAATTGCTCACAAAACGGCCCAGCTCCTTGTCCAGCTCGTTGGTGTAGGACTCGAGTTTCCGGAAATTGGCTTCCTGGGCGTCGAACTCCGGGTCAACAGAGGGCTCGCCCTTGTTTGTACGCAGAATCACGTGTGCTCCGGCGCGATTGACGGCCTTTTTAAACCCAAGCCATGACATGTCGAGCAGAGAGGGTCTTTCTGGAGATTAAATATTTTCGGCCATGTGGCAGACATGTTTCGACGCGGGAGTCGCGTCGATTGGAAAAACAGACCCCAGGAGCCTGCTCCTGCTGGAGTCTGCCACCACTCTGCCAGCCCATTTGGCCGAATCTGCACAGGGCCAATGAAATCTGGCGGAATCTGGAACCGCGAAACGGAGCTCACTCGCCAGCTCGCCCAGCACTGCATTTTTCAAGTGAAATAGCCTATTGGCGTCCCGCTCCCCTCATAGCTGTACAGGGGTGCAATTTAGCCTCGTTCCAGCCCTTGACGGCTACCACGGGGTGCTCTAGCCCCAGCACGCCTATAAATAGCGCCCTGCCCGTCTGCTCCACAGCTATCTCTGTCTTTTCTCCGATGAGTATGAGAATCCCCAAAGCAGCGTCGGTCAACGACGAACAACACCAGCGAATCATCAAGTACGGCCGTGCGCTGGTCCTGGACATCGTCGAGCAGTACGGCGGCGGCCACCCGGGCTCGGCCATGGGCGCCATGGCCATCGGAATCGCTCTGTGGAAGTACACCCTCAAGTATGCTCCCAACGACCCAGACTACTTCAACAGAGACCGGTTTGTCCTGTCGAACGGTCACGTGTGTCTGTTCCAGTACATCTTCCAGCACCTGTACGGGCTCAAGTCGATGACCATGGCGCAGCTGAAGTCGTACCACTCGAACGACTTCCACTCGCTCTGTCCCGGCCACCCGGAAATCGAGCACGACGCCGTCGAGGTCACGACGGGCCCGCTCGGCCAGGGCATCTCGAACTCGGTTGGTCTGGCCATAGCCACCAAGAACCTGGCCGCCACGTACAACAAGCCGGGCTTTGACATCGTCACCAACAAGGTGTACTGCATGGTTGGCGACGCGTGTCTGCAGGAGGGCCCTGCGCTCGAGTCGATCTCGCTGGCCGGCCACATGGGGCTGGACAACCTGATTGTGCTCTACGACAACAACCAGGTCTGCTGCGACGGCAGCGTCGACATCGCCAACACGGAGGACATCAGCGCCAAGTTCCGGGCCTGCAACTGGAACGTGATCGAGGTCGAGAACGCGTCCGAGGACGTGGCCACCATCGTCAAGGCCCTGGAGTACGCGCAGGCCGAAAAGCACCGGCCGACGCTGATCAACTGCCGAACGGTGATCGGATCGGGCGCTGCGTTCGAAAACCACTGCGCTGCGCACGGCAGCGCTCTGGGCGAGGACGGCGTGCGCGAGCTCAAGATCAAGTACGGCATGAACCCGGCCCAGAAGTTCTACGTTCCGCAGGACGTGTACGACTTTTTCAAGGAGAAGCCGGCCGAGGGCGACCAGCTGGTGGCCGAGTGGAAGAGCCTCGTGGCCAAGTACGTCAGGGAGTACCCCGAGGAGGGCCAGGAGTTCCTGGCACGGGTGAGAGGCGAGCTGCCGAAGAACTGGAAGTCGTTCCTGCCGCAGCAGGAGTTCACGGGCGACGCCCCTACGAGGGCCGCGGCCAGAGAGCTCGTGAGGGCGCTGGGGCAGAACTGCAAGTCTGTGCTGGCCGGCTGCGCAGACCTGTCCGTGTCTGTCAACCTGCAGTGGCCCGGGGTGAAATATTTCATGGACCCCACGCTGTCCACGCAGTGCGGGCTGGGCGGCGACTACTCCGGCAGATACATCGAGTACGGCATCCGGGAGCACGCCATGTGCGCGATCGCCAACGGCCTCGCCGCCTACAACCGGGGCACGTTCCTGCCGATCACGTCGACGTTCTTCATGTTCTACCTGTACGCTGCGCCGGCCATCAGAATGGCCGGCTTGCAGCAGCTCAAGGCGATCCACATCGGCACGCACGACTCGATCAACGAGGGCGAGAACGGGCCTACGCACCAGCCGGTCGAGACGCCGGCCCTGTTCCGCGCCATGCCAAACATCTACTACATGAGGCCGGTCGACTCGGCCGAGGTGTTCGGGCTGTTCCAAAAGGCCGTCGAGCTGCCGTTCAGCTCGATCCTGTCGCTCTCGCGGAACGAGGTGCTGCAGTACCCGGGCAAGTCGAGCGCAGAGAAGGCGCAGCGCGGCGGGTACATTCTGGAGGACGCGGAGAACGCCGAGGTCCAGATCATCGGAGTCGGTGCAGAGATGGAGTTTGCGTACAAGGCGGCCAAAATACTCGGCAGAAAATTCAGAACCAGGGTGCTCTCCATTCCGTGCACGCGGCTGTTCGACGAGCAGTCGATCGGGTATAGACGCTCGGTGCTGAGAAAGGACGGCCGACAGGTGCCAACGGTGGTGGTGGACGGCCACGTCGCGTTCGGCTGGGAAAGATACGCCACGGCGTCGTACTGCATGAACACGTACGGCAAGTCTCTGCCTCCAGACGTGATCTATGAGTACTTCGGGTACAACCCGGCCACGATTGCCAAGAAGGTCGAATCGTACGTCCGGGCGTGCCAGAGAGACCCGCTGCTGCTCCACGACTTCCTGGACCTGAAGGAGAAGCCCAGGCACGATAAAGTAAATAAGCTCTGATTAAGTAAGATGAATAAGTTCTTTGTCTGTGAATGCCGCCCCACAATAACCCCACAAATAAAACTTTCACACTTGCGTCAGAAAATGTCGTCGAGCCGCACGGGGCTCATCAGCGGCGCGCCTCTGGCCCCCACACGGAAACTGCGCACGGAACAGAAACTATTGGACCAGGCGCTGCTGCCGACGCCAAATAGAACCGATCGGATCCCGTCTTTTCGTGCGTTCCGTACGGCGGGGTCCTGTTAGGCAACAATCGCAACATGCACCGTACTCTGCAGCAACACAATCGCGCGCACGCGCCCCTCTCCATCTCCTCCTCGACGGCGATCTGTTTCCTAGTGGCCCTGGCGTGAGCCTCCCCTCCCTGGCCAACAATAAGGCAACAATAGATCAACAAAAACCGCGGTCCCCACAGTTTTCTGATGTGTCCTGGCCGGTCGAGGAACAGCATGCAGTTTGGGTTCAAAAGACGAGTGACCACTCTGATCTATAAAAGAGGCCGGTCTGCTGGGGTTTCGCTCCAAAAATGTCCATCTCCAGAGACGACGACCACCCAAGACCCAAGCGCGCTAGGTCGGGCAAGCCCAAGAAAGAGACCCCTCCGGCCAAACGGAGGGTCCGGACAGGGTGTTTGACGTGTCGCAGGAAGCACAAGAAGTGCGACGAAAACCGGCCCAAGTGCGACTTTTGCACCGCAAAGGGCCTCGAATGCGTCTGGCCCGAGGAAGTCAAGAAGAACGTCTTTGTCAACAACTCGTTCAAGGACTTCTGCTTCAGCCAGAGCAAACACCACGACAGGTTCCGCAAGCCCACCGACTTCGACCTGCCCAGCTCTCTCGCCCCGCTAGAGTACCCTCTCGGCTCGGGCGACCCGCGCGCACGCAAAAAGGCCTACTCGCTCGACCTTGCCGACCACTATCTCAGCGCCTTCGACGGCTACTCGCGCAAAAACGAGTATCTCGACGCTCCTCTCTCGACGGGATACCCGCTGCTCGAGACGTCCGAGTCGCCGCTCTCCGGCCTCTTCAACGCTCCGCAGGAGCTGCCGAGCCAGCTGACCAGAACTCCAAGCTTTGGGGCCAGCTCACTCAGCTACTTCGACGCGCTGCAGAGCTATAGCATGAACCCGTCGCTGTCGTCGGGCTCAAACGATAAAACCTCGACCGCATCCTCCGTCTCGTCCGATATGTCTCTTGCCAAGAAGGACGCCGACTTTGAGCACCGTTACTCCTTTGCAGAGCCGCAGAAAAAGAGTAGATACGGCCTCGACTACTACGACCTGCCGAACACGCTCAACGACCTCATGTGTCTCTTCATTGCTACCAAGGACAGCTCCTCTGGTAGCAGGCTGCCCAACAACGAGACGATTTTCGAGATTTTCGCCGACAAGTCCACCATGGAGGCGCCTGACATCGACGACCACGAGATGATGCTTCTGATGGAAACGTACATCGACCAGATCGCTCATTTCCTCAACAAGTCCGACGAGACCCAGTGTAACATTTTTATGACCAAAATCCCGGAGCTCGCGCACAAGTTCCCGTCTCTGCAGTACGCTATCCTGGCACTTGCCTCCAGACACCTGGAAAAAGTCAGCCCCGATTACTCTGGCGAGAAGACGTTGCAATTCTATACCTATTCTCTGCAACAGCTCAGCATGTGTCTGAACTCCGACAAGAACACCCTTGAGGTGGTGGCCACGTGTGTTCTGCTGTGCTATTTCGAAATCCTGAGCACCAACCCGGACTCCTGGCACTCGAGGCTCGAGAACTGCGGTTCCATGCTCAAAGTCTGCCACATCAACGCACGCTCGGAAACAGAGCTGGAAAAAGCTCTGTTTTGGAGCTTTGTCGCGCTGGACGTCGGCTGCTGCGCAGTTGGAGACAGAAAGACCGTTGTTTGCGCCGACGACTGGTTTGGTACCGACGCTCCTTCCAGCCCGGCCGATACTGGCTCCGCGCTGCAGTCCATGCTGTATCTGTCATGCCAGATCTTCCAGCTGGTCAGCTCGAACGATGCCCAGTCTGAATTCGACAGCTGCTGGAAGTCGCTGTGGAAGCAGCTGGGCGACTGGGAGCGCACCCGATCGAGCAACATGCGCGGCTTCTGTTTCAAAAGAGACAACTCGTTCCCGGAGACTCTTTTCAGCAGCTCCACGGCCCTTTGTGCCAACCAGTTGTTCCACACATGCTGCATTCTGATGCTCCAGACCAAGCCACGGCTCGTCAAGCTGTGCGAGCCGGAGAAGCAGGAAAGGACTCCCGACACACTATTCCAAAGCGCCATCAAACCGGAGCAAGGCGAGCCGGTCTCGACCAGCAGTCTGATGTCCCGCTCCCAGATCTGGCACGCCAAGCAGATCATCGGTATCAACGTGTGCAACATGAAGAACGTGTCCTCGCGGAGTCTCGGGTGCCAGATTCTGTCGCTCCAGGCGATCTGGATCGCCGGGAAGTTGATATCGTCCGCTCACGAGCATTCAATCATTCTGCAGCTGCTGAGACAACTGGAATCGTGGTCGAGCATGTCGATGGACTGGAGAGAAAAACAGCTGACCGAGTTCTGGAAACGCGAGTGCTAAGCGATTCACCCTTTTTTATGTCTGTAACGAATAACGATAAGAAAATTAAATAATTTAACAAAAGCGGAAATTTGTCGTTTTTACTATACCATGAAACCTCCCCCAAACTACACGGGGGCGCTTTTGCAGGATAATAGAGATCACAAAAAGTTCCCTATCAAGCTCACGCCAGAGCAGAAGAGTCTCCTGAAGTCTGTGACGCCGCCGGTGTTGTATTATGACCATAAACGCACTCTCCACAAGGATACACAGCGTCTGCTTGCCAGCTTCATAGTCTTGCTCGAGCTGACGACAAATACACCAAACACGGTGTGCACTCTTTTCCGCTACTACAGATACTGGCAATTGTCGTGCCAAGGGCGCCTGGTCACCACACGTGGCCAGTACAGATTCCACGCCCGGAACCAAGGAAAGGAGATAAAATTGGTGGGAATGGACAATTGGAAAAATGTCATGTGCTACATGGACTCCCTACTTATATCTATGTTTTACTCTAGCGACAGCTTTGACTTCCTTCTGGATTGCTATGTTGACAAAAGCCTGTCTCCGGAGCTGCGACAACAGGTCAAAGACTTCAAAGTCATGCTTCGATTTATTGTGAATCTGATCCGAGGAGGCGAATATATTCCCCACCCTCTGATGAAGCAGCTTTGTTTCTCACTGAGCAGTCTTGGCTGTGAGATGGTCCTGAGCCAGAACCAGCAGGACGCTTTGCAACTGTTCGAGTTTCTGGCCGAGTCGCTGTCTCTCCCGCTGCTCACCATAAAATTGGACATCATCCACTCCGGACAACTCAACGTGAACGACGACATGAGACTCATCGAAGAGCGCGCATTACTAATCTCTGTCCCAGAAGACACAACGGCCGACCCGGAAAGCAAGGAGGAGGGCGCGTCCATCTCCTTGGAGGAGTGTCTCAACTCGTATTTCAATAATAGCATCACTGTGCGCAGACACTTGGAACGGCGGCGCACGCTGGATAGAGACGACCAGATAGACGAGAAAACAAGAAACGAGATCACGCATGACTTGCAATACTACGAGAAGCTCGGGATTGTCACCTCCAACGAGGAACAGCTGCAACGCTCGCCGTCTCAGAACTCGGCCTCTTCTTCCGCAGATCTGAGTACAGCGCTCAGCAACACGACTGTCACCGGTGCCGAGTCTACGAGCGACCGCACAGGCGCGGTTTCCTCATTCCTGAGACTGTCGGAAAGGATGGAGGCATCTAGAACGAGGTCCTCGACTATCGCCTCAGTTCTGAACAACGTCATGGTTTCAAACTCAACAAGATTAACACGCAGAGCGTCGTCGGTCTCCAATAGCGAAGTGACGTTGCCGGCTTGGATGTTTTTGCAACTTCTGCCATACTACACCAACCCTAACGTGAAATTACGCTTACGGAGCTCGGGCCGATCGGTCAGGGGAATGAGTAGAAGTGTGACCGGAGAATCATTGACATCTTCGGAGGATGACAGAGGACTGACAGAGTTTGAGGACCGGTTTCAAAAGAAACGGCCAATAATCCCCATTTGTCTGAAGAAATACGGCTGGGATGAGAACGGACAGTCGCATAAGATAAACCGCAAGGTGGTCATTCCAGAGGTGATCAAACACCCATACTTCATTGCTGAAGACAGCACAAAGCCCGGATACGTCGATTTCAGAAGAAACACAGACAATAAAGCGCCTTCCGGGTCGTTCATGCTGGTCCTGGAGAGCTGCATTTGTCACCGAGGTAAAACTGTGAATTCGGGTCATTATGTCTCATTGGTGCGGAAACAACCATACAGCCCAAAAAATTCAATACCCTCTGATGAAAAGAACTGGATTCTATTCAACGATGTCCTCGAAAAGGAAGAGAAAGCCAAGGAAGTGACGTTCCAGGAAGCCATGGACCAAGAAGATCCTTATATTCTGTTTTACAAAATAGTGGAGCTACACGAAGACTTTGATTCTGACTACTACGGCACTGCCACCAGTGGCGACGAAAGCACAATAAGGCCTCCACGGGGCGCCAAGGACAAATTTTGGAATTCCGACAGCGAATCCAGCATGCCTAATAGCTCGGTCCTGGCTGCACGCAAAAGCTCGATAGTGTCTCAGATGTCACATCTTTCTCTCAAGTCTAACGGTGCACCGCTGCCGGTTACCATCAATCAACCAGGAGGAGAATCAGAACATACGCCGCCTGCTACCACCCAGGTGCCACCACTTGCTCCGCCGCCGATGGTCTCGACGTCTTCGGTGTCCCGGTCCAGCTCGCGCGGGAAAAGGACAGACAATGAAGTGCTGCCGACAGATCCTGCTTATCTGGACATCGCTACGCAATATTACTGGTACGATCTCAATTCTTCTGGAACTTACAAGATACCACGCGAATACTCTGAACCGCCAGCTATTTGGACGCCGCAAGAGGAAAATGGAGACGGCAACGAAGGCGGCTTCATTGAAAAAATAAACTCGCGACTGCTGAGCCTCAAGCGGGGATCTGTGTCAGCCAGCGTACAATTCCCATCCAATCCTGCTAGCATGATATCTTCCACTGCGTCCTTTACTGCCCCCGACTCTACGGACACTGAAGTGGATGATAAAACTAACGCAAGCGTTGCTCCTCCTCGAAAAGAACCATCAAAAGCTTCGTCGCCCGTGCTCAAGCCCCGCGACGGTGTTTCCTCGCCCGCGAACGGGACGGTGTCTCCACAAATTTCAAAAGTGTCGTTGGCCGTTTCCAACGGCTCCAGGCCGCTGAACCGGGACAAGAAGAAGAATGGAATAAAACGTTTTTTCAAAAGAATGGTCAACTAGCCTATTTAGCGAGCCCGGTTTTCAAGAACTCGTTCTCTATTTCCTTGGTGAACTGGTCTACAAAGTCCAGTCCAGGGTTGTTGTTGTCTGAGAACCAGTTGAACAGAGTTTCCGAAGGATTCGTGAAATAGTCGTCAAAACTTTGCTGGTCAAGGTTGCTCGCCTGTGGATACTCTTGGTTTTCTGTGTACGAGTTTTGCTGTTGTTCCTCGTTTTGCGCTTGGTTGTTGATTTCGTCCTCGTAGTCCACAACCGCTCGCGTCTTCACGGCTTTGGTTTTGAACTGCGAGCACAGATACATTAGAATGGTGGAGTATCGTGTGCACAGATGAAGCTCGTCGGGGGCGGCATCTCTCAAGCAAATGGCGGTTTTCTGCAGCAACAAGATGATTTCCTCAACAGGTATGACACTCAACCGTATGATTTCGCACGTGGACTTGTCTGATTGCGAAAAGTCCGCCTTCCCATCTGTCGTTAGAGTTAGATAGCACTTGACAATAAAGGCTACCGCCTTGATCACACGGATCACCCATCTGACTGGCATGTACTTGAGCAGTTTCAGCTTGTTGACACGCTGCATAACGGCGAGCACTTCTTTCGCCGCCTTGTATGCGAGCTCCACGTATCTGGAATACTTAGCGAGCTCGTCCAATCGCAGACTGCGGCCCTTTTTCGAGCTATTGGTGATATTCATGGATGTGTCGTCGTTCAGAGCCAGCGAGTAGAGATACAGCTTTGCGTAGTAGTAATCCAAAATGAGCGCCTCTTTCTCGACCTGATGATGCACTTCTTTGTACACTTTTGCGTCGGAAACGCAGTCCTCGTAATTTTGGTGCAGATTATGTGACGAGGACGGTTTAAGTAGCTTGTGGTATTTTTTGTACCAGTTTTCCAGAAGCGGAGACAAAATGTCCAGGACAGCGAGGTTCTGGTGCTTATCAAGAACCCCCAGTTTAGGGTTGTTCACGTATAGCGATTCATAGCAAAGCGAGGTGAACTGCAACAGTTCGATGGTGGCTTTCTGGAATGGCGTAAAATCGAAGCTTGGATCGTTGATATCGACCTCTGCCAGGGTCTGTGAGAGCATCGACCGCTTGTTCAGATTGATTGCCGAATGCGTTTCGGAAATGTGCGTTGCCAGAAACGTCAACGGGTGCTCGTCCAGCAGGAAGCTCAGTCTTGTGGCTGTACCAATAAGCATGAAGGACATGATCTCGGACCGTTTCATGGCACTCAGTCCCGTGTACTCTTCCTGGCCCTCGTCCTCGGGCATATTGGCGTAGTCGCTCCAGCGGAAGTGGATGGCTCGCGGATTCCACTCCGTAAATAGCAGAAACGACAGCAGCGTGCCGATGCTTCTGCTGCTCGACTCTCCCCAGACTGTCATGCTGATGAGCCGCTGGCAGTAGACCCACAGCTGTTCGTGAATCTCGATGTGTCGGTTCTGGGCTTCCAGCGGATGGTAGCGCGACGAGATGGTCAAGATGGAGCACAGTAGCATAGGGTAGCCAGGCAATACCTGTGGCTCCTGCAACTCAGCAGGAATGTACGGGAAAAACGGGTGCATCGTGACGAAAAATAGCCTGATCAGTCGCGTGGCTTCCTCGCTCGTTAAGACCTTATCTGGGCCGATATACTCAATGTCCTCGAGCTTGGACGTGGGCCTCGGCCGAATTTTCAGCGTCGACCGCACCGGAGGCATATGCAGCCGGCTCTGTTTCAGCAGCGGGTGCAAGCTGGTGTCATGGCCAAAGGCTTCTTTGCGCGACGATGGGTCTGCGACGGCTGCTGCCAGCGAGTCGGTGGACGCACTGGACGGTAGCTTGGCCGAGTCTGCAGACTCTGAGAAAGAGTGTCTTTCGCTGGACGGCGACTCTGACGACGGACGGCTGGCCACCTTGCTTTCCAGGTTCTGGAACCGCTCGTACGCATCGATCTTGTCGCGTTCGTCCGCCTTGGCGAAGTTGCCCGCGATATGGGCCAGAAACACCATGGTGGAATTGCTTGTATTTGCGCTTTCGTCAGCGTGATTCTTGCTGGGAACGGCTTCGCCCGTGCTGGGGGCCGCCGGCCGCGAGTCCAAAGGGGAGGCCTGGCGAGTTCTTGCTGATCCACGGCGACGGCTCTCGGCAAAAACACACTCTTTGCGCTCACGCTTGCATCTGGCACAGGGGGGATCATGAGGAGCCTCCAGAGACCCCAGGTCGCACTTGACTTTGCGGGTGCGACAGTTCAAGCATGCGAGGTAGTTTCTCTTGAACTTGGGTTTATCCATTAGAAATGACTATCGACGCGACGATTATTTTATGAGTTACGACACATCATCGGCACTACAACGGCACACTGAAACGGCCCCTCTACTTCGCGGTACAATCAATGTCGGGCTGCTCGCTCGTCATATGCTTTATTACCTACTTACATCGCCTAGATGGCAAACTTCTTGGTCCACTCCTTGGCTGTGGCCTCGTACTTTGCACGGTCGGTCTTGTAGATGTGAGCGATCTCTGGCACCAAAGGATCGTCCGGATTAGCGTCTGTGAGCAACGAGCAGATGGACAGCAGCACTTTGGATATTGTGAGCGCTGGGGACCACTGGTCTTTCAAAATGTCGAGACAGATGTTTCCGTTGGAATTAATATTTGGATGGTAGATCTTCGTCTGGAAAGAGATCTTAGGAGGCTTGAAAGGGTAGTCTGTAGGGAAGTGGATCGAGAGGAAGAACACTCCTCCAGCATACGGCGAGTCTGGCGGACCCATTATCGACGCTTGCCAGTGGTACAGATCGTCACCCACAGGGCCTGCGGAGCACGACGAAGGTGGGTCTCTGCCGAGATCACTGAGTTCCTTATTGATTCTCTTCAACGACATGTATGATTATGGGTTCTAAAATTTAGAATAAAAGAAATTTACTCTTACGAGCAACAAAACAAAATACACCAGCATCAGCACCGGCTCTCGCCACACAAAAAAACTAGTGCCCGCGAGAGTGTCCGAGCGCTCCCGAATTTTCACCACGGACGTCCCATATTTTTACCCGTCGGTGGCGGAAGCTTCGAGAATTCTATGGGCCAATAAAAAAAATCAGGCTGCCAAAATCGCTCCTCTTACCCGGCCCGGTACTCTCTGGAAGGGAACCGTTGTCCAATCCCGTGAGCTACTGCGGAGCTATACTGCGGAGCTACCGATATTAGGTAAGCACACCGGAAGCTATTTCGAAGCGCAGAATACTTCCTAACCTTATGAGTTTGGGCTATAGTTTCGACGATGCAGAGGCTTTTCTGTCGTCGCTGAATACGGAGCGGCCAGGGTCTGAATCGTCCAACCTGTCTACCCTGCTCGACTTTGAGAACTCTTCAGGCTTGGACGAGTACACAAAAACCGATATCAAAATTGAGGACGAAATCAATGACTGGATAGATTACGGTGCCCTTCAGCAAAAATATGTGCCGCAGACGACCGACGACACACCGGAATCTAATAATGAGTCTATGCCCATGGTTTCGCCGCCGGACTCGTCTACTTCCATGTCCGAAACGTCGTCCATCAACGCTAAACGGGCAACGACAAATTCGAAGATCACCAAGGTGAAGAAAGAGAGACACTCGCACAATGTGGTGGAGAAAAAGTACCGGATGAACATTAACAACAAGATTCTGGAGCTCCGGAACGCTGTGCCGTCGCTTCGGGCCGCATCAGGGGACAAGCGAATAGCACCCCAGGACCTGGACGGACTTTCGCCCGCGTTGAAGCTGAATAAGGCCAACATTCTCGCAAAGGCGACCGAATACATCCGCCATCTGGAGTCCAAAAATGCGTATTTAATGAACGAGATCCACATGCTGCGCTCTAGTCTTGACAGCCAGATGGCAAACAGTTATAGCCAGCAAACACAATATTTCAGTCCGGAAATGCAACCACAGCCCCAGCAAAGTCAGTATCCTGACCAGAATCAAGAATATGTGATGAATTCATCCTCCGTTCCTGTGAGCTCCAAACTGCTTATGGGAGGCATGACAGCTATGGTTGGAACACAGTTGTTTGATGGCTTCAGCGACGAGAGTTTCAAAGGACTGTTTTTGGTGCCGTTGCATCGGATTTTCCCTATTCTTGGTTCTCCTCAAGCGTCTGTGGCGCTCAATTACCTGCGGACGCTACTTTTCTTTGGTGGACTTTTCTTGCTGTTGCAACCTCTGTACCAATTTTTCACGACTCCTAAGGAAAAGGCTCCGGCTCCACTACGAACGGCATTTGACGTTAGTTTGTGGGAGCTGGCGCTAGATTCGCTGAAGATGCTGGGAGTTAAACTCAGACTTCTCAAGCTCGACTTAACAGAAGAATTGAATGGCATCAAATCGTTGAATTTGTACTTTGAAAAATGGCTCGTCAACACGCTCTCGAACCAGGAAACAATGTCCTACAGCACTATCTGGAGGCCGTTTTTCAAGTACTATATTCAGTCGCTTGGTATCGATGGCCGTATCAATGAGGTTGTCAAGTCCGATGCAACTATCCAGTTCCACTTCAATAGATTAATTGTTTCAAAAATGGTGATGACGAAAGTGGGAGAACCCCTGAGCACCTTTCTTGGGCTCCAGCGTATACTGGACAGTTTGATGCTAGGAATGGTGAAAGACCTCAAGCAAATCAAAGATACAACTAAGTTCTCTGACGAAACCACCCGCATATTCAAATTCGTAAGTAACGATATCGCATTTTTGGATAGCGCAGAACTCTTTGAAAAACTGAGCGATGTGCTGAAATGGAGAGAAACCAACAACAACGGCTCTTACATTGAGGAGTTCCTCAGGAATTCTGAGGACTCCGATCTTTCCTTAATCAATCTGATTTGTGCTATTCGCTCTTCCCAAATTCTGAACAACCTCATGAAAGAATACCTGTCCCAACTGGCAGAATCTACAAGCGAGAGTGAGGACTCAGGCGGGGCCCAAGTGGATGCAGATACAATTTATGACAAAATCAATTCTGACAGTCTCATGATACCGCCCGCTTGTGTCAAGCTTCAAAGACTAAGAATTGTACTGAACAGCTTGCTGAAACCAACAGCTGAGAACTCCAGACAAACTCTGGAGGTAGTCATCAGCGCTGTGAAGGACGTCGTTGAGTTTAGCGAGGCAATTGAGCAGATCGAGCCTTTGCAACAGGAGGATTCTGGTGTTGAAGATCCGACAATCTCAAAAATTCTGCAGTTCGCGCACCAGCCGCTGCGCCCGTCTAAACTCACTAACGACGAGACAAGGCTTACGATTACTTGTGTACTGATGCTCTACTTCTTTGAAAACGGCCAGGCGAGCCAGGCGTGCCGTCTAGTGCGCTTCTTGAGCCTTTCTCAGTCGACGGAGACGGTTTCGTTGCTGACGTTAATCAGCGTCTTGCGAGCTGTGGGTGCTTTGATTGACCACCTCGACTTGCTGGAAGGGGATTCCCACAGCAGGCAGACTGCAGGGTCGCTGGTTGCTTTCTTGCGGTTGCACGTCGGCTCGACAACGAAACCATCCTTGGCCTCAAAATCCGCGGCAGATAGCTCCTATCATCAGCTAGTGGACGACGCCATCGACTACGAGGTGCGAGACTTAGATGTGGAACTGAAGAGTGACGTCAGTCACAAGCTGGTCTGTCTGGGCAGACAACTTCTCGGGGACACCGAGATCTGATATGGACGCAAACTTTAAACTATATAATACATTACGTAAAACATTCCTCGCGATTAGTTCATGATAAAATAATTTAACTGTCTCTTCGAAATAAGTATAGGAGCCAAGACCATAGAACAAGTGTTATGTCAAGTTCTGGACCTGCGATTGAGGTGTCTACAGATTTGAAACAAAACATATTTGGCGAAGACCAAGTGATACCCGAACTCGCTAAAGATACCCAATCTGGCAGTTCTTTCGCAAACATCACTCAGTGGAAAGAGCTCGGTGCATATTTAGAAGGCTTACAAAGAATCACCCCTGGTTCCTCTGATTCAGAAAACAGCGAACCGCAATCCAAGAATCCGCTCTCCAGACCCGTTGTCTATCGGATTTGCAACCATTGCGACAGGCCCATCTTGGAGAGATATCTAGCAGATCATCTGAAGAGCTGCGCGCAGGAGAAACGTAACAAAACCTTATCGGCAGAAAAAGCCAATACCGCTGTCACAAATAACCTCATGAAGAAGCGGCGGCTAGACGAAGCCGCAGAAAATGCGTCGAGTTCACTAAACTCTCCGGATGTTGAGGAGACCAAAATGAACGGGGCCAACGGGGCCAACGGGGCGACGAAAAAGCAGAAAGTTGCCAAAATGCCCAAGGAGAAGAAAGTCAGAAAAAGTGTCAAGCCCAAGATCACCGGAAAGCCGAAGGGACCTGTTGATGTGGAGAGACAGTGTGGTGTTCCGCTGCCGAACGGTGGTTTCTGTGCACGATCTCTGACCTGCAAGACGCATTCCATGGGAGCCAAGCGGGCTGTTCCGGGCAGAAGCGCGCCATATGACCAGCTGCTTGCCGCGTACCAGCGCAAGAACCAGGCCAAAATCGGTGCTGCTGCCGCTGCTGCTCAGCAAGCTCAAGACGACCTTATGCACGGCTCCTCGGTCCCGCTGGACGACGAAGAGGAAACACATCAAGTTCTGGATGGCGTGACGAGATCGACGCCATGGCCTTTGGAGCGGAAGGTGATAATGCCTACGAAACTACGCAACTCGTTTATTCGCATGAGAGAAATGTTTGCTGGTGCTATACTGCCTCGAATGCCGTCCAACCCGCTGGGACAAATGCAGGGACGCACCGCGGTGGTGGACACAGAGAAAACCACCGAGTACGTATTCCCTGTGCGGTCGCAGCATCAACGGATGGCACCCTCGACGCAGGTGCGGCCGGCCGCACCTCTGGCCAAGCCAACTCCCCAGGGTGCTGTTGATGTCCATTCGCAAATCTCTGCCCAGGCCCAGCTGCTTGCACAACAGCAGCAGCAGCTCAGACTCGCACAGGCCAAGAAACAGCAGCAACAGGCCCAGATGCAAGCTAAATACCAGGCCCAGCAGCTGGCTGCCGGGGTCGTTCCTCAGCAGGATAAACACATGCAACTGACTCCGCAACAGCAGCAGCAGATGATGATGAGGCGGAGAATGTATTTGCAACAGCAGTCGCAGCAGCTGCGGCAACAACAACAGCAGTATATGAACCCCCAGTATAAGAGTCAGCAAGAGATGATGATGAACCAACGCCAGCAATAGCGCCGGAACAATCTATGTCTATGATTTTGAATCGCTCAGGTCTTTCAGGGTCTCCACCGATTGGGCAGCTCTCGGCTTGGGTTGCAAGGGTTCGATGTGATCTGAAAACCTGATTCTGAAGAATGAGGGGTGTTTCCAGTTACCGTTTTCATCGAAGTTCTCCGGACTGGGCGGCGTGTGCTTGATGAGCTGATACTCTTTCACGACATAGAAGCTCATAAGGAACCCGCTCAGAACTCCGATGACCACAACGTTAAATCGTCCGTTAATTGATTTTTGTACCATTTGCTAATATATATTTTAATTAAACTCCACTTTTAAAAAGAATCAAATCTTTATTTTCTTATCATGTCACTTCCAAAGAGAATTATTAGGGTAAGTATGCGGACGTCGCGATCGCGTGCTAATACCAGGAAACTGAACGGCTAGTATCAGACCCTGTGCCGGGTATCACAGCAGTGCCTCATGAAGACAACTTGCGCTACTTCAACGTCACCATTGACGGTCCCTCCGGCTCGCCATACGAGGGAGGCAAATTCAAGTTGGAGCTGTTTTTGCCAGACGACTACCCAATGCTGGCGCCTAAAGTGCGTTTCTTGACCAGGATATACCATCCGAATATCGACAGACTGGGGAGAATCTGTCTCGACGTCCTAAAGGCCAACTGGTCTCCAGCACTGCAAGTGCGCACGATTTTGCTGTCGATCCAGGCGTTGCTGAGCTCGCCAAATCCAGACGACCCGCTAGCGAATGAGGTGGCCGAAGAGTGGAAGAGCAACGAGCAGAACGCAATCAAAACCGCCAAAGAGTGGACTGAAAGATTTGCACAGTGATTACAACCTCTAAATACGAGCCTCGCGAATTCCCCCAGTGAGCAGCACTTCACCTTCCCACACGCTGGCAAGCACGTCGCTGAAGTCGTCAACATACACAATCTCGAGCTCCAATGTTTGATTGACCCATTTCTCAGGCTCTCCTGCGTGCGTGCGGCCCTCCTTAAGAAGCTGCTCTTCCTCGTCGAGGAACTTGGCAGAAAGCTCTTTGGCCAGCTCCCGATCCCTCAGATTATAGATATAATCTTCAATCACATCCTTGCGGTTCTGCCGTGGAAGTAGCACCTTGTTCACCTTGCCTGCAAGGTGTGCGCCCAGTAGTTTCTCTCTCACTCCTCCGATTGGGAGCACTTTACCGGTAAGCGTGATTTCCCCCGTCATGGCGATCGTTTCCGGCACTTTTTTGCGCAACACCAGGGACATCAGGCACAGCGTCATGGTGATTCCCGCTGAAGGCCCATCTTTGGAAATTGCACCTTCGGGAACGTGCAAATGCACGCTGGTATTCTCATATCGTTTGAGAAGCTCGTCTCTGAATTCTTGAGTGCCGGCCACCAAATTGTTGTGTAGCAGGTATCCAACAAGGGTATTTGCTATCTGGGAGCTCTCCAGCAACACCTCTCCCAAACGTCCGGTGCAGTTCATTTTCTGCGATCCAGGAAGACCGATCATCTCAAACCGCAAAAGAGACCCCGACCCGTCAGAGTTGTACGACAAACCGTTGACCACTCCGTACCCTTTCTGGAACTTGGTCTCACCCGCCGCTGTGGCACGAAGATGTGAAGGACTGCCTATATATTTTGCGAGATCGTGCACGGTCACAGTCTTGGTAGCCTCGCCCATCTGAGACTCAACAGCCTTTCCCCGACAGATAGCCGCAATGAGCCGTTCAAGGTTTCGAATCCCGGGCTCGCTGGTGTAATTAGTGGCCATCTTGAGGATCGTCTCGTCATCCATCGCGACCGCGTCGCTAGGAAGTCCTGCACGTTCCAACTGACGAGGAATGATGTATTTCTTGCAAATCTCAACCTTTTCCATGTAATTGTATCCTGCAAGTTCGATTACTTCCATCCGGTCACGCAAAGGATCACTCAGCTGCCATAGATCGTTCGAGGTGCACACAAACAGCACCTGCGAGAGATCTATAGGGAAGCCGATGTAGTGGTCGTGAAAGTTGGTGTTCTGCTCAGGGTCCAGAATTTCCAACAGAGCAGCCTCAGGGTCTCCTTTCCGAGAGTTAGAGCCTATCTTGTCCACCTCGTCCAGTAAAATCACCGGATTCATCGACTGAGAACGCCGCAATGCCTGGACTATTAGCCCTGGAATTGCCCCGACGTATGTTCTTCTGTGCCCCTTCAGGTCTGCAAAATCATTCAGCCCTCCAACACTAATTCTCTGGAACCTACGGCCCAAAGTACTGGCAATCGACCGCGCCAGCGACGTTTTGCCGACGCCAGGAGGGCCTGTCAGAAGCAGGATTGGCGCTTTCAGGGTGGGAGCCGGCCGTTGCGTCGCTGCAGGCTCGTTTCCGCTTCCGTACACGAATTCCGGCTCGGGTCTCGGCTGTTTTCGATTGTGCAGGTTCAACACCGCCAGATACTCTAATATTCTCTCCTTGGCACTCTCCATGCCGTAATGGTCGGCATCCAGTTGCTCTCGTGCACGTAAAAGATCCACATCAACCGACTCCACGAAAGAGTCAAGCCGCTGCCACGGAAGATCCATGATTATCTCGAGATACGCTCTCAAAACCTGGTAATCCGAGGAGCTGGATTGCATCTGCTTCAGTCTCTGAAAGTCTTTGACAATAAGCCTCTTACCGTCCTCATTGATCATGTACTGGTCCAAAGAGTCGACAAAGTCCTGGATACCCTTATTTTCGTCATTGTCGTCAGCCGCTCTGCTGCCACGACCCGTGGCTCGCGTAAGACCCATATCCTCGACCAGACGACGTAAATTCCGCAAATGGTTTGAGATGAACTGCGACCGCGAAAGATCGCCCTGCGACTTGCCGCTCCGGTGATCAAGACTGCTCCAAATCTCCAGCAAATAGCTCGTATTAAGATGTTCTTCAAAGACCTTGTTTGCAAATGCCACACATTTGGAAAACACCTCCGTACGTTCTGCTCCCTTGGATCTCAAATATGCCATTTTCAATTCAATCGGAAATGGAAACAGCGCAACAAGTACGTCGTTGTAGTGCGCAAAGTCTCCAGACTTGCGGCCGTACGCCTGTCTCAGCCGCTTCAGGCCCGCCGACACGTCCGACGCAGACAACTGGGTGTTCAAAAGCGTTGCAAGAGGCGTGAGCCGCAAAAGAATGTGTCGCATGCGTTCCTCCTTGTCATCCGGGTCCAAAGTGCTCTCATCCTTGTAGGTAGTCAGGAACTCGTCTATGTTGTCAAACAGACGCATTATGTCTTCCGTGTCCGGCCTCTGCACCCGCGTTTCCTCTTCAATCTCAACGGTAATGGTTTCCTCGTCAGACCTCACGATACGGCCCCGCGTAACACCCTTGAAACTCACCACGGTCGTCTCGCTCATCTCGTAAAAGCCATTCACCACACAGACGGTGCACGTGTCTGAATCCGGATAACCAGGCACACAGGCAGCCAAACGCTTGGAAGACAAGCCAAAGCGCGAGGCAATTGCTGCCACGCTTTCTGAGCGTTCAGCAGCGGACCATCTCGAAGCCAGATCAAGAGCCTTTTGTTTATCAAAGACAACGCGATAAGTGATCCCGGGGAGAAAAATAACATTGCGTTCCAACTGGTGAACAGGCAGTTCTACCTGCCACCCCGAAGACTTGGAAGACATGCCAGGAGAATATATCAGGGAAGAGCCTACTTTTGAGGAGATATTATATAGGTTATCGGATAAGCTTTCCTAATGAAGCAGGAGTCGCACACGACTATATTTTTTTAGTTTTAGCTATACAACAACAGAGAAATGAATACTTATGCCAACATGCCAACACTCTAGAACAAGAAATGATACCCGCTGAGCACTGGCTCATTTGATGAGGTCTAAAACTTGCTGCGTCAGGTTGGATATCTCATCTGCTCCGTTGAAATCCTCGCCTGTTAAATTGTTCAGGTTCATTTTGCCTCTGTTGATATCGCTTTTGATTTTGGACTTGATCTCCTGGTTGTCAGATTCCAGCAGCTGCAGCATCGTCCACAAGGCAATATGCTCGAAAGTGGAGTTGCCCGAGTTCAGAAAGTCGGAGATGAAGCTAGAGATGCCGTCGTAGTTTTCAAGGATTATCGTATAGTCTTGAATTCTTGAGCACAGGTTGGCTAGCGCAGCCGCTGAGTTGCCGCTCACTTCAGGGTTCGACGATTTGGTCAGCGGGATCAATACATCCATGATACCGAGCTCGAGCAGTTTGGCTTTGAGGTCATCAGCCAGCGCGAGAATTGCAAAACATGCAGATATTTCGCTTTGGACGCTTTCGGGAGCCTGCAAAACCAGCTCTTTGCATTTCTTGACTGCGCCCGCCTCCAGCAGCTCCATGCGATTCCTTTCGCTGCTGGCAGCCAGGTTTCTTAACGTGGAGACGGCGTGGCATTGTATCTCGACAGAATCCGTGTAGTCAACCAGATTAACCAGAGGCTTCAAAAAACCTGCGTCGATGATCAAGGCCTCGTTCATAGGGTGGATCGATATATTGCGGATGCATGCAACGGCAGCAAGAACTAGCGGTTCGTGCTGTGACTTCAGCAATGAGACGAGGTTCGGCAAGCCACCAGCGCGCACAATCTCCAGTTGGTACAATGCATCGGATGCCAGGTTTCTGAGAGCTAGCGTGGCCTGGCACTGGACCCTCGGACTCGAAGAGTCCATTAGCTGAACCAGCTGGCTGACCAGCTTCGGCTCGGTAGTGGCCAATTTTTTTCTATTGGACTCGTCCACAGCAATGTTTGACAGTGCTGTCGTACAGTAGTACTGGACGTCTGGGTCCGAGGAGGACAGTAGCTGGACAAGGACGGGCACAGAACCGGCCTCCACGAGTTCCTTCCTGTTTTCTAGAGAATGGGTCATGTTCAGCAGGGCACCCGTAGCGTTTCTCTGAACTCTAAGGTCTGGGGATTTAGCGAGTTTCGTAAGTGGAATTAAGGCACCAGAAGTGGCAATCTTGGTTTTGTTTTTGTCCTGGGTAGCAAGGTTTGTGATGCAGCCAACAGCATTGCACTGGACCTCGATGTTGGAACTCATCATCTGTCTGATAAGAGGCACCAGCCCGCCCATCTCCACGATGAGGACCTTGTTGTCATCATTAACGGCCAAGTTACCTAGCGCGGCACAGGCTGCCCTTTGGACGTCCTGGTCAGAGCTCTGTAGCAATATTAATATTGGCTCCAACACGTCTCTCGAAACGGCGCGGATGTCTTTCTCTGTTATTTCGGCAAATGCCAATGCTGCACTTCTCTGGAGGTCGATATTGTCCGAGTACACGAGCGTGCTCAGTGCTTTGAGGGGACCGTCCGAGAAAAAGTCCACCTCGCCACGGTGTTCTAAGTATTGCAGCAGCGCGGAAATCGCGTCTCTCTCGTTGTCAGCTAGAAGTTGGGGATACAAGTTGTCATGTTCGCTTTTGCTACAACAACAGCCCATTTTGAAGTAATTTTTCCAATTGAAGACGCTCCTCTTATCTGTTGGGTATGTTTTCGCAGAAGTGTCTCTATTGGCCACAAGAATTTATCCGCTTAAAGGTTTGCCATAAGATGTAATCTTACACGTCTTATCCGTTTGTTCTGTTTAACAAATTTTTATGAGGGCAAGACGGTAGTGAGAGACACAAGATAAGATACAAAATTGTCTTCTAGATTAGTCGAAGGATGCCATTTTCAGGTCGACTCGCAAGTCTACGGACTTGTTTCTGGAGACCACCGCAAAGAGTTTTTGGTGTCTGGCAACAGTCGCTCGTTGATTTTCGTTCAGTACATACTGGCAAAATTTGGCCTCTTCGGCTTTACAGACATGGCAGGCTTTCGCTCCTGCTTCAAAAACGGGTCGGCCTTTTCGTGGTACGGCCTGTTTCCAGGCCGACTGTCTTTCGCGCGTGTAGGAGACTTTTCCCTGGTATCTTTCTCGTTCCTGAGTTTTTCGCGGTACTCCTCCACTTTCTTGTCGATCTCGCCGTCCTCAAGCCCCTCATCCTCTAGCGTCTCTCTGTATTCCATCACCTTGATCTCCAGCTGTCGCTTGCGCTCGTGGAGGTCGATTTCTCTGTCTCGCACCGTAGCGGCAATCTGTTTGCGCTCGTTTTTCTGTCGAAGCTGTCGTCTCAAGTACTGTCTGCCCCCACTCTCGTCTATACGAGCGTCCCCGTGCAAGTTGCTGAGGTTTCGCTGCACGTATCCGTTTGTTCCAGAGCCCCTTGCGGTGCTCAGCCCGATTCCATTATACATTATTTTTATTTAATTTTTGCAGGCGGTGCAGATCATTTTAGCATGTCTCAACAGATGCTAAGTCGCTGGATTAAGCGGGAGAACAGCTCGTCTCCCGTGCCAGACGCGGCAGACGATGCCAAACCCGCGGAAAACCACTATGAGAACGGCAAGTCGCGCTCCACGCCGTCGAGTGTGTCCCACGCGTCGTCCATTGACGCGTTCAGATATTCCTCCACTGCTGGATCGCTGACCCGCTCCAGATTTGCAGAGAAGCTGAAGGGATACAAAGTCGGGACCCGGAAAAGGCCATTAAGCGAGGACGGCGAGGACGCTCCGAAAAAGGCGAAATTAAGCAAGCTGACGCCGCTCGAACAGCAGATATACGAGCTCAAAATGCAGCATAAAGACAAACTGCTGGCCATCCAGGTTGGCTACAAATACAAGTTCTACGGCGAGGACGCCCGTGCCGCGTCGCAGATCCTGAACATCATGTACATTCCAGGACGGCTGTTCTTCTCTAAAAGCGACGACCTGTACGACAAGCTGGCCTACTGCTCGATTCCCGACGTGAGACTGCACGTTCATCTTAAACGGCTGCTGAATGCCGGCTACAAAGTCGCCGTGGTCGACCAGAACGAGACCGCGGCCATCAAGTCCACAACGTCGTCGAAAAACAAGCTGTTCGAGCGACGCGTCAGTAAAGTGTACACCTCGTCCACGTACATTGACAACGAGGACGTGATTTCTGGCGGCCGGTTTGTTGTCGCGCTGACAGAGACCAAGAATAGGGAATCCGCCGTGATCTCGCTGGTTGCTGTCGACGTGTACTCGGCAGACATTATATACGACGAGTTCGAGGACAATTTTGTGCGCAACGAGCTGGAAACCAGACTGTACCATCTCGATCCGACGGAATTTCTTCTGATCGGGGCGATTTCGTCGGAAACACAGAAGGCGCTGGATCTGTTCAGACGGCACACACGCGAGTCCGCTACGAGTCTGCGGACAGAGGCCAGGGTGACAAAGGCTTACTCGCAGGTCACCGATGTTCTGAACGAGCACCTGTGCAGCCAGGCCTTTGATCTCGTCACAAAACTTGGGGTCCCTGTCCAGGGCTGCTTTGCGGAGCTGATCGAGTACCTGGGCGAGTTCGATTTGGCCAGTGTGTTTGATTTGGTGGACAAATACATGCATTTCTCCAGCGTCCATCGGTGCATGATTCTGGACGCAAACACCCTGCGAAACCTCGAAATATACAAAAATAGCACGAACGGCCAGGAGTACGGCTCTCTGCTGTGGATGCTGGACCACACAAACACCCAGTTCGGTCGCAGAGAGCTCAAGCGGTGGGTCGGCAGACCGTTGACAGACAGAGAAGAGGTGGCCAAGAGAGCAGACTCCGTGGAGAGCATCATAGAAAACTACCAGTCTGTGGCCATCGAGTCGACCGTCAAGCTTCTGCGCAACTGTCCGGACCTAGAGGCAGCGCTCAGCCGCATCCACTATGGCCGTTCCAAACGCAAGGACACTTATATGTTCCTGAAAAAGATGAACGAGATCCTCCAGTTCTACGGAGACCTCCCGGACACACATGTCCAGATCAACCCGTCTCTGCGCGAGATATTTCAAGATCTCAAAACTGCAGCCACATCTACACTCAGAGGCTTCCGGGACCTGCTGGACATGGTCCACTCGCCAGCGGCCATCGACGACACCAGCCCCGAGCACGTGACCAGCTACTTCAACACCAACTTCTTTGAGTACCACCTGATCCAGCAGCATCTGGAGAACATCTCTCACGTGGAAGAGCAGCTGGAGGCCGAGCTCAAGGATATCCGCAAAACCGTTGGCCGGCCAGGCATGGGCTATGTGACCAACAACAAGGAGCCGTACCTGGTGGAGGTGCGCAACACCCAGGTTGCCAGCTTGCCGAAAGACTGGGTGAAAATCAACGGCACCAAGTCGGTGTCGCGGTTCAGAACTCCGTCGGGAGCCGCCCTGTACAGACAGATACAGTACCACACCGAGATGCTCCATAAAGAGTGCAACGACTGCTTTTCCAGGTTTGTCAGGAAAGTTGACGAGTACTACCTCGATCTGAATAAAGCTATCCGGCATCTCGCTGTTTTGGACTCGCTGATCTCTCTGAGCGCGGCCTCGCTCAACGAAGGATATACAAAGCCCGTGTTTGTGGATGCTCCTTGCATTGACGTGAAAAACTCGCGCAACCCGATTTCAGAAAACCTCAAGACGTCGACTCGTTACATCCCTAATGACTTCAGAATGTCAGACTCAGAAGGCAGGATAGCCCTGATCACAGGCCCGAATATGGGAGGAAAGTCGTCGTTCATCCGCCAGATCGCACTGATCGTGGTAATGGCGCAGACAGGCTGCTACATACCTGCGGAAGCCGGCTCGAAACTGAGCGTTTTCGACTCGGTCTACACGCGAATGGGCGCACAAGACGATATTATCAAGGGCGAGTCCACGTTCCAGGTGGAGCTGAAGGAATGCAGCACCATTCTGAAAGAGTGCGGACCGCGGTCGCTGGTTCTACTGGACGAAGTTGGCCGTGGAACGAGCACAATGGACGGCTTCGCGATAGCGCACTCCATTCTGCGGTACCTCGTTACAGATAGGTCGCCGTTTGTGCTATTCATTACACACTATCAGAACCTCAAGTCGTTTGACAGGTTCAAAGAGGTGAAAAATTACCATATGGGCATCCAAAAAATGGGTGAAGACATTTTCTTCACATATAAAATAACCGCAGGATGCTCTGATCGTTCATACGGTATCAATTGTGCAAAGTTGGCAGGACTGCCTAAACCGGTTCTCGAATCCGCACACCAAAACTCCGCCAGGTTCGAAAACGACTGGAAACTGAAGGAGGCACTGAGTCTGGCACACAATTTCCGCGCTCTCACAGAAAAAAAGGACTATGGGAAGCTGCTGGAACTGGCACAGGACCTGGTTTGATCACATCTTCAAAAACCGTCTGCTGCTGACGTTGTCCGGCTTGGTTAGCGTGTACGATATATCTCCCAACTCTGTGCCCTCGAACCGCATCACATTGCTATCGTCGTTATGATGAATCGTAACCGAACTGAAGTTCTCAAAGGGGTCCGGGGTATTGCTTGAATGGGCGGGAGAGGAGGAGGTCTTGCGCTTCGACTTGAGCGTTCCAATGGAGCCCTGCGTCATCTTTCCCTCCCTGTCACGACGGCCCTTTTTCTGTGTGAACACAGGGATCATTGGCGGTTTCTGGTTCCTGAGAAGAGCCCATTGAACGTTTTTGAAGAACGAGTGTGTTTTGATCTCCGACGCGCCACTGCGCGAGCCCAGTCGTTTTGTCTCGTCCTTGATGAGGAGTTTCTTTATCAAGTTGCGACAGCTGCTAGAAACTGAGTTGTAGTCGGGGAATGTGACCTCATTTTTCAGAATGTTGGAAAACGTCTGGTTCCGGGTAGACCCTTTGAACGGCGTGATACCATAAATCATCTCGTAGATGAATATTCCGAGGGTCCACCAGTCAACGGCAGCAGTGTGACCTTTACCCCAAATGACCTCCGGTGCAATGTATTCCTCCGTGCCAACAAAGGAGTTAGTTCTAAAGCCATTGATGCAAGCGTTCGTGTCCAGCTGAGGAAGATTCGTAGCAGACTTGTGCGACGAGACTAATTCAGGTCTCTTGATGTGATCCGTTTGCTTCGACAGGTCGAAATCGCTCAACATGATGTGTCCCGACTGATGCAAAAGAATGTTTTCTGGTTTTAGGTCTCTGTAGATAAATCCCATCAAATGCAAATACTCTAAAGCGGCAACAACCTCAGAGGCATAGAATCTTGCATCGGCCTCGGAAATGCATTTCATCTTGCGTGTTTGTAGTGCTCTGAAGAACTCTCCTCCCATACAATACTCCATGCACAAATAAAGGTGGTCTTCAGACTGGAATGAGTGATACAGCGTAACTATGAAAGGGTGGCATGCCGTGGCCAGTATTTCCTGTTCTGCCAATACCCTCTTGATCTTGTTACGCTCAACCATTTCCTTCTTGTTCAGAACTTTCATCGCATATAGTTTTTTGTTCGACTTCTCTCGCACCAGGTACACTTTTCCAACATCTCCTTTACCGAGAAGTTTAAGCTTCTCAAATGACTGCGGCGTGACTTCTACATTGGACACCTTTATTCCAGTGCTAGAATAGTTTCTTCCAGAGCTGCTTGGTGAGCTAGAACCGTTGGAGTTTGTGACCTTGATTTCACCTATGTGTTTTGATATGTCGTTGATTTCCGGGGCAGAGGCGGGCGCTGCATTGGTATCAACCAGCTGTTTGAGTCCAAGCGGGGCAGACGCAACCCGTTTCAACTTCTTCTGGATGGACATAGATTTCGAACTTGGAGGCGTAGGCTCCTTAAATTCCTTTGGCTCCTTTTCGGGAGGCCCACTCACTTCTTCCTCTGTGGATCCGTTGTCAAGCGTTGTTGTTGAGTTATTTACAGAATAGTCGTGTTTCAATTTAACCTGAAAGTCGTTGATAGGGTTGATGTACTCCTGTTCCGCGATGTCGCATTCTGCGGAGGCTGCGGTGAGCGAGATCGAAGGCACAGAATAAGGCTGAACGGGGCTTGAGGGCGACCTCATGCGCCGAAATTTCTTCATGAGTGAGTTGCCGTTGCTTTCTTGACGCTCTTCCTCTTCATTTTCTACCACCGCTCCTTCCTGAGCAGCATGCAAGTCTTCGTCGGCGACGGAGTTGAAACGGAAAATCTTTTTGATTTTGGTTAGTGCGCTGTTCTTCGTAATCTCATCGTCATCTAGCTCTCCGTTGGAGACATTCAGATTGAAGTAGTCCTGATGTGCCTCTTCGCTCGTTGTTGGCGGGGTTTGGAGATGGTTCGAGGACGATTCATCAATAGTTGGAGTCGTGCTTTGCTCAGGCACGTAGGTCTTTGGTTGCGTGGAGTCCTGTCCAAAGCTAAAAAACCGACCTATCGAGAGTTTGCGGGAGTTCGACCTCGAACGTGATCTGCTCCGGTTATGCGATTGTATGCCTGTAGACGAGTGCTCAGGTAGCGATAACGGCTCTGTCGCAGAGCCAGTGGAGTCCGGAAACACATCCTGCTGGAGAGCAGTCGCGGGTGGCGTATATGAGTTCAAGTATCGCTGCAGGGGGACTTTCTGAGATGCGGTTGTGTCTGCATGGTGGGCAACGTGACCGGGGGTATTTTCCGACGTCATGGCTTTTCAGAAAATACTTATGCTGGCAGCAGGTTGAACTCCATAAACACACTTGATCGACTAGGGAAGCGAAGCTCAAAGTCAGAAAAATTGTGGTTATTGTGTTCTGATTCAACAAAGGACACTAAACTAAGCCTTAAAAATACGGTTTTTTTCCACAGAAAAATATAGATTTCGAAGCGATATAATGTATATTATTAAATGCGTTCGTCTTTCTCAGCTGTTGGCCAAGTGCGGAGGCAACAGGAAGTTGGCAATAGAGTCCTTGATGTAGTAGACGTGTCCGCAGTGGCGACAGGTCATCTTGCCGTTTATTATTTGTGTTTCCAATAGTAGGGAATGCAAGTCTTTGAGCATCTGCTCGTTGTTCTCTATGCCCTCTGGTTTTGTGGATGGCAAGGTGGTGTTGCCCAGGTCTGCTGCTACTTGGACGACAGCGTCCCAGTTCAGTCGGGGAAGCATAGAGACAAGAAACTCTGGATTGAAGTCGTGCTCCTGAAGTTCGAGTTCGCACTCCTCGTACTTTAGCGGGAACGAGAGCTCCGATGCGTCACAGCTTTTCACGGCACACTTGACGAAATTGGTCGTAAGAAACTTCATCAGCTGGATACTAAGCGAAATATTTTTTCAATATTTTTTTACCGTTGATTTTTCATTAGTGCCTAATTACATGCATCTATGCTAATCTTAGTTCTGGAGTCGTTTTGCGAACTTTTGCGCCAAATCACGATGTCCGCCTCTCACGAGCACGTCCTTTATTTTCAGCAGTTCGTCTGCAGACAGCCCGCTTCCTTTGTCAATACCCAAGAGTTCATTCAAGAGCGATTTAGGATCAGTCTCCAGTCTAGTCCAAAGGTCGACAACTTTTGTTAACAGCCCCACATCTTTCAAAATAAATTCCACCCACCTGTGATTGTATATCTTCAAGCTCGACTGGCCAACTTTGCCCCTCAGCTTTGATTTTGCCATGATTATCCGCTCTCCTTTAGCCTTCGTCTTGAGGAATCTCTGTGTGATCTCCATATGTGCCTTTTGTGCCGACTTCAGCGCACGGCTCTTGTCATCCATCGGGGTAGTGAGCACCACCTCTATCAGAACCTGAGCCAGAGAATAAAGTTCTAAGTCGTAGAGCTGCGTGAAGACCACCTTGAAAATCTCGTTTGACTCTGTCTGGTAGCTGGTGGTTCGACTCAAATACATTTCAATAATGCGCGATAGATTCAAGACGTATTTCAGCGACGACTGTTGCGAATTCGTCAACCGGTTATAATTCTCTTCCAACTGAAGATAGACGTTAGCAGGATCATTCTGATCCCCCACAGCATACGGCTGCATTCTGTAGTGTCGTACCAACCGTTGTCTCTCTTGGTATTTTCTAGGCAGTGAGGTGTTTCCGCCCGGGTTCTTTAGCTTGCTTACCAGACGGCGCGGTAGTTCGTCAATCTCCTTAGGAACACTTAAGTTGGTGTTTTCCAGGTATATCGGCACTCCGATGCACTCGGTCAGCTCATCTGGAGTTGAGGGAAAGCTTAGCACCGCACTATCGACGTCACACGGCGTGTCTTGTTTGGTGGCAGGTTTTTCAAGCAAGCCTGGCTGGAGAAAGCTCACTTTCTCGAACGGGCGTTGGCGAATGTAATTAGCGAGCAATCCATATTCTCCCAACCCCAACTCCGGCGGGGCATCCTCGCGCACGACATCTATTTTGGTTGTGTACTCCTTGATGAACGGAGGCAGGAGCATGAAGAAGATTAAGTGTGAGCCAAAAGACACAAGCTTCAGATCTTCGAAGACACTCCATCCAGAAGCAGAAACCCTGCGTGGAATTGGCCTCTTGGGCCCCATGTGCATCCATCTAGGCGAGGTGGACCTTCGAAATCGCCAGCTGGAGGCACGGAACGCTCTAAAACCCGTGCGGCCAAACATCTGATAATATATTAACCAATGAAAAAATTACCATTGAATACAGGTCTCACGATTTGTCTGGTGCAGAGGTGACAGAAATATCCACAATTTATTTGAGATCATGGTCTCTCACTTGTTTGTTTCTGGCGAATTGAACGGAGTCACGGGCCTAAAGCCTGTTGAGAACCCTCCTTTCGAGTACAGGTTCAAGATTCAGTGTACTGCATGTCGCGAGGAGCACGACAAAGAGATCAGCATTAACTTACTCGAGAGGCACGAAATACAGGGCAGTAGAGGCGAGGCCAACTTCGTATTTAAGTGTGGATTTTGCGGCAAGCAGTCGAATGCTGAGATCTCGCTACCCAAGAACTACACTGGGCTTACGCAAGACTCGAAAAGAGCAGTGATGCTGGACATTGAGGCACGAGGTATCGACCTGGTAGAGTTCATTCCTGTGGGGAATTTCGAGTGCGTCTCTGAGCAGGGAACCAGGTTCACGGAGATAGACATCAGCGAGGGCGAATGGTACGATTATGATGATAAGGCGGGAGCAGAGGTGAGCATCACAGATCTGACGTGGGAGATAGCCAAGAAGTAATGACTAGTATGAGGAGTGGAGTAAGGAGCTAACCGGTAATAAATGAAGCACTTGAATATGCATTTTAGTCAGTTTCTGACCACCATAACTTGTAGAGCATAGTAGTGTCTGCTAGTGTATCTTAAAAAGGAATTTAGACGGAGAGGAAAACGACGCGTCGAAAAAGGCAAACGAGCCAATTTTTTTGATTTAACATTATTTAGGGCAAACCTCATACGCCATGGAAAGCAACGCCGCTGACCGGTATGAGACCCAGCCGCCAGAGTCTCCGTTGCCGCTGGAACTATTGATGGTGGTGTTTCGATTTCTGGACCCCGAGTCGCTGAAGAACATGGCCCTTGTGTGCAAAACCTGGTATCGTCTATCCAAGGACAATTCGATGTGGATGCAAATCTTCAGAGAGAGATTTAGCAACATCGGATCCGTTTTTCCACGTGTATCGCGCACAAGGCTGTGGCGGACAGAATTGATCGAACGAGAGACGCTCATAAAAAACTGGAAGAAAGGAAAGGGTGTTCATAACACATATAATCTGGAGAGCCTTTTCTACACTACCGATCTCCAGTGCGACTTCAAAACCAACAGACTGATTTCTCTAAACAAGAATACCGGAAACTTGGTGGCGTGTAGCCTTAATAACGGTGCCAACATCGATCTGCAACCGTCTACGATTCCCAGCGGCACTACTGCCTATGCCATGAGCAAACACAGTATCGTTTTTGGGCGATGGGACAGCAAAGTGTTCGGCTCACTCATTAACCACAAAAATATACTTTTATCTGGAATCAAGGAATTCAAAGGAACTGGCCATCGAGGGATGGTTACGTGTGTGGATGTCAACCAAATGGAGCTGGGAAAAGAGGGCAAAATAGGAGCAATCACAGGGGACGAAAACGGAACTATCGTGGCCTGGGACCTAAGGAAAGGTGCACAAATAGCACAGTGCAAAATTTGCGACGCGACGATTGCTAAAGTCGACTCGGATTATAAAGATGTGGTTGTGGTTTTGGACACCCAAGGAGCGCTATATGTGGTGAGAAATATGTTCACTATTTCTGACTGCAGGCCTGAGGTGCACGAACTACAAGTTTCGCTTGAGATCAATCCGCAGAATGTGATGTTTATGAAGATGTACGTTGATTACGGAGACAGCAACATCGTCTTGATCGATGAAAATACAATGGAAATTATATCTTACAGAGACAACCTTGTGAGAAGATTTGTTACCGACGAGACAATTTACAAATCCAGCTTGGAGCAAAACAGCACCGCCTTTACCAAAAGGGATGTTGAACTGGTGGGAACAGACCCGTTGTTTTTGGCGATTTTGTTGAAATCAGGAAGAGTACTGGTCATCAATGTCCGTGCGTATGAGTATCAAATTCGGCCAGTTCTGGACATCCTCCCACGGCTGGCCTATGAGGACGATGAATACCAACGGATGGTGGCAATAAACCAGAACGTCGATCTGCCAGCTCTTTCAGAGGTTGCGATAAACTCGTTGGTGGTTGCGGTAGGATCCTACAATGGGAAAATCGAATTCTACGATATCACTACAGGCGAATTTTTCAGAAAAATAGCCGTCAAGTCGAGTTCGAAAATGCTTCAGCAAGTAGGCAGCCAACTACTGCCGATCACCAACATCGTGATGGATCAGTCGCTGTCCGCTGGAGTGGTTGCCTACGGCTCTATGGTGCAGTTCTTTAAATTTGGAGACTTTTACAAAGAGCTAGAAGCAAAACGCAAAAAGAAGAATTTCAAAGAACGCAAGTACAGCAATAACCATATCAAAGAAGCTATCAAGGATTACGAATACGAGCTTCAACAGGAGGCACAGACGCTGTCGAGACTTCGGAAGTACAACGGGGACCATCTCGAAGACTCTGATGAAGAGCTTCAGATGGCTTTGGCTCTGAGCATGTCAGTCAATGAAACTTCTGTTGACTCACAAGAACAGGACGATGATCTCCTAGTGGCAATAGAATTGTCCAAACAAGTAATTTGACAACATGACAATATATATAGATATAATTTACCAATCATCGTCATCGTCTTCCTCGTCGTCACTCTCGCGACGGGCTTTTTGTCGAATGGCAGCAGCCAAGCCACCGGCCAAACTTTGTTCTTCTTGCTGTTTCTGCTTCAAAGCGGCAGCTAGACTACCTGCTAGACCATCAGAGGACGCGGCTGGGGTTGTTGCGTTTGTGCCATTGGTTGACGTAGACACGGTGCCATTTCTAGCAGAACCATTTGCCGTGGAGCTAGAAGTGGCAAAGGAAGGAGCAGGAGGAGCAGCAGGGGCAGAAGATCCACCGTTTAAGATATGAGCTGGCGGATCGCAGGGAACGATGTAAGCCGTAGGAACCCATCCTTCTTTTGTCTCATCCAATGACTTGGCCAAAGACCATCCGGCTCCCTGATCCTGTAAAATATACATCACTGTATCTTTTGTGACTGGGAATTCAGAAGGAGAGCCAGAACCAGGGAAATCGTATGCGGCCTTGAAAGTAGGCCATTTCGGCTTGACAGATGCGGCCGGAGGAGGTGGAGGTGGCGGTGGAGGAACATGGCTAGCCTGACTCGATTGAGGTTGCTCAACTGGCTTTGCTGCTGCTTGTGGAGCTCTTGCGGGTTCAACATGCGTTTGGCGGCTCTGCGGAGGCGTAGGCTTTGGTTTATTGACGGCTGGGGCTGGTTTTCTGTTCACCGGTTTCCTATTAACCTGTGGTTTTGCTGCTGAAGGCTGTGCTGGGTGATAAGCAGCTGCAGCAGCAGCTGCTGCCTGGTTAGATGTAGGGGCGAGGGGACCCGTCGTGCCGATAGTACGCTTGTAGTTCGCAATAGCGTTACCGTTGCTCAAGATAGACCGTCCCTTTGGCTTCTGCCTCGAGGTGCTCGATGCTGGCAATCCTGCCGCAACCTTGACGGTACCTGATTTGTATGAGTCTCCATGGTTTGGGCTCGTGCTGTCGGCTTGGAATTTCACCACGTGAGGCTTTCCAGGTTTCTTGTTGTACGTGACCGTTGGGCCAATGTCAATACCTAGCGATCTGTTCAGTTTCTTCAGATGGGTCACCAGCTCGGTCTTGAATATAGTATTGATGAAAAGATCTGGCTGAGTGGTGGAGTTAAGGTTGAGCGCAACCCAATCATCCTGATATTGAGAAAGAGACACTTTCTGAATAGCAGAAACCGGGATCTTTGTTTCAACAACATAGGAAACCTTTCTGTTGATTAGTTCCTCCGCAATCACGTAAAATTGTGAGCTGGTGAGGATATATATCCTATTCAATCGTTGAGATGATCTTCCAAACTTTGAATGTAGTATTTGTCCTCTGGACGAGAAGATAACATAGTCAGTAAGTCCAATGGATTGCATCAGGAACTTTCCAAACCCACCGGTTTTGTCGTTACATCCAAGGTAATCTCCCATGTAGGCTCTAGAGCCCAGGACACTGAGCCGCCTTCTTTGCTTCTTGTTGATCACAAGAGAGGTACCGTAGTCTCTAAGTTGTTCGTACTTGTTGCCACCCACTCTTTCTCTCCACATCTTTTGGACAAACTTCGCAGCGTTCTCTCTTCTCTTGAGCCATCTTCTACAAGCTCTTTGTATGACCTTGGCTTTATTTGCCCAGTAGTTTTCTCTCATTTCTTCCAAAGAAAACAATGTTTCAGGTTTCTTAATAAATACCTTAGTGACACCAAGTTGCCATTCGGAATCTGGAATGCCTGTGTCTTGCAAGATCAATGTGGTTGCAGTCTTAGCATCGCCATCCCAAATGTATTCACCAGCGTAGGATGTTTTGGTGGAGAGAAGATAAAATCTTTCCACAAATTTGTCGAATGTCTGTCTATAAGCAAATCCTGCTCTTCTGATTCTGACATTCTCTTGCAGACCCAGGTACTTGACTTGATGCAACACTGCTTTAGTGTCATATTCCGTAGGAGATCTGTTCTGGTTAGGTTTTATCGTTCTAATGTAAGAGGGCTGCGCTTGAGAAAGAGTGTCGACCAAGAGGTTGGCACTAGTTTTGATTTTGTCGCCAGCAGTTGGCGGCCTCTTTTTGGAAGACGTGTCGATCTTCTCAGGGAATATTGTCTGAATAAATGTATTTTGGCATGTTCCAATCATCTCAAGCAAGTCCTTGAGTAACTGATCCTTATTTTTGTCTGTCATGGTGCCTATATCGTAGGTCACATCACCAGCATAGTGCTTGATAATAAATTTGGAGGATCTCAATTCAAAGTGGGGGTTGCTACTGACCATGTTCAATCTCTGCGCAAAAGATTGATCAGCGGCAGAAGAATCAGCGTGAGCTGTTGCACAGGCGTCATTGAGCGCGGCAAAAATTCCTGGTGGACGCTTGGACTCAATCAAATCGCAAACAATTTTGTTGTTGAAATAGTTGATCGGGGTCCATTGGATTTGTTCTCTGACATACTCGTCCTGCTCAGATTTCAGTGTCAATTGGATGAAAATTTGTTGCAGTTTCTCATTCACATAATTGATACAGAGCTGCTCAAAGGAGTTGTGCTCAAAGATCTCAAAACCGTAGATATCCAAAATACCAATGGATCTATGAGCCTCAAGGTTCAGGCTCTGAAAAGACTTATTGACTCTCTCAACAATCCAGTCAAACATGTTGTTGTACAGTCCTTTGGCTAGAGCATCTCTGCTTGCTGTTGCTTGAACAGGATTTAGAGGAACGTGATAAACCGATCCCCGTCTCATACCATGGGACGTCTCCATCGTTCTTTCGACGATGGATTTCACCAGCACTTCTGGGTTGACCTGGAGAAGGTATGCAACGAAGTCGGTCACTCCGGTGTCCCTGACTTGAGCGTTACCTTCTGCGTCCTCAACGAATGTTATGTTACCAATCCACAGAATAGCAGCCAACACTCTGAAGACCTGGTCCTGTTCCTCCTGGGTGAGACCAATGGTCTTCATTGAAGCAAGGGTGTCTTGGAAATCCTTCAGGTCGTCAATCGTGTCGACCGACGTGCAGCCTGAAGCACTCGTATATACGTATTGTTCAGGGCTCTGGACACCAAATGTCTGTCTATATTGATCACTAGCTCCTTTGGTGTACTGGTAAAAAATGTGGAAATTTCTCTCGTTTTTGATCTGGCCCACCACTCTTTGCTTCTCCAGGAGATAGTTCGTGATGTTAGCACTAACAGGCTCGAACGACTTGTTGAACTGAATCTCAAGGTACTTTCCGTGTCTCGACGAGTTGTTGTTTCTGAGAGTCTTTGCGCATCCAAAGGATTCGAGAAGCGGATTCGTAGCTAAGACCATGTCTTTGATGCGCTGGATGTGGGAGGACGACGTGTACGAGCCGGAGACAGCAGCAATATACTGCATAATTCTCTTGGCTGCTTCCGTTTTTCCTGCTCCCGACTCACCGGAAATAATGACACACTGGTTTTCGTTGTATGCCCTCATGTTATAGTACATGCTCTCTGCAATTGCAAAGACGTGCGGTGGCACCTCGAGTCGGTTCTTGTTTTTGTAAGAGTTCAGCACCTCGTCCGTGTAGATGCCCAAATCCCGGAAAGGATTGACGGAAATCAACACATGTCCAATGTATGTGTAAATGACACCATTATGGAATCTTTTTTCCAGGTTGTCGTTGATCGTTTGATCGCTGATAGTGGACAATAACGTCAAATCGCTGACTCCGACTTCTTTTCTCTTATTGGACTCGAACTGGGCCTTTTTCACCGGAGCATTGGTCTTTTTAGGAGGCGGACCTGTTCCGGCGTTCTTTGTTCTGACTGCTTTTCTGCTCAGCACCGCCATCGCCGAAAAAAGTACAAGTTGTCTTAAAATAAAACTGTTTGCCCTTTGATAAACTGACGGGCCGGTCGGAAGTCGATCGACGCAACCCAAATCAACTGGCTTGGAAATGTAGAAAAAATAAAACAAAAATAGGGAGGGCTATACGAAGAATATCAACACACCATGTGGGAGGACTACTTCTCGGTGCAAATCTTCTTCATTATACTTCGCGAGACTTTGGAGTCGGCCATCATTGTGTCGGTGCTTCTTTCGTTCCTTCAGCAAAATTTCACTTCGAAAGATGAACATGGCGCACTTGTGGTCCAAGGATCAGCCTCTGTCTATCGGGGTTTAGTGCTTCAAGTTTGGGTGGGCGCGCTTTCCGGTTTGGCAATTTGCCTCTGTCTTGGTACGATCTTTATTGCTGTTTTCTACCTTGTGGGAAGCGATCTCTGGTCTGTTGCTGAGCGGGTTTGGGAAGGCGTGTTCAGCATCGTCAGTGCGCTCATCATTGCTGTGATGGGAATGGCTCTTTTGCGCGTAAACCAACTACAATCCAAATGGAAGTGGAAGCTTGGTGCTGCCCTGAATGAAAATGACGAGGATATGCTCCAGGACTTCGAAGATGAACCTATGTCCGATTACTTGACCAAGTCTGTGAAAGTGCGCGCAAAACTTAGAAGGTTCACCCGCAAGTACGCTTTGGGGATTCTGCCGTTTGTGACTACACTTCGTGAGGGCTTGGAGGCTGTTGTGTTTGTGGGAGGCATCGGTGTCAACCAACCGATATCTTCTTTTCCACTGGCCATCGTTACCGGCGCGCTTGCGGGCACAGGAATCGGCGTCGTCTTGTACAAGGGAGGAAATAAGATGTCTCTGCAGTTCTTCCTTGTCGTTGCCACATGTTTCCTCTACCTTGTCGCTGCAGGCCTCATGTCGAGAGGGGTTTGGTTTTTGGAGCTCGAACGGTTTGTTCAAAAATGCGGCCAGGACACTTCTGAGACCGGCAGCGGGCCAGGATCCTACGATATCACCAATTCTGTGTGGCACGTGAACTGCTGCAATGGACTTACGGACGGTGGATGGATGCTATTCAACGCGCTACTTGGTTGGACAAATTCTGCCACTTATGGATCTGTTGCGTCGTATATTATATTCTGGTGCTTTGTGATCGGCCTGATAAAGAGCAAAGAAATGATTAATACAAACGGCTACTTACCAGGAATACCTTTGCGTTACCAGCTGGAGAGTATAAAGAAGAGAATCGCCATCGATCGGGTCTTCTTGGAGGAGGGTGTACAGGACTACCATGACGTTTCCAGCAACCACAGCGTCGACCAGGTGGCTGCTGTCAACGAGCAGAGCACCCTTTTGCATACCTCCGATAATTAAGCTAGCATAATCTAATCTTGCAGCAGGAATTTTAGCAACTGTTTCGAGCCGTATGGGGGGAATGCAACACTGCCCGTCAAGCAAGTGATCAGCTCGTCGTCGGCGGTGAATGCCCTTGCAATGACTGTGTATGTTCCTGGCGGAACCTCGTTAGGAATTTCCACAATCTTAGTCAGATCGTAGCTGTCCTTGTTGAGAGGGCATTCCATGTCGACATTAGGCAACTCCTCGCAAAGATCGTAGGTTTGGTGCAGCAATTTGATGTATCCGTAGGTGACATCCACTTCGACGTAGGCGCCTTCGTCAACCTTCTTCGAGAGGTCCCCTCTGGCAGCAATAGTCAAATTTGTTCCGCGTTCCGGAGGATTAGGCGATACATCCACATGAGTCAGCTTGAGGAGTTGGGGAGACGACGAGTCACATAGAAGAACAGGAGAGTTGCCCGGAACAGGCTTGGTGTCCTGGGCTCGGAAAGCGAATGGGCTAAGCGAGAGACAGTTGGCAAGAGAGAGCAAAAACACTAGAGGCACAGGGAAAAGCATTGAGAAGCAAGCACTGAAATTAGAAAGGAGGCAAATAAATTCTGAGAGCGACAATGCGTCGACAGAATCTGCCGACAGAAAAAATGTCGACAAGCGACGATAACGCAATAGTACATGGTATTTGTTACACAGTGGTGTCTGCCAGCGGAAGTGCGCTGACAATCATGTTTGAGAGCGGCAACTTTTTTTTTCGCTGCTCAACACCACGCTACAGGACACTGTTCACCGGCCGCGTCACCCCACCCCGGAGATGGCCTCATTGACGGAGATAGGGCAAGCGAAATGGTGAGGTGCGAGGTGTAGTGTTCCGAAAGTCCACGCAGACACCGACGCTGGGCACAGTAGGAGGGAGGCGGTCTGGACAACGGCGCGCAGCAGCACAACGAGCGCGACAAGGTGCTTAGCTTAGATCAGGCATTTCGCGAAAAATGAAATTAAAACATGCAACCGTGCCACGACGGCCGTCTTATGGCCGTTTTCAGGGCTGTGCTGGTAATCTGCATGTTCGAATTTGCTATGATCACGGCTCCATAGAAAAACTATATAAACGGCTCCAAATATCTTTTCCTTATATTTATTAGTTCAATTGACTTAATTGTTATATAATGACTACCGTTACCAAGCTTTTTGCCAGATACGTCTACGACTCCAGAGGAAATCCAACCGTTGAGGTGGATCTGACCACCGACAAGGGATTGTTCCGCTCTATTGTTCCATCTGGTGCCAGTACTGGTGTTCACGAGGCTGTTGAGCTGAGAGACGGCGACAAGTCCAAATGGCTCGGTAAGGGTGTTTTGAAGGCCGTTGCCAACGTCAATGAGGTCATTGCCCCTGCTGTTCTCAAGGAGAAGATCTCTGTTCTCGAACAGGAGAAGTTCGACAAGTTCCTGAACTCGCTGGACGGAACCAAGAACAAGAGCAAGTTGGGAGCAAACGCCATCCTTGGTGTCTCGCTCTCTGTTGCCAAGGCTGCTGCAGGCTACAAGGGCATCCCATTGTACCAATACATCAGCGAACTAGCAGGCACCAAGAAGCCATACGTGCTGCCAGTCCCATTCCAAAACGTGTTGAACGGAGGCTCGCACGCCGGCGGATCCTTGGCCTTCCAAGAGTTCATGATTGTTCCAACGGACGCTCCATCTTTCTCTGAGGGTCTTAGAATGGGTTCTGAGGTCTACCACCACCTCAAGTCTCTGGCCAAGAAGAAGTACGGCCAAAGTGCCGGTAACGTTGGTGACGAGGGAGGTGTTGCTCCAGACCTCTCCACCCCTCAGGAAGCTCTTGACCTGATTGTCGAGGCCATTGAGGCTGCCGGCTACACCGGCAAGATCGGTATTGCTCTGGACACCGCTTCGTCCGAGTTCTACCACGACGGCAAGTACGACTTGGACTTCAAGAATCCAAACTCCGACCCAAGCAAGTGGCTCACCGGTCAGCAATTGGCCGACTTGTACTCCAAACTCATCAAGGAGTACCCAATTGTGTCGCTGGAAGACCCATTCGCCGAGGACGACTGGGAGGCCTGGACCCACTTCTTCGCCACCACCAACATCCAGGTTGTTGGTGATGACTTGACTGTTACCAACCCAGAGAGAATCAAGACTGCCATCGAGAAGAAGTGTGCCGACGCTTTGCTCCTGAAGGTCAACCAGATTGGTACGCTGACCGAGTCGATCAATGCTGCCAAGGACTCATACGCTGCCGGCTGGGGTGTCATGGTGTCTCACAGATCTGGTGAGACCGAGGACACCACCATTGCTGACATCGCTGTGGGACTGAGATCGGGACAAATCAAGACAGGTGCTCCAGCCAGATCCGAGAGATTGGCCAAGCTCAACCAGATCCTCAGAATCGAGGAGGAACTGGGCGACAAGGCCATTTACGCGGGCAAGAACTTCCACAAATCTGCTGCCATCTAAGTACGTACCTAGGTGTAAGGTGTGACCAGAAAAATATAATGCAAGGGCTTATTTTTGGTGCTCGAGAGACGTTTTCAATTCTACAGTCCATAGTGTAACATCCGCGTTAGAGGAGAACACATGTCTCATCGCAGTTCTTCGGGGTCCCCGAAAGCGGCCCGACAGCAGCCGGTCACGGAAGACTCCATCAAGTTCTTTGAGCACCATTTGGAGCGGCGACATGTTGCCAAACGAGCGTGCTTAGCCTGTCGAGAGAAGAAAATTAAATGTGATGGCGAATTGAAGTCTGACGAGTCGGGCAACAAAAGCTACGGCAAGTGTTCCAATTGCACCGCTTCGGGCACCGAGTGCGTGTTTGTGCCCAGCAAGAGAGGTGGCCGCAGGAGGAAGAACATCTCCGTCGACTCGACCACGACTCAATCTCACGGCTACTCGTCGTTCGCAAACGACCAGTCGCTGAAACGCCAACACTTCGATCCGGAGCGACGATTCGACACAGAGAGCACTCCCAGCATGTTCGCTTCCGACGCCGAAGAATCTTTCCGACCCGCTCACCACCAGCCTCCGCCGGGTAAGTTTGGCTCCAAGTACCTGCCACCTCCGTTTGCGAGATACGACGATCCGGGCAAGTGGGCTGGCTCAAAAGAGTCGCGCTGCGGCAAATACCCGTCCAAGGAGATGCCCTACTCGGAGCCCTACTTTTACTACGGGCATCCTCCGGTTCCTCCACCGCCGGGTCCACATCTTCCAGGCCACGGTCCGCCTTTGCTTCGGCCTCCTGGGCCTCTGTCTCTTCCTCCGCCGCCTCCAGGAGCATTCTCTCCGTACCATCCTCCGTTCCATCGCATGCACCGCCACCATCACCATCACCATCGCCATCTGCGTCACCATCATTCAGATCCGTATTTCGACCCTCACAGGGTTCCTTACGGGTTCTATCCGCCTCCTTCGCCCGGAAGACGGTCGCCGTTGTCGTATTCGGATAGCGACAGCCGTGTTTCAGGATCTGCAGCAGAGGAACAGACAGGAAAGAGCACGTTGCTACCACCTTTGAACCACGCCGTTGGACAGGATAGCGTGGACGAAAATTCGGGGAATACAGAGGACTGGGTCAATTTGCAGAAACAGATACAGGGCCAGTATCCTCCTGAGGATCAAATGTCTATCGCAAGCCTTGCTACGACCTCTCGTGACCAAACACCGAAAAACCAGAAATTCACAAAGTCTGAGCTCGAGAAATATGGACTGCCGTCGTGGGACGTCATATGCACAGTGGTACAGCTGTTTTACAAGTACATCCATTTGTCGTACCAGGTGCTGCCTAACTTGAACGAGTTTTTGGGGAGATTTTATTTGACAGACGAAAATGTTGCGATACTGAGTGCGATTTTCGAGATGACTGTCCGATATATTAGCCCGAACGAGGTGGAGGACAAGAAGTTTCTTGACGAGGGTTACTGGCTACAGAATTGCTCCAAATATCGGCACTGCCTGTCAGTAGAAGCAGAGCTGTTGATTTTGACCATGACCTGCACCTTTGGCGAGGATGACCAATTGCATCGCTGCTACCGTCTGATAAGGAGCTCTGGATATCTCGATGTGCTAAAACGGAAGTCACAAGCGGACTACAACGAGATGCTTGACATTTCAACAGGCCGCCAGCTAAAGGACCGCGAACTGCTTATCCGCTGCGTGTGGAACGTGTACAAGTTCCAGACATACCGACGGGCCAACTATGGCTATCCTTACCATAAGCATGGATTTTTCAAGCTGCCTGAGCAACTGGAGCTACCTTTGGACGATATGGTGTACTATAAAGGGTCGGCTTCTTTGGAGTCTTTCAAATCTGCGTTCAAAAAAGTCCATTGCTCAGATAGTGTCAATTTGAACCATCCGGGAAGGGACGAAATGCCCAACTCGATGATGCTGATTTTATCTTGTCATTATATGGACGAAGTGATGGACAATGTTGCCGAAAATGCGCTTTTGACAGAAAACGTCATCAAGCTGGACTCGCAATTGCAGAAGATGGCATCGCTTCCTAGTTTTTGTCCTTACACTATAGAAAACAACCGTCTGCTGATCGACGCCAACGTCCTGCTGTCCTGTTTCGTGAACAAGCTCTCCCTTATCATCCTGCACTCCTCGCTTTGCTGGTCACTGCTTCCCCTGCGTCCAAAGGACTCGACACAGTGTCCCAATCCCCTTGCCCTAATGAATGACTTTCCTATTCCGTTCCCAGACGCCTCTGAACTGGTTTCTCCGACGGACTTTCGGCAGTGGAAATCTTTTGTCACTTGCCTGCGGGCTGCCTGCGATATCGCCTCCTTGGTGCAGCTGGGTGAAGGCATATGCACAGAGTCGCTTCGGATGGACACAATGTTCCCTGTAAGCGTGGGTCCATGTTCTGCGAACGCAGAAGAGGAATGTTTCAGCACGGATCAGTCGCTAGTGGCCAAGTCCACGGTGCAACCAACAACGGAGCCATGGGTGCAGTACCCATCGTTCTGTTCGGTCGGAGTGTGCAACTCTGTCCCGATACTGGGATCTGCACTGCTTTTCCTTCGCCAACACCAATTCCATGTTGAAAAGATACAAGAACGGTACGCGGCATCTGTACTGCATGGAACCGAAACACTTGCCGATTGGGACGTAGATGCCGAGAGCGCAGAGTTCATCTCGGAAAAGTTGCGCGACAACTACCTCACCAACAAGCTTCGCCTATTCAGCAAGTACCTTTCTGCTGTTGGGAAATTCAGAAGCGGTGTTCGTCTGGCGGGAGCAATTACCGACAAGCTGATAAGCCGTTTATCCACTACCTAATTATTGGCTGCGTGGCTGTAAAAAATAACTAATGCCGATTTCCGATCTTTTTTCTCTCAAGGGCAAGGTTGTCCTTATCACGGGTGCCACCAACGGCATTGGCAAGGCCATGGCGCAGGCTCTGTACGAGGCGGGAGCGTCTGTGATTTTGACACACAGACCAGCTACCGACCCTTCGTCCACGGTGCAGCTTCTGCGTGAGTCATATCCAGGTTCGGAAGCCAAGATAGGCACTATCGAGGTCGACCTGGGCGAGGTAAAGATAGAGGATCTTGAAGCGAGAATTTTCAGGCCGGCTCTGGAATCATCTCCTACAGGAGAAATAGACATCCTTATCAACAACGCCGGCATCACCAACCGCGACTCCATTGTGGACGGTTCGATTGAAGAGTACCACAGAGTGCTGCACGTGAACTTGCTCGTTCCGTCGGAACTCACCAAACTCGTTGCCAGACGGATGATCTCTCAGAAGATCAGGGGAAAGATTCTATTCACCGCCAGTTTGACGTCTTTCCGTGCTGCTTCGAATCTGTCGGCATACACTACGTCCAAAGGAGCTATTCTGCAGTTTGCTAAAAGCTGCGCCGTGGAGTGGGCCCAGTTCGGGATTAACGTCAACTGTATTGGCCCGGGATACATCCGGACGAACATGACGACGTTCCACACCAGCGACGAAGCTAGAGAGGCTCGTATCTTGAGTAAGATCCCAAGAGGCAGATGGGGCACTCCAGAAGACTTCAAAGGCCCAGTGGTCTTCCTATGTTCGGCAGCGAGCGACTACGTGGACGGAGAGTGTCTGATGGTGGACGGCGGATTTTTAGCTCTCATGTAAACGATTTTAGACTATTTGTACCTCATTACAAACGCGGGACACGAGTTATTGAGCACATGCCTGTCGATCCACTCTGAATTGCTAGGAAATTCAGAGAAGCAGCCTGCACATCTTCCAGGAGCAGTATTTCTGTCTTTGAAACGAGTCCCCATCGGGTAAATAAAATGGCGGGCTTTGAGGTGCATCTTGAGAGTGTCTCTTCTCGAAAAACTACCTGTTGGATGACATATGGTTCCACAGTACTCTCCCCAGGACGTCTTGAAGTCTCCCTCCTTGTTGGCGGAGTGGTAGGGGCACTTGTATGGAAGCATGTCGCGATGTTTTTTCATATGTCTTGTGAGATACGACTTCAGTTTCAGCGAGACATGACAGATGTCACAGATATACAAGTCTTGGTCCGACTCCGACGAGTTGGGCGAGTGGGCAAGCGTAGATTCAGACCCATCGGACGACGATCTTGGAAGCGAAGATTGCGAAGAAGAAAGCACGGGATCTTCTTGCTTGATTGTTGGGAGCGGGGTAACAGCTTGGCGTGCAGCCAGAGATTCTTGCGCCAACCTCTGGAAATGTAAAAAGTGTTCATGGTCGAGGGTGTACTCGTTTCCGAGGGCATCCTCTTCGTCGGAAGAGTCGTCTTCCGGGTCTGCGAGATAGTACATAGCGTCCGACGTGGACTCTGCAGTGCTGGACGACGCGATGCCTTTGGTGCGATGTTTCAGGACCTCTGTTAGGTCCCAGTTCATAGGATTTGGCTCACTGAAGTCGTACTCGAACTCGTCCACTGCGCACTTCTTGACAGTGCTGTTGTCCAAGGACTTGTCCACAGTGAAGGACTGCTCAAAAAGCGACTCCGTACTGCCGACGGCGCGAACCCATGGGCCAAGCACTTCAATAATGCTGCCTATCGGCCGGAACAGCATCAGGTCGCTGTTTGGGAAAATCAAGTGCTGCAACATGTCAAGTTTTAATATTCCATGTACTAAAACTCGGAAAAAAGAGGAAAAACAATACTTTTTTTTACACGAAGCCAAGATAAGGACCATTTCGGCCGTATGCAAAATTAGATCTTGTGCAGCAAGCACACACAAAGGGGTGGAGCAGAAATCTCAGGGGATCTGAGGCAACGTTGTCGTCTTCTACCCGTGACCCTATTGGCCTCGTTAGAAGGTGCAGCACAGGCTTCGGCCAACACTTGCTCTTAACGCCAGAAGCCCGTGAGTCCTGAAATTGTGGTCGGACTCAAAGGTGCAAGGTGTGGCACGGTTTTTTATTTTTTTATTTTTGACGGATCTTCTTAGAAAAAATTAAAGTCGAAGTAATTTGTCCAAACGTTCTTATTGGTGTACGGGTGTACAATGAACGTGGACAGGCTCTTTGAGAAGCGCGGCTCGGACGAGTTCGACGACAGCCAGGCAAAAAGGCCAGCACACAGTCGTGAGGAGCGTGTGCTCGAATTTTTGGAACGCGATGATGCGGTTGGGCCACAGAAAAATGTGGAGTACAACGAACAGTGGGTCAAGAATAGTCTTACCAAACTCGGTGAGCTTGTGACGTCCAACCTTCAGATGCGCGAAAAGCACTCTTCGGACCCGACCAAGCTGATGGACAGCGAGTTCGAGTTATTTCAGGGGCTCAAGGCCTGGTCTGAAATTAGTATCGCTCTGGCGGAAGCACAAGATTACCCGCAGTGTTACGCAGCATTGGTAGCGAGTCCTGTTTTTGCAGAAGTCGTGCGACTTCTTGCCAGCCATCCTAATATTGACGTGCGTGAACAGGTTCTTCTGATTTTGGTGGACTTGGTGGAAGAAGAGCGGGACGAGTGTCGTTCTGTGCTAGGCCAGTTTTTTACGAATTGCAAGATCGGAGACTTGCTCGGCAAGTTTCTTGGAGGGCTGGACTCAATTGCGGACAGACAGTTAAGTGAGCAATATTCCACGCTATGTTTGGGGTTTGCGATAACCTTATCTGAGTTCGAAAATGTGACGCTGACTACTCGCACTGAACTGAACGATAAAGTTCTGGAAATAATTGAATCCACGAAACAGCAGATCGACCAAACCAGCCAGTATGCGATGGAGTATCTCCAAGAGCTGCTAGTGGGACGTGGGCAGTCCGAAATCGAAAGCTTTGAGAAAGAAAACGACGCGGATCTAGTTGAGACTCTGATGGTGGCGTGGTCGAAACTTCGTAAAGTGCCTATATCAGGAACTGAGACGACCGAGTTCAAGGAAAATTGTATACTAGTGCTGTCCTACATTTTGCGTTTTGACGCCTACAAGGCGCGGTTTCTGGAGAACGATGGACTCGAGCTGGCGATGCTGTTCGTCAATAGCGAGATCTCCAAGCACCATATCAACGCCGGTCTCAAAATATTAGCGTCTGTGATAGACGAGCAGGCAGGAGCGCTGGTGGTGGAGATGGGCGTTTTAAAGCCACTGCTCAAACATTTAGAGACGAAAGTCCCGAAAGAAAACTCTTGCTCCCCTCATGTCCTGAGACTGCTTTCTCAGCTCTATAAATTTCTGCCGTTTCGGTCTGATGCGCGGATCAGGGTCACCAATAAACTGATACACAAGGACTTTGCCGGTTTGAAGAAAGTGCTCAGGCTGTGGAAACTGTTAGAGGCAGACGATAGCGACAACGAGCTCGTTCTTGAGAGCCTGGCCCTGACTAACACGGTGCTGTTATGGGCTTTTAATGAGAGTCTGGTGACTTCGGCAGGCGCACAACGCCTGCTGGCTGATCATGATATCGAGCCTGGCCAGTTCATTCAGGCCGTAGACCTCGATATAGAAACGGCGTCGGACGACGAAGAACGCGAGCTGCTCTCGTCTCTAAGAGACTCCGTGGATGCCAAGCTGAAAAATGGCAGAAGCGAAAAATAATCTGATAGAATTCCGACATTATTGTTTTATAGATGGCCGAACACGTCCCAAAACAGAGCCGGCCCAGCCGGTATGTGGGGATGAGCAACCTGGAGAAGTACGAGGTGCTTCAACAGCTGGGCCAGGGTACGTTCGGGATGGTTTTCAAGGCGCGCCAAAAAAGCACAGGCAAGCTTGTCGCCCTTAAAAAACTTATTGTCCATGACTCGAAGGACGGGTTCCCCATCACGGCGTTTCGAGAAATCACGATCATGAAGCAGTTCAGACACGTGAACGTGCTGCAGCTAATAGACATGATTCACGAGAACTCGCAGGATACGAAGAAACCCGGCTTTTTCTACACAGTCACACCATACATCAGCTCGGACCTGAATGGGCTACTCAACAACCCACGGGTCAGGCTCACCAACCCGCAAATCAAATGTATTATGAAACAGATTTTACACGGAATCGACTACATTCACAATCAGCATTATCTGCACAGAGACATAAAGACAGCCAACATTCTGCTAGACTGGTTTGGCGTGGTGAAAATCGCCGACTTTGGACTTGCAAGAGGGTACCACGGCCCGGCTCCTGTGGATGCGGCTGCCGGTGCCGGCGGAGGTCTGGTGGAGTACACGGGGCTAGTGGTGACACGTTGGTATCGACCCCCCGAGCTGCTGCTGGGAGAACGAAAATACACAACAGCAGTGGATATGTGGGGAATCGGATGTGTTCTGGGCGAAATGTACAAGAAGAAGCCTATTCTGGAAGGAAAAAGTGACCTGGACCAAGCAGACCTGATTTTCAAGCTTCTAGGAAGCCCCACGCCGGACAACTTTCCGAACGCAGACGTGATCAACAGAAATGGCGTCAACTTACATGTGGACTACCCGCGCACCCTTGAAAGCGAGTTCGGAGCGATCATGACACCGGCGGCAGTGCGACTGCTTTCAGGATTGCTGACCATGGACCCACGCAGGCGGTTCAACGCTGCTAAGGCCTTGGAGTCGGATTTCTTCAAAATGGAGCCGGTGGCCTGTCTTCCCGAAGAGCTGCCCAAATTTGAGGAAAGTCACGAACAAGACATCAAACGATACAAGGAAGAAAAGAAACGTGCCAATGAGTCCATCGGGTCAGGAAGACCGCCTAATAGGTCCCTGGACCACTCGCACTATGGAGCTGACTACGAAACTCCTCGCAAGAGGAGGGATCTTGCGCATGACAGCCGCTGGAGAGGAGAGAGGCGTGGCTGGGGAGGAAACAGAGATTGGAGTCGCGACTGGGGCCGCGATTGGGGCCGCGACTACTCGCGGGAGCCAAGAGACTACAGAGACTACAAGGGCCCACGCGAATTCCACGGAAGTCGTCCTTGGCAGAACCAGGATTATCGCGACACCAGAGGCCACTGGGGGGATGGTCCCCGCGCAAACGGCGGCCCACATCCATACAAAAGAAACCCACAGGACAGAACCAGCAGCAGCCTGTATGCCCAGACGGAGAAAACTAGCCTCAGCGCAGTTAAGGACTATCTAATCGATAAGAAAAAGGAGGGAGGAGCAGATCCGACGGCGAAAAGATGAAGCACAAGCAGTACCGAATGTGCTCATTTAGACATTTGGATCCGTTTTAGCTGGTTTAGGCGGTTTGTACATTTTCTGAAAATCACAGCGCTGATTAACAGCGAAGCCGTGGATATAATGACAAACCAGTAGTCTTTTTCTTCCACAATGTTTTCTAAATTCATGCCGTAGACACCAGCTATGAACAGCAGGCTGCCGAAGCTCAGCAGACAAATGCTGAACCGCAGACCCAACAGCATGAGCTGGTTTCGATTGGAGTCGAGGATAATGTTGATGATCTCCTCTGTAGTCCGCACGTTGCTTATCGAGGACTCCACAGTCTGCACAATGGCATCGCAATGCAGAGAGTAAGACTCGAGAAGCATTTCCACCTCTTCGTGTTCGCGCGCCGTCCGCTTGTGGCCGAGTTTTTTATCTGTGAGATACAGTTCCACCAACTCGTCGTCATGGGCCAGCATTTCGTCAATAAGGTCTCTAATCAGAGTGGCCTTCTGCTGGAACTGTTGCAGTTTCTTGGACACTAGTAGCAGATACTTTAGTTTGGTCATGTCGACGTCGCTTTCGAGCTCTTTCAGTATGCCATTTACCACGGTGACATGCACTTTCATTTCTGAGTTGAGGTTATCTATCACGTTCATAAAGATGGCTTCCAGGGCGCGAATTTCGTAGGGAAGCGAGTCGTCTGCTTGGTTGCGCAGTTTCTGTGAGAGCGTGGAAATTAGCTGGTCACTGGAAAACGACTGGTCGTAATTGAATAGCACGACGGAATCTGCCTTGATCAGCGCCCGGATATGCAAGATGGTGAGCAGGATCGAGTTTTCGCGCACTAAAATAGACGGAACGATGTCGTCGTAGCCCTTATCAATTTTGCGGAGGTCACGGGGCAGTAGGTCATGTTTCAGAATCAGCTGTGCCTTTTTGACATCGGATGCGATCTTTTTGAACTTTCCGTTCGAGTCAAAGACTATGCATTTGAACAGAACTGTGTTCGTGGTGGGAGCGAGCAGTTTGGGCGCCAGCGACCGCTGCAAAACAAAGCTGTCAATGTTGCGAAGAGGACGAAAGTTGCCGAACCAGCGAATTCCTCGCAGGCACGGTAGTCTGGAGAACATGATAAAATATAATGATAAAAAATAATCTCGAAAATATTTTTTTATGTCTCCCGAACAGTTTGAGGTGTACGAGGAACTGGGTCGTGGGGCATTCGGCGCGGTCTACCGCGCTTTCGACAAGGAATCCAGGAAAATGGTGGCTGTCAAACAGGTCGATTTGGAAAACGCAGATGAGCTGAACGAGATACAGCAGGAAATCAAGATCCTGTCTACGTGCCAGCATGCAAACATCACTCGCTACTATGGCTGTTTCCTGAAGGGATACAAGCTGTGGATCATCATGGAGCTTATGGACGGCGGATCATGCTCAGAACTGCTGATTTCCGGGCCATTTGGAGAGAAAGCTATTAGCTACATTTTGCACGAGCTGCTACACGCTCTCGTGTATTTGCACGAAAACGGCAAGATCCACCGGGACTTCAAGGCCGCCAACGTGTTGTTGAGCCTGAAAGGAGATGTGAAAATTGCTGACTTTGGAGTCGCGACCCAGTTGTCCAACAACATGTCTAAAAGAAACACTTTTGTGGGCACGCCGTACTGGATGGCTCCTGAAATTATTCTCCACCAGCCATACACGTATTCTGCAGATATTTGGTCGCTGGGTATTACGGCAATCGAGCTAGCATACGGCAAGCCGCCCTTGTCGCAATACCATCCGTTTGATGTGCTCTTCAGAATTGCAGAGGACCCAGCTCCGGAGCTGGACTCAAGCTTCAGTAAGGAGTTCAGGAATTTTGTGAACGTCTGTTTGAATAAAGAGTCAATGCAACGGCCGTCGGCCAAAGAGCTCCTCAGACATCCATTCATCCTCTCCGGGGCCAAGGCCGACCGCTCGGAAATTGTCAAGCTGATTAAGCGCAAGCACGAATGGGACCTTGAAACAGGCAACACCGAAAAACGCTACTATACGCCAACTTTGGAGGAGGAGACGCCTCCTTTATTTGACATAACGTTGAAGGAGGAACCTGCAGGTACACTGAAACCAGGACCACTCCACAAAGTTCCGTTGTCGCCGATAAAACGCAGTTCCAGTGAGAACGGAGACCAAGAGCTGAAAAAAACTCTTAATCGCATACTGAACCAGTCATTCAACAAGATAAACGAGAAACACAACCTTTCGACGTCGCAATACGACCAGTTAGTACTGTTTCAAAAGACAATGATGGAGTCGATCGCGCTCAGCCCCGATGAACAGTACCGAGAGGTGTTTTGTAAATACTTTAAGCTGGTGATGAAGAAAATTATGACGACAGATAACGAGCAGCTCAAGGACAAACTAATACCCAAAAACCTGGAAAAAGAACGTCCTCGCGACGAAGTCGAAGAGCTGCTGTATACTAGGTGGGCTGAAAATATGATCGAGCGCTGGAGGAACGAACATTAATATTGAAAGCTACGTATTCTGCATAATCTCAATGGACAATTGAAGACCCTGTATTTTGTTGACGAGGTCGTCAAACATTGGCTTCTGAATAACCACAGCAGTACCCACTGACTGAACTGGCTTTTGAGCCACCGCCTCAGAAAACTCGTAGTCGACACAGGGAGTTCCGGAGACCTTTTGAGAGGAGGACGGAACAGAGGGATTGGCAGTCCTGGAATGTTTGGAGGGATCGAGAGTCCTAAAAGAAGCAGGTGGGATAGAGTCAGACGGCTTGGAGACAGCGTTGGTGTCAGCTTTGGCAGGCTCTGGACGTCTAACAGGCTCCTGAGTTTCAGCGGGCTCCGAGATCTCCTCACGCTCTGGAGCCTCAACACGCTTCAAGCTCTCCAATGATTTCAAGGCCATAGTCGACTTCGACTGCTCCACTAGAGTAACCTCAGCCATCTTGGAGACAGGGCGTTTCGGCTCCATATTCTGTTTAGGAACAATCGTAGTGAAAAGTCTGAAAATCATATCGATCTTGACAAGCTCTGCAACCGAGAAAACAGGGCCAAGGGTCAGCTTTCCGTTGCTTACAGTATTGAGGTCTCTGAGGTCTGCAAGCTCCTCCATTATCTCGTCTACATGCCAGCAGAACGACATCATCCACGGAATCAAGAAAGAAATGTACTTATCATTGAAAACCAGGACACGGGTCTGGTCATCGGACTCCTCTTCATTTTCAGACCCACCGAACCCGACTCTGGTCTCCCAGTTACGAAAGCACATAAGCATAGGCCGTGTCTTCTTTTTGGTGAGCTCCTTTAGAACTTTAACGGCGTAAGCCCTGATTTTTTTTGGTTGATATTCAAGCTCAAATTTCTCCATAGTTGGTTGCTACCATATCGTCTGAACGTGTCAATTTATACAGCTCTAGAGATGGCTGGACTAACTGTCTACAGACACAGTTCTTGCTCGCAGGAAGTGGCTGGGACGAAATGGCACGATTGCATGTTGAAAAGTGACTCGTCACTTATTAAATTGAATACCAGCCAGCTTTGACTGCAGCTCCTGTATATGGTTGGAGGATGAAGACGCAGATCCCACAGAAGGCTTCTTTGCAGGAACGGGTGGCTTCTGCTTGGAGCCAATTGCTTCGGCCACCTCTGAGTTCGACAGCTTTTTAGGAACCGGGGGCTTGGATTTTGCAGATAGATGTGTGGGTTTGGATGGTGGAGGCGGGGCCGATGAGCCAATTTCTGGGCGAGGAAGAGTCGGCGGCGGAGTAGGAACCGTTCTTGAAGCCGGCTTTGGATACCGTGTGGATGGTGCTGGCGGAGTTTTGACGGTTTTATCAAGGCTCTCTTTTCTGGGAACAGGAGGTGGAGGCTGTAATTTCGAGATGTCAGGGAGCTCAAATTTCTTGGGCTGTTCTGTAGGCTCCGAATTGACTCTTGACGGAAGCTCTGGCCTGGTGCCCGTGCTGGAAGGAGACATGACCGACGACGCTGAGGATGATGATGCAACCATCGATGCGTTCTGGTGCGCGCTCATTTTTGCGCGCTGCTGCGACTCTTCCTTCATTTTCTGCAGTCTTTTCTTGAGTTCGCGCTCCTTTTCAATCTTGCGCTGCTCATCTTCAGTCAAGCGAGCTTTGGGAGGAGGAGGACCATATTTGGATATGTCGAACTCCATCAACGACTGCTTGAACTTGGGCTCCTCGACAGGGGGCAAACCGTTCTTTTTCTCTGGCGCCACTGGTTCCTGGGCTTCTGGAAGATACACCTGTGTTGGAACTGGCGTTGCTGCTGGTACTGGTGCCGGTGCCGGCGCCGATGCCACCGGGCCAGAAGGCAGGCTCACAACAGAAGCGCTAGTCGGTGTTGAGGTCGTTGGTGTAGCAGCGTATGGAGCGGAGTTCTGAGGAGGAGAGATTATGGCAGGTCTGGAATAGTCCCTTGTGGGCACTGGAGCTGGAAGCGGTGATGGTGCTGGTTCGGGCTGGGGGGTGGGCTGCTGGACGGGATTCTGTGACAAAGGAACCGGTTGAGCCATTGGCTGGGATGACCCGTACTGCGTCGGCTGCTGAGAAACAGCCTGGATAGGTTCTTGCGCCGTAGCTGGCGGTGTTGGTTGTTGAATTATCGCCGGCTGGACTGGCTGAACAAAAGCTTGTTGCTGGTTCGGCTGGTTCGGCCAAGTCTGCGTCTGGGGTTGGTATTGCACCGACGGCTGATATGCCACGGTTGGCTGATATTGCTGCTGAGGAGCGTATTGTTGGACGGGCTGGACGGGCTGGACAGGCTGTGCAACAGGTACGTAGACGGTCTGCTGCTGGAGAGGCGCCTGCTGGAATTGAGTAGAATACTGGGCCGCCTGCGGCTGTTCGCAGGTCACGGCCTGGGCGGGCATCTGGGAGGGCACCTGGACATACTCTTGCGGATGATTAGGCTGTGGTTGACCAGCAACGGCAACATGTTTTGGCGGCGGTGGAAAAGAATGCGGGTCTCTGACCTGTGGGATAGGAGGAGGACTTTGGGAACCTTCTTCGTCTTCTTTCCCGGATTGGCCAGAATTCTTGTTCTTATTGTTTTTGTAGGCCGTTTTGCCAGCATGATAGCCATACTTAGACACTGCCACTGTTGCATGACCTGCCCCCTTAAGGGCGGCCAGACCACCGGCTTTGATGGTGTCCTTGTTGTTGTCCCAAAATGACATGACTTAACTGAACACTGCCAGAACAAAATATAATTTATACTATGCGGTCTGTTATTTTTCCACGCGTTTTATTTATGCGATGTCAAGAATACTGCTGAATAATAACTTCAAACTGCTCAAGGTGCGCAGTTTGGGCCACGAATCGGTGGTCGACCGATTGTGTTACGACGAGCTGGGCTCCAACACCGAAGTGGCAGACTTTAAGAAAAAAATCGTCTCTGCCATACTAGCAAATGAACTGTACAAGTCGCACAATTCGGGGCTGCTTATACCCACAAGCTCCCGTTTCTATAGTAACGGGCGACTCATGAGCGACAAGCCGGACTTTGCAGATGTGCACCGACATCTGGAGCTGAAATTGCGGATCAAGGAGTTTGAGTGCGAGGAGAGACATCTCAAGATGGGCGCCATCAGATTCAAGCTGCTCAACGTCATACCATACCAGCTCATGATTTTCATCGAGATCGAGCCAGGAACAGTCTTGCTGATGGCCCGAATGCTGCCAAAACTGTACCATGTCGCAACAGACTTTTTGGTGAACGACGTTGGATCTCTGATCAGTCCGGTGGAACTCAGCGACGATTTTCTCAAAGACACACTCAACGCCACAATCGAAGAGCTTGGCTCGTCGTTGGTCGGCGATCTGGAGCTGGCGTTCGCAAACATCAAAACAACTAATAATGCGCTCAATCAAATAATCATCAATGTTCCAGCGAGCGACGTGGACAAGTTTCCAAAAACCGATTTCACTACGTCCCTGTTCAAGTACCTCCGCAAAAGCACTGCGCTGGACTTCGAACGGCTGAAACTCACAAAAATCCGATGCAATCTGTATTTATTTCTGTCCGAAGGGCGTCTTCGGTTCACCAACGAACTTTCCTTTGCTCCGTTTTTCGATGAGTCCGACCCGCGGCCCTCGCTGTGGCCATTTGTGCTGTCAATATGCGACCTGTGTATGTCCAAATAAATTAGGTTGTCTGGTTCAACTTGTCGAAGTCGAAATCAAAACTAGACCCGCAGCCGCAACTGGTTTTGGTGTACGGGCTGTCTACCACTTTGAATTGCGAACCAATCAGCTCGTGCACATAATCGATTTTTGAATCTCGTAAAATTTCAAGACTCGTTTTGTCTATCAGAACTCGGGCCCCGTCTCGCACGAAAAGGGAATCGTCTTCGGGATGGAAATCATTCATATCCGATAGTTTGAGGTGGTACTGAAATCCGTGACATCCGCCACTTTCCACTTGAACTCGTAATGCGAGCTTGTCATTTTGTTCCTCGTTGGCGATCTCGTTCAGTTTCTCGGCCGCTGAACGAGTGATGGCAACGAACAAGGGCATATTGTTATGGTCAGAAAAGTGTTGGTTCTGTACTTTTGTCTTTGTAAAGTCCACTAAGGGGGACGAATAGTAGCGTAATGTAAGAGTTGGTCGACTCACAAGAGGCATAGTCCTCAGGCTGGAACGAATCAAGCGTCCAAACATAATTAGTAATTTATTTGCTTATATTTTTTTCCCCAGAGACCTAATTTAATCAAGTCTGTCGCGACGATGGCCCTTTTTTTTAATAAATCAGGCTACTTACCCCAGATAATTGTTACACCTGATTATTATATACAATGGAAAAACAGCTACCAGATACCAAGCTATACGAGTCTCTGGTGGAGACAAAATCATTGGAACAGCTGCGAAACAACGCAGATTCTCTACTCTCGACCATCAAGCTATTTGACATGTATCCTACCACCGATCCCATCTGCTACGATCACCTTAACTCCCTGGTGCCCGTTTTCAGCGCACGCTCACCAGGATCTATCATGCTGATAGGCTCAGAGGTGGACTTTGGCTACTCGCTGATCTACCTCGGAAACTTGCTCCGTAAAACAGATATCCCCTTTGTGCTCCACGGATTTTTCGATTACTTTTCTCTCACCGAGGATACCCGAAAATTGGTGCAATATTTAGTCGATCTATCCGGGATATCGCAAATCAAGGTCCATTTTGCAAAAGACCTCGAGGACTATCTCATCTACCATCCGGTCGACACAGACTGGATACTTGTGAATCATATCTCTCCACAGAGGGACCTCACAATATTGAGAACGATGGAATCGGTAAGCCTTGTACAGCCGGGAACCGTGGTTGCGAGAGTGAACTGTCCGGCTGAATGCCGCGACAAGTTCTACGAGTATCTTCTGGGAGCCCCCGTGTATAAGCGGACTTTGAACGAGCACATAGGGGGTCGCAAACAGGGCAGATGGAATCTGGTTTACGAAAAAATCTCCAACACTTATGACAAATACGACCCTATCCTCACAGTATGTGTGGACCTTTTAAATGCATAATTATTATTTCTTTGTTTAGAATATTTCCCAAATATGTCTACCGAATATACGTCCACCGTACGAGATCAGAACATAGTAATATTTCATCTTCCCTACGGCCCACCGTTTAGACTCTCGGCGCTCAAATATGTCTGTTTTCTGGTTTGCGGGATAGCCAACTTGTGGCCATGGAACTGCTTCTTATCAGCATCCGAATATTTTCAAGACAGTTTTAGCAGCAAGCCAGTGTTGGCCAACACATATTCCTCCTCTATGATGACGATATCCACGCTTGCGTCGGCATCGTTCAATCTGTATCTATCTCAGAAGCAAAAAGGGGCAGACTACAGATTTAGACTAAACATGGGCAACATGCTGCAGGCAGCAGTGTTCCTCTTGCTCACCATATCAACACTCATCAAGAACAAGCCGGCGGTGCTGTACTTCGTATACGTGATGATGAGCGTTTTTGTCAGCTCCTGCGCCACATCGTTTGCTCAAGTTGGAGTGCTGGCTTTGGTGAACCTCGAGGGCCCAATCTATGCCAATGCGAATGTTGTGGGAAACGCGGTTGCAGGCGTGCTTCCATCCATCTCGCTGATCGCATCCATTTTGTTGAGTAAGACGCAAAGCGATAGAGATAAAGAAGTATTCAACTACTTCTTCACAAGTTTCTGCATAGAATTTCTTGCGCTCGGTTTGATATGGATCACGTACAGATACAAAGCCAAAGCTGGTCAGTTCCAGACGCTTTCCAGCAATTCCACCTTAGAAATAGACGACGAGTCAACGCTCGAGCCCGACGAAGAACACGTCTCGTTCCGCGAGCTCTGGGATATCCTGAAATACGTCCAGATCACAATCTTCCTAACCTTGTCTTTGACCCTCACGTTCCCTGTTTTTGCCTCCAATGTGCTTTCAGACAAGATAGATAAGAAGTATTTCGTTCCGGTCGCGTTTCTCCTCTGGAACCTGGGCGATCTCGGAGGCCGTGTCATCACTGCGTCACCGTGGTTTGTTCTTGAGGACCAGCGCAAGATGATAGTCTACGCCTCTTTGCGTGTCCTGTTTATCCCCTTATTTATGATGTGCAATCTACAAGGCAGAGGAGGTGTGTTTGGCGATTTTCCCTATCTGCTGCTGCAGCTACTCTTTGGACTTTCGAATGGACAGCTATTTTCCTCAGCTTTTATGACAATGGGCGTTCTGCTCACTCGCGATAAAGAAAAGAAAGCCGCTGGGGGATTCACGGCGTTCCTTATCAATGTGGCCCTACTTTTTGGCAGTGTCGTTAGTTACGTCTTTGTGTATCTGGTGAGTGCATAGATTAATGAGTATTTACACCAACTGCTTTCTCGAGCCTTGGAAGAAAAACTTGACGACAAGCACTTGGAATGCGGCCATGCTGCACATGAGAACGACGTCGAAAATCGAGAACCAGAAAATACGGCTCTCGGTGGACTTCACAGTCGACTGGTTTCTGTTGTTTCTGGTCTTGTAGTATTGAAGAGTGTTGGACAGCTGGCCCAGCTTCGACTCGATTCTGAGCACAGACGACTGCATTCCCTCAACAGCAGTGTTTTCTGCTGGCGCGTTTGGGAGAGAGGCCTTGAAGTCGTCGTCGTCCCTGATTTCGAAATCAACAACCTTTTCGGCAAACGTAGACATTTCGTTCGAGAAGCAGAACTCGTATTCCCCGATGGCGTCGGCCGTGAAAATGTAGTCGCCCTGTCTTTGTTTCTGTTCCTGGGCAATCACTCTTCCGCCAGGGGCTTTGATTGTGTAGTCGACGTCGAACGAACCTCCAGCCTGGACGGCGAAATAGTAGCCAATATTGGCTTTTGGTTTCTGGTTAAAAATGTAGAAACAAGCCTTTTCGTTCGGCTGCAATGCGAATGTGAGCGCAGTGGCTGAAACGTAGCTCAGCAAGCTGGCGAGAAGCAACAGTCTAGACAACATTTGAATAAACAAGAAAAAACAAGAATATTTTTAGAATCGCGACGCGTGCGGGCTCGTAATAGTCTGATCCCATCACTGGCAGTGAGCGCGTTGCGTAGAAGAGACCTATGATGGAGGCCGATTGCTGATACTGTGTAGCTGGCCACTGGCTATGGACTACAATTGTAACCGTTCTAGCGGCACGGTGTTACTTAATTCGTCGACAGTATTACCTGTCATTTCACTGTCCTCTGCTATTTATTTTTTCAGCAAAAACTTGTTTATTTTCTAGTGTTCGCCATGAGGTTCTTGTTGATTTCCCTGCTGCTGCTTGTGCCAACATTTGCTCATGTGGCCCTTTTGCCGCCAAGAGGCAAGCAATGCTTTTTCGAGGTGCTGAAGGCTCAAGACGAGCTTGCCGTCACGTTCCAGATCGGTGACCGTGCCAAGGACTCGACCGAACAACTCACAGCCGATTTTTGGATCAAGAGTCCTTCGGGCAGAATCCTGGAGAAGCTGAGTGACGTATCGCATGGCGAGGTTCAGATCAAGGCAAACGAGCCTGGAAAGTTCGAGTACTGCTTCTCGAACGAGGGCTCGTCCCTGCAGACAAAAGACGTGTCTTTCAACGTCCACGGCGTCGTCTATGTGGATGTGAACGACAACTCTGACGACAACCTTGACTCCTCCGTGAGAAAGCTTATGGAACTGGTCTACGATGTCAAGAACGAGCAGAACTACATTGTGGTGAGAGAGAGAACACACAGAAACACGGCAGAGAGCACCAACAGCAGGGTGAAGTACTGGTCTGTCTTCCAGCTCATTGTTGTCATTCTGAACTCTATTTTCCAGGTCTTCTACCTCAAGAGATTCTTCGAGGTCAAGACCGCTGTGTAATGAGGAAATAGCCAAGATAATATGTATACATCCGGTAGAGTGCAGTCTAGGCGGTCTTCATACCATTGAGTGTTTTAAGACGGCATTGAGAGAACCTCCGCGCAACGTCCATTTTCCGGTTCGTTGGTCTCGCTTTTCATCCATCCCTACACCATTTTTTTTTCTACAATGTCGTCAAGAACGTTCTACCCGCAGACCCCGGTCGAATTCAACTCCAGCCTCATTTCGTCGCTGGACAGCTCTGCAGAGACTAACTACTCGAGACAGCAAGTGTCTGCACAGGTTGTCGAGCGAGAGGTGGGCAAAAAATTAAAAGAATTGGAAAACAACAAACTCGCAAAACTCGACACAAAACTCTCGTCTCTGCTCCTTCCCAATGAAGACCAAGGTGTGAGCGTCGCTTCAGTGAACGAGAAGCTGAATGAGGCTGCCGAAAAGCTGAAAAAGCTCAACGATGCAAAACCCGTCAAGTCCAAGGCTCTTGTTGACGCGGAAACTGCCGTGGCCAACTGCATTAAAATTAATAGAGACAAACCCCTGAACTGCTGGGACGAGGTGGAGCAGTTTAAACAGCTTGCAACTAGAAAGTAAATACGATTTCTCCGCTATCTAGAGTGTATCAAATTCATTACTTTTATATTCCAACAGCCTTGTACATCAAAATCAAAGCAGAGTCACCCTCTCCACCACCGGCGAGAGCCTCGATCTTGTCGCGACTCACAACAGTCACCTTATCGTCATTGAATTTGTGCCAGTTCTCGCCTGTTGGATCCTGCTGGTCCTTGGCAAAGCATTGGTAGTGGCCAGAATCGGCAGACGAGCCCTGATGCGCAATCACGCTAATCAGCTCGTACAGAGACGAAGGGTTCTCGCCAGAGGCAGGGTCGTATGAGTCGGGCAGAGCAGTTTTGAAGTTGTCTGCCCATTTCTGCCTGAGTTTCTCAAGCTCCTCTTTCTGCTGGACGTACTGCTCCCTTGTGGTGAGATCAGCAGATTTCTTCGTTTTCTTGAAAGCTCTGCTCTCCTCTTCATTCTGCTTCTCAACCTTGTAAATAGCGTCTCTGACCTTTGCCTTGTCCTCCTTGATGCCCTCGTCAACAAGGTCTATCAAGTCCAATTGGAATGGGAATTGAACTTTACGCAGGATCTTCGACTTTTTCCCCGTGTCTCTTTTCCAGAAGAACCGAACAAAATGTATGTTCAAGTACTTAGGGAGACGCGTGATTTTGCGAGAAATTTCGTATGTGCTGTTTCTTCCCAGCGACTCGTTATGTTTCTCTATGGTCTCCTTCAAGTTGCTCATCAATCCGTCTTTCAAAAAATTGGTGTTGATGGTAATATGACAGGCCAGCTTCATCGCGTCCTCGTAACCGTAGACAGGTTCTTCAGAGGTTTCCAAGCAGCGGGTAGCAGTTTTGAACTCGACCTTGAAAAACTGGTCCAGTCCACTAAACTGCCCCAAGATAACACTCAAGATCTGAGAGTACGCCTCCTCCGCGTCCTGCTGCTTGTAAAACCCGCTCTCGTCTCGCTCGCTAAACTGAGGAAAGCTGAGACGCATTGTTGTGAGAAAGTTCAGCGGCGTGATCTTCTTGTTATGGTGGCTCATCTTGTCAAAAAGCTCTTTCAGGTGAAACACGAGATTTTGCTCGACACCAGTACCGTTCTTTGTATAATTTTCCAAACGGCTTCTTAGCTCGTCCACAACAAACAAAGACTGAAGTGACGAGTTAAGGTAGCACGTGTTTCCCAGATTGACCAGCCCTGAGGGCTCATTATTTGGATTGAAATTGAGATCTTTGGGATCTAAGTCCTCCACGAACTTGACGTCTTGTTTTGGAGCTTCCAACGGCGCATCGGCCGACCCCAACACCATGATTGTCTGGTTTGGCTTCAAATTGAAGCTCTTTAGGTCGCTGTCATCCTTCAATTGGCCACCTTTCAGCAGTACCTTCTGTCTTTCAGGTGGAACATTCGTCAGCGAGTAGATCTGATGCTTGAATGTCAATCCACTTTCCGACAAGTCCACAGTGACAGGATATGTTTTTCCGGCATGCTTCACGTTCACTGGTATTAGATTTTCAGGGTCCGACTTACCTTGAATCGACATGACGACTATGAGGGCAAAAATAAATAAAAATAAAAGAATTACGTGCATAGTTTATGCACCGCGTAGCAGAGATGTGAACTTTCGCCACCGGGAAAAGGAGAATGGCATCGCCCATGGTGGAAGGGCGGGGTCCGCGCCTTGCAGTGGACGGGCTGCAGTCAGCGAGGAGCAGGCTGTGTGTCTTTTGCCGCCACGCTCTCCGCTGAGTGCTCGAGCGCTTATGTAATCAAGCTGTCAGTTTTTTTCGTATCTCCTGAAAATTTTTAGCCCAACTGACGACTCACCGCCCACCATGAGCACATCGAACTGCAGATTCTACGAGAACAAATACCCCGAAGTGGACGAGGTCGTGATGGTAAACGTCCAGCAAATCGCTGAGATGGGCGCCTATGTGAAACTGCTGGAGTACGATAACATTGAGGGCATGGTTCTGTTGTCTGAGCTCTCGAGAAGACGTATCAGATCCATCCAGAAGCTTATAAGAGTCGGTAGAAACGAGGTTGCGGTGGTTTTGAGGGTGGACAAAGACAAGGGATACATCGATTTGTCCAAGAGAAGGGTCTCGTCTGAGGAGATTGTCAAGTGCGAGGAGAGATTCAACAAGTCCAAGGCAGTGCACTCTATTTTGAGAAGATGTGCTGAAAAACACAACATTCCACTTGAACACCTGTACGAGACCATTGCATGGCCGTTGAGCAGAGAGTATGGACACGCTTTTGACGCGTTTCGCATCTCGATCACCGATCCTTCTATTTTCAACAAGATAACTCCTCCGTCGCAGGAAGTGCTGGAAGAGCTGAAGGAACACATTTCTAGAAGACTGACTCCGCAGGCGATCAAGTGCAGAGCTGATATCGAGGTGTCCTGTTTCTCATACGAGGGTATCAACGCGATCAAGGAGGCTTTGGCTGCGGCAGAGTCGCTGAGCACAGAACAGAACGCTATCAAGGTGAAGCTGGTGGCTGCTCCGAGATACGTGGTCACCACGCAGTCGCTGGACAAACAAACAGGAATCAACATTTTGAACCAGGCTATAGAGAAAGTCAATGAGGTCATCACCAAGTATGGTGGAGTGTGCGATGTGGCCATGGCTCCAAAGGCTGTGACGGCCACCGAGGACGCCGAGTTGCAAGCTCTTTTGGAGAGAAAGGAGTTGGAGAACGCTATGGAGTCGGAGGACTCCGACGAGGAGTACGATGAGTAGCCGTCGGTGGTGGATAATACATATACTGCAGAATTAAAGGCTTTGTATAATTATGCCAAGTTGGTGTCAAACAGTAGTGACAGGAGATCCTGCGAGCTCTTAATATTTTTTCGCGGCGAGGAAATAAGGTCCACGAACAGATGGTAGCCTGCGGCGCTGAAGAACCATTTGCAGCCGTTCTCGTCCAGAAACGAAAGACAGTGGCTGAAGAGCGTTTTTTTGTAGTTGAGCACGATGAGCGGGTCATGTGACGTGGTCTGTACCTGCTGCCTCGCTTCAATTTCCAGGTACAGAAGCACCATCACGTGGAGAACGGCGTGTATCGTGATGATCTGCTGAACTTGCTCTCCCTTGCTCTGGTCAATGATGTTTCTCGCAAAACGCGAAAGATAGTGCATCTTGTTGTCCGATAACGGAGAGTCGGTGTGGAGCAGCTGCTGTCCTTCCACCTCGTCTTCCAGGATGCTGACAAAGTCGATTTTCGAGCGCAAGTACATGATCCCGCAGAAGTCGCTGCATGTCTGCAGGAATCGCGTATATGTGTCGCCGATCAGCTGCCGGGTCTCGTCGTCGACACCTCTGTCGCACAGACTCAAAATGTCTCTTTCGAGGTTGAGATCCAGCGAACGGTTGCCTGGCGGACGGTACCTACACACTAGAACTCGCTCTAGCAGGTCGCATATCTGGTACCAGCGGCGGAAGATCTCGAAATCCCTGCTGTTGCCGTCAAAATCCTCAAGCTTCACGGTGTCCACAGCCAGGTCTAAGGTGTTGTAGAACATCGGGGCAGACGAGGTGACGGTTAGCGCTCTGTCCAGACAAAAGGACGTCCAAAATAGCCGCGTAAGCAGCGACACCTTGTGCGACAGCCTAAAGAAAATGGAGCCCGTGCTGTGGTCAAGCGTGTTTGTCTCCAGCCTGGACAGCTGGTTCCGTGCTGCGTTGTTGTGCAACGCCAGGTCGGTGATCAAAATACATGCGCGGGAAACATACTCGCGAGCAACTTGCGGTCCTGTGGGCGACTCCTCCTGGTTGCTCATCAGCAAGAACCCCTGGATCAGCGTAATTTTGTTGAGTTCGCACAGCTTAAGCAGCTCGCACTTGCGGCGTAACTGCTCGGCGGTTTCTCTGATCTCGGCAGATTTCAGATTGGCGTCGTATCTGACGCCGCACATCATCATTGCGTTGAGCAGCAACGGCGGCGTCGTGTCCAAATGGTCAATAATGTCTCTATCTACCACCGGATACAGAGGATACAAATTATCGAGGTACAGCATGACGTACCTGCGCTGCGTCTCGATCGGAGGCATTTTGAAAGCTCCTTTCATCTCAACGTACTCGAGCAGCTCCTCATCCACGTTCAGCGGCCGCGTGTACTGGTCGCGAGCGGGCAAAAACAGGTCTCTCCAAGGAAAATATAAATTGAAAAACTCTCCGTCTGATAGAGTGAGAAACGAGTCGTTGCTGAAAAGAGGAGCAAGCGGGTGCACCGTGTTGATGAACTGGAACTTGTTTTCGGAGCTCTTCATTGCGTTCGCGTATATCCGGTCGTTCCCGAACACATTGGAGGAAGCGCTGGAGGAAATAGCAGCTGTTTTGCGTTTCTTGCTAGGTGTGGAGAGATCGCAGGCCTCGTGGGCCTTGTAGCATTGCTCGCAGGAGTCCAGCTCGTCGTTGAAACAACACTTTTTGTGCGCCTCGCGACACTTTCTGCAAGCCTTGGTGGCCTTGGCGTTCTTGTTCAGCGAGAATGTTGTGATCTTGAACTCATTAGGCATAAAGGGGAGCTAAAAAAAATATATTTCTATTTTTTATGTCAATTAAAAGGAGCTTATCAGGACCACAGAATGCCAAAAGACAAAAACCTGAAGACTTGCCGGACAAAGACCAATGGCCTGCAGAGTTTAAGGAGCTCGATACTATCCATTTCAGACTGAACTCATACTTCACGTTTTTATCCTCGCGCAAGCACATTATCACAACGTTTGATTTGCTCAAACCGTCGGTGGAGAATGCGATTGGACGGCCTTTGGAGCCTATTGACGTGGCCAGAGTTGCGTATCTGATACCCAAGGATGTGCTTTTTGACTACGTTGATGAGAGCCAGTTTGTGCTCGAAGAGAAACATTTCAGCTGGAGAGACGGGTTTACCCAGAAGGAATCAGACATCTACGACATCAAAGACGAAGAGGCAAAGGCATCGAAACAGCTGCTGATCTTTGAGTTTATTGACGGAGACTTGCGCAAATCCAAAACGCGGTCGGCTTTCATGACAGAAATCAAGGTGCCTGTCTACTCCCAGGAGTCGATCAAAAAGATGATTATCAAACGGAACGACAAATTCAAGCTTGCGGTTGGCAGATTTCTCAAGAAGTGCGCGGATAGCGGGATAGCGGACCCGTGGGCTGAAATCACCAAGCACGCACAACATATAGTCCCCAAACCCAAGGAGTTTGTGGACCCGATCGAGGAGATGGTGATAAATTCCAGCCAGGACGCGAACACAGAGCAGCGCATCTCGATCCCGCAGCTGATTGAAAAACTGAAACAGACCGACTTCTACGAAGACCAGATTGTCGAGAACGGGCTGCTGGAGGTGCCCCCGCGCAGCGCCACGTACGGCGAACTGAACTTCGAGTTGTCGCCTGTCGTGCGCGAGGCACTTGCTGCTACCAAAAATGTCGAGAAATTTTACTCGCACCAGGCAGAAGCACTCAACCATATTCACGAAAACCACCATATTATCATCTCCACGTCGACGTCGTCAGGTAAATCGCTCGTCTACCAGCTGCCCGTTATCACCGCTTTGGAGCAGGACCCGAGCGTCACTGCCATGTACATATTTCCAACTAAGGCTCTGGCGCAAGACCAGAGACGGTCCTTGAAGGACCTGCTGAACGTGATCCCATTCTTGCGGGAAATGGTGGTCGAGACCTACGACGGAGACACAGAGAAACGGGACCGCGAACACGTGAGGTCGTCTGCGTCTGTGATCTTCACAAACCCCGACATGCTGCACCACAGCATTCTTCCTTCACACCAGCTATGGCGGAGGTTTCTCGTCAACCTCAAGTATGTGGTCGTGGACGAACTGCACATGTACAAGGGTCTCTTTGGGTGCCATTTCGCGCTGGTGATGCGGCGTCTGCGAAGAGTGTGCTCCATGCTTGGAAATAATAATCTCGTTTTCATTTCATGCTCGGCCACGCTCAAGCAGCCCGTGCGACACATGCAGGATATTTTTGGACTTCCGAGCGGCGAGATCGTCAACATCGACCAAGACGGGTCTCCGCATGGAGGCAAACACATCGTGGCCTGGAATCCGCCTTACATCGACGCGCGCGACCCGATGGCAGGACGGAAACCGTTTATATCGGAGACGGCCAGGATTCTCATAGAAATGGTGAAGTCGGGGTTCCGAACCATTGTCTTCTGCGTGGTTCGCAAGGTAGTGGAGCTGCTCATGAAGGAGATCAGGTACCAGCTGACGACGAGCGGCAGCGCAGAGCTGATTGGCCGGATCATGAGTTACAGAGGTGGCTACTCGCCGGCAGACCGACGGAAAATCGAGGACCAGATGTTCCGCGGCAATTTAAAGGCCATCATCTCCACGAACGCTCTGGAGCTGGGAATCGACATTGGCTCGCTGGACGCCGTGGTCATGTGCGGGTTCCCAATCTCGATAGCCAATTTCCACCAGCAGAGCGGCCGTGCTGGACGGAGAAACAACGACTCGCTTACTCTCCTGGTCGGCGGCGGCGACCCAGTCAGCCAGTACTATATGCGGCATCCTGAAGAGTTCGTTAACTCGAATTATCCCGATCTTGCTCTGGATTTCGAGAACGTGGTGGTTTTAGAAGGCCATCTCCAATGCGCTGCCTTTGAAAGACCCCTGGACGACTCCACCATCAACAAGCGGTACTTTGGTAACCCCGCTCTGGTCAAGCAGGTGTGCGAGGCCCGGCTGGAGTACGACCCGGAATCCGGCACCTACCACTGCAACTCGCGGTTCATGCCTTGGCCGTCGTCTCACGTGTCCATTCGCGCTATTGAAGAGGACATGTACGCTGTCGTCGACACGACCAACGGCCGCAACGTGGTGATCGAGGAGGTCGAAGCGTCGCGAACAAGCTTCACGCTCTACGACGGAGGCATATTTATCCACCAGGGCTTATCTTATCTGGTTCGCGAATTTAATCCGGACGAAAAATACGCCAAGGTCGAAAGAGTCAACGTGGACTGGTCCACAGCGCAGCGAGACTTTACGAACGTCGATCCGTACGAGGTCGAGCGTATTCGGTCGATCAACAACAGCGACGTGCCGATCTACTTTGGCAAGACGCTCTCGACGACTGTCGTCTTTGGCTTCTTCAAGATGGACAGAGAAAAAAGGATTCTTGATGCCGTCGAGGTGAACAACCCGCCGGTGCTGATCCGCTCCGAAGGCCTGTGGATTGATATTCCGAAAAAAGCGCTCGAGCTGATCCGTTCGAAGGATCTGAACGCGGCAGGAGGAATCCACGCGGCACAACATGCGCTCATGAGCATTCTGCCACTATATATTCTCTCGGGGCTTGACGAAATACAGACCGAGTGCAAGGCTCCGGAAAAGGAGTTTGCGAAGCGGGAGACAAAGCGGAAACGCCCTGCTCGGCTGATCTTCTACGACAACAAGGGCGGCCAGTACGGCTCTGGACTGAGCACAAAGGCGTTTGACAACATCGACTCGATACTGGATAAGGCCTTGGAGAAACTTTTGGAGTGCGACTGCGACTGGGGGTGTCCGAACTGCTGTGCTGCCACCTTCTGCAAGGAGAACTCGCTTGTGCTGTCGAAATACGCGGCGATCATTATTTTGTCGCTAATCATGGGACGGTCGCTTGACATGGACACAATTCCGATGGGGCCGGAACCAAACATGCCGCAGATTGATATCGAGACGATTGTGCCTGCGGACCTTGGCTCTGTGAAATTCTCGAAGGATCTGGAGATTGTCGACGTGCGCAAGGCCACAAAGCCGTTGGCGGTGGTCCCAAAGAAGGAGGACGAGGGACTAACGACAGAGTCGCCAGCCAACGTGATCCAGGACTCGCAGGATGAGTTTAGCGACGACGACATTGCCAGGGAACTGTAATGAATTGGAATATCTATTTATACACAGACGTAGCAGAGGTGTTTCTTGAGACGGGATCTGAGAAGGGGGCCGACGAGGCACGTGACTCCGTTCTGGTGAGAGCGGGCGAGACTGGCAGTCTTCTGGGCTTGCTGAGACGGAACACCTGCTGAACAGGCCGCAAATAAATAGAGGCCAGCGATCCGATGTTCAGCTCCAGCTCCTCCAGTATTTCTGGCGGAAGCTTGTCGCTTGAGACCTCGATGATTGGCAGCACGGGCTTGACTATGTCCTTGATGTCTTTATGGGACGAAAGAAGACGCCAGTAAAAGTACGCGCGCTCGCGCACGTCTGGCTCGTTGGCCTCCTCCGTTGTTTTGCGCAGCACGTCCAGTACGAGGTTCTCAGTCTTTTTCGACGGCAAGCACAGATACGCCTTCACCACAGCAGTGAGAGTGGTGAGCTGCACCTGCGTCGGCTCGGTGTCGAAGTTGGCATAGAGTTTCTGGAGGATGTCTGCTGAGTCGGGGATCGAGCTGCAGTATTCTCCTAAAATCCATATAAATGACCCGCGGGAGTCAGAGTCGGTGAGCAGGTCCACGTTCTGCACCAGCGAGTCTATCAGATACAGATATTTTCCGGGGTATTTCCGGAGAATGTCTTTTAGAATGATGGCCACCTCCTGCACAATGTGGGGCAGAGAGCTGGCCAGAAGTCCGCCAAGCACCTCGATCGAGCGGTCTGCCACGGACGGAATTTTGATTGCCAGATTTCCGATCGCGCGGATGCTCTTGCGCACCATCTGGTCGTCGATCTCGAGAGCGTACTCCTCGAGCTCGCGCAGCACGAGCGAGATATTGCTCTCGTTGGCCAGCAGAAAGATCAGCTCCAGCTTCGTGTCCTTGATGTACACCGGGTCGTCGAATTGGCAGAAAAACATCGACACCTGCAAATCGAGCATCTCGGCTTTATCCAGCAGCAGCAAAATAACGTTGCGCATGGTCAGAAATTGGATCTCCGCAGGCTTCGACATGAGGTTCGATATGCATCCAGAAACCCGTTTCGTAATCGCCGGAAGAACATCCACAAAATTTCGCACGTAGTTGCTCAGATAGACAATCACCTTGAGAGCATTGAGCACGACGCTCGAGTTGCCGTGCTGCAAAAGCGGAATGCACTTCTCCGCGAGCGAGATCGCATCGGCCTCAGTCTGCGGCACAAACGCCATCACCGAGTTCAGAAGACTGACCTGGCTCCACTCGTCGCACCCGGCGAGCAGCTCCACGATCCGGAAACAGTTATTCCTGTCGATCGAAAGCTGCAATCCGTCGTAGTTCTCTACCAAATCGCGCAGACAGTCCACTGCCGCCGCGACCACGGACACCGTTGGATCGTGCAACAGATGATTTAGGGCCGTCAGGAACTGCTCCCGGACCTCTTCCGGAGCCCGCCCATAGATACGAGAAACAGCATAGACTCCGCTTTTGCGCACGTGCGGGTCCTTGTCGGCCATTGCCTCGCACACCAGCTCGCTGGCCTTGGCCAGAAACTCCGGGATCTGGATTGTCGCGAGAGTGCGTATGCTCAAGGAGCGGACCACAGCCGACTGACTCTGGAAGTCGTTTTCCAGCATGGGCAGCAAATTGACGCACTCGTGCGGGCTTTGGGGGTAGTAGGTACTGAAAAATAGGTAGCCGAGCCGCTTGGCTTCGGTATCGTTGGCCAGATCGAGCGTTATGGCCAACACCTCGCTCGAAAGTCCAGCCATTTCGTTGTTGCCCAAAGTCATGTTCGCCACGATTTTCTTGAGCGTGCTCTTGCGGAAGACGGCCGAACGCGACTTCTTCTCGTTTGCGCGCAGCTCGCTCACTATCTCCGCGGCCCGCACTCGCGTGTACAAATTCGAGGACGCCATAGATGAAAGTAATCCTGCAAAGCACGAAATAAATATATTATATTAGGTACAAAATAACTTAAGGCTGTGCTTCAAATATCAAATCAGGCCGGTACGGTGGGGGGAGCCACGCGGTCGTAGGAGTCCAGGTTCGGGCTCTCCTCCAAGTTCGGACTCTCGACAGCGTTGTAATAGTTGCTCTGGGGGGTGCCGTGTTGATTTACAAGGGGGCTTGCCGAGCTTGGAGGCGGGATCAGTTCCAGAGAGTCGGACTTGGAGTCTGCCAAATCCACAAAGTCTTCGATAGGATCGTCTAACATTTCGTCGAAGTTCTCGTACTCCTCCAATTTCGCCTTGCTGTAGACCATTCCGTCCTTGAATGTTTCGATAAGCGAGCCAGAGCCTTGCCATCCCGTAGACATCTTATGGAACACCATCTCCTTGAACACTTGCATCCAGTCCCAACCACTCCATTCTTCGGCCAGCGAATTGGCGATGTTGAGGGAAACCAGCTGGTATGCGAGCTCGTTGTCCAGGTACTGGGTGTGAGGCAGCTGGGGCAGCCCAAAAAGCAACGAGTCCCGGTTGTCGCGGTTGGAGATGAATTTGTTAGGTCTTCCATACAGTCTGAACGAGTTCATGAGCGGAATCAGCAGTCTAATCATGATTTCCGTGGGCTTGACTCCAGAGTGCGACTCTGGGATCAGGTACACAAAGTCCACTTCCTTAAGGTCGATTTTCTTCTTGCCAGAATCCGTAGAGAGCGTGGAGCTCACTCTCTTGTGGAGACCGGTCTTCTGAAGCGAGCCCGAACGCGAATGATTAGGTGATTTCTGCATGTCTCTATTTCTTGCGGAGATCAGAGAGGAGCTCGACAGCTTCCTGACAACTCCAGAACCCGATTTGCTTCTCAGGTGGCTGTGAGCGGACGTGTCCACCTCACCAGACACCACTTTGTCGAGCAACTGCTGGTTGATGTATATTTGGCCGTTCAGGCGGATCAGCGAGTTATTGTCGATGAATTCGGGATTTTCCGGGTACATTGCCACGCACGACCGGGCATTTTTGATCGAGGCCAACAAACTCTTCTTATTTTTGGATGTCGAGGTGTATACTTTCACATTGCCCGGTTTCTTCGAACCCACGTTAGGGGTTACTACCACGTAGCACCGGATCCACTTGTCATTTAGAAATGGGAACCGCAGAACACACCATTCTTCTTTTGGGTTGTTGTTGGAAGGGGCAAGTAGTGTACGGATATCTGAAAAATGGATTGCTTTGCTTGAAAAGAGGGCACCCGTGAAGCTCTCTTGAAGCTGTCTGTTTTCGAATTGGGCAAGCAGAAGCGCGGCATAGAAGTAGTCGAGTTCGTTGTTGGATTCAAATCTCAACAGGTACGTCTTGGACTCTGTTAAGATAATTTTTAGTTCGTGTATGTCGCCCTCGCTGAAGTACACGTACCGAGCGTCTAAGAGATTGATGTAGACGGGCTTGAATCCGCCGTTGTCATCGTTTCGAAGCTCCTGAGACGTAATAGAATCGACTTCCCAGATTGCCAGCTCTGTTCCGCTCAATTTTGCACTTGCATTTGCCCACGACATTTTTGAAACCGAGGTCGAAATTTGATTGCCCTCGACAGGAACCCGGACGTTCATCTCGCAGTACGAGCGAGCCTGTTGTGCATGGAGAAGAGTGACCACGGGCACCAGTTCTTCTGGAAGTTTGGCTATGTTTTCTGAGGGATCTGTGATTGTGTTTCCCAGCGAAAGCGAGCGAGGAGTGGGATTGTTTCCTTGTCTCAAAAAGGTGGTGGGCAGCGAGGAGAGCCTTTTGGGGTCTGCAGTCATGCTCCTGCGAGGATTCCTAGAGTTAGAAAGCGAATCGGAATACGTTCTCGCGCCCGACAAAGGCACAGACTGAGGATCCTTTATTTTCGATTCTGCAGCCTCGGAAGCCAGGGGAGATCTCGTTTCCGGTGGACTTTGAGAACTATTAGTTTTCTTGCGCCTGAAGAGCCTTTTCAGTGGTGACATAAGACGTTGCCAGCAAGATTATATTGGGCAGCAAGTTTTTTTTCTGACCGAGATTCTATTTGAATTTTAATTCCCTTTATATCCCCTAAATACACAAGATTTGGAGCCTGATGTGAAAAAAAGTGGCGTAGTGCTATTTTTTTGCTGGGCAAGATGATACACTCTGTTTTAATATGTGAGTACAATTGCTTCGCTTGCGACGAATCTCGCTAACCATAGTCAATACCAAGGGCATCCCACGCCTTATAAAATTTTACACCCCGGTCGACGTGGCAACACAGCAACTATTACTCCAGCAAGTTTACGAACTCGTTGTGGCAAGAACAGACGCGCAATGCTCGTTTTTGACTCCACCGCCGCTTTTGGAAGACCATTCCGATATTAAGGTTATTTACAGGCACTACGCAACACTCTACTTTGTCTTTGTCGTTGATCAGCAGGAGAGCGAGCTGGGCATTCTGGACCTGATCCAGGTGTTTGTGCAAGTGCTCAACACCTGTTTCCATAATGTGAGCGAATTGGACCTGGTGTTCGGATGGCAGGTGCTGGAGGCAGCGCTGGAGGAAATTGTCCAGGGAGGAATGGTGATAGACACAAGCATCCGCAAGATCTTTGCTGCCATCGACGAAGCTAACAAGCAGGACGTCTCCAGTACGCAGAAAACGTGGTGGGGGTAGCCTGTCTCCCCACGCAATCACAATCGCATCACACTGACTGGTCAGTTCCGATGCACCTCTATATACAGTTGCAGACTAATCTTTCTTCCAAAACTTCCACCCGCTGCTTTTGCTCTCGTCGGCCTGCACAAGCCTGGCCTCGGCTTTCAAACGCTCGAGTTCCTCGCGCTGTTTTTTTTCGGCCTGCTCTTTCTCAAATCGCTCTCTCTTCACCAAGAGACTCTCTCTTGATGGCGTGAAGTCCCGGTCCCATGGCGATGCGATCGGCCCTGTCTTCCACACGGGGTCGTTCGACGCCGCCGTCTGTTTCACAATCTCCATCAGCATCTCCTGTTCCTTCCTCCGCAGTTCCTTGTTACGTTCATAGTCTGCCCTCAGCTCTGGGGACAGCTTTGCGATGAGCTGTTCCTCGGTGGGCGTCGTAAATATGTAGAGCAGCACACCGCTTCCAATAATCCCGCCGCCCGTAATCAGGGACCTCTTCCAGAGAAGCCAGTTTTGAGACATCACAGGAGCTAAATAACTCGAAAATAAATTTTCGCTGGTATTATATAATCGTAGTCTATCTGTTGCCAAACTCTTCCTCGTCGCTTTGAATAATAAATTGGTCTTCGTGTTCTTCGACCGGCGCCATCTCGATGTCGGGATTCTCCCGCACCGTGTCATACTGTCCTCCATAGCCCAGCTTGTTGAACACCGACTCCAACATGCTTTTAGGCTTGTGATCTGGCTCGCCGGCTTCCTGCTCCATTCCTATGTCGCTCTCGTCAAACCAATGCACCTGTTTCTTCTTCTTTTTCCTGGAAGACAGTGACAGGAATGCAGACTTACGCGATTTGGCGAATGACCTGTAGAAGCTGTACAGCAGACATGCCAGCACCGCCAGAATCACCAGCTCTGCCACGTAAAACGTGAGGCTGTGGTGGTGGTTGGCTGGTTTTTCATTCTCTTCTTCCTCGTCTTGATCTGTGTCCTGCTTCTCCTCCACAAACTTATAATCCCCCCTGCTGTCGTAAACGGGCGTCACAATGTCTGTCGACCGTTTCTCGACAGAATTGGTGATTATATCAAACAGTCCTCTGCTGACCTCCGGCAGGTCGTAAGGCACCATATGCGACGAATTGAACACCTTGACGTACGTGAGGTTCGACTGCGACTCGATTTCGCCCACTTCTTGTCCATCGTAGATCCAGCCAAATTTCCTGCTCTTAGTGAAGCCGACCTGTCCTGGCGTGATCTGCAATTTTTCAATCAGCATTTCTATTGATTTGTGGTTGCAAATGACGTCCTTGTCGCCGGCAAACAGGGTGATTTTCATCTTCTCCAGCAGTTTCGGCAGCAGGTCGAACGACTTGGCAGAGTGCTCTGGCTGAAAGAAAAACTCGACCTTCCCGTCACACTCGTGCCATTTCTTGGGCGATTTCAAGTTCAGGGCTTTTTGGACAGTGTCCAGATTCAGGAAGTCGGTCACGGCGGGCAGGCCTTCTGGCCAGTTGGATCCGCATGCAGGGAAGTAATCGTGTTTGCGGTAGTCGTACATGTTGACACATTGTTCTTTGGCGGGCTTGGTTTCGTCTTTTGTTGCTGCTAAAATGCTATGGAATATCTTGACACATTCCAGTTTCTCAAAATCGCGATTCGAAGGGTCGTCGATGGCCTGCTGGCATTTCTCGTGCTGCTTGAGAACGTGCGACATCGACGGACTTTGGCGGTCCAGAAAGCCAGCCTCCAGGCTGAACGGAACGTACGACAGAGACTGGATATCCGGGTCGATCCAGCCGTTGCCAATCAACAAGCCCTCTAGAGTGACATTCAGCGAGTTGTTCTCGACGATTTCGTTTGCGAAGTATGGAATGAACTGGCCGGCATACGACTCGCCCGCCAGATACAGCTTTTTCATGCGGTCCTCCGGGAAGAGCTCGTAGTACGTTTTCAGAAACTGCCAGAAATGCTGTGCTGCCTGTTTCAATTCTGTGTCGTAAGAGTCGGTGTACGAAAACCCTGTGCCGGCTGGCTGGTCCACGAATACCATATCAGCCACCTGTGTCCATGATCCGGGGTTCAGCTCCACCTCCAGCTTCTCTGAGACCCGCAGCGGGCCTGTTTCCATCATGGCCCCATCCAGCGACGAACAGCCAGGACCGCCGTTTAGCCAGACGATCAGCTCGTCGCGGTGGAGCATGTCGTGTGTCTGGTTAGTTTTGGGATTTTGGAATCGCCAGAAAAACAACTCGGTGTTGTTTTCTTCGTCTATCTCCAAGTGTCCCGCATGCATCACTGGCCTCGCTGTGGGAGGAATATTCGAGAGGCCGGGCAAATCCTTGACTAGGTAGTCCTCCTCGGATGCCGCGACACATTGCAGAGCCAATGTGCACGCTAGTAAAAAATACCGACTCATGGTTAGCTCTGTGCTGTCTAAGCCTAGGTAGGATAAATAAAGAATTTGAAATAGAAGGGAGCAGTCGATCAAATATTTTTTTTTAACACCCGCGTCGATAAGTGTTGTCTTCCAATGTTTGGTGTGCTTGTTCCGAGAACACGGATTTCCGCCGACGTGCTGGACTCCGTGGAACAGCTGCGCCAATGCGATACGCTGGACATTGCGTATTTCGACGAGGACATCCAGGTCGTGGTGTATACTCCGTCGTCCGTGGCACAGGTCGAGGTTGACTTGGTATACAATTTGCAGAACACGGCGAGAATAGTGCTCGATTCCAAAGTCGTCATAGGGTCTGAGGCTGTGTGGTTGCTGGATACGATCGTGGTACCGGACAAGCTTTCCAATCAATTGCAGATCAAAGCCTCTTTTCGACAACAGTCAAAGAAAATAGAAAATCTAGAATCGCACGATACAGTCACTATAGGCAGCACGGTGCTGACGAAACATGTGGATCTTTACGAACTTGTAAAAGCAGAAACGTCGCTGCGGATTAGCCCCGTATTCCAGATGCGGTTCAAGACCATCAAGACGGAGAAAACCATGGCCTCTTTGGAAGTGGCTCTTTCTGGACAGTTGCGGGCCTCCGCAGTGACGGTGAGAATTGAGTCGGTAGATATGGACATCAGAAACTGTCTTTGTGCTGGCTACTCGGTGATAAAGTATCCGTTGGTGTTACAGAACCATTCGATTCTCTCGCTCACATACAGACTGACAAATAACGACATTAAATGGGTTAAGCCGGTTTCTGTCACCATCCATTGCACGGTCAATGGCAACAGGAAAATTGTGACTCGATGGACTACGAACGTCGACTTCATGGCGGCCCCCAGCGTGCCCCCAATGGCGTCGCCTAATCTAGGGGTGTTCAAATCCAGGTCGACCAACTCTGCTCTGAACCTGCCTAAGAAAAATAAATTACGATCCAGCTCGTCGGTGACGCTCAACCACTCCAAGAAAAACCTCAGCATTTCAGTTTCTGGCCAGACGAAAGTCAAGCTCGGCGAGGTGTTCAAATGGAAGCTCCAGTTTATCAACAAGTCGAACGACTCGCTCTCGCTCATTTTGTACATTCAATCATCCATCAACAAACAGTACGAAAAGTCAGTGCCGCCGATGCCGATCCAGAACGCCAACAAGTCCGATCCCGTCCCGCTGTACGGGCTCAACCAGCTGGTGCGAGCTTTCCAGCACGAGTTCAGCAAGGTGGGGCTGATTTCTCTCACCAACAACCTGAAATTCACTCTGGACCCAGGAAATCTGTTCGAGACCGAGCTAGAGCTTATAAGCATCGAAAAGGGGCTGGTCAACCTCCACGATGTCAAAGTGTTGGAGATCAAAAGCGGGGAGATCTTTGAGTGCGGCAGGCTGCTTGATGTCCTGGTCGTCTAGGACTCGAGAGCGCGTTCCAGTTCATACTCGTCCTGAAATAAAAACCCGAAATACTTGAACCCTGCTTCGCGGTCAAGATGGAGGAATTTTATCAAGGCGATTATCTTGCGCAGCACAGCACCGGACCTCTTGTCTCCTCCGAGCTCTGGCAGGCTTCTTAGCCACAAATATAGCACACTCATGAGTCCACACGATCCCTCGTTTTGCACCATTCCTATCGAGTTCAGCTTGGCCAGCAGGTCGAAGTTGATCTCCCGCAGCGTCATATCTTTCAGCAGGGATACCTCGAACTCATTCAGCGACGAGAGATCGACAACAGACTGCATTTTTGTTAATAGATTATCTGTTGCACCTTTCAAGATAAAGTCAAATGATTGCACAATGTTCTGGTATTGCATCTCTTCTAGGTTATCCACAGGCTGGAACAGAAGTGACTTTGAGGACACGGAGAATGCAAGAAACTTGACGAACTCGAAATTGGCAAACTTCATTGTGAGTGTCTTGTCAATTTTCTCGATCTTGGAGGTGCTAATCTGGAATTTGAGCTGTTTGGCTTTTTTTGCTGGCAGGACGCCGTCGTCGTTCAGCAGCTCAATTACAGGCTTTCTGAAAAACCGCTTGCCAATATCCAGATTGTACCGCAGCGGCTCATCCGTAAGGTTGCTCACAGTGACCTCGAGCACCTCCCTTATGCCAGCCACAACGTCGACTTCAATTAGCGACGGCGAAATGTCCACGATCTCCATCTGGTTCAGGATTCTGTCCAGCTGGGCTCCGATCTCGGAACGCACTGCTTTCAGAGCGCCAAAATCGACCATTCTAGCATCCAACACAAACTCTGCCACCACTGGCAGGTGGTCAGACCCGTTCACCTCGCAAACGTCGTACGTCAGCTGCTCCAGTCCGTCGTCCGCGCTGTACAGAATTCTATCCGTGTAAGACGGCACGCGAGTGTCCTCGTATTCTAGCGTCTCGGTCACCTTGAACGTGGGGCGAAACCGGATCTCTCCCTCGGAGAACCCGCTGAAAATGCTGCCTCGCTTTTTCTGTACGCGGAGCTGGTCGCTCTCCAGCAGTTTTTCATAGTCACCTTTATAGATATAGTCATTCACATTTGTGCTTTCGAGACGGTAATTGAGATCTCCGCTCGCGAATACTACCTTGCGACACTCTCTTTTGAACATCTGATGAACTGTCTCGCTGTCAATCCTCTCAAGCTCGACCTGGCTCAGTTGCGGCTCGCACACACTCTCGTCTTCCACAGACGGTACTGGCCCGGCAAGTGATGCGTTTCTAATGGTTCCTAGGCTATCCTGCACTTTCTTAAGACACTGGTTCCTCATTTCCACCGCCAGTTCCTCCTCGCCGTGTGTCAGATGCATGTTGAACACCTGGACTCGCACTCCCGCAAGCTTCTGGTCTATTCGGCCAATGGAAAACTGCGTCTCAATGCAGCCCTTGTTGTACCAGTTCAGATAGCCGAGGCCGACGGTCCGAGAGCTGTAACCGGATACCTGGCTCTCTATTTCGCTTTTAACTATCAGCACGCTCGTCAGTCCAAGCAGCCCGTAGCGGTGCACCGCCTGGAACTGGCTCGGAGGCAGCGCTGCTAGCAGTCTGTCGCACCACTGGTCAATGACTTTGGGAGAGGCAGAAAACGAGGTCAGCGGGATGGTCTCCTGGAATCCCACGACGTAGATATCGGCGTATCCCTGATTGCAGCTAAGCAGCTGGCGTATATGGTCTAGAGGACAATCATCCATGCGGCCCAAGTTCCACGTGATCAGCTTCATGCGCAGCTTGCGCCACCGTGTCACCATGTCTAGCCGCTCAGCGACGTAGGCTGACTGTATGATTGACTGGTATTTGAGCTTGCTGGACGGATTTAGCAACTTGAACACTTGCACTTGACTTGAGTCGCTCATGAGAGTTGGAACACAGCCTGGAAAAATCTATTATGTACACAGCCTTGGCTACCTAGTCGTTGGTTACAGAGTGTGCTTCCTGGGCGTCGTTGAACTCCTCGTCGGACGTGTTGGTGTAGTTTTCGAGGATGTCGTCGGTGCCGGACGACGCGGCCGCCTGCTGGGGTTTCAGGTCGATCTCGGGCTCCTCCTTGAAGACGGGCTCGGGAACGGAGTCTGGCGTCTCGTCCTGGCCGTCCTCCCGCTGCACGGTCTTGTCGCTCGCTGTGTCGGCGATTGGAACGTTCTGAGGCGTTTGCTCTGTCTCCGCAGTTTCGTCCGCATTGTTGTCTGTTTCCTGGACGGGTTGCTGACCGAGCCAGCTATTTTTCCAGCCGTACACCAGTCCATTTTCGTCCGACTCGTCCCAAATGCCCAACTTCGAGTAGAACAAGCGGCCGCGCAGCTCCGCAAGCTCACACCACACACGCAGCACCTCCTCTTCGTCCTGCATCTGCGATAGATTCTTGACGCGGGACAGCAAGTCCACGGTACGTCTCAGCTTGGTAGCGCACGCGATGCACAGCAAATACTCCACCTCTCTGACTCGCATCACGTACAATCTAGCATAGTTGATGCCCATCCGCGCCTCGCCACACAGGGAGCACCTGGCCTCCATGGCCACCGGTCTATCCGTCTCGTACTTGAACATTCTCAAGTTCAGGCTCTTGACAGACAATGACGGCGAAGACGGTGCCGACTGCGCCTGTGCAGCCTTCCAGAGCTCTGTGGAGGCGCTCAACGGCTCTATAACGACTTTAGACTCGAACAGACTGCTGATAAATGATTTCTTCTGGAAAAACTTGACCGATGGAGATAGGTCTAGCCGCAGCACCGGCTCGATCTCCTCGCTCACCAAGTGGCGGAAGAAGGACGTTTCTCTGATATTTTGGAAGTTTTCGAGTGACTCTTTGAACTGGTTGAACAAAAGCAGGTCAAAACGCAGCTGGTTGAATGTTGGAGAGTATATGGGCTGACCATTGTATTTTATCAGTTTGGGCAGTGCGAACTGGGAGTCCGGCACCAATTCCGAAATCACCCTCGACGGAGGCGTCTGCGGAGGATCCTGGTGCTCCAGCTCGGCTATGAGCCGCTTGAGGTTCCTGAGCTCGTTGTTAAGCACCTCTATCGTTGTGTCGCGATCCTTGAGCGTCTCGATCAGTTTCTCGTTTCTCAGCTTGAAGTCGTTCGCGACAATGTTTGCCTCCTTCACCTTCTCGTTGGCCTCGTCAAAGAGCGTGGCACTGAGGTCCTCCATCTCATAGCTCAACCGCTCGACTTCTTTATCGCTATCCTCCTTTTGTTTTCGGCTCTCCACCAGTTGGCGCTTCAACTCTTGGATTTTCTGGTGGCTGTTCAGCAGATTCACCTCCAGCTTCGAGTTCTTCTCTGTCTGCTCCAGCAGCTGGAGCGAGAGCTGCTCGATAATATCTTCATTGCTCGACGCCATAGAGAATATTATTTCGTTGTGAAGATGAATGTGAAATTTCTAGATTAGATAAGCTGCCAGGCGTGCCCTCTTGCAAGAGTCTGAATACGCAGAATACCAGATCATAGGCCCGCCAACTATCCGCGAGGCCTACTCGAGCGCCGCAGGAACTGTTTTACACCGCTACGCTAACCTGCTACAACCCCCCAACCTCGTTGGTTTCAGGTGGTGAAAAATGCCAAAATCCGTGTTCTATATTTTACCTGTGGTGTTTGCAATCTTTGTTTATTGGAACATGGACACCACTCAACAGCCTTTGGAATGGGATCACTCCCCTGAGAAGATTTTGCAGCTGGCCGACCAGCTGATAGCAGAGGGCAGGCAGCTCGACGATCTGGTCGCCAGCACCCTGGACAATGCGTCGTTTAAAAACACCATCGCGCCAATTGCCCATCTGGAAAACGTGCAAGCCAGAATATCCAACCAAATTACCTTTTACCAGCACGTTTCTGCGTCGAAGGAGCTTCGGGACGCCTCGAACGAGGCCGACAAAAGGCTCAGAGAGTTCAGCGTCGAGTCGGACATGCGTCTGGACGTCTACAGGGCGATCCACGCGGTCTATGAGAACGAGCTGGACAAATTGGAGGGAGAGGACAGGAGGTTCCTCGAGAAAATCCATCGCCAGTATGAGCGCAATGGATTGAACAAGCCAGAGGAGGTGCGGGAGCAAATCAAGAACCTCAAGCAGAGACTGTCCACTTATGCGCTGGAATTCTCGAAAAATCTGGGCGAGGAAACAGAGCACATCTGGTTTACCAAGGAGGAGCTCGAGGGCGTCCCTGAGGACCTTGTGGCCCAGTTTGAGCAGGACAACGGCAAGTACAAGATGACTTTCAAGTACCCAGACCTGTTCCCTGTGTTGAAGTATGCCAACAACCCAGAGACCCGGAAACGGGCGTTTGTGGGCGACCAGAACAAGGTGAAGGAAAACGGCCCGCTTCTGAAACAGGCTGTCGCGACTCGCGCCGAACTGGCCAAACTGCTCGGCTACGAAAACTTCTCGGAGTACATATTGGAGGAGCGCATGGCAAAAACGCCCCAGACAGTCATGGACTTTTTGGTTGACCTCAGAGACAAGCTCAAGCCACTGGGAAGACAAGAAATTCAGCGTTTGAGCGAAATGAAGCAAAAAGACACGGGAGGTTCCGAGTACTATGTCTGGGACCACAGATACTATCACAATAGAATGCTCGAGGAGCAGTACCAGGTCGACGAGAAACAGATATCCGAGTACTTCCCTCTGAAGCAGACAATTGAGCGGATGTTGGCCATTTACGAGAAAATCTTCCAGCTTAGCTTCAGGCAGGTTGAGAATCCAAAGACCTGGCATTCTGAGGTCCAGCAATTCTCCGTTTGGAAAACCGACTCCAAAGAAGAGTTTGTTGGATACTTGTACTTTGACCTACACCCCCGTGAGGGAAAGTACGGGCATGCTGCCAACTTCGGTCTTGCCCCAGGGTACGTAGACGTCAAGACCGGCAAGAAGGTGTATCCTTCAACCTCGCTGGTGTGCAATTTTACCCGGGATCAGGCTACGAAGCCCTCGTTGCTGAAACATGACGAGGTGGTCACCTTTTTCCACGAGCTGGGCCACGGAATCCACGATTTGCTGGGCGAGACCAAGTACGCCAGATTCCACGGCACCTCTGTGAGCTGGGACTTTGTGGAGATGCCTTCCCAGCTTCTGGAGTATTTCTGCTGGAGCAAGGACCAGCTCAAGTTTCTCTCCGGCCACTACGAGACTGGCGAAGCGCTTCCTGACAACCTAATAGACTCTCTCATCAAGTCCAAGAACGTGAACGGTGCGCTATTCAACTTGCGCCAGCTGCACTTTGGATTATTTGACATGAGCCTCCACACCTCTGCCGACGGCCAGGTGGACATGGACCGCTTGTGGAACGATCTGCGTGAGGAAGTGGCTCTGGTGAAAAATGGCGACCAAACCACCACTGGGTACGCCTCTTTCGGCCATCTTATGGGCGGCTATGCGTCTGGCTACTACGGATATCTGTGGTCGCAAGTCTTTGCTGCAGACATTTTCTACTCCAAGTTCAAGGAAGATCCGTTTAACGTGAAGAGCGGTCTGGAGTACAGAAGAAAGGTGCTGGAAAAGGGAGGCTCACGGGAGGAGATGGATCTATTGGTCGATCTGCTTGGCAGAAAGCCCTCGTCCGATGCGTTTTTGCAGGAGTTGGGATTGCAGAAGGCTGGTAACTGATTTGTACATAGCAGCTTCTAGGCGGTGCATCTCTTAATTTTTTGTGCCAGTAATTTTTAGGCCCATGTCTATCTGCACACTGTATGTGCGCAACTTGAACGAGCGGCTGTCGCACCAGAAGCTCCGCTCGGCGCTAGAGCAGCTGTTCAGCGAGCTCGGAGTATCTATCGTGGAAATAAGGCTGTTCAAAAATCTACAATTAAGAGGACAGGCCTTTATTACGCTGAAGTCGCACGAAGACTGCGTGCGTGCGATTGAACAACTCAACACAAAAGTCCTTTTTGACAAGCCAATGGACATGTACATTGCGAAGGCGAACAGTGACCTGGCAACGCGAGAACGTATGGACCAGTCCGCGTATGAGCAATATCTACAAGAACAGCGCGCACAGAGACTGGAAAAACGAACAAAGAAACGAAAATCGACGCTACAGACGCCAGCGACGGTCAAGAAACGCAGAATTCCAGGAGCCAAGGCTGCAGAGCCTCATAAAATTCTGCTGATCTCCAACGTTCCCAGCTCTGCTACCAGGGATCAACTGGAATCTGTCTTCGAGAAGTTTACTGGCTTCCTGAACGTGAACATCGTGCACATCCGCAATCTCGCGCTTGTGGAGTTCCGCTCAGACCTCGAGGCGGCCCGGTGTCTGGAAAGTCTGGGAACCTCGATAAAAATCAATGACACAGACTGCTACGTACAGTTCGCCAAAAAATAAACGCACTAGTATATTACCGTTCATTATCGTTAGTACTTTCCTGTGATGATAGTACGGAAAGCATCGAATATGCTTTCGCGCTCCTGTCCTCCACGGTTGACGTCCTTCATCAGTCTGGCATAGTAGTTGGGGTTTCCCTTTGGCTCCAGCAGTTTTTTGTCCACCTTGTAGTGGTCCGCCCACTTGTTGTCTGCGATGTTCTTGAGCGACTTGTACTGCTGATTCAGGATATCCGCGTCAAACAGCTCCTTTTTGTAGTTGGGAGCCGCGTTTTCGTCGGTGAAAATCATTCTTTTGAGCTTCTTCACGTCGATCTTGATCAGTTTCTGCTGTTTCTTCTGTTCGATGGCCTGTTCCTCTAGAACTTTTTTCGGAATCGGTATCGAGCCGATGTTGCAGAAGCGCTCGATCTGCGAGAACTTGAACGACGCGTAGTGCTTCACTTTGTCGGCGGGGTATTTTTCCAGAAGCGAGACGATCTTTTTAGCGGTGTTCGTGAATGTGCTAGTCATGACTATTCATTAAACTATATGGTTTTCCAATTGGCATGAAATATTTTTTATATTCTGCACCCTTGCACCAAGGTGCCGTCTAGCAGCTCAAGCAGTGGTATCACTTAATGTAGGTGCGGATCGGTTGATTCAGCAGTCGGTACTCAAACTCGTCAAAGCTCTGGTGCTTTTCGCCAAGGAGCCTGTCAAAATATTGAGTGCGTTTCCGGATGCGCGCTCTGCAGGCTTCCATAAGGAACGGCGATGGCTTATCCAGCAGACATGTTACTTTCCTGATGTACAGCTTGCCCTTGTTAGGAGCTTCCAAGTACAAAATGTCTGCATCCATGGCCTCCTGCCTCAGTTTCTCTTGATTTTCAATCTCCAGCGCCTCCATGTCGAAATTGTACTTGAGACCCAGGTCGTTGCACTCGACCCTTTTCAAAATCGGTTTCTGGACGATCGGGTACTGACCCGGGGTGAGGATACCTTTTGCTCTGATATATTTGTCCACCCGCGCGTCCACGTACGAGGAGCCGCGCACCTTCGAGGCGAGCCTCAAAAACCTGCTTTTCAGCAGCAGTTCTTCTCTAACCTGTTTTCTGACCACGTCTTGGTAGTGTTTCTGGCGCAGGCCGGTGAGATCGCACCGCTTTAGCAGGTCCTCGAGAAATCTGTCGTCCTGCTGCGAGTGGCCCACGTCGGCCATGATGTAGCACGGTTTTCGGGCAGTCTCGAAAATCAGCGGGTGTGATCGGTCGGTCGACGCGACCGAACTCCAATCCTTGAGCTCGTAGAACATGGCAGTAGGCACAGGAACTGTCCCGCAGCGGTATTTATAAGTTTGGACCTAAACAGATAAACAGAACACGGTAAAGGGCTGCGCTCACCCGATTATCTCCAGCTTTCCAAAATCAAGGTTCTGTATCTGCTTGTCGAACACGGCCGCCAAGTCTGTGCTAAGTTGCAGCGCCGCGTCGTAGTCGTAGCTCTCTAGCCTTTCTTTTACCTGCTCCCGGCGACCGAAAGCGTCGAGAATCGCGCTTCCCAGAGAACTGTCCAGAGTGTTGCTCTCGAGCCAGCCCACTACCTGCGAGAGCCTGTGGCTGAAGTAAGTCAGGTTCCTGACCGTGGCAATCCGCTTGTACATCTGGATGCGCAGAGCAGGCGCCATGTTCTCGTTCGGAAAGTGATAGTGGTCCAGCACAGATTCTGCAAACGACCACATACAGTCGGCCAGATTCTGCGCAGGAACGTAGCCGTGGTAGCTTGCAGTGTGCGCAAAGTAGACGGATCCCCAGGATTTTATGTTGAGAAAGGTGTTTTCCTTGCTGGAGTAAATGCTGTGGTTGTCGACGGACATGGTGCGGATCGAGTCGTCTGCCAGCTCAAACGGATAGTACAGGAGGTACAGCGTGGAGTTGGAGCTGTTGTGCGAGAGATAGAAGTCTGCCAAGTTGGGCAACGCGGACAACTCTTCGGGGAAATACTCGTCTATGTAGCGTGACGGCGACTTGACGTCCTCGTCCACATGCAAATATTCCAGGGTGTAGTTGGACAGGATGCTGAGAACGGGCTCAAGATGCATTTTCACGGCCTGCTCAACCTCCCAGTTGGTCTCGGCGCTCATCATGACAAACACAAGCCGCAGAGGATCCTGCAACGAGGTCTCGTACTGCGACTGGTGCAAGAAGCTGTGCTTTTTCGAGTTGTAGTCCACGAGCTGCAGAAACCTGTCTGCAACGTAGTTTTTGATTTCATCGTTGTAGCAGTGATCCAGGAGCAGCTGCGTGCCGAAGTACGGCACGTCGTTGGCGTCCACCGCCTCCAGCGTGTAGAAAAGCGCCGCGTAGCCCTCCACGGCGTCCACGTATATGCCGTTGCCGTCGCTGATGAAAAATTTCATTAGAAGCGCATCGGTCTGGTTCGTGTATTCGAAGAAATCAAACTGCACATCGGGCAGCGTGCGCTCTGTTTCTCGCAGCCTGCCGAGGGTCTGGATGTGTATGGCCTCTCCGACGTCGAGCAATCGCAGATCCGCAGACTCGATGTATACTGGAATCTTGATGGTCACGTCGTCGAGGGGGTGTTGGACGTAGTAGCGCAGCACCTCTAGCGGAACTACCTTTCTGTTGAGGAAGTTGAGCAGCTGCTGATACAGAAGAGGCGATATCAGTGCAATTACCAGCACCAGTGTTGGCTTGAACATGGTGGATATTGCAAAAAAATAAAATAAAATCTACGCCTCGAGGAGCTACAGGGCTTGAAACATGGCGGTGTTCAGAAGAGAGACCATCTCGGGCAGGTCAATGGGAATTGTCCGTGTTGCTGGCTCTCGTGCTCTGGCCGCCAATAGCACAATGAGCAGGAAAATAGAGAGTCGCGGTGCTGCTAGCAGAATATAATTAATGATGCGACTTTTTTAATACCGTTCTGGTAGCACGGGGCAGACTGGAGAAAGTCATCCGCAACCACACCGGTGCAATTCCAGACGAAACAGAACGCACAAACACGCTGGCAAGAACACTTTTCGTGAAAACCTTATCTACGGGAGCACTGGTTGCAACTAGACACGCAGCTCCTCGCTGAAAATGCATTTCCTGCAGCCGCGATTCTCCGCGCAGTTTCTCCAGCCCGTTGCAGCCAATTCCTGCTCAGAGACCGCCTCGGGACAAATTTGGGCCCCGGAGAGCTAGACAAATTTCTTTGTAATTCGCACTTTGTAAGGAAGAGCGAATTCCGCGCGCAAGCTCGGAGAGAATAAATCTTACAAATTATTTTCAGATTATTTTCAAAAACCTCAGGTGAAGCAAGGCCACAGCCTTGCTTCTCCGGCGACTATATATAGGGACGTTAGAATGTAGTTTGTCACTAACCAAAGACATTATGACCCAAACAGTTTATCTCGTCATCGGCGCCTCGAGAGGTATTGGACTTGCCATTGTTAAACAACTGAGCGAGAACCCAGACAACTACGTTATCGGATCGTACAGATCCGCAAGCTCAGCCCCAAAACTCCTCGAGCTCGCCAAGAAGCCCAACGTCGACACCGTCGTTGCAGACATTGCCAGCGAGGACTGCAAAGAGCAGCTGGAGAAGGGTATTGCCAAGTTGACAGACGGTATCGACGTGGCCATCATCAACGCTGGAATTAGCAAGTCTACTCACTCAATTCTGACCTGCCCAAGAGAACAATACATTGATCACTTCCTGGTCAATACCATTGGTCCCGCTGAGGCGTTCAAGGCCGCCTACCCCTTCTTGTTGAAGAGAAACACCCGCAAAGTCGCCTTCACCACCAGTCTTGCCGGCTCCCTTACCGCCTACATGCCGCTGCCTGTCAGCGCTTACGGAGCGTCGAAGGCCGCCCTCAACTACGTGGTCAGAAAACTGAGCCAAGAGCTAGCCGACGAGAATTTCAGCTTCGCTGGACTCCACCCAGGTCTCGTTGCTACCGACATGGTGCAGGAACTGGTCGACTTGGTGGTAAGCGGCGAGTCGAACGATCTTGCCGCTGCCAGCTTCCCTGAGTTCGTCAAGCAGCAGGCTGTCAGCCCTGAATCCTCTGCCAGCGGTATTATCACCGCTGTCGCGATGCTGTCGCCGCACACTACCGGCAGACTCATCCGCGTCGACGACCAGAGCGATTTCCCGTTCTGAGATGCAGACGATTACGTAAGACAAATATAGATAAAGCTTATCTCTGTCCGAAAATGGCATCCGCCGCCCTATAAATACCGCAGCGGCGCGCCCCTCTCGCCATGCCTGCGCCAGACCTGTACGAGGAATTCCGGCGGCTGTCGAAAGCAACGCCCGTCATCGACGTCCACAATGACCTGCCCTACCAGCTCAGGTGGCAGCTGCACTACGAAATCAACGAGGACAAGTTCCGGTTCGACGAGCCGCTCGTGTCGCAGACCGACCTGCGCCGCATGAAGCAGGGCGGCGTCGGCGTCCAGTTCTTCAGCTGCTGGATGGACTGCCCGAGCCCCGACGAGCTGTACCAGGACTTTGAGAAGCCCAACAGCATTGTGCGGGACACGCTCGAGCAGGTGGACATCATCAAGCGGCTCGTCGACAAGTACTCGCGGAGCATGAAGTTTGTGACGAGCGCGGACGAGGCGCTGCGGAGCTACCAGGAGTCGAACGGCGACAAGATCTCTGTCACAATGGGCGTCGAGGGCCTGCACCAGGTGGACACGTCGCTCGCCGTGGTGAGACAGTACTACGACCTCGGGGTGCGCTACATCACGCTGACGCACAACTGCGACAACCCGTTCGCCACCGCGTGCACGACCGTCATTGCCGGCAAGGAGGACAAGGGCCTCACCGCGTACGGCCGCGACTGCATCCGCGAGTTCAACCGCATCGGCATGATGGTGGACCTGAGTCACGTGTCGTACAAGACGATGGTAGACGTTTTGGAGATTGCGCGTGCGCCGGTGATTTTCTCGCACAGCTCGGCGTACACGCTGACGCCCCACGAGCGGAACGTGCGGGACGACGTGCTGCAGATGGTGAAGACGAACGGCGGCGTCGTGTGCGTGGACTTTGTGCCCAACTTCATCAAGAAGCCCGACGCGGCCGACGCGTCGATCGACGACTGCGTCGACCACGTGCTGCACATCGTCAACCTCATCGGCTGGGACCATGTGGGGATCGGGTCGGACTTCGACGGCATGGGGTCCACGGGGCCGAAGGGGCTAGAGGACGTGTCCAAATTCCCCGACCTCGTCGTCAAGGTGTGGGAAAAGTCCAGAGCCTCGCACGAGGATATCCGCAAGTTCATGGGGCTGAACGTGCTGCGCGTGTGGAAAGAGTGCGAGCTGGTGTCCGAGGCGTTGAAGAACGAGCTGCCTGTGGAGACCAGCTGGTCGGGCAGACAGTGGCGGTTCCCGAAGTACATCAAGCTGTGTCCGGAGCTGTTTCCTGGCGCGGCGAGCGTGAAATCGGCGCCAGACGTCTTCTACGACGCCAAGCGGCACACTTTCAAGGGCGTCGAGGGCGAGTATGATCCTAAATAAGAGACTTAGTAGTCTGCAACGCAGCAGCTCGCGTAGTTCCAGCACGGACAGCCCAGCACAATCCGTGTCCTTGTACTGGTGGATCTGTTTGTCTCGTTGCGGTTGCCGGGAGATACGAATACAGAGTTCTAAAACTGCGAAATGTCGCAGGTAGCCACACACAGCAGCCCCAGAATCCTCGTAAACACGGGTTTGCTCTCTTTTAGGCTCAAGCTCGCGGCTGCTGCTCTTTTTGCATGCGACAGTAGCTGTACGCGCGAGTCGAATGCGCAACTGCACATTCTATTGCGACAGCAACACAAACCCTTGCCTGTTCTTCTGCAGCTCTGAGCGGGCAACTGCTGGACCCCGGGGATCGTCTTTGCGGAGTTTAGCGTCAATTTTTTCCGCTCATCTGCGAGTATTTCACTATTGTGGAGCAAAGCCACAGCTCGCTGGCTTGGGCAATCCTGGGCCGCGTATAAAGACCGCGGCAGGTGAGGAGTTTCGGCCATGTACGACAAAGAAGCCAAGATCCTGATCGTGGGCTCCGGCGTGTTCGGACTCTCGGCAGCCTACCATCTGGTGCAGAACGGGTACAAGAATATCCATATCTTCGACCGCAACAATTACGACGAGACCAAGTACCACCCGCTGCTCGGGTCCGATAGCGCCAGCGGCGACATCAACAAGTTCTTCCGTGTCTACTACGAGACCAAGAGCCTGTACTCGAAGCTCGCTGTCGAGGCCCTTGATGTTTGGGAGAGATGGAACGAAGAGATCCAGCAGCTGCCAGAGGCGGACAAGGCGCGCTTTGTAGACGACGACCTCGAGCTGATCCGGCTGTCAGGCGGTCTGCGGATCTCTGACACGCCGGAAATGGCCCCCGTCGAAAAGGAAAATCTCGAAGGATTTGAAAGACTGGGGTTGCGTGCAACGCAGTTCGATGTCAATTCCGACGAAGACCTGCTCCGCGCGAAGCTGCTGGGGCTGCATAGGAAGCTGGCTGTGGTGCGCGACCTGCAGCAGCGGGGCAAGATCAGCACTGTCTCCGGCACGCTGGACGGCATCGGGCGCATGCTCAAGGCCGACAAGGCGTGCTTCTACGTGAAAATCCTGCTGGAGCACGCGGGGGTGAAATTTTACTACGGCGAGCAGGGAGCGTTTCGCGACAAAATTCCAGCCGGAGACGCTATTGGCGGGATTACCACCGCAGACGGCCAGCGGCACACGGCAGACCTCGTGATTGTGAGCGCTGGCCCGTGGACGGAGTCGCTCGTGCCCCAGCTGCAGCAGCGCATCCATGCGTCGCTCGCCAACATTCTGTACCTGGAAATTCCCAGGACCCGACAGGACCTGATCGACAAGTACTCAGAGTATCCCCACTTCCAGTGGAAGACGACGAGCAGCGAGCACGACCGTAACAAGAACCACGACGTGGGCGAGGGTGGGTTTGCCTTCTTTCCGCCAACCAAAAAGGAAGGCATTTTGAAAGTCAACACCAGACAGAGAAAATACTTGAACCCTGAGCGGGTTGGCGACCGCTATGTTTCCGTGCCAAAGACGCTCGGCGACGAAAGACTGCCGAGGAGCGTTGTCGAGGAGGCCAAGGAGATTTTCATGGCTGTAGCCCCGGACGTGGTGCGGCTACCAGGGGTAAAGCTGAAGACGAAGCTGTTGTGGTACACGGACGCCATTAACAGCGACTTTGTGATCGATTTTGTGCCTGGCTACCAGAATCTGATTGTTGCTACGGGCGGCTCGTCGCACGCGTTCAAGTTCCTGCCTGTTCTGGGCAAGACTGTAGTGGACAGGGTGCTCGGCCGCGAGAACGAGTACACGGAGCTGTTCAGATGGAAAGATCCGCAGGACATCAAGGTGGACAACTATTTGCTCAAGGAGGAGCATATAGAGAGGGACGAAAAGAGACGGTTCGACACGGCTGTTCTGTGCACGGACGCGGACCTCGAGTTTTCGACCTCCGACCTCGAGCGACTGGATCACGTGACTATTTAGTTTTACGCAGGTCGCCGATAGCGAACGATAGCAGATAAGGTGTGGCGAAAGCCACATCCAAAAGCAGCGTTTCTCCGTCGCGGCTGCTGATGTGGCTATAATATAACGCAGCTCAATTGTCTGAGCTTAGTTGGACTTACCATGACTGATCTTAACCTAGAGAAGATCCTGCTGCCCAATGCTCACGTGTTCCGGGGCCACGAATTCCCTGTCGCGTATGATTTGCACAACGACGACGGCAGCCATTCGCCAGACGATGTGGCGGCTTTCCTGGCGGAGCTGGGCACGCAGGGGTTTTTCAACGAGCAGCTGAAAAATCACGGCGTTGTAGTTCTCCGGCACACAGGCACCACCGATCCAGAGGTGATCTCGCGGTACGTGGAGGCAATTGCCACGAGCAGCGGAGACGCAGAATTCGAGCAGACCGGGGCGACCGCCAAGCGGACTATTGTCACCCCACATCTGTCCACTGCCAACGAGGGCCCCAGTGGCATGACGATTTATCAGCACAACGAGTTCTCGAGGTTTCTGAAATACCCCAGCAAGCTATTTTTTGTGTGCACCAGGTACAAGGCGTCTGGCGGGTCAACGCCTCTTGTGCACGGCGGCGAGCTGTTCGCCGCTCTGGAGCAGATTTATCCCGATTTCTTGACCGAGCTGGGGAATAAAGGCCTGTACATGAAACAGACCTGGCCGCTGGAAACCGACAATAACACGGCGTGGAGAGATTACTTCTGTTTCGGCAGGAACCTGGACCGAGATGAGGACCTGGAGACGCAGAAGAAAAAAGCCAGCGTTTTGGTGGAGGAATTTGTCAGCAGGGACTACTACTTCGACGAGAACAACGACCTCATCGTGGGCCAGCACTCGAAGCCGATCAGGAGCTACAAGGCGTCGGAAACAGAGTCGTATCCGGTGCTATTCAACAGCATTGTCGCCTACTATGGCGACGCCAAGTTCAAGTCCAACGCGTACCATAAAACCGCTGCTCTGGAATACGACAACTCCATGCCTATTCCGGAAAAATATCTAGACGAGCTAGTGGAGCAGTCGATCAAGCTGGCGTACCACCACGAATGGCAGGAGAGCGACATTGCCATTGTGGACAACCTCCAGGTGAGCCACGGACGAGAGCCGTGGGCCGGCGAACGGCATATTTTGGTGAGCATGTGGGACAGGGTCAATAAACCAGAGTACGAGCCGTGGACCAGAAAATAGACACTATAAAGGATAAATAAATTTCTTATTCTCGAGGTCGGTGAGGTCCAGCATGGACACATCCACTTTTTGGCGCACAATCTCGCCGTTCTCGCCGTTCTCGTCGATATAGCCGTAGTCGTCTCCGTCGTCGCTCTCCATCGCAGCCAGTCTTTGTCTGTTGCGTCTCAGAAGAATATATCTGATCACCAGCAGGCACAGCGGACACAGGGTGAACGAGCACACGATCTGGACGCTCCAGGACACAATGTACCGCGGAGCGTACTCTGACTGCCACAGCTGCGGCGAAATGAAGTTGGCAATGGAGTAGGCGACCATGAAAAGGGCGGTTCTCGTGAGTTTTTTCGTGTAGCCAGCAGCCGTCGTGGTGCACAGGGAAAAGATGATGATGTAGGCGGTTCCGTTTGGCCGGGTCATGAAAATGCCCGCCAGAATGCCCGGCTTGTTGTCGTAAGGAATGGTGACCGCCAGCATGCCGCCCAGCCACGCGACAAACAGACAGACACACGCAACGTAGACGGACTGTCTGCGGAATATTCTCAGGGCAATTGAACCGGCGATGGCACAGAAAACGCCAAAGCCGGTCTGCACCACCATCAGAAGCGTCGTTGTCAGGTTGCTGAAGCCGAGCGCCTTGTACACGATAGAGGCCTCGTACGTGGTGGAGTTTTCGAGCATGTTGAGGAAGATGGCTACCACAAACAGCCACGTGATCGGGTCTTTGACGGTTTCGACGAACTGGTAGGTCTTGAACGTTTTCTGCTCGATCGACGACCGGGAGCTCCGTTTGACGCGGCGGACAATGTGCACTCGCTCCTCCACGGTGAAGAATCTTGCTGTGGCAGGGTTATCTGGATAGACAAAGAAGCATGCCACCGACACGAGAGCAGAAAGCAGGCCGACGAATAGCCAGTACCATTTCCACGGTCTCCAGACAGTGGTGTGTTGCAACCCATACGAGATAAACCCGCAAGGAATATCGACTCCAATGCACGAGACCCAGAAGATGGGGTTGACGATCGCCTGCTCCTCGACCGTGAAGAACATGGCTATCGTGTGCTCGACGCACGGAGTTATGCCGGACTCAAAAAAGCCCAGGAAAAAGCGCAGAGCTGACAACCCGCCATAGCTCTTGCAGCCAAGCGTGCACAGCGACAGCAGACACCACGTCGCCGTGACAAATGTCACGTACCTAGAGATAGGCAGTTTTTGGAACGCCAGGTGCGATGGACACTGGCCCAGCAGGTACCCGACGTAAAAATACGTCTGGATATTGTTATAATCCTGCTTCGTCAAGCTCATATCCTGGAACACTCCTGTCAAGGAAGCATAACTGATGGCGTTTTTGTCCACAAACAACGTGGCATTGACCAGACACACGAGCGGCAAAACAGTGAGCCATAGCTTGCGGACAAGCTTCTTTTCCTGCTCCGGGCTGATCTCTGCCACCTCGGCGTCGTGCTGGTCCATCAGATCAAGAGTCTCGTCGGCATATTTCTTTGTAATCTCTCTGTGGTCCTCCTTGGAAAAGAGCCAGCTTTTCCATTTGGGGCCCGAGTTGACGGTGCTCACTTGAACTTCCTGTGTGCTTAATTTTTCAGACATGTTGTTCAACGGGGGGTCTCTTGGCTTATATGCACGCGATCGTCTCGCAGTGGCTCGCGGTATACGCGGCATGCGGACTGGTGCGGCTCTCCGTCCTAGCCAGACACTAATCTCCGCCAGCTATGGCGGGCAGCCACACCACTCGCATCAGGGGTGGGTGTGAGGTGTGGTTGATGCAGCAGAGCGGACATACAGCAAGATTCGGAGATCTTTGGTTTTCGGAACAACGGTGCGGTGCGGAAGGCGTCCGGCAATGTAGTCCAGCCGACTGCTGCTTGTGGTGGCTGCAACCACAGGACTAAAACTAGGTCACAACTCTCACTTGAGCAGATATGGCATACGATCAGAGCTCAGTAGCATATACTAAGCTTGTGTCTGATGTGGCGTAGCAACAGGAAACATGTTCTGTTTTTTTTCGCCAAAATCCAGATTCCCCTGCTACGGGCTTCTTTCAGCACACAGCAGGTGGAAAACCTGGGGAGACAGAATTTGAAAACAGACCGCCAGGTGGACATTCTAAATTGGTAGCGACCTGGCTGAAGTCCAGCGTTGATGGCATTGTCCACATCTGGTGGAGCTGTACATCAGGAAATATATAGCAGGTGATAGTTTCAGGCGCTCGCTTTTGCACTCAAATGTCGGTATACGGGGTACACTATTGTTAATCTAGTGGTTGCTCGACGGAGTGAATCAAGGCCGATGATGCCGGAAGTGAGAGACAGGAATTGTCACTGGTGACACACTTAAACCCAGTGAGACGGAAACGGCGATGAGGTCGACATCGCAGTGAACTCTGGATACTGTTGTGCTCCATGGCCTTGTTCCTAATAGGTTTGAGTGGTGCAGAGATGCTTGTATCTTCCGCGAATTCTGCCGACAAACAGGGCAAATGCAGACACGAGCGCAGTCGGCGGCCAGATCTAGGCCTGTGCGTCGATTTCGTAACGCTTTGCTTCATTGCGCTCTCCTGGTCTACCGGCTGGGCGTTCTATCGGCTTAAGCAGGGTTCAGCGGGGGAACGTAGATATCTTCGTCGCAGCCACCGTCGAGTGGCTCCGACCAGCGCCCGGGTTTTCATTGTTTATGTATTCTCGTAGAACTGGCTCTCTCTTTTATTCTCTGCACCTTGGCGTGCCACTCTTCTCCTGTAGCTCCTTACGCTTTACGAGGCAGCCCACGTGCACTCGGCTTTGACTTCGGCACGGCAAAGTGCCAAATCGACAGCCGTTCGAACACCCTGCAGCACCGCCATGAATATCTGCAACTATTCTTGAGCCGCAGTTCCTGCCGCTCAAACGCCAGAAAAATCGGCCTTGCCCCAAATAGCTTGGTACACGGTGTTCTGCTGCGGTCGTGGGAACGCCTTGACGGGCCCAGCACGAGCCCTGATATCTCAAGCTACGTATCCCTGCCAGCCACATTGTATTAGCCGTTCTGCAACCGAGCTTCCAAACCAACTTTCTGGCGCAGCTTCAGCCTTCAACTGCACTTAATGAGCTCCGTACCATCGCTTTCCCTTCTAATCCTCTCTTTCCTTGGCGAACAGCAATTTGTGCCCGTCTCTACTTCTAGACCTGCTTCTCGTCGTCTCGCAATTCATCTTTTTTTGTTCTGTGCGATTATGCCGTTCTGTCCATATTTGCTCCGCTCACTGTGCACACTATGGTGGAGCCGTTTGCTGTTCGTCGGGCAGAGAACAAAAGAAAGCATTAAAGCAGGAGAGAGCAGGAAAAAGCAGAGAAACGTTCCGGCTACGACATTATGTTCTTTCACAATCAAAACTGTCTCGTCGAAAGTTAAAAAACAGCCGAAAATAAAATACTGAGAATACTAATTACAACAGTTTTTTCTCAGCTATTTATCCTCAATAATCACCTTGATACTGCTTTGCGCTGGGTCGCTCGACAGAGTGATTGCCTCGACGGCCTTCTCCAGAGGGAACCGGTGGCTCACAAAGCTCTTGACGTCCACAATGCCATCGCTGATCAGTCTGATCACAGCAGGCCACGACTGGTGGTACCTGTTGATGAACTTGACGTCGACCTCGCCGAAGGACAAGTGCATGAACGGGAAGTTGTTGATGATGTCTCTGCCGACGCCAATCACCATCAGCGTGCCGCTCCGTCTCACAACGTAGGCTCCTGTGACAATACTGTTCTCTGTGCCCGTGCACTCCAGCACCTTTGGCGGAGCGTCCTCCTCCCTCGGACCGAACAGCTTTCTAATCCCGGCCGCGTTCTCCTCCGCAGACTTCTTGAGGTCAATCTGGTACGTCTGGACCCTTGGAACGAGCTTCTTGGCAAAGGCCAGTCTGTCGGCAGAAAGATCGGAAATGGCCAGGGGAGCCGCTCCGCACGCGTTGGCCAGCGCCAGAGTGGCCAAGCCGATCGGGCCGGCGCCGCAGATCATGGCTCCGCGGCCCAGCTCGAGCTGTGCCCGCTCGATGCCGTGGTACGCCACGCTGAGCGGCTCGCACAGAGCGCCTTCCTCGTACGTCATGTTGTCCGGCAGCTTGAACAGGTTCTTGGCCTTGATCACCCGGTACCTCTGGATGGTGCCGTGGCAGGGGTACACAGACAAAAAGTCCACCTCCTGACACAAGTTGTAGTCTCCCTGGATACACAGGAAGCACTTTCCGCAGGCGTCCTGGGGCTCAATGGCGACGCGGTCGCCGATCTCGAAGTTCTTCACCTCTGCGCCCAGCTCGATCACCTCGCCGGCCGCCTCGTGGCCCAGAATGCAGTTTCCGCGGACTTTGAGCTCGCCGATCTGTCCGTGTTTCCAATAGTGGACGTCAGACCCACAGATTCCCGTGGCACGGATGCGTAGCAGCACCTCGTCGGGGCCCGGCAGCTCGATCGGCTGCTCTCTGAGCTCGAGAGTGTGTTCTGGGTTCGTTTGGAGCGATGGGTTTGGAAGATTGTGAGCGATAGTCATTGGGAAACTGCGATCTGGAGCAGCACTACTTATAGCAAGATTTGGATGCAGTGGTCCGGAACGGATTCTTAGGCATTTCTGGAGGCACGGTTAAGTTTCCTCTTTGGGGAGCTTCCCCGGACTTGATTTTGTGGGGAAAATTTTTTACCATAAACTATTTAGTCATTGCTGCAGCAGCACTATCTGATGGAGTATCCGCCGTCAACGACCAGATCGGAGCCGGTTGCGTAGGTCGAGGCGTCTGAGGCAAAGAACAAGTACGCGCCGACGATCTCCTTGATCTGGCCCTCTCTGGCCAGCGGGATCTCGTCCTGCCACTTGCGGCGGATGTCCGGGTCCACGTAGCCGTTAATGCCGGTGTCGATGTAGCCCGGCGACACAGAGTTGACCCTTGCAAAACCGCGGAACTCGACGGCCAGCGACTTTGCTAGGTGGATCACGGCGGCTTTGGTGGTGTTGTAGGCCGAATGCTCAATCGGCGTGTTGACGATATGGCCCGACATGGAGCCCGTAAAAATCAGCGAGCCCTTTCCTGCTTGTTGGAAGACGCGGCCCACGGCCCGCGAGCAGTAGAACACCCCGTTCAGGTTGATGTCCACGATCCTGTTCCATCTCTTGCCGTCTCTGTTGCCCTCGCTCAGGATGTTGCCCGACGGGATGTTGACGCCGGCGTTGGCCACGAAGACGTCTATCGTGCTGAAATCGGCCACTATCTCGTCCACTATGCGGTCCACCGTCTCCGGGTCGGTGACGTCGCCGCCGTAGGCCTTTGCTCTCACACCGTTCTCGTCTGCAATGCTTGCAGCAGCCTTGACGGGCGGATCAAGGTCCCACAAGGCGACGTGTGCTCCGGACTGGGCAAACGCTTCTGCAACGGCCAGTCCAATTCCTCGTGCTGCGCCCGTGACTACACACACTTTGCCTGCCAGAGAGAAGAGGTCGGGGGCCCTGGCGGGCAGAGCAGGGCCTGGTGGGTTCTGGAATGGTTGTTTGCTGGAGGGGATAGTCATTGGTGTGAAGACGGCGCTTCCATCCCACATATACTTGCTCTCCACACCTGCTCCCCGGCTAAATTACCCGAAACAGCAAGATGTGAGAAGCGAAAAATAAAAGATGGGGAACGCATCTGCCGTTCTCCCAGAATAAGTAAGACAGCGTTGCCGCTTACATTTCCCGTTAAACTCTCCAATGTCTCTCAGCGAACCCCACGGAACCACGGGCTTAGCGAGCACGCGCTCTAAAATCAGCAAGCCAGAAGTGCAGCGAGCTAGAACTGGGTGTCTGACCTGCCGCCGCAAGCGCAGAAAGTGCGACGAGATCAAACACACAAGCGAGAGCGGCGACTCCAAGTGCGCGTACTGCCTGGCCAACGGGCTTGCCTGCGAGTGGCCGGGGTTTATCAACGTGTCGGGCCAGCTGCTGAAGAAAAAGTCTGCGAAGCAGCAGCCGCGCAAGGAGCCGCAGGAGTCGCCAGAGCTGGCCAAGGTGCAGTGGCCATTTTCGCCTGTGGCATCGCTCAGTGACGACCATCCGGTGCTGAGTGCTGCGCCGGCTCACCACAAACGGGTGTCGCCGCTGTCGTCGCTGCTCACGCCCACGCTTCCGTCCAAAGTGCTTTCTCCGCCGCAATTTCACCAGCCAGTTGTTGAAAAACCGAACGTGCCCGCCGCCGCGTCGCCGTTTCCAGACTATACCTCGCTGACGGGCATGTCGTCCGACCCGCTCAGCATGGACGCCTTCAACCAGAACTACCCGTCCACGCACGAAAACCGCTACCTGGACCTGTCGCACATCCTTCGCGAGTACATGTATGTGAACGCGTTCACGACGAACTCGAAGCTGGAGCCGCTGCTGCCGAAGGAGGTGCTGACGGAGTACTTTGTCAACGTGGAGAAGTTCTCCGTCAAGGACTTCGACGAGCCCGTCGTGCTCAAGCCGGAGCAGGAGATCCTGCTGCTGAAAAATTACGTGGAGAACGTGGGGGCAGGAATGGACATGTTCGACACCGACAAGACCATGGTGCGCGTGATCCCGCAAAAGATGAAGAGCCGGCCGGCGCTGCGTTTTGCCGTGCTCGCGTTGTCGTCGCGCTGGTTCGACAGCAAGGTCGCCAACTACCCGAAAGGCTTGACGGTGTCTCTGTACCACGAGTCGCTGCGCCACCTGGCCCCCACGTACAACGACACCTCCAACAACATCTACATCATCGTCACATGCGTGATCCTGTGCGTGTTTGAGATGATGAGCTCTGAGCCGCGCAACTGGAAACAGCATCTGGAAGGCTGTGTGCTGCTGCTCAAAAGCTACAAGATTACGGGGCTCGCCGTCGACAAGATCGAGCGTGCCACGTTTTGGGTGTTTATCCGCATGGACGTTTGTCACTCCGTCATAAACGAGTCCCCCACCATTCTGCCGTCGGAGCACTGGGTGCTGCCCAACATGACGGCGGAGGAGATCGAGAAAGCGTTCGACACGCCCGAAATGCACGGCAACTACATTGTCTATCTGGCCTCGCTCGTGGTGAACCTGGTGTACGGCGAGCAGGAGGACGACCAGTACAAATCGAAGTGGCTGGATCTGTGGGTGCGGCTGCGACGGTGGGAGCTGAGCTTTGAGGACCTGTTCAGCAAGACGTACGAGGTGTACGACCCGAAGATTGGGTTCCCACGGATCTTCTTTGCCAACTCGCAGGCCATCTCCTCCACGCAAATGTACCACATGTCGTGTATTCTCATGATCCAGAACAAGCCACACAACCTGCGGCTGTCGCAGCTTTCTGCCGAAAACTCAATGTACCCGAGCGTCTCGTTGGTGTACCACGCGCGGCGCATTATAGGCATCTCGATCACGAACTCGGACTATGGCGCGTACTCGAACTCGATCCAGCCGCTGTACGTGGCGGGGCTGATATTGACGTCGCGCCAGGACTACGGCATCCTGCTCAACGCGCTACACAACGTGGAGAAGTCTACCGGCTGGGCCACGCAGGGGCGCATGAATGACCTGATGAAATTCTGGTGTAAAGGCGACTGACTAGTAATATTCAAGTACTTATGGCCCGCTGGACCCAGTAGCGTCTTCGATGTTCTCGGCGCTGACCTTGCCGTGCTCCAGCCGGACATCGGCGTCCACGCCGTGCGTCCGTGGGTATCTTCTGGCAATGCCGACCACCTCCCAGGGCTTCCATGGGTCGCACTGCGAGAAGATGTGGTCCATATCCTCCAACGACCTGCCCGCAGTCTCTGGGAACAGGAAGTACACGCTGGGCACAATCAGCGCGTTAATGACGGCGAAGATCGTGTAGGTGTAATAGTCGATGTTCTTGAACGCAACAGGCGTGATCATCACGACCATGAAGTTGAACGACCAGTTTCCAGCCGTCGAGACGGCGTTAGCTGGGGCCCGGATACTGAGCGGCGGGATTTCGGCCGGGTACAGCCACGTCATGCCGAGCCAGCCGATGGCGAAGAACGTGTTGAACACAAACAGCAGCACGGCCGCCGCGATGGCCGCATGGTTGTCGTCCTTCTTCGCGGCCAGATACATTGTCACCGTCAGCATGGCCATGGTGAGCGACTGTCCTGCGGCGCCGAAGAGCATCAGCTTCCGTCTGCCGACGTTCTCAATCAAAAAGAAGGGGATCCACGACGCAAGGAAGTACTCTGTTCCGTTGCAGGCGGCCAGAACCCGCGAGTTGAACGCCGTCATTCCTATGTACTTCTCGAAAAGCGTGCCCGCGTAGTACGTGATCAGGTTGATACCAGTAATCTGCTGGAAAATCTGCGCCCAGAGGCCAAGACACATTCTGTGGAAGTCTCTATGCTCACCCTGGGTAAACAGCTTGCTGGCGGTGAACGTGTCGCCGCCTTCGAGTTGCTCCTCGAGCAGCGAGACACGCACATCATTGATCTGCTCCTCGACTTCAGGGTCCACCGTGGACACGCCGTCCAGGCTCGCAAACACGATTCTGGCTCTCTCGTAGTGGCCTTTCTTGATGAGCCATCTAGGCGATTCTGGCAGCTTCATGATGAAGGGAAGAATGATGAGTGGGAAAATCATCTGGAACGCCACAGGAAACCGCCATGCAACAGAGCCTTTGGTGAAGTAGAATCCAAAGTCTATCCAGTACGAAAGGGCAATGCCTCCCGTGATCAGCGCACCTGATATCATCACGAGCTTTCCTCTTTTCTGAGGCTTCGAGCACTCGGCCTGCCACATAGGAATCGTACTGGTGTTGAATCCGTTACCGAGACCGGTGACGATCCGGCCGACAATCAGATGGCCGACGCTGAAGGCCGTGCATTGCAAGATGGCCCCGATAGTCATCACGACACAGCCAATAAAAATACACCGCAGTCTGCCGATCTTGTCTCCGAAATAAAGCGTCGACAGAGCACCGGCCAAACATCCAACCTCGTAAACGGCGATCGTGAATCCCTGCATGGTGGCAGCGTCCGCGTGTCTGATGGTGTCGATGGAAGGGAACGTGTCTCTAAAGGCGTCCAGAGTCAATAGCGAGCCCATGACTCCCTGGTCATATCCAAAAAGCAAAAATCCAACGGAAGCCATCACGCTGACCGTGTTCTGCAGTGTGGGGCCGCTAAATCCCAGGAATTTCGGGTAGTAGCCCTCTTGGACAGGTGTTTTTTCTACTTTGATATCGGAAGACATGTTTATGATACTGCTACAGGGGACTGTCGCCAGTATTTATAGCGACAAGAGACAAGCAGATTACGTCATCGGTAGCTGCATCGTTTCTTCCCCATACGAAGTGTTACTCCTGCATGCAAATTTTTTTTCACCCCGGACTATATTTTCCCCACAAAATATACTGACGGCCTTTGTTTTGCACACGCCTAGGTTACCCTGTTGGGAAAAACAAGCTACGTTCCCCAAAAAGGCGGGATGGCTTGGCGTCAACAATACGGTGCAGCCGTTCTTGCGAAACGCACTCTGCACACTCTACTTGGTCAGCTTATACGAGTCAAATTAATCGTGACTCTTGGGGGCAACCTAGACCGATTGCTGTCCAGAATCAAGGATGACTTCCCCTCAGATCTTGTCCGATATAGGCTTATTTAGGTGTTTTTGTTCGTACTCCAGTAGCGTGGCAACCTTCTCCGCAGACGCACTCGTCTCGTCGAACGTGTACGTAAACCACTCTTTTGCCAGTCTTCTGGCCAGCTGTAGGCCAATCACCCGCTGGCCCATGCACAGGATCTGGCAGTTATTGGACAGGATCGACCGCTCCACGCTGAACGAGTCATGCGCTGTCACTGCGCGGATCCCTGCCACTTTATTGGCACTCAGAGCGACGCCCAGTCCTGTTCCACAGATCAACACGCCTCTATCGGCTTCGCCCCGCGCAATTCTCTCGGCACATTCGATCGCCACCAAGGGATAAGCGACCTCCTTGTCGGTGCCAAAGACGCCAACGTCAGTGACAGACTCAATCAGAGGATTGTTTTCGAGGTCCTTTTTGATGGTCTCCTTGTACTCATAGCCAGCGGTATCGCTTCCCACAATAACTCTAAATTTTTTGTTGGTCATTTTGGTAGGCAACCCCACACAAGGAGGTATATATACCTTGTGCCTGAGTGCTCAACAGGGGAAAACACCCGTCTTACCAATGGATGCTCTCGTTGTAATTCCGCCTGGATTCGCCGCCAAAATTTCTCCATTGGGACATTTTGGAGCGCATTTCCAATGTCGAGGTGGCTCTTTGGCAGACCACCGACGTTAACTTGTGTGGGGAAATATAAATATGGCCTCTACACAGACATCTGCTGTTCGCAATGTCCAGCAAGCACTTCCTGCCAAAAGACCCATTCTCCACGGTTAATTTTGCTCTCAAGGGAGCAATTTACGAAAACCCCAACCTGTCTCTCCTATCCAAGGAACGTGTCCTGTTTAACAACAATTTTGACTCCAGAAAGGTAGCTCTAATCTCTGGTGGGGGTTCTGGCCATGAACCTGGCTGGTACGGTTTTGTCGCTGACGGCATGCTCGCTGCCTCCGTGCAAGGAGAGATCTTTGCTTCTCCAAACTATAGAAACATCCAGGCAGCAGAGAAAGTCGTCCATTCTGATGCGGGAACAATCTTCCTCATAACCAACTACACAGGCGACAACTTGTACTTTGGCATGGCTGCACAGGAGCTCGTCAACAAGTACGGCGAGGACAAGATCCGCATTTTGCGGACTACAGACGATGTGGCCGTTCCGCGGTCCAAGAGCGACCGCGTCGGCCGTAGAACGCTGAGCGGGATCACGCTCATGGCCAAGGTGCTTGGCGCATGTGCAGACGAGTACCACAGCATTGACACAGTGTACAATTTGGGGGTGTCCGTCAACGCCAACATTGCCTCTGTTAACGCGGGGCTGGATCACGTGCACATCCCCACGCACGATGCCACCACTGACTGGGGCCAGCTGAAGCAGAACGAGCTGGAGCTTGGGCTCGGCGTGCACAACGAGCCGGGCGTGAAGCGACTCGACTATCTTCCCACAAACGAGGAGCTAGTGCAGATCCTGCTCAAGTACATTCTGGACACGACAGACCCGGAAAGAGGATATTTCCAGTATGAAAAGGGGGACAAGATCGTTCTGCAGCTCAACAATTTGGGTGGGGTGTCGCATTTTGAGCTGCTCGCCATCCTGACAGAGACCGTGCAACAGTTGAAGCGCGACTACGGCTTGGACATCACCAGGGTGTACCACGGCCACTTCGTGACCAGCTTCAACGCACAGATATTCACCCTGACACTGTTCAACGTGACCAAAGCTGCTACCGCAGAGTTCCCAGTTGAGAAGCTTTTTGAGTATCTGGACAAGCCTGTGCGGGCTTCGAATTGGCCGGCAAATTACTATACGTCTCTGGAGCCAATTGACGTCCGGAACCGGGTTATGGACGACTTTGAGCACAATGATGAAAACTCTGACACAGAGAAGCTGCCAGCGAAAGGAGACGTCAACGTCAGTCCAGAGCTATTGGAGTCGATTATTAGGACGGCTGTTCGCAATGTGATTGCCAGAGAGCCGGACCTGACTATTTGGGACACCAAGATGGGGGATGGCGACTGTGGAGAAGGCCTCAAGATTGGAGCTGAGGCCGTTCTGGAGAGCCTGGAAAAGGATCGGTTCACCGCGAGTGGGTCGTTGCTGCATACGCTCACGTGCCTGCTTAAGGTTGTCAAGGATTCGATGGGTGGCACGTTGGGCGCCATTCTGTACATTTTCCTGCAAGGCCTGACCAACAAGCTGGAGCTGTTGCTTGAGACCAACGAGGCCCCGCTCCCGCTGGTTTTCGCCGACGCCATGGAGTACGCAATTGATAATCTGTGCAATTATACAAAAGCACGTGAGGGCGATCGTACGGTTATGGACGTTCTCATTCCGTTTTGTCGTGATTTTTCGCAGTCGAAAATCCTCGGTCAGGCCATTGAGGTGGCGCACACAGCTGCAGAGGCGACCAGAAAAATGCAGCCTAAACTGGGCAGGGCCAGTTACGTGGGGATCGAGGGCAACGAAACAGACTTCCCGCCAGACCCCGGCGCATACGGTGTGTACGAAATTATCGCTGCTCTCGATGAGGGGATCAGCGACTAAACTGAAAAATATAGTAGGGAAAGACCTTTTACCCAATTTGTAGCCGCTTCCGCTGTCAATAATGGGGGCTTTGAAAGGAGACAATGCAGTGACCCTTTTGAATAAGGAGTGCAGATCAGCTTTGCTGCATTTCTCCGATTTGTCCAAAAATCTAAGATCCCCGTTTCGGAAGCAGCTTTTCCTGGACCGGCAGGATCTGGCCTGGTCCGTCTCCGGCACCTGCAGAAGGAACAATGGAGCTCGACTAAAACACCGTCGGCCAATTTCCCCGGAAGCTCACTCAACAATGCGATTGCGTGGGAAAATCCCTGCAGATCTACGATTCCCCACAAAAACCTTGCATATTCTTTTGTCTGGAAAAAGTTATTCCACGAGAATTCTGTTATTGGGGGACAATAGCATTAATGACTGAAGCGGGGAGGAGAGAATAAACCTTAATTAGACGCCAGATAGTTGGAGTCTGGCTGGCTCTAGAGTGCGATCGAATGGATGGCAAGGTAACTGGTCATTGCGAGCTCTTTTCCTCAACTAGCGCTCAGATCCAATTTTGACGCCTGTGTTTTCTTAGTACCACAGCATCCAATTTAGACTGTTACTAATGATGAAGCCGCTGCAGAACAAAAAATAACCTGCATCTCTTACTAAATTATTCCGATCGGGCAATTTGCAAAAGTGAGGTCACTATTCCTTTCCCAGAAAACGCTATAAATACGGGCATCCGTCTCCCCCTTTTCCATCCCAACATGAAGAACTTCCTAGTCTTAGCTTCCTTCGCCGCGCTATTGGCAACCTCCAATAGCGCCGCGGTCGTCAAGAGAGATGACATCGACTACGAGGAGCTTGAGCACTTCTGGTCGTACGGTCGCTCGGAGCCTGTCTACCCTAGCCCCCAGATTTCTGGCGTTGACGACTGGGCCGAGGCACTTACCAAGGCCAAAGCGCTGGTCGACCAGATGACCGACGAGGAGAAAAACAACGTCACCTACGGCTACGCCGTCACCACGACTGGTTGTTCTGGTGTGTCGGGCAGCGTTCCTCGACTCAATTTCCCCGGCTTGTGTCTGCAGGACGCCGGTAACGGTGTTCGTGGTACAGACATGGTTAACTCGTACCCAGCAGGCCTGCATGTGGGCGCCTCGTGGAACAAAGCGCTGGCGTACGACCGGTCGCTCCACATGGGCGGAGAGTTCCGCAACAAGGGCGTCAATGTCGCCCTGGGCCCTGTGACTGGACCGGTGGGCAAGATCGCCAGGGGTGGCCGTAACTGGGAAGGTTTCTCGAACGACCCTTACTTGTCGGGCGCCTTGACAGGCGAAACAATTCGCGGCCTGCAAGAATCAGTCATTGCATGTGTCAAGCATTTGGTGGCCTACGAGCAGGAAGCCACCAGAAACCCGCAGTTCGGACTGATTTGGCCCACCCACAACCAGTCCATCTCGTCCAATGTCGACGACAGAACCATGCACGAGTTGTACATGTGGCCGTTCCAGGACGCCATCAAGGCCGGCGCCGGGTCTGTCATGTGCAGCTACAACAGGATCAACAACTCGTATGCCTGCGAGAATAGCAAGGTGATAAACGGCCTGCTTAAGGAGGAGCTTGCTTTCCAGGGCTTTGTGGTGTCTGACTGGGATGCTCAGCACTCTGGCGTTGCCAGTGCCGAGTCTGGCCTCGACCTTGCCATGCCAGACTCTGTATTCTGGGCAAATGGCACCCTGGTCGAGGCAGTCAACAACGGCACCATGGCGCAGAGCAGACTCGACGACATGGCCACCCGTATTGTCGCCGCATGGTACAAGCTGGCTGAGATCGAGGACCCAGGTTTTGGTATCCCTTACGACCTGACTCAGGCACACGACCTTGTCGATGCACGTGACCCCGCATCTGCAGATACCATTCTGCAGGGAGCCGTCGAGGGCCACGTTCTGCTCAAGAACAAGGACAACGCGCTGCCGCTCAAGAAGCCAAAGGCCCTCGGCCTATACGGCTACGATGCCACCGCCGCGGCCAGGAATTTCCTCACGGGGGGGCAGGTCCCACTTTGGGCTTTTGGTCTCCAAAACACGCTCACCTATTCCAACGGCACTGACATCGATGTCGGAAAGATATGGAGTATGTTCCTGTCATCGTACGACCCTACACAGAGTGGCCCAGATGTTGCTCTCAACGGCACGTTCTTTGTTGGCACCGGTTCCGGTTCCAACACGCCTTCCTATATTGATGCTCCATACGACGCTTTCGTGCGCCAGGCAAAGCAGGACGGCACGTGGCTCAGCTGGAACTTCGCCGATCCGGACCCAGAGGTGAACGGTGGCAACGACGCCTGCGTTGTGTTCATTAACGACGCCTCGTCCGAGGGCTGGGACAGAGCTACGTTGCGCGACAAGTACTCCGACGAGCTGGTCAAGAACGTCGCTTCCAAGTGCAGCAACACCATCGTTGTGGTTCACAACGCCGGTATCCGGATTGTGGACAGCTGGATCGACCACGAGAATGTCACCGCCCTGGTGTTTGCTCACTTGCCAGGCCAGGACTCTGGCCAGGCTCTGATTGACGTGCTGTACGGCAACCAGTCTCCATCTGGAAGACTCCCATACACCGTGGCCAAAACAGAGTCTGATTATGGCAATCTGCTCTCTCCTGTCTACCCAGAAGGCACCGTTGACCTGTACTACCCGCAGGACAACTTTACCGAGGGCCTGTACATCGACTACAAGCACTTCCTCAAATACAACATCACCCCACGCTACGAGTTCGGCTACGGTCTCACCTACACGACGTTTGACTACGCCAACATCTCGATCACCAAGCAGAATGCAGACACCTCCCAATTCCCTCTGGAGGCGACTATCGTCCAGGGAGGCAACCCTCACCTGTGGGAGGTGGTGGCCACGGTCACGTGCGACGTCACGAACTCCGGCAACGTCACTGCTGCAGAGGTGGCCCAGCTGTACGTTGAGATCCCTAACGGCCCTGGCCGTGTTCTGCGTGGCTTCGACAAGATCTCCATCGGCCCTGGCGAGACCCAGACGTTTGTGTTCGACCTGACCCGTCGTGACCTGAGCACGTGGGACGTCGAGAACCAGAACTGGGCCCTCCAACAGGGCGACTACCCAATTTACGTCGGCAAGAGTGTCCTGGACATCCAGCTGACGGGTACGTTGTCCATCTAGACAGACCATCGTTCATTTTCAGATTACTGATCTCAGGTCTGATAAAAGTTTTCATTTCTTTCGTGCGGTATCGCCGCAATTCCTGTATAGGTTTAAAATACAGGTTCTGATTTTTTAACATATTCGCTTGCACACCTCTGCATGTCTAAAAATCTCATCATAGGCATAGACGTTGGGGGCACGAACTCTGACCTTGTTGTGCTCGACCCTGCCCGGCTAGACGCTGCCGACCACGGGGTGCTCGCATGGCACAAGTCGACCACCACGCCGGACGTGTCTGTAGGCATCGAGAATGCCATCAAGGCCATTCTGGAGGCGCCGGACAGCCGGTTCTCCAAAGACCAGATCGCCACTGTCACAATCGGCACCACACACTTCATCAACGCCGTCATCGAACGCGATTCGAACCGGCTCGAGAAGGTGGCTGTGCTCCGTTTGGCGGGGCCGTATGGCAGAAGCTCGCCGCCGTTCAGCGACTTTCCCGAAGACCTCGCAGAGGTCATCAACGGCTACTCGGCCGTGCTCGACGGCGGTGTGCAGGTAGACGGCACGGAAATTAGGCCGCTAAACGAGTCCGAGATCAGGCAGCACTGCCACCGAATTAAACGGCTCGGACTTCGCACCGTCGTCGTCGTGGCCACATTTGCCAGCGTCGACAGCACGCACGAGCTTCGCACCGCCCAGATCGTCCGTGAGGAGATTCCCGGCTGCGACGTGGTGCTGTCGCACAGAATTTCTGGTATCGGCATCATCGAGCGCGAGAACGCTGCGATTTTGAACGCCGCTATCAAACGGTTCGGCCGAAAAATTATCTCGTCGTTCATTCACGCGACTAGACGCAACGGGCTCGACTGCTCGATTCTACTGTCTCAGAACGACGGCACTGTGCTTTCCGTGCAGGACGCGCTGGAAACTCCGGTGAGAACGTTTTCATCGGGAGCCACCAACTCAATGCGCGGAGCTGCCATTCTGTGCTCGCAGGATCCGGCCGTAAAGGGCAGAAACGTCATTGTGTGCGATGTTGGAGGAACCACCACCGACGTGGGTATGCTGCTCGCGAGCGGGTTTCCCCGCCAATCGGCCACGTACTCGTACGCAGGCGGCGTGAGAATCAACTTTTCGATGCCTCACGTGGAAAGCATTGGCTTGGGCGGCGGATCGATTGTGCGGCACGAAGGTGGCCGTGTCAGTGTTGGGCCAGATTCCACGGGCGCAGAAATTGTCAGCAGGGGCATCTTGTTCGGCGGAGACACCATCACGGCGTCTGACGTGACTATTGCAAAAATGGTAGACGAAAAGGCAGAGGTGGACAAGACCGTTCTTATGGGTGACCCCGGCTGTGTGACAGGCCGATTTGGAGCCTACTTCAAGGATGAATTTGAGAAAACCGTGGCTGCCAAGCTGGAGAGAGTCATCGACCGCATGAAGACGTCGCCAGATGATATCCCAACAATTTTTGTTGGCGGCGGCTCGTTCATTGCGCCAGACAGGTTGAAGGGCACGTCAAAGGTGATCAAGCCGCCGTTCTTCCAGGTTGCAAACGCCGTTGGCGCGGCTCTGGGCAAAATGTCGTCCGAGGTATCGGAGATGAGACACACAGATGGGACGGAAAAAGCCAAGCAGCAAACGGTGCACGAGCTGACTTCCCGCGCTGTCGAGGCATGTGTGGCCAAAGGAGCACTTAGAGACTCAGTTGAGGTTGTCGACGTCGTTTCCGATGCCGTGCCGTACGTCGACAACGTGTACTTCTTTTCCGTCAAGGTGATTGGCGATGTCGACTATGCAAGAGCGTTTGAATCGACAAGGTCGCTTGCCACCGTGGAATATGCAGGGGAGGAGGTGCTCAAGAACGCAAATGTCTTGACGTCTGTCCCTGCTATGATTGATTACGTAACATACAAACCGTGCGTGAGAAATGGCGAGTGGATACTGTCGCCAACAGACATCGATTTTATCGGCGCTGGAGCGTACATTCTTGGATGTGGAGGCGGCGGCAACCCAAGCAGCTCGGTGGTGGAGCTCAAGCGGCTGATACGGCAAGGCGCCGAGATTAAGGTGGTAACTTTGGACGAGTTTTCGCGGAGGACTGGGGGCAAGGGCACGGCCCCCAACGTGGGCTACTGCGGCTCGCCCACGATCTCGGGCGAGCGCCTGCATGGGGACGAGATGCTCGAGGCCTTTGATATTATTGAACGCTGGGAGGGAAAAAAGGCCGACGGCGTGCTGCTATTTGAAATTGGAGGTGGCAACGGGTTGTCTGGTCTTTGGACCGCGTACCACAAAAACGTCCCGTGTCTTGACTTAGACCTCATGGGAAGAGCGTACCCCACGCAATGGCAGTCTCTTCCGTCGGTTTGCCACGACGGCCACGGGTTCCCATACGGTTCTCTATCGGACGGCAACGGCTTGTCGCTTTTGATTACTTCCGCCAAAGACGACGTCCAGATGGAGGAAATTATTAGAGACGCAATGTACCACCACGGCGTCTCGTGTGCCTGTGTCGGCGCATCGTTGGATGTGGATAGAATGGCTAGGGAAACAATCAAAAACCCGCTCTCGCTGGCCTGGCGAATCGGCCGTCAGGTGTTTTGTGCACGTGCGGCCTCTGACCTCGACAATCTTCCGCACAGGATCATCGACGCCTGCGGGGGCTCAGACACTGCCAAGTGTGTCTTCAAGGGCAAGATCTTGTCTGTGGAAAAAAAGCTGCAACGCGGCTACGGCTACGGCGTCGTAGAGCTAGAAAGTGTCGATGGCCCAAAACATAGGATCCGTGTCCCGTTCAAGAACGAAAACATCGTCATTTATGAGGTTGACGAGCATGGCAGCGAAAAGCCCCTGTGTTCCGTGCCAGACCTAATCACCTTTGTCGACATGGACGGAAACGCTGTTGGTACGCAGGACTACAGATATGGACTGATTGTGCACGTGATGGTGATAGCGGCTTCTGACCAGTGGACGACGCCGAAAGCCGTTGCTGTGGGAGGGCCCAAAGGGTTTGGCAGTGCCTTTGAGAAGATTGAGTACGTTCCGGTCGGGAAGTATGTGGAGCCAGTTCCCGTTTGCACGGAATATAATGTTTCTACTTAGACTTTTTTGCAACGACTAAGTCAGATCCTTCGCCCTCAAATATTCGTTATGATCACGGAGTCATGCCAAGCTTGGCACACCGCTCAGGCTGTAAGTTTTAAAGTAGTCTGACTAGTCTTGCTTGACCGGTGGTGCCTAGAAAAAAAAGTCAGAAAATTTTGGATAGCAGACCAATTGCGAATTGGAAAAGAAATGAGCCCTGGTTCGGATGCATTGGCCCAGAGTTGATGGCGATGCTCGGCTTTGCATCAGGCTGGGTGCAGAGCTTCACAGGGCTCGCGATAGTTCGCCTGTTTTACGGCACGAATGTGCAAGAAAATGCCAGTTTTTCTAAGAACGTGGCAGTCAGAGACTGTCTTTCGAATTACGAGCAATTCACGCAAGTAGATGGTCATTGGCGGAGTGATATGGAGCGGGAATGATGGTAAGAAACTTGGAGAGAACTTGAAGAAGAGTCACGGCTGGATGGGCCAGGACAGCAAAAACACAGAATTGCTCTCGTTCGATGCTGATGCGGCGACGAGAATAAAGACTAAATCCACCTAACCGCTAACGGCGTTCCGAACACAGGACACCGAGCTGAAATACGGTTAGATCCATACCGCAGGAAATAGACTGGACTACACGAGATATCGCTATAAGATTCTGTTGCAGCCACAAAATTCACAAACATCTGGGCACCGAGAACTCTGACCGTCCTTTACGCCAGCGTACTATGGTGATCTCTTGAAAATGTGGGGCTCATAGACCCAGCAACGTTATAACCGAAAAAAATTCCGAAGGGTCAATGTCATTCCTTCTAATTGAATCTGGTACAATTCAGACCGATTCAAGACCTCTGCAACTAGAGCCGCGTTCCACTGTTCTCTTCCCTAAACCGAAGCCCAGTCAGAACTGCATGCAGTACCCAGCCACTCAGTTATTTCGTGTCGTTGGTGCTTCCACTGCCGATTCTAATACATGCAGTGATTACGGTATCCAAGCAAGAGCAACGAGCTGCTAGCCAGGAATGCTAATCAGTACTCTTGGGAATTAAAGGCATTGCAACGCTGAGTATCAGGTGCTAACGTACCCTCCTATTACTTGATTTGCCATCTGGACGGAGTCTGCAAGTGTGTTTTTCGTGTTCAGGTACGATTTGCACCATACACTTGGAATACAGTTGATGCATGGACTGACCAGGCACACCTGGCGGGCAAACCAGACCACTAAGAGAGTGTTCTTAACGAGCATAAGCCTCCAAAAACCATGCGCTGGAACATAGAATACCTGTGTGGTAATTTGTGATATCGATTCCTTTCAACAGGGCAGAAATGGAGATGACCAGATTCTCAATCACTACACCTATTGGCTGACATCCGGTAAGCCGCACGTACATGATGAAGGAACTATTGTCCAATGTGAATACAGGCATCGAGCTGACGGCTCAGGATGACACAAACCCCTCAGAAATTCCACCTGCAATGGTGAACAAGGATGGGAATGGTGTCTCTCTTCCTAGTCTTGTCGAAGTCGTCCAAAGCGAGCCAGGTGATGATTGTGGAGAGGAGACGCGTAAGTCTGAAGAGATTTTTCCGACAGCGGAGAATTTTTCGATACCAGATCGTCGTACGGCGTTTAGTGCAAGAGGTGCACAATCTCGCGTGGAAGTCGGTGCACACAGAGATAAGGATGGCCAAGGTAGTCTACAGACACCGCAACCGCAACCTTTATTGAATCCACGGTTGTTCGAATTTTGGTGTGAATAGCCGTTGAGCCTCAAAAAAATATGCAGCTGCGCCCGGCGACTGCCAGATGCGTCAGGCAGATAAGAGTGAGATTCGACCGAACGGGTTTTTGCGCCACGGCCAGGAAGCGGCCATCGGATGGCACAAGGGGTTGGAAGTCAACAGAAGAGGTGATCGTGACGCGATGAAACCACTGAGACAAGAGTAGAGATGTTTCTATGGAAAGAGTTAAAGTAGGCTGGCGTTGAAGCGCGGTCTTCGGATGAAATATTAAAACACTGCCAGGGACGTTTTTGCCACTCCGGGACAGGCAGGAAACTATCTACGTAAACCGTCATAGAGTATTGGAAACGACAGCTTATCTCTGAGGTTGTGTCAGGGGCATGTTCCTGAATTTGAGGAAGAACAACTGCCCCTGAAATCGTCGAGCAAGCCTTTCTTCTGGGAAGACGAGAGGAGGTAGTTGTCAGTAAGTTTTATGACTAGCGACAATCCGCACGAATGAAATCTTACTTAATGGGATTAAAACGTATGATACCATGTAAGAAGACGGCATCGAGGGCAAGACATAATACAGCACAAATATTACCTGGCGACTGCGTTGCAACAACTTTCATAGTTAGGAGACCCATTATGGAGGATCTGGCGTGACTATCGGCGCAATAACCATCCTACGGCTTGTTGGAAAGCACTACTGATGGCGTGGCCTAAGAGCCACCATTCGATAAGCTTTCCTGAAATACCTGCCGGAGAATCGAAGAAAATTCAGAGGACCTGGTGCTCCTGACAAGAGGCAGAGAATGCCTAGTGACTTCTTAGCTTTTGTTTGTGGTGTCAGGACTTGCGCACTGTGTAGCGGAGTCAGAAGCCTGTCTTTGACTGTTGTCTCGTTTGCGAACACATTTCTCAGCAGTCCGCGCACCGGCCAGTGAAAAAAGTGGTTGTGGCGAAGAGTGCATAAGGTGGAAAAGCAGGCCACGATAAGAGCTGCACCAGTTCGGGAGCGGTGACTACGCCACGAAATGCCTAGTCGTCGCCTTTATATACACACGTTACTGGTGAGCTATGTTGATACTTTTACATTCCGTGAAACGAGTAGCCAAGATGGCATGATTGCCAAGCCTGCCTGCGGACTAAATCTACCAAAAAAGACAGTGTTCCCTGCGAAATTTGGGGACCGTTTTTGGGCGGAACAAATAGTATTTTCACCAAGTATTCTCTTATCTTGGCTTTTTGATATGCGTGCAGTGCCGCACGTAAAATTATTTCTGACGTCAAAAGATAAGCAACGGGGTGAAAGCCAGCTATTTGATTAGCTGGACACCTAATTCGATGCATGTAACGCACGAGCTGCTTATTTGGGGTACCCAAAATAGACTGCGTCGGCTGTGGTTGCATGATACTTGACATGTTTGCATGGCAGCCATTGAGTACCCGCACTGTGGAGCCAAAGGATCCGCGATAGCGACACATTTAAAAGAGCCAGAAACCTCCCATCTAGTCCACCAAATTATGCAACCAGAACGCTCAAAAGAAGTCGAGACCGTCGACAAAAAGACGACTGCCGTCCTAGAGACGATTAGCATCCACGATGCCGAAGAGGCAGCAGGTATTGAGATCTTTGCAGAAGACGACACCCATCTCCACAGAGCTCTGAAGGAAAGGCACATCGGTATGATCACATTGGTCGGTGTGTTTGGTACCGGATTGTTCCTCAGTAGTGGAGGAACGCTTGCCAAAACAGGACCTGTTGGTATGTGTCTGTCGTACCTCATTGTGGGCATCATTGTGGGTATGAACCAGATGGCGCTTGCCGAGGTGGCTGCGCTGGCTCCGTTGACGGGATCCACTATTCGCCACGCAGAGATCTTCATTGACGACGCTGCTGGCTTTGCGTTAGGCTGGCTCAAGGTTTGGAATTCCATCCTTCCAACCGCCCTCGTCTCCTCCGCACTTATTATGCAGTACTGGAGCAACCTGTCACCGGGCATCTGGATCACCATCTTCATGATTCCGATCTGCTTTACCAACATTTTCTCCATCCGAATTTACGGTGAGGTCGAATTTGTGTTTGCTTTGCTAAAAATCTCCTTGATTCTCATTCTTGTTCTGGCCGGCCTCGTAGTCGACCTCGGTGGCGTCAAGGGCCAGAAAAGGCTTGGCTTCCACTACTGGAAAGACCCTGGTCCTTTTGCGTCGTACATCAAGTCCGGCAGCCTGGGACAGTTCATTGGTTTCTGGGCCGCCCTGTCGTCTGTGGTGTATGCTTACGGTGGAGTTCAGGGAATTGCTCTGCTGGCTGGAGAGACCAAAAATCCGCGTACTAACATTCCAAAGGCTGCAAAGAGAATCCTGTACAGAGTTGTTGGTCTTTACATGATCGCCGTGTTCATCTTGAGTCTTATTGTTCCGTACGATGACCCAAAAATTGCAACCAGCGACGGCACAGCCGCACATTCGCCATACGTGATTGCCTTCGAAAAAGCAGGTATCAAAGTGCTTCCCCATGTGGTGAACGCGCTGACGCTGTCATCTGCATGGTCTGAGTCGAACCTCGGCATCACTCAGACTTCGCGAATCCTGTTTTCTCTTGCTGCCAAGGGTCAGGCCCCTAAGATTCTCCTCAAAAGTAGCAAGAAACTCAAGGTGCCTTACGTCGGAGTTATAATTGGTCTGATCTTCCTGTCATTGGCGTACATGACGCTGGATTCCACTGCAGCCAACGTGTTCAGCTGGTTCCAAAACATCACGTCGTCTGTCCTGCTTCTAGAGTGGATCATCATCTCGATTAACAACATCAGAATGAACAGGGCTCTCAAAGTCCAGGGCTACAGCCGCGACGACCTTCCGTACACCAATAAGATTGCCAAGGCTAGCGCTTGGTTATCGCTCTTTGGGTCGGCCCTTCTGCTAATCACTGGTGGCTTCACGACTTTCATTCATGGCCACTGGGAAACCTCCACCTTGTTCTCATCCTATTGTGCTCCTGTTCTGTTTGTGGTCTTCTATCTCGGATATAAATTCATCAAGAAGACCAAACACGTGCCTCTAGAGGAAATTTGTCTTCCAGAGCTGATGGAGGACTACCACAGCAAGCCTGAGCCTCCATCCGAGCCCCTAAGAGGTTGGAGACTTCTCGCCTTCTTGTGGGCCTAAAGCTGCCACATTAAAAATTTGGAGCAAGTGTATCAGTTTGTAAGAATTATAAAATTGCGTGTGCAAATTCCGCTGTTTGGACGAAGTCTTAATCTTATCTGGCCGACAAAACCCAAGTCGACCATCATGCTCAAAAAAACATTCTACCTCATATATTCTTCTATAACGCTATGAGGCTTTACATAGGTTCCGACCGGGGTGTATTCGAAATCGTAACCGAAGCTTGATGGACCTCCTGTTCTGAGTGCCTCAGCAGTGTCTGTCCATCTCGTGCTTGGGGAAATCACGAGAACGAATACGTGCAACCCGTACCGATAGTCCTGTGTACCCAGAGCCTCGCCTGTCTCCGCGTCGTTGACGGAAATCAAATCTGGTACCGAAGCTGTAATCTTTTTGTTGCCGTTTTCAGCCAGCTCACAGTAAATATTCTCGTTCTTGAACGGAATCGTCATCACCGCCTCGCTGTTCTCGTCTTTGACGTCAATCTCACCGTAAACATGACCTTTGAACAGTCGTCTATCGACTCGGATGATCTTTCCGGTGAATATCTTCTTCGCTGTATCGGCTCCACCACAGGCCTCGATAATGTACTCTGTGCAGTTTTGCACTTCAGAGTTCTGCCGAGCAGCGTGAACCGCTCTTCCTATTTTCCATGCCAGGGAAGTGGTGTTGTGGATACTCCTCTTTGAAATATCTTCTGCCGTCATAAACGAAACCATGCCGCAGTGCGCTCCAATCTCTGATAATGATGCCCTAAACACTTTCTCCACGATCACATCGCTTGCAGCCTCAGAAAGCAGCATGGTCGTTCCGTTGCCATCTGCAAGAGCACAGGGTGGAAAGCATGGCTGCTCGGAATAGCAAACGGGAATCATTTGCCACAGCAGAGGATACGCTCTGCCCATGAAATCTGCATCCACACAAGGAATATCCAGATCTGCAGCTATTTTGAGCCCAGTTAAACCATTTCCACCACCAATCTCCCATGGAAGCGACGCCTGGGGCGTGATGTTGCTAAACCGTTTCACCAGATTGTAGCCATGCACCATTTCGTCTCCCGACAGTTGTTCCAAGCCGACAGTTGGAGATCCAGCGTAGCCGACCGCAACGACAGCACCGTCACCTTTCTGGTACTTTGGAAAGTCTTGTGCCCTGATCACTTTCACGGCTTTTCCAGCACGGACCATGTGTCTCAGGGCCAAGTAGTGGTGATACGGCGTTCCTCCTCCACCACATCCCAAAATATATGTACCAATTCTTAAAAACTCACAGTCGATTTCTGATAAGATCCACTCCATTTCGGGGTTAATGTAAGGTCTATAGGAGCTGACATCGAACTTTAAATGGTGCTCAATGTAATTTGCTGAGGCTTCAGAATGTTTTGCAACGCTGCCTCCGGATTCCTCAGGCTCAGTATCTCCTTCATCAGGAACAGAGTAGTGCATAGCCTGGTAGTCTACTTCACCAATAACTTTCACCATGAACTCAATTGTGTTTGGAACGTAAGGAATCGGGTTCACAACAATGTCGTCATAGACCAAAGAGTCTCTGATTGCACCCTTGGCCACTGCCTTCTCCACAGCCTGAAGCTTCAGCTTCTCCAGAATGGCATCCTTATCATCTGACGGCTCCATCCGTTTGATAGCCTGAACGGTGGCAGAGATCTTACCTACAGCCGCTCCAATGGCATTGACGACTCCAAAAAATGGAGGCCTGAACACCTTGCTCGCACCCTCCAGCTCCTGTGGAGCAATCATCGATCCTCCCCCAACAAGCAACACTGGGATTGGTTCAGGAGATGTTTTCATTCTATCAATGGCGTTCTCCAGCATCTTCTTAACTTCTTGTTGGAATGCCTGCTTCACGTCTTTAGAAAATCTACCAGCTACTTTCTGACCGTCGCCAATTTGGTAAATTCCTTTATCCTCGATGGTTTCGTCTTCCAGACCAATTGCAACTGTCAAGTCAGTTGCAGTAGTGGTTTCTCCCCCAAACAGTAATCCTTCTGTCAGCAGGTTTGCACCGGTTGATTCTGGCCCGATAGTGACATCCTCGGTTATCTTGACAATAGACCCGCCCCCGAGGCCAATAGACTCAACATGCGGCATCGAAAAGTTAGTTCTCACGCCGGCAATAAAAGAGTACGCAGAAGACTGGCGGGGAAAGCCGGAAGGAAGTAAGAGACCAACATCCGTCGTAGTTCCACCAATATCTGCTACGATGATTGACTGACCTTTGGTCCATTCTTCCTTGGCACACAAAATAGCTGCTCCTCTCATCGAGTTGGTGGCACCCGAGGAGAACGTTTTGACCGGCGTTTTCATGGCTTCCACAGTGGAAACAACGGTTCCGTCGTTCTGGGTGAGAAGAAGCGGACACTCTAGTCCTATTTGGCGAATAGCATTCTTGAAGGACAGAATGATCTTCCTGGCAAAAGACATGATCGAGGCGTTGATGATGGAGGCATCTTCGCGCTCAATAAAGCCGATCGTCGAAATCGTACTGGATAAGACAATATTGGCTTTCGGAAGAACCGAGCGCACAATTTCTGATGCGCGTTGCTCGTGCTCATGGTACATTGGGGAGAACTGCCCGTTAATCACGATAGAGTTAATCCCCAGCTCGCGAATTTTGAGTGCGTGTTCCCTGACCGATGCTTCGTCCAATGGCTGGACCTCTGTTCCATCAATTCTATGACCACCCTTAATGATGGCTGTGTATCCTTCCATAACGGAACGAAGCCCACCCGGAAAGTCGGAAAATGAAGGAGCATACTTGGAGTAGTTTGTGCTGAGGCGGAGGACGGCAACTCTTTCAAGCTTGGCAGCGTCCTGTTCAATGACGGCGTTGATGAAGTGAGTAGTTCCGATTGTCACTGATGCGATATCAGCCTTGGCCACCTGTGGGCAGTCCGCCAGTAGGCTTTTGATGGCGTTCTGTATACCGTCGGAGACATCCGCCGTGGTGGCGGACTTGTTCCAGGCGAGGACTCCGCGGTTCTGGGTGTCGAGTGCCAGCGGGTTGATTAGCACCGAATCGGTATTAGTGCCGCCAACGTCGACGCCTATAAGCAGTTTGCGGTTGACCATGGCTAGCTAGCTAAACTTTGCAACATATGCTCGAGAACTATATCTCAAGACTTGCCCGAAGCACGATCGCACATTCCGACGGAACAAGCGCAGATAAGCCCCCCTAATTTCTGCCACTTATCTATGCGCTAACCGTCGACAGCCTCTAAAAAACGATTGTTCGCTAACGACCTTTCTTATCGCAATCTGAAGATCTGCGCGATAAGAAAATCAGCCAATTTATGTCCCGTTTTGGTGGAGAGCGGTGGCCGGTGGAGCGAGGCGCATTTTATATAGATATACCGTATATTGGCCGTCAATTGTTTACTTTTGGATCGTAATGGTGAACTTCGTAAGACTGAGGAAGGCGTTGGAGGTGAAGAGCAGTGGGGCGGGGGTTCGTGCGACGCGGTGGATCAACCACGACCTGGTGCCGCTGCCGCCGGGGCGGCGGACGTGGGACATGTGGACATTCATGGGCTTCTGGGCGATCAACAACCTGTGCATCTCGAACTACCAGGTGGGCTCGACGCTGATTTCGATCGGGAACTCTGTGTGGATGGCGATGGTGGCGAACGTGATCGGGCGGGTGATCATCTGCGCGATGGCGATTCTGAACGGGCAGGTCGGGGCGGAGTATCACATCGGGTACCCTGTGTTCAGCCGGTGCGTGTGGGGCATGCGCGGGTCGTACGTGGCGATCGCGCAGCGGATCATGCTGGGGGTTGTGTGGCTGTCGACGCAGTCGTGGACGGGGGGCCTGTGCATCTCTGTGGTGCTGTCTGCGCTGGCGCCGGGGTACCAGAACATGAAGAACACGATGCCTGCGAGCACGCACATGGAGACGAAGGAGTTTGTCGGGTTTGTGATCTACTGCGTGCTGATGTGCGGGATGATCTACGTGCCGCCGGAGAAGTCTGCGCGGCTGCTGACGACGCTGAACGTGATGACGGGGGCGACGCTGTTCGGGATGATGGTGTACTGCCTGAAGGCTGCGCACGGGGCGGGCCCGCTGCTGTCGGAGCCGGCGCAGGCGAAGAGCGCGTGGGACAAGGGCTGGGCGATCATGGCGGGGATCAAGACGACGATCGGCACGATTGCCGTGGGGCTGACGAACCAGCCGGACTTCAACCGGTTTGCGCGCAGCCCGCGCGACCCGCTCGTCGGGCAGGCGGTGTCGATTCTGTTCTACGGGTCGGTGGTGCCGCTGATGGGGTGCCTAACGACGTCGGCGTCGGCGAAGCTGTACCCGGACACGGACGGCGGGATCTGGAACCCGCCGCTGCTGGCTGCGCGGTGGCTGGACGACGACTACAACGCCAAGAGCCGGGCGGGCGCGTTCTTCAGCGGGCTCGGGCTGCTGGCCGGGCAGCTGGCGGTCAACACGGTGGACAACGCGTTCTCCGCGGGCATGGACTTCTCGGGGCTGTTCCCCAAGTTCCTGACGCTGCGGCGCGGCGCGTACCTGGGGCTGTGCATCTCGATTCTGATCCAGCCGTGGCAGCTGCTGTCGACGGCGGGCGTGTTCATCAACGTGATGTCTGCGTACGCGGTGCTGCTGGGCGCGATGACGGGCATCATGGTGTGCGACTACTGGG